AGAAACTGTAGTATTAGTAGCGTTGTGTATGATTCGCCTATTGTACGCGCTTCGTGATAAGAAATTATATAGTACTCTTATATAAATTCAACCCCTTTCCACCAAGAAATTTAATAAATTGTACAAGTTTTGTAATAAGAAAGCTGCAATCTAGACTAAAGCCAATCGAAGGCTAAATTGATACAAATATTATGATGAAGAGTTTTATTATTCGGTAATTAATTTCCGTTATAAAAGTTTATCGTTTCGTCAATTACTCTAGCGGATATGCTTTTAATGATGAGGTTATTTATGTAAAAATAATCAATGAGAGTAGTTCAATTAAACCCTGAAAATAAAACTTTACAAGTACAGTACCTACGGAAACATCTCTAATTTAAGAAAGAAATATGAGGCAGACCCGCATACGTTCTGAAAGAAAGGCGTAATCGATAAATCTAAAAGACTACCTTAACATGCCTTTCATGGAAGAAAAAAATTTAGCAATTAAGTGAACTTAAATTACCAAAAAATGATACTAAATTTCTGATTGTGTGCTACTTTAGAAAATTTTCATTAATATACTAATTAAAAAAATTTCGAAACACTAAATAAAATGAGGTAAAGATTAATAAACAAAGGAAAATTTCTATATACTGAGAAAGACCGTGCTACTGGCATTTCTGAATTAATTGCTGATTTCCTCAGATTTTATGTGTATATAGACTAATCAGATTCGTGTATAAAGACTAAAGTCTATACACGTAAATCAGAGCAAATATTACCAACTTACTTTACTTTATCATTGCATAAGTTATATTAATAGCCACTGTCAATAATAAAGAATATCATTATGAAACGTAAAATAGAAATATATGACGCGTACAAATAAAACCGACTATATCACAAAAGTTGTGTCACATCAGTCTAAAAATAAAATTAAAATGAAGGATTAAAATGATTTCACAAAGGCCTAGTAATAATCGATTTTCCGAAATAAGGAAAAACTGTAGGTGTTTCCTATATGCAAACGTAAAAAAGAATGATCACGTCTTGGTTATGAAAACTAAGAAAGAGAATCCTTTAAAATACAGAAATGACCAGGGATACTATATTATATGACCTAATAAAGAAATTCTTAAAACTGTAATAACGTCGAGCTTACCGTGTAACATACTGTATACTGAAATATGATTATACGAGTTAATAACTAAATTGTAAACAGATTATCCGTGTGATGTACATAAAATGTAAATACGAAGAAAAGAAAAATTTTTCATCAGTAAAATTTACGAACTTTCTGTATAAATTTTTTTCGAGACTAATATGAAAAATATGAATAAATTTTAATTTAATTCTACCGCAGCTGCAGTAAAATTTATTATAATATTAGCAGAATGGATAATTTAGGCTCGAAATTAGCAATTTCTGTACTTACGAACCTAAAGCCTTTCCCTAGTACTTTCTTATGTGAGATTTCCATTAAATAAATAAACTTGACGTATCGAACAAGAACACATACGCTAAGCTAAAATAATGGAAGTTATTAATAACGGAAATTCACAAAGAATAAAAGAAAAATTATTTATGCCAAAGTTACTAGACATTTTTAAATACATTCCAATTAAGGTTTATCTGATATTTTTAAAGCCCTTAAATATACAAATAAATGATATATATGAAACTAGTAACATTAACACTTGTAGATTTTGTAACAAAAGAATCGGGTGGTAAGCAGAAATTCTAATAAATTTAGAAATTTAACGAAAGCTGTTAATAGCCTACTGTATTTACATAACTATATATATGAAATGTAAACTTACTGCGGATATGGCACTGATTGGCATGATTAGAAGATAAAATATATAATGATGATTTCGGCAATAACTGCAAAATACGATCGCATAAAACTATCAATACTTAAATGTTACAAAAATTCTTACGCATCGTCAAAATTCTGAAGTCCAATTGTAATAAATCAACAATAAATTATATGAAAACAATTTTTTTACGAATAATTTGTGATTGCCGTGACATAGAAACAAATAATGTATAAATGCATAAAAAAGAAGTGAAAATATAACGATAAATTATGGGTACCAGTTTTCAAATTAAATTCTTAAAATATTAATCTAAATCAGAAGAAAATATTGAAATATACGGCAGTTCGTAAGTTTTCCTTACCAGGTGCTGCTGACTTCCATTGGATATTGTGTAAATACCGAAATGATCAGAAGGACTGCCGGTAAGCCTAATCAGTAAGAAAAGGACTATTCTAAGTTGCAATTAAAAAAAAAGTCTATCTAACAAGAAGTAAACTAAAAATCTATACAGTAAATTTCTGCGCGGATATACAAAAAATCATACTGCCAAATTATGCATTCGTATTTTTTGATACTGATGATCCTATCATTTAAGTAACCCTGACATATCCTTAGCAGAAAACGATACTCTTCCATAATAACAAATACAATTGCGATTTAAGTTCCCTTAAGGGCTATCGTAAAGAATACGGAACATACTGTCTATAACCGGAGTCTAATCTTGTTAAATATTGTATATATAGCACATTTCACGAATTTCTTCGAAGCGATTTACTGATAACGAAATATCTAACGTTGTAAAATTTATATTCATGCAATGAAATGAATCAATGCCTATGTTTAAAACAATCGCTCGTTATTCTTTTAAAAGAAAATAATCTCCTTTATGGATAAAGAAATTAGATCAAAATATGTTTACAGACAAACATCGCTTAGAACCGTCAGCTGTTCATTTGCCCCTAAACACATAAATTTTAAATATCTACAGTGAAACGTATTAAAAAAAAACGTAAACGTATTATAAAAAAAAGAACGGTAAAACAGTACATTATCATTTAAAAGAATAGAAGAATGAAGACTTCGCGGTAGTGCCGTAATAACTTTTAATTTTTACTAGTCTGTGCTGTACTTATTTATCAACCAAAATATGCAACTGCTGCAAACTGAACTTAAGAATACCGACAGTTCTACGAGAGTAACTCCGATTAAAAATCGTAAGAAAAATTTGTTTAACTTCCTTGAATTGGTACTTCTAATGCGAGTTACTTGTTTTAAAAATATTACAGAAACGATTTTTTCGATTACTTTTGGCTCCCATAAATTTCTTTAAAATGTCTAAAATAAATACCTACACCGGACGCACCATAGGAAATTCAATACGTTAATTATGCAAAAAAACTTATTAATGTTCCTATTCTGCCTTGTTACATATATATATAACCTGTCTAAACTCGATCGTTAATAAGAATTGCTGTGTAAGTTAACAAAACGTCTCAGACGCATCGATTGAAAGTGATGCTATTGCTATTCCTTTCTAAGCAAATGGCAGATTTAGTTAAAATAACAAAATGAAAAATTTAAATGTCTGAAAATAAATACATCCTTTCAAAATTATAGTATGTAGGATTATTTTACAATACCATATGGGTTTATCGTTAAGAAAACGAAACACTTTATAAATTAATATTTGAAAACACGAAATAATTGCATGGAATCCAAAATCTAGAGCGAACTTACTAATTAGTATAGTATAGCTTTTTTACCGAACCTAATTTTTTGTCGAATAAGACAATACGATTAACTAAATTTTATAAGATTCGAAGTTATAGTTGCATATACAGTTAAGTAAGGAATTTTTTAAAGATAAGTAAATGGCTAGAGTGTATTAAAATTTATAGATGGAAGTAAATACCGTATCCATATGCCAAAGACCAGGCCAGTCTATAATTTCTACTTCTATTTCGGTGATAAGTTCTTAAAGCAATTTGAACTTCAATTGTAGCCCACGTAAAGCAGGATAAAACAAAAAAGTAAAGAGCTGATGCAATGACAGAACACTGGACCTACGTAGGGTCGATAAAAAATTTTGTAAGTAATCAATCCTGTTTCAATCTAATATACTACCCAAAATATTGTGAGTGGGAAGTGAAATAAGGCACGAAATCTCTGTTAGATTAATATTTTTTCCCAAACAATTTTGGCTTAAGAACTAATGTGAATCGAAGAAACTCAGCAAAACTCTTGCAATCGCTTAAATGATTATTGAAGTTACGTGCACTGATTCTATTAAAAACTTTAGAGTTTAAGATATACATTCCAAAGTCATTTCCAGTCGACAGTATAATGCTGTTTTATTCCCATGAATTGATGAAAGACTTGACTAGAAATATTTTATACTTGGTAGATTTAGCGCTTAGGGATTTTAGACATACACGTATTGTGTACGAATCCATGCCAAAATTTTTACCTGATGTACATTTAAAGCGTATATGATGTATATGGAGGAATGTAAAGTAGAAGACCAATAATTCAATAAATCAATTCTGGTTTAAAAAGCATACAGTATATAAAGAAATGAGGGAAATACAATCTGCAAATATTTTAGGACTGCAATTTTACCTTCGATACGTTCCTAGCCATGCTTTCCGCTATCATAAATAAGAGAGACGCAAAACCAGAAACTGCCGTCAAGTTAATTATAGGAAGAAACCGGGAGCAGAACCCACGAATTCTAAATTAGAAGAAAAGCTTATTTTCAGCCACTGCAGATCCAAAAGGTCCAAGCATTCCGTAAATATTTACATACGGCTACGCTAAAACTTTAAAATTAGGTAATACTCAGCGTAGTAGAGTAAAATATTACTACAAACCTTATTAAATAGATATAATATCCAAAAGTTAGCGTATTACAAACAAGTGATATCCCATGTGACATATAAATGAAACCTGTAGTTTGAAAGGTAATCCTAGAAGACTGCAGAATAAATTGAACAAGAGTAGTTGGAGCACTTGTATTAGCTGTACTTCTGCTACGGTATTAGTACTATGGTATCTTACGTTATCTTCATTTACAAATAGAGATAGTAAACCGATGTTACTATAATTCATGCAATTACAAATGGTACATGATGCATTGGAAAATGCAAATTGACAACCAGGATTCAACAAAATACTGCTCCTGAATGAAACAGAAGAAGAATTAAAGTGTTGTTATGTCACTGTATCATTTGCATAATACCATCTCGTCGAGATCAGAAAAATTAAAAGCTAACGTCCAAGTGTAAATAAATTATACTAATTAATGCACCAATAATGCAAGTCAATTTATTAGTAATACTAAATGAATACATTTACTTTGGATTAGCGAGTTCTCGAAAACCTATTTTGGATTTACCTTGGCTGATGACTCCAGTAGACACACATAGAATCTCTTCTGACACCGGTTATTAAGACCCGCTATAGAATATTAAAGTCATTTTTAATTTACGAAATACAACAGGTGAAGACTGTATCTAATTAGAGACAGAAAGCTAAGAGCGACAAAATCGTTAACGAAAATCTACGATGCTACACCAACATACAATGTAAAAAACTGATATTTATGTTGCCGGTATTCTATCTAAATGATCATTACTCCGTGGCTTTGTTACTTAATTTATCCCATATGCTCGAACCTGTTTGGGATGCTGGAATATAATTTTTATGGCCACTTTTACCGGAAAACGATTAATAGGTCCTATTCCGATCGAAACCATATCATCTAACGACATACTTTGAACTTCCTTAGCGTATCTTACAACAAAAATTTCAATAAAATTAGAAGCAAAACAGTAATTTAATTTTAATTTATGCTCTGATTACATTTCAAGCGATACTAAGCTTAAACTGACATGTAAAGTTTTGTAATCTTTAAAGATAAGGTAGCAGCTTCAGACGTCAGTTAAAGTGATGAATTTTGAAAAAATTTAATTTGCGCAAATAACTAATAATTGAATAATGGCTAATTTGACAAGGTAGCTAGGCACTATAGTACCTGAAAATTGCCTAGCTACCTTGTTAATTTAGTACCTTAAAACGGAGTTACTTTTGGCTATGGGTATAAATTCTGCTAAGGTCGTATATTTCATAAATGCAATGCAAAGACGGACATTATCTATTTCTGAAAAGTAAGAAAAAAAGACTCAGTATTTGCTTATTATCGATTGTTACGAGTCCTAAAATTTGTTGTAATATAAACGATAATAGTAATTCGATGCAAGCTTAGAATATAAGTGTTATAAGCTGGAATAAACAGTTTAACGTGCACTACTTTAAACAAAGTACAACAATAGGATAAAATACAAAATCCGAAATTAAGAGAAAGCGTAAACTGAAAAAATGCCGTCCTAAAAGTTTTGATGCATCTTTGGTATTAATTTAAATCTCTTTTATTTTTACTACAACGGTATTCATTAATCCGAAGGCGCGATGAAACAAAGAAAAAAAATTGTATAAAATCGAAAAGCACGTAATTGAACAGAAAATGCTAATTTATCGGAATACCCTTAAGCATTTCTTCAGAAAAAATAGCCGTCGTATAATCTCCGCGGGAAGTTTGTGAAGTAGAAAGCACAAGCGATTTATTATAGCCAGCTGGTAAAACTCTTAATTTAATTTCTATTTAGCAAAAAAAATTCAGGTAGTAAAGAAGTAAAATATAAAAATTATTTCATCATTTGATTTTAAAATTACATTTCATTAATAAATACCAATGTTTGAATGCTTAATAGATAAGGAATTCGTTAACGGATCTTGCCATCGTAACGCAATCTTCTTAAATGCATTAGCAACATCTACGACACTAACATTCTAATTAATTGTTAAGAGGACCTTATTTGTAAGTATTGAACTGACACATAAGAAAAAAGGTGTTCAATAAAATTCTAACCGACGTCATGGAAATACTCTGCCATTGCTGCTTTAGAGTTACATTTAAAATGCTATTCACAAGCAATGCGAAATCCTATAGGAAATTATAGTCTTAATTGATTTTTTAAAAAACATTAATAGCGTGCATGTCATTACCTACAGCTAAGTAGCTAAGCACGTAGTGATTGGTTACAATATCAGCAGATATAACAGTAATGTACTAACTACAGTATTGTATGCCCCGCATCACCCGTAGCAATAGTCTACCAATCTGGCGCGTTCTCAGAACGAGCCTGATTATACAATATTAATATTAATAAATACAAGGCCAAATTAATTTCGATACTTACTTGTAAAGTTTTATTTGCTACAGAATCGTTACAATCACGTGCAATTACGTTTAAGAATGAAACTATTGTGATTATTTCTCCAGTTATCATGTCCCCATTGATGCTATTTACAAGAGGTAATTCACGTGAGAGATAACCACAGTCATAAAAGCCAGATGAAATCTAAAAATTTCATTTATTTGTCAGGAAAACGTATTCGTCCATAGACAAAAATTTTAAGGAGAAAGCGTGTATCTGAAGTAATGACCTGTTAAAATTTAGATACTTGTACACTCAGTAGAACTGCACTAAGCATTATATTTTCGAATATCTCGCTATTACCGTTGCTTTTAATGAGTACAGCTGTTTTGTCATGCATTCGGTCAAATCAGGATTCTCCCACAAAGCAGCATTTCTATGCCTTCTACATTTTCTTTTAGCTATACCTTTAAATATTAATTGCCCTTAAATCATTATTAATTGTTATATACTATAAGCGGCTTGTTTTACTGTGTTAGCACTATATAATTTGAAGTTTAATATTGTTACTTAAAAGGTATACACAACATTTGCAACATAATTTCAAATTTTAAGAACAGCAATTCAATTAAAATAGCTATAGAATTCAGACCAATCTTATTTGTTTCAAACCGAAAATATCTACGGCAATTGCATTGCCTACTAAGACTTATTATATATACATATATATTTTTTATACATTATCGAGATATGCGGAAAGCGAAATTTAAACTAAAGGTTTACCCACGAAATTTTCAGGACACATTTGCAAATCAGTCTGGGTAGCTCTAGTTGCAGACCATTGTACACCTTGCTTTTTCTCACTTTTACAAATAAGATCGCTGTCTAATAAGATAATAAGGCAGTCAAGATATAGTAAAATTTGATGACACAGGTGCTCATCAAAAGAACTAAAATTAATAAATCTGAATGCACTGTTTAAATAATACATATATATATGTATTTACATACGTTTGGTAGTATTAAAGTAAACTCTCTATCTCTACAGTGAAAGGCAACCTATATCTATTTAACTTGTTACATTAATATTAACTTTTTAATATAGTCAGAACGGCACTGACGGATCCTTTCCCAGCTGAATTAGATGCGATGCATGATAGCTGATGATTTTCTGTCGTCAAATTACTAGCAAGAATCAGAATGGAGGTGTATCCTTTGTTTGAAATTGTAGCATTGGAATCTACCATTTGATGAAAACAGCAAATTGAAAAATATCCAATATAGCTTTAAATTCGATCGCCTAGCATATTATTTCAAATGACTGATTACAATTATATAATTTCTTGTATCTATTAAATTTGATAATTACAATTATATGTATTATAACATATTAACAGTGAACACCCGTTACGATAACGTAACGGGTAATCACTGCTAGTTCTAGTTATATTTAATAATGTAAATATTCATAATAATTTATCAAACGTTGAATTAACTTAAAACTGTACAATACATACAAAAACCATACTGACTATACTATTATAAAGATTCTATTTTATTAAAAGAATATGTAATGTCCCGATGCCACATTTAATTTATTTTTGCACCTCATAAACTTACTCGTCAACAAACTGCCATCGAGATACCATGTATACTGTATTGGTAAGGAAACTACGCCAGTCTGCGCAGTAATATTAATTATGCAGGTAAATAATGGCGTTTGTCCGCTTGTTATCGTTAATGGGGATAAAAATGGTTTCGGTTGAAGACCGACATCTGTGCAATTGCGAAATGTAAGTAAAACAATCCTTTCATTAGCAAGCATATAGAAATTAAGTTCAGAAATGGAGTACGTTGATAATTATAAGCAAGATCTACAGTAAGATTATGTACTGGAACAACGAAACTAACCTGTATCACAAAATTGGCCGATCCATCCAGGGGAACATGCACAACGATAACGATCATCTCGTACCCTGCAGTAGCCACGGTAACAAGGATGATTCTGGCAAGTCTGAGAAACTTCATCGGCTGATAAAAATATAGGTAACAATTCTCTGGATAAATATTTTACGGTTAATTTAAGGTGTAAGAGGAATACTGGTACAACATCTACATATTAACGTTGGGGTGGAGCTGACTTACCTAAATCAGGGGTTAGATTTGTCATAGTTATGTACACAACTTCGCTCTGAGGCCCATCGCCACCATTGTTGTAGGCATTTACGTTGAAGGTATAGACATAATTACTTAATAATCCAGTAATCACAGCAGACGAAACGTCGCCAATTCTCATCACATTTACCGCATCGCTATCATTTAAAGAATAGACAACCTATACATTTTACGATAGTCACCCAATTATTTTTTTGCACTGGAATTTTAAAATATGATTATTGCGTCACTAGACCAAAAATAAACTATAAATTTTTTTTCAAATGTAGGACACCAGTGCATACCAGTATATACAGTCCTGAACAGATCGAAATAGCTCGATGACCAACATTTTATCTCATATTTAGGTAAGAATGCCTAAGATACCTATCGTAGATCAAAATAAGTAGAAATTAAATATTCAGGTTACCTTATAACCATTGACTATCGATGATGCAATTTTTCTCCAAAATATTTGTACACTTGTTTCATTGATTTGGAAAACTTCTATTTTATCAGGCGCCGAACCTGGCGGTGCGAGTCCGGTTTTAACAAAAATTGGGGTGCTCATGTTTCCTTCACCATAGTAATTTTTGGTTTGCATCCTTACTTCATAAATAATGTTACTTCGGAGACCATGAATCATAGTTTGATAGTGACTAAGTAATCTGATTCTTGTATATTTCTGACCACGGTTATCCCGCTCTTTATGCAAAAGAAAATATTGAATTCCTGGACCACAATGGTATTCTCGAGGCAATGGAGTCCAGCGGACACTAATTACATCTGGCATACTTTTCGATCCAGTGGCTCTTACAATATTTGGTAAATAAATAGGAACAGAACCTTTGGTCTGCAGTTCAATAATTTGATTACTCTTACTCCTCCCGACACCGTTTTCAGCCACTACTGTAATTCGATATCTATTCCAAGGCGATAAGTTAAGCTTTGCCGTATTCATATTTGGAGATATATCAGGATTTGCTACTTTAAAGGATGTGTTGTTATTTACTTGGTAAAGTACTATAAACCGGATTAAAGGCTTAAAATTTTCTGATCCAGGAACCCAACTTATAAAAACACTTTTAGCTGTTAATTCATGATAAGTAATATTACGCACAGGATCAGGAATATCCACCACAATCAACTTAGTCTTATTAGCTATATATTTATTAAGAAATCGATCATCATATAGTTTAACTATGCAACTATAAATTCCAGTATAGTTGAATGTTGCATTTGATACCGTTAACAAAGAAACGAGAGGAGAAATGTGATAAATAATAATACCACTGCAATTACTCAAGTTCACGTCATCCTTTCGCCATTCCAACTGCATTAATAAACGAGCATCTTTTGTTACGCTACAAGTAAGGGCGAAAGAGTAATATCTCCGAATTAATACTTCCTTAGAGGAGTTAATAGATAAAATAGTCTGATTACGAACGACAACATTAATTAACTTAGAAGATTCCCCATGAGAATTTCTCGCCATGCAGCGATAAACTCCTTGGTCTTCCAAGACGACATCATGCAGCTTTAAGTTACCATTTTGGTACTTCTCAAATTTTCTGTTCGTAGTATTAATATAGTTTGTATCTCGGTAATACTCCATATCTGGTCTCGGACCGCCAAAGACGGCACACTGTAGGATATCTGTTGTGTGCAAAAAAAATGTTTGTGCCATTACAGAGCTAATAAACTTAGGTGAAGAGGAAATTACATTTAATCTGCCGTATGAGGCGATATTGTCGAAATTATTCTTGGCAATGCATGTGAAAATCTTCGAATCGTCCTTGGTCACAGATGAAATGACTAGATTGCCATTTGGGAATACTGAATACTTGGAATTATTTTTGATTTCATTTCCATTTGCAAACCATAAGTAAGTGATGCTGGATCCAGATGCAATACAAGGCCATCGAAATTCCGACTGTTGTACTGCAACGAAAACGTCTCGAACAGGGCTAATCCACTGTGGACGTCTTTCAACCTGTAGTTTGTATATAACTGTATCTTCACCGTAAACATTTCTAGAGTGACATCGATATCGATCGCTATCTTTACTGGTAACTGTTTTCAATATCAAACGACGTCCATTATTCTCATAGTTATATCTATCAAAGGGAAGAGGTCCTCCTGATCGATCCCAGTATATCAACGGCAGAGGTCTACCAACAGCAATACAATCAAGAACTACTGTACTAATCCCTTCGATTCTCTTCATTGTAGTAACCCTATGAGCTCCTTCAGAAAGTATCCGCGCTGCAAACGAACTTCTATTTGACTCACCAACAACGTTTAATATCTTCCAAATACTTTGACTCTCTTGTTTAAGAGATATGTTCAGATACTGATGAAAAACTTCGCTGATAATATGGCATCGATACTCATCGGTATCTAATTTTGTGACATAGCTAAAGTATAAATTGCCTGTCGCCGAGGAAACAAATACTCTTTTACCGTCTGCTGGATTCTGACCTGTTGATTTCTTTGTCCAATAGATAATTGAAGGCCATGGTTTAGTAGTAGAGACAATACCACATGGTAGGTAGGAATAGTTTCCCTCGCTCGCAATTACTGGTTTAGAATCTGACGACATCCATGGAAGTGCGAGAATCTCTAATGTAGCAAAACGACTAAGAGATATTCCTTCTCGCCCCTCAGCTATACATTGATAGCGACCTTGATCTGATGTTGACACGCTCGTGACTAGTAAGCTGCCGTTCGCGATCCTGACTCTTCCAGTCTCGCGTATTGCGGTATTGTCATGTAGCCACCTATAAGTAATATTACGTCCGCGTGCTAGGCAATGAAGTTGAACTGTTTCCATAACAGACGGAGAGATAGCCTTATCGCCAACATAATCTAATGGTTGTATATAAATGTCTAATAGAGAAGACCTGACCAAACCAAGCTGAAAAAGAAATATTGTCAATTTCATAAACGATTCTAATCCAAGCTTCATTTCGCACTACACTGTACTGGCTAATTTAATCATACAGTTTACCATACCTCGTTGTATGTATATGTACGGTATATAACTTTACAAGTAGAGTTCACACGTACTTACTGTAGAATAATACTATTACTAAACAAAATACAGTACATAAATCAAAGATATCCTTTTCTGGCATCCAAGCAGAAATTTATACCGTCTGTATTTTATCTAATCTTTTAGGCTAGGCGATTTTTTAACTTGCTGAAATATTTGTACAATATTATACTTATAGAAAATTTAAAATACTCGTAAATATAGTCAGTAAATTTTCTTTATAATTTAAAAATTGCTGTAATTTGAATTCCGCAAGTATAAAGTGAACAAGACCTTGTTATTCCTGGCTTAAATCGATCATATGATTCTATAAAATAACACTAATTAATTTAAAGTTCAAAATATGTGGACCACGTGACGAAATCTAAAATACCATTTAGTATACAGCGTCATTCACCATTATCAGCTATTGGTTAATTAATTTACGTAAACCAAAATTAAATTATTTTATAGCAGCCAGTAAGCTTCTATTCTCCGCATCTTTAATAAGTCGCTACGAGATCCTCCATGGTATACGAGTATCATAATATAAAAACTGATCTGTACAATCTCACTATTGAATGATTCCGTGATAATAGTAGGAGCCTAAAACAGAATAGTGTAGTTCTAAAAGATCAGATTTCTGAATTGATTTTATCCACGCTGAAAAACACTACAGTAGAATTACAAAAGTGGTCCACGGTATCGTAGAGACCATAAACGATGATGTAGCACAGTCTGTATACTGTTCTCTCCTAAAGGCCTTCATCACGTCGTTAATGCAAATGTTAGAATTTCATATTATGTCCGATAAAATATATTACCATCTCTACGTATTAAATTTACTCCCGGATTTGCCAGAGTCAGTGAACAATCTTAAAAATTTGTCCTGATCCATTGCTATTATAAAGTACATATACCCCGTTAGCTATTTCATAAGCAAGTAGTAAACTGTAGTCAAGAAAATCATGTTATATTTGATATAAAGTATTATACCAAGTGGATGTGTACTACGAAAATACTGGTTGCTCCATAAAGAGAATACGGTATTTTACCGTAGGGAACTCTATAGTATTTCTATTACTTGGCATTCGGTAAATAACTACTAAAAAGTTATGTACCTGTATAATCATGTTTATAATTCATTAGATCGTAGTTTAGATCTGTATAGATGCGGTACATTAGTCTCTCCATTCACACAAAATGAATTGCTTAACAAAATTGAAATAACTCCAGATAAAATTTATTTTGTATCAGTCTCTATTTACGGTTATTTACGATAAGTGTTAATAGCTATAGATAATTGGATGATTATAATTTGTCATACTTATGTCCCTGAGATCACCAATATGCAAATAATGTTCTATTGATGAACATGAAGTAGAATAGTTGAAACCTTACCAGATTTGTACTGTAGACATATGGTTACTACTATTAAATTTCCTCAGGAAAGGGAAAAACGGTTTGCTAGGTCATTCTGATTACTGTTGCGGGTATACTTTAGGAACTTGATCCGTAGCTCAGCCATTAATTTACTGCACTTGTCCGTTATAAGATGGGATTGGCAGGATGACCCTTGTAACTCATAAAAATATAATAAAATATTATTTTATCGCATTTCTAGTTTATACTACTGAAATAATTAGTCACACTATGCCGTATGAATATAGGGCACATACTGTGGTAGTGGCAATTGTCTTAACATCGCCTGTCCTGTAAACTACTGCTTATTACCTTGTAGTGTACGCGCCGGCATAGAACGTGGGGAATCCTAGATATCGCACAATACTATTTACGGCTTATCTACACCTTATCTGCTGTACTAGATTAACGTACATTACAGTAGTGTAGTATTAGCCTTGCAACCTGTCACACAAGTTCTATGCTCTATGAAACGATTTCCTAAGTATTATTTATTTGTGATGTGCATCCGTCATACGGGAAGATACAGAAATTAATTTGACTACTTTTATGTATCCATTGCAAACATTTCTTAAAGTAAAAACAATTGCATACAGTAAAATTATTAACAATGATTCGATTTATCACAGTTTGCATTTGACTGTAGCATTAGAAGCACCTAGAATAGATGTACAAACACTTAGATGAGAATTGAAAAGTATTTATACAGAAACCATATTTAAAGTAATATGGACATTGTACTTTAGTGCACGTATTGTCGAGTTCCTCACAAGTTTAAGAAAGACCAAAACTGTTACTATTTCAAAATTTTACGATTTTTGCTATCATCAGTTTTGCAAAAAATAATATATTAGACACCCTAAGTAAACAGCTATATACCATACGATTACATTTACAACTATCGTAATGTTTCATATAATGTCTGTACGATGATTTTTGTATGTGCTTGAGTATTAAAATGAGTGTTATCAAAGCAAATCCTAAAAATGTTTAAGGATTGAATTTCTAATCAATAAATATTTCCCAATGGTTTTCAAAGGGCCATTGAGTTAAAATTAGTTTATCCTTATTAAGTACTGCAAGTACTTTGGCTGCTACACGAATATCATACTGTATATCATCCAATCATTTCCCTTTAGCATCAACTTCATGATTATAACATTTTAAATCAAATCTAGTATGCGTATCTAGATCTGAACTACGGTATAAAAATTCTTGGAAATTAATAACGATTAATACAAGCATTTTTTACTGGACAAGTGGACATGCCACCCTGCTTGTGCTGATAGAAACGACGAACATCTACTGTTTTTCCCGGAATAAAATACAGTAGAACAGTACAGTACTGTACTGTACTGTACAATACTGCAGGAACTGTACAGTACAGTACAGTCTCGATCTGACGTTACAGTACGAACAGTACAATACTGTACAGTACGTACTGGTACTGTACAGTACAGCTCAACGAGGGGACGGAGGTCAGTGACATTTCTATAATTTGAGGGCTGTGTGCACCGTACTGTACACAGTGTACAGTGTTATGTAACAGGGTCAGATCACATATTACTGTACTAACTGGTATTTTACTTTTGCATAATTTATTTATTTATTTTATTTTAATTAATTCACTATTAACAGGCACTGCTATTAAGGTTGATTAATAATTAATAACTTTACAGTTAGAAAATATTAGCAGCTTGTCCCGTGTTGATCCCTCAGTACTGTACATATTTTTTTCGTAATTGATCATATTAATCTTTATTCCTTGGTTCTCTATCGTGGCCGCTACCGCCACCTACAAACTGAAAAATGCAGTAAAGACTTAAAGTGTCTGAACAACATAGCATGGTTGATACAAAGTTCATCACATTGTATCGACAACCAGGAATTGGATTCGGATTCAATGTCATAAGGCGAAAGGGTCGACCACTCGCAATTTGTATGGTGCTAGATGGAGGACCTGCGAAAGAAAGTGGCCAGGTTAATATAATTTAACTGTAAATATTCTAAATATGTAAATATCATTCGTTATTCCTCAATACATTAGTGCCAGTACGCACTGGTTATATTATACTGTACGAGTATATACAGTATAGTACAGTATATTCTTATTTTTTATTTATCAATAATTATCGTGAGGGTATCAAGGCCTTCAGAGTTTTGGCGATGCAATGACTGCAGTACTTATAATGAGTGTTACTAGCATCTACAAGACTACGACTATCTAGCTACAGTTCAACAAACAAAACACCTTTCAGCATTCATTTAACTGTCAATATGAATCTGTGAAGTATTTTGCCTTTTATTTATCGCAACAATTATTAATATAGTTGTATAGTTCCATTTGATTTACATTACTTGTCATTTTGTTCATGTACTGTACGAAAAAATTGCTGCAATGTTACAGAGCTATCAACTCTGCTGAAACTACAGAGTACTGTACTGCACTAGTACTGCAATAAGTTCTAACGAATTAATTTCTACATATATAAATTTCTCGTGTACTCAAATTAGAAAGGTGCATGCCATCAACTACGCACTGTAATTCGATTAATTTAATATACATTACGACTTAAAAAATCTCAAGACTTCATTTGTAAGTTCAAAGTTAAGTCATATTTTGTAGCGTAGTAGCCTATCATACAAGAGGGTGAGCGTAGGCACATGGCCGCACTGCCCTAATTCACTATTACTGTACTTTAAATGTAGCAGAGTACGACACGAAATTTAATTCAACTGTAAATTATGTTATCGTGATGTCCTTCTACTATAAATTATACCAATGCAACGGTTTTAGTCCATCTTATGCTATTCGTTTGCAGAAGGGATTAACATTGATCCGCAGAAAGCTTTTAATGAGTGTAGTCCCTGAGCTATGTAATTTGTATCATATGACAATATACTGTACAGTACTACGGTTAAATCACTAATGAACTAATAATAAAAAATTTCCCTTGAGAGTAATTACATCGCTCACTAAGAAGTATCTAGAAACGGTTTCCAGTTTTATCTGACAATGAGCCAGTTAGCATGTTTATGTCTACACTTCATAATCTTACAAAGCCTTCTGCAATCAAAATACAGTTAGCAAAATCAGCTTGGTTTAGCTGACTGCGAGCTCGTAAAATGCAGTGTACGGTATTAAAGTTCTGAAGATTACAGAAGTAAATTTATTTCTAATGTAGTAAAGTAAATCTACACCTGCCAAACGTTGACTTTAGTTACTGTATACCGTACAGTTGTACTGTACATCATAATTAATCACTTGATTTATGAGTTTGACTTGAAATTTCTATAATTCCTTGTGTTGCTAATTTACTACATGATATAGATACCGCGAAATAACCGCATTTCTTTATATATTAATGAATTTATTGACAATTACAGACTTATGAAACAATTATATGCACATATGCAATGTAGGTTGGTGTCGGCGATATCGTAGTCAGTATTAACGGTAAGGATGTATCGGAAATGCTTACAGGTGAAGGTACGTACGGGTATATCTGTCTAGGAAGATCAATTATGGTTCCAATCAATTTAGCTTTACTGACCAACTCTAAGTTTATAATGCACATATTCCACTCGTACATGTGCATTACCGATGATATTGATGTTTGTATTGTAATAGTATGGAAATTAAAACCTATTCCTCTTCTGATATTTATTAGCAATATCTTACATCAAACACTGCAATGAGAAAGTGGACTTGGAGCTCATACCCAACAACGGTAAACGAAAAATATTAATTTATGGACACATGTTGTATAACAGCTTCTAAGCTTGTTGCGCTTACGAAATTAGTTTTATTGGCTACAGAATGCGGCATGCTAATGGAACATAAATTTCTCATGCATCTTTCTAAAAACTAGATGCCTCACATATGGGTCAAAATACTCCAAGCGATAGTATTTTACTATCATCTTTGCAATCTGGTTCTGAATCCGGATTTACAGATAAAGAAGCTCAGAAACATATATCTCAGATTTCTACAATTGACACTTCTGTTGTCTCGACAAATAATCAACTCCAAAACAAAACATCAAATAGCTTACACGAAAGCTATACAAGTCCACAAAAATGTATGTGCGTACCTGAGCTAGTAACTTTGCCTCAAAATATCGTTAAGGGAAGTAGAAAGACTAATAACTTTAATTTAGATGTAGATAACACATTAGACTGGACCATTGATTTCGCCGAAGAATGTGTGAAACCTAATGTGGGAAACCAAATCGAATGTGAATCTGACTCAAAGAGCGGTAGAGTAAATAATTCTGGGAAAAATATTTCAAAATTTATGCAAGATCCTGTGATGCAAAATAATAGATTAGATAGCTTAAGCCGCGATATTTATTCGAAACAAATCGTATCGGTCGATAGTGGACTGTCTATGGAAAATTCCGGTAGTGATTTCAATAATTACGGAAGAGCTTGTAGTAAAGACGGCGATCTAGTCTGGATTAAGGTTTCTGGCATAAAAAAGACCACGTCAGCTGCGTCACTGAAGAACAGGACAATTGTTCGCCGAAGTCTTCGAGATTCGAGTTTAAATCACATATGTAATAACCCATGTGAAGGCCAAGGCAACCCTAGTCATTTGAAGGAGATTATATTGAACAATGCCTATGATACAACAGAATATCACAGGATTACTACCGCTGACAATACTAAAATAGATAAACTATCATGCGAATCTAATACTTCTATCCTGAAAGGTGCACCTGTTGACAGTTACGTTGACGATCTTGCTCAAAAAATGTACAATCTTGACGGTTATGATGTCAACGATATTGCCAAGAATATTAATGGAAAGTAAGCACCTATGGCCCCGACCATACGTATATCCATTACTAATGCTGACTGTAAATACTTGTAGATCTAGTTATATTAATATCACATAAGAGTCAAATATCGGCATTGCTTTTACATAGTCCTTATACAGAATTTTATCATACATACATACATATACTGTATTCCTTCTAGATCTGAATATGCACGCAAACTTGGCTCGGCGTATCTGGGGCTTTACAACTTCAAAGGAGAGCGCATAGATAATAGTCTGAGGTTAGTCCTTTGAAAAACTTTTTTTACAAATTAAATTGCTAATATTTAAATTTTGTCCGATCTAAGATCTTTATTAAAAAGAATGACAATTACTGGAGAAACACAAGATCGGGAACGAGTTTTGCAACATTTTTCACGACGTTATTACGAAGATAATCCGACCGTTTTCGATTCTGAAGGTTATAGTGTTTTTAATATAAATATACAAGTTGTATAATAAAATAATGTATAAGAAATGTTCGTAAACAATGGTTCGGCTATCAATTCGAAATAAGACTAGTTTTCTACTTGAAATCATGGAATGTCTTATATTCTCTACAGATCAAGTTCATACCATTGCTTGTGCGTTGATGTTGTTAAACTCCGATCTTCATGGAGAGGTAAGCAACTTGTACATTTCGAAATAGTTATGGAATCTTAAGGGTTAAATAGTTTTGAACAGTCTTTTGTGCGAACTTTATCATTGTGATCCTATTTTGCAAGATTTTGGAATTATTTTTGTATAGAATATTGGTAAGAAAATGACGTTTAACGATTTTGTGAAGAATTTACCTGTACCGAAAAAAAATTCTAGCTTAGGTAGAGACATTCTTAAGGTAAGACTTAAATATGTAAGAAAGATGTAAATTTTGTGCAACTATGTACGCTTACATTAGTCCAAGCAAAATTGGTTTTATGAATATTTAAAATGCTTGCTTACCACATAACAGTAGGATATTGGATTACATACTGACATATTAGTTTCACAATAGGAATTATACTATTCCGTTAAAGAAAGCAAGTTGGAATGGGCATTGTAAGTTAATTCGAAGTAATTTAATCACTAATGTAAGAACTAAATAGTATTAATCATATAACAGGAATAAAGACAATATAGCAGATGTACTGGGCATTGACGATACAGTAGCACCGGCGAAACCGGATATGGTCTGATATTTTATGATGTCTTTGAAACTTCTAAATATGCTGCACTTGAGTTGCGTTTTCATAAGTGCATATATTTAATACCCATAGGCTATCGGCAATATTACATTTAAGGAAGGACAATTAAGATGCAAATTTACTGAAAGCACTGATGGAAGAAGGCGAAGTAAGTTAAAATATGCAATGCTTTCGGCCTCAAAATGTGACTTACTGTTAGTGTAGTGTATTTAGATGGCACTGTAGCTCTTAACATCCCAAAGCCTCCCTCCCTTGAAAACTCTCGGCTTTTTATACCCTCGAAGGCAGATTATTAACACTCCAAACCCCCCTTCCCTCAAAAACTCTCGGCTTTTTATACCCTCGACAGCAGATTATACCGTAAGGTGTCTGCTGAATCTACAGTAAGCCTTCCTAACATCCTAAAATCTCCCTCCTTGAAAACTCGGCTTCTAAATTTTCGACGGCAGATTAGACCGTAAAGTGTCTACAGAATCTACAGTAAGCCTTCCTAACATCCCAAAACCTCCCTTCTTAAAAACTCTCGGCTTTTATACTTTCGACGGCAAATTATACCGTAGGGTGTCTTCAGAATCTACGGTAAGCCTTCGTAATGCTAGAAAGTCCTTACCATTGTGATTCTTCCCTAAAATCTTAATATAGCTATTGGATGTCATACTGCAGGTACCGCACTAATCTTAGCACTTTTGAAATGTCGGTTATGGACTGTATACTCAGTGTACAGTACAAGCAGTGGTACAGTGTTCCTTCTTCAGTAGCCTTTGGTATATTCTGTTTATACAAATTGCATGGACTAGTATTCTTAAATACAGGCATTTAATAATTATTCTTAATATAGATATCTTTACAGTCTATTTTGGCTATACTCAAATATATTTTGCTATGTTTAGTTATTTATAACACCTACAGTCTTCGCTATTTCCTACAATTATTTGCTATGTTGTTTATTATGATATATATCGTATCTAATTCTACAATCCTGTTGTCTACAAGTATTCTGTTTCAAAGGCTATTAATACCGATGATTTCTGTTTCAGATTTGTTAGTTGCACTTGTTAGTGTTAGTATCTACGCACAGTACTTTACAACAGCTTACCACTAATCTAGCAGTAACTATCACACTGTACCCAGTTACTATCTACAATGAAGTATCCGATTTCTAATAAAACCCCTCGTGTAATTCTGTGAATGGCTACTAAAGCTACATCCACTGACTCTCCGAACCCTCCATCACAGTTAGCTAAAATAATAATGGCACGAAACCATATTTTGTATCTTGAATAGGTAAATTAAAAGGAAGAAAATGGAAACAAAGATATCTGAGTTTACGCGGAACTACGTTGTATATTTTGAAGGTCAGACTAGGCTATGTTGTAAATTCAACCTTAACGTCTCTTTTAAGTAATATAATATTACCGAATAAGGAGATTGCACAATATATGCAACAAAACGGAGAAAATTTAATTAAAACGTAATCGGTAGTTATCGTGGTAGTTAGGCAGCTCTAATTAGAATGCTACCCAAATTTTGTTCCTTACCATTGCTCAGTATGTTCCTAACGGACAATACGATTAGAAGTTAGATTAATTACACCTAGAACAACTGTAAACCTCATTAGATACATATTGACTGGACCTATACTGTACACAGAACTACTCAACGACGGAAATTGGCTCAAATGAAGCAGATTCTATTAGCCTACTTCATGCCTATGCTCTTAGATGTTCCGATTATAAAGGTCATAAAAGGGATAATATATTCAAACTGACTACTTCCGACTGGAAGACATTTCTATTTGAAGCCGCGTAAGTCAAGCATAAATATAAAATTATCGATGTAGCAGCTCAGCCAGTGCTTTATCTCTTCTGAGCACCAGTATATTACAGTAAAAATGCATCTGGATATTCAACACAGAAACGAATTAGAATTGGAACAGTGGTTGTTATCTGTTAATGTTATCGCTGCACGATATTCCTCGCCACCCTTACTGGGCGGTGTCGGTAACAGGTACTGATTCAGAATTACTAGATTACCAAAATAAGTTAGATAATTATAATTGAGAATACTATCACCGTATTGCGTATTTTCCAGTAAGAAGTTTGTCAGGCCGATGCTCCCGATCATATCAAGTACCCTCAGCACCGTAAGTTTAGGCTAGTTGGAGCAAAATTACTTCTTGAAATTTTACACCGACATATGTTTGTGTGAAGATGTATTACTCACTGTAAACGTCAGTACTGTATTTGGTAACAGCTCTAACACGATTGAATTTGAAATTGCGCTATAATCGCTACTTTACTTAGAGATAAATTACCCATTGTATATTAATTATACACTATAAAGCATTTCGATGACATTCGCTAAACAGGTGGTATTATTTTAGGTGCAGCAATTGGATCGCCATCGACTTACGGTACTGCATCTGGGTATCCAAGTACTCTTATGTTTTAGCATACTTAAGGATGCGGTTTTATGTATGATAAAAATCTTCTATTTAAATAAATATGCAGCGATCATCACTTCAGTTGCAACTGGAAGAGCTTTATGATGCTCCTGCTTCATCAAGAGATCGATCACAACAGGTAATTAAATGCAGTTATATTAATATATAGATTTATTCCGCATATCTGCTAATATTTGTATTTGTGCAAGAAGGTTTATAATATCGAGAAGCAGAAATATTTGCGATTTGAGGCAAGTCCTACTGTACCGTAATGCGTTTAGCATTTGTTAGCTGTTATAAATGTCCATATATAGCGTCATTAAAATTCACTATACGTACGAATATAACTGATTAAAGTTCGCTGTATTATAGATTGATCGAATCAATACCTACATACTCTGCCTAACCAAAAAAAATCTTAAGATGGATCGGCTTCTTGCTAAGATCTTGAATGATGAAGCTACTGATTCTTTAAGAATTTAGCATATATCGGAAACGGATGCGAAATATCGTTAATGTTTTATTGAAAATTGTGCGTCATATACACGAGTAAATCATATTCCCTGAGTATAACGTTAATCATTAATAAACAACTATCGCAAAATCTCTGTAATGGTTATAGAGGATTTGCAACCATATCGTAATGAATTATAAATCATTTGCATACTTTAAGGTTACCTAATTGACGTTTGATTTATGATTTATTTGATTCCTAGGAAAACAGCAGATTAAATTTAACTTCTGTAGTTGGGTTATCAACCTTTCAGATCCATGAAATGGTGTTCATATAAATTATTTTTATTTTTGAACCCAGAACTTCCACTACATTCAGTAATATGAAGTTTACTGATACTTTTAAACTTATAATGATTTCATACAGCCAATACATACGTCGCTATAATAACTCTTTACTCTATAATTTATAATGCTGGCACAGAAAACTTAAATCCCATAGATAGCATTAGTAGTATCTATACACTTCATTTATTGCTTAATTATTTGCCAATATGATTCTGGTTTTGATCTCATAGTATATAAGATTGGCCTCACTAGTGATGTAAATAGGAATTGTCATACATTGCGCTACATTCATTAACCTCCAATAAGTAAGCAAGCTGAAAACTGTTGATCTACGAATGCTAAACGGTCAATAAAGATCACTCACTCAGCGAAATCTCTTTACCTGTGATTTACTATTATTAAAATTCATTAAAATGAAATAGCTAATTTATTTCCTGTTACGTAGTCTCATGAACCCATTCCAACTCAGAATAGCCATAGCCTTAACATGCACTTCATATTAATTACGGACATACACCATACTAATATATTGGAAACTTGGTAAGAGTAATTGCGACCACTTCACGTATTAATCTTCACAATATTATAAAATTGGTAAGAAATCGGGTAGCCTTAAGTCTATAAATTTTTCTATCCCTTATGAACATCGTTGTTGGATTGCTGGATTGTTTGGTATTTATATGAAAGGTGAACGTACAGTAGGTGTACGCTTTGCTAATATTTTTATATTTTGCTTTAAGGCCGTCATTTTTACCTTCCTTACCCTAGGTTGAACATTCCCATAAATTTGTACAAGTATCAGTATACTTATAGGGTATTATTTCATGAGATTTCAAACTACTAACGGACTGCGACAGCAATAGAGGGGGGCTGGTGCATTTACTTAGTGTTCTGACGTTTTATTTGAAATAGAAACTTGATGAAATTACGATAGTCAATATTTTCCATTCACATCGAAAAGCAAGTCTTAGAAACATCTCATAAGAATTTGTACTTAAATACAGAATAATAATAATACCCTAATAGCAAAGGTGATTCAGCAGGCCGGTTTCGATATTAGGTATAGTGGATTGCATCGGAGTCAAATATCACTCTGAACTTTGACCGATATTTTAGCATGAAATACTACTGCATACTGCTATTTTGTGCAAGACATATGTACATTTCAATAAAATACGAAAGACGAGATTCCTGGTATAATAAATACACTAAGTCCTTGTCACAATTTTAGGCTTTGTTTAATTAATCCGTTCTGTATTACACATACCAACAATACTGCCGTATGTTCGAACAATACAAAATGTTACGTCCAGCACTCCCTAATACTGTATTAGGTGTTGACTTGCAAGATATAAAAGTACTTTATTGGGAAAACCCATTAACGACCATACAACATATACGCGTATGTATAACCTATATATACCATTAGGCTAAATTTACAACACAGGGAACAATTAGGATGCAATTATACAATTACCCCCATATTCTCCTTTAATGATTAGCAAATTGTATCAATACATACATTACATACAGTATAGTACTGTAGTATTCACATTTTGTAGTTGCGAGGACAGTATTCTGACATAGCTATACATAATACACAAGCGTATATAGGATATATAATTTAATTTTTCTGTATATTCTTTTTTTACATTAAGCATACGAGCACCAACAGTTCCGATTATGCTTCATCCGAATTTAAACAATTATGAACAAATAGATGTCATGGCTACTGTACTTCCTTATACAAATTTATAGAAATTTCATGACATACGTATATGGATATACTTCAATAAATATCGCAGTAACCCTCTCTATTATTACATCTGTATAATTACTTTGGAAAAAATTCATTTACAATTCACTATGAATCAATATCAAAGCACACTCTCAATGCTCGCAAAACTTATTATTACTTATATTTTCAAGATATACAATATTTGCATAGCTTTATTTATAAATATTGCAAAGTTATGTTTTTCGAAAACGAACTTTTGGATAAGTCAAACAGATACCTAAATTCTCTGTATGCTCAGATACGCCTAAGCAATTATTTGATTCTCTCAATCTTTTGTATCTTCTATTGCAACGACATTAATTAGACCGCAGAAGCTTCATCTTCATCTATAATTTAATAAATGAAAGACAAATTTTTCGTAAGAGTAAGAATATGAAGTAAAAATCTAAATAATGTTATGTCGAAAAACAAAATATACCGGTCGCTAAAGGAATTGTCGCTTTTCTAGCCACCGCCTTTACATTGCCTAAGTATCAATCTTCCGTTAACGAACTCATTGTAGTAAATGTTTAAAATTGTAATAGATAACTAGCATACCTCCAATTACTCCTGCATCTGATCGAAGACTTGTTGAAGTAGAATCTATTTGGTATCCAAGCAATATTATTACAAACAAAATCGTTTAAAATAATAGCCTACTTAACTAAAGTACATGTAAAGCATACTAAATTCCACAAACTATCGCATAAAATGTATTGACTAGAAATTATTGGGGTAGGTTAATGGATTGTGCAATGTCTACTAACACAATATACGCTGGAGATTAGCCATGCACTGCTCATGCTGTAAACCTACATCGTAAACTTCTTCACACAAAAAGGAATTATCTTATCTTACAACCTGTTAGAAAAAGTAATACTATCTCAAACATATCCAAAACTGGCCTACGCAACGATCACCGGCACATTTTTCAGTTTAACAGCTTATTTAAATAGCTTAAATTGTAGCAACTCCTATGTATTATAGCATCAGAAAGTAGCTTGCGATTGAACATTAAACTTTACATACCAACAGTTAGAGCCCTACGTATGGATGGATATCTTTCGTACGATTTCAGATCTACAGCTTTGGCTGGATTTGCTATTATCCCAGAATTTAAATCATTACACATGCTAATTCCATATTTATAACACAGCCTTAATTAAGCACATCACTCATGTGATACAAAATCGAATAAACTATGACCTTTTCCAACAACATCTGATAAGCTTGGATCAATATGCTGACATAAATGAAAACCTTGTATCGAATCATCTTCAGAGCTATCTGAGCCAAAATCTTGTGAAGAAATATCAGCTTTTCTATTACCAATGAGCGTGACTTCTTGACAATCGTATATAAATTCATTAGTTATATAAATCAAATAATTTCAGAAAGCTGGAACTCACACATCATCGCAAAATAAGTGGTAGAAAATAGAATGTTCTGTACATGTGAACTACCTGATAGCTTTCTACGGATCTGTGGTAAGGAATCTAAAGTTTTAACGGTACAAAAGACAGAATTAATACCTTACATACAATGCAGAATAAAGTGCTGAGTTTAAGGATCCCTACCTTCAGTCTTGTCGCTATTTCTTCTACCATTATATGGCGAACCTTGCAGGCTTGCAATTGTCAATCTACGTTTCGGTTGGCTAGGCATTAAACCACTACCTATTTTTATTCAATATGTACCGTATTACTCCAGATATTAATATCAACCTTCTATGCTTATGACTGTAGGGATCAAAATCATTAAACTTAAATAAATTATCGAACTATCACTGATTATGTCTAAATACAATGCAAACTGACTATGTACTGTATTCTAGGTAATCATGCTAATTTACTCGGATTTGAGATAGGTTCGCAAGCACAAGACATCATGTCGAGCTGATCTTCATCTGTTACTATTTTTGCTTCTTCTAAGTATTTACGAACGCGCCGAACCATTAAGTTCTATATAAGATGAAAAGTCTCTTATACCATGAATTAGCATAGTGACACCGAAAATTCCTTTACCTCTTCATGCAGTCTCTTTGGATTCATGACGGACGGCTGCTTCTTTCCCCAACGTCTTATACCGCCCTGCATGGAAATATTGCTACTCATATTTAGACTATTAGTGATATGATCGCTATGTGAACTTGCACTCTGCTATATAGAAAAAGTTATGAATTAATACAGTTAAGTAATTACCAATGAAATATCGCGTATTTTATAATTTTTATAGGTCATACTAACAAATGAGCCGATATAGTGATGTCTAATATATCTTATCTCTTTTGATATCATCCTCAGTTTCTCAAAGTTTACCTAAAGAAATTGTTGTATTAAGCAATGAATAAAACTTGAGGATATAGTAATAATTCTTACCAAACCATCGATTACACTTTCATTTCCAAGATGTAAAAACGATAGATCTTTCAGCACAACCGGAAAAAATGGAATAATAGGACAATAGACACTGCTAACAAGGTTTCTATACTTGGACATATTTCTTGATGGATCCATCAAGCCTTTCATATCCTATATGAACATTAATAATACATTATGCATTTGTGCATATCGTACAAACGAAGTCGGGGCTATCAGATTCCAGCGAATCAGGCTTACTTCAAAAATTTTTAAGTATTTGCTAGGCAGCCGATCCCAAGTATTTTTAAGCCTTGAGACTGATCCATGACTCAATCCACTTCAAAATCGAAGATTTTTTTAGATTTAGCATCGAATAGCAAAATGAACTTCATTAATATCTCACCTCAAAACGGCAAAGAGGGTGTTGAAGTTTTTATATTCTCTACAGAAACCTAAAGCAATGCATTGTCGTCCTTGAAATACAGTACAACCTTACAAGGTATTCGAAAAACGTGCAAAACTTACGCGCAATCTTAATAAATCTTTTGATGACCTTCATCCTTTTCGTAACATTGACTTCGGATAGAACTTCAGTAACTACCCAGAACATCTCCTGATTTGCAATCTAGTCACATTTGTAAATTTAATTCGGCAAAAAATAATATCAACTAATACAACTTCGCTATGACATATACTTAAAATTTTTATGATACACGTATTCTACCTCCGTGAACTTTCTGAGATTTGGGACAGCAAAATAATCTTCTTTATTCAGTTTGAAAATATCAGCAATGTATTCGCTAGGGCAAATACTACTTAGCAGTTCTAAATCCTTCCGGCATTAATATAAATATAAGAATTGTTCCTAATTGATAATTCAATTATAGATAAGCAACACGGTATCTAGCTATTAACTCACTCTAAGGGTTATTTCATGGGCTAGAACTTCAGACTGTAGCTGTAAAAAGCAAACATTAACTTCTTTCACCAACTCCTGTAGCAATTAGAAAATTTCGTCATCATAAGCCATTACTTTGAGACAAATAAATAAAATCATGTTTTCCAAGTTACCGCTGCAGCTTCAGGCGATAACAGACTTTCTGTAGTATAATTATCTCTTAAATAGTACCTACATAACAATTGGAGGTTAAGATAACATGTTATTTTCTACTCCTATTAGCAATCTATACACATAAAAACAAACATATTACCTGCCATTTAACGATATCTTATTTGCTAAATCTGTCATTGAATCTGGAAGCCTTCTCTGTCGTATAAACTCTGATTCAGCTACAGTTACATCGAACAACGCACAATTCCTATTTTGTAGAAAGATATCGTTTAAAAGCGGTTTCGTTTATTAAAATTAGTTGGCATTTAGACTTACTCCAAAGAAACATTCAATCCAAAACTTTCAACTGCAAGCTTGACGACCATGGCAACTGTATGTGTCTTGTTTAACGAAACAAAAGTTCTGTTATCGGAATACTGCAAAAAGCATTTTTTATCCAATATCAAATATGCGTAATCCTACCTTCGAAATCATTAGGTATCTAAATGACTGATCTGCCCGATAAATTTTTAAAACTTGATCACCGTGTGAGTCACTATCACGACTTGGCAAACTATCTGCATCGCTTGGAGAAGCCACCGACACATTTGAAGTCCTTTTACTGCTATCTTGATCTTCCGAATCCTTACCAGAACTATCCATGCTACGTAATGGGTATTTGTTATTGATCGATTATGGTTTTATTTACTGAAAAAATTATCCTATCAGCATAAGTTACCTATGCTTTCCAGCTAAAACATTCAATTTCTGAATTGCTTTCATAAATTTTGTGCTTGAAGATTGCTTACCGGTAATTACCTGGTTGGACTATTTTATTAGTTGTTACCTTTGTATTATATAATTCAATGTTTGTAAATAGCGTAAAGCAGTACCTTTTTACTAGAAACTTTCTTGCCAGTATTCAATGGATTACCGGGGACTTCAGCGGCTACAGTGCCTGTTTGAAAACAAATTGACGCCGCTCAAAATTCGAAGACAAGGAAATACCAGTTAAAAAGTTCTAGATTGCAAGTTCCAGGATTTGATACCACTATCGTCTTACCAGTAATTGATTTTTCATACGATCCAATACATTCTTGATCAAAGTTTCTAGCGATTTCGGAATACGGCAGCGCCTTTAAAAAAACTTAATTTAGTTCTAACTACAGTTAAGGCAGTCAAATCATAAATGTACAGAAGCTATAGAACATAAAAAATATAATAAAAGTAGTATAAAGCAATATTCAATCAAAGACTTAAATTGGGTATTAAAGAATTAAACTCCTACACCCGAAAGTAAATTCGGAAACTGTGTAGAAAGAGTAATAAGTGTGAAAAGATCGCGATCTAATATTCACTCAACCTTTCTGCTCTCCTTATCAAACATAGCACTAACAATTCATGTGCAATACATAAAGCCAAGTAACGCCATTCATTAAATTTTAGCATTGAGATACTACTGTTATACTAGTATTTAATTGACAGTTAATTAATGATAGCTTACCGAGCCAGGAGCTATATTTAATCGCTCCGAAGTAACACTACAGTTTACTGCTTCCTTTAGACCTGACCAAATGACAATAGATAGTTATTGCAAAGTACCTGCAGTATTAAATAGTTTTAAGCGTACCGGTGATGCAGTACTTGACATTCAAAGTCAGATGTGAGCTCTTATTTATGATTTCCATAGCCTAGAAGAGATACATTTGAGCAAATAACAAATTAATTTACCATAAAGTTTAGTTTAGCAACTGCACTGCATTGTGATTAACCACAAAGTAGTCAAATCTTCGTCAAAATTCTTTTAAAATTATCCTACCTTCATCAAAGGCAAATTTGTTAATCGCTGGCCATTTATTTCTAAAAGCTATAAATTAAACAATATTTAATAAAGCAACTATGATTTTCAAAAGTATTTCGTAGATCACGAACCTGATCACCGATTTTGAGTCCAAGTTCGTCTGCTTTTGAATAAGGCTCAACCTTTAATTTAATTATTAAATAAATAACGAAAGAATAGAGAACATGAAAATGTTTATAAATGTACCACGTAGATAATTATAATAATAAGTATGAAAGAGAAAAGCACTTACATTAGAAACAAATAATCCCGTTGCAAATTCTTTCCCACCCATTACACTAAATCCAGGAGGCTTATCCTTGGATAACCGGTCCTGAAGTGGCAATTATTTTGCATATAATGTATTTGGGCCTGTTTCATACTGAAATTATTGTACTTACAAACACAATGGTCCGAAAATGAGCTTTAGAAACAATTACATTCTCCAGTTGTCGTAATAGTCCAAATAAGTTCTGTTAATACATGCGCATGGGAAGAGTAAGATAGTGACATTACGGTTAATCATTATCACTATATAGATCTTTAATATATAATACCTGTGATTCAACCTGCTTTGTGAAATTTTCAAGATACTTTTGCAACATAATATTTCGATCAAAGTCTTCATGGACATATTCCAGCCATTTGATAACAATTTTAACAACCTAATATAGATTACAATGCAATAGTAAATCAACAGCACTGTAATCAGTAACAATTTCTATTTCAAAATTTACGTTTCATAGTTATCAATAACCTTATCATGGAGAGTCTTATCTTTGAACCATTCAAATAAATTGCTAAAAATCCCAGACGCCTCTTGATTGAAAGTTCGATATGTCAATAAATAGTCTTCAATGTAAGTCTCTTCTAAACACGAATGATCAGCAATCAAGTGTTCTAAAAGCTTTTTGGGAGTAGCCTACAAAATTAAAGACGGTTTCAATGATCACTTCCCGGTAAATAACGCACTGCCGTCTGATCTGTAGAATAGCTTAGTATTTACTTACTCTTAAAATAATCCAATCCTTATGACTCCCATTTTCAGTTAGACGAAGCTCAGCAACCGTTACTAGTACCCCGTTCTCTTCAATTCTTTGAATATTTTCTTCTTTCTTGCTTATTATCTTCCAATACTTCTCTTGTTCAATGCAAACAAACTATTATAAAATTTTATAATATGATATAGTATTCTCAGTATCAAGATGATAGATTAAAAAAACAATCAAATCACAAGAGTCATGCAAGTAGAACAATATCCTTCTGAGTTCAAGCCTGTAGACGGCGAACAAAATGGCATAGAATGTATCTACTGCATTTACAAATACCTGACAATCGTCTTTTCGCGTAAGCATTATGCCGTCATGGAACATGTCATAAGTCACAGGTTCTACGCCGAAACTACCATCAAATTCATTAAAGAGCTATAATTACTGTAGTTATAGACGCTTCGAAATCAATGCATAATTTAATATAATCAAAAGATATAAAGGTAAATGGCCAATTACCTGTCTCCAGCGTTCATTACAAATGAATCATTTCCATTCCTTTGAACAGTCACCGATCCGTTAAGTATTACTGACCAAGAATCCAGCTGTTTAGTAACGAAAAGTTTTACGCAGATCAGGTTTCTAATCATCTACTATTATAAACTGAATCTAAATTAATAAACGTACCTTTTCTTTATCCTTCAGAACGATCGTCCCTGCCTTGTCAACAACAGCAAAGTACATGACAGCACACATATCTCTTAAAATTAGCTGTGGCATGCTAGCAAATGCCTGTTAATACAAGAATAGAGGGAATATGAAGTAAAAATTTAATTCTAAATACTAAAAATTTATTTCGATAAAACCTTGAAACGCTGCAAAAACTCCTGTAGGATATCAAGATCGGCATTTGTTCTTTCTACAGGTTTTTTTTCCAAAATATCCCTCACATAATCTTGACTACCACTCAACGACTGCAGAAAATTCATTAATATAGTACTTAATTCTTCGATTGCAATTTATTTTCCCATTACGCTTAAATTAGAGGATATCTTAGTAATTTTTCCAAAAAAATATCAGAATATTGCAGGATACAAACTTCAGTTGATTGCAAAAGATCTTCATCTCCATCAGAATCTAAAATTAAAGGGGTTTATATGTATGCATGCATGAGTTAATATTAAAATTAGTTGAGCCACAAGCTATCAATAGTACAAAGTAACTACTTTCACTACTCTAGAAATACCGTTGAGTTCCCTCGACAAACCTGCAATCGGAAAAAGTCAATAGAATAAGTATTGTTAGATTAATTTCAGATCTTTGCTTGTCTTAGAAAATCATAAGATATACGCGTACTCCGCTGTACATACTTGATATTCCACTTAGAGAATCATATTCATCATAGTAATCATTCTGGCTGGACTCATAATTTATATTAGGCTGCTTAATAGGTGACAGTCGAAAATTATTTGGACTTACAATAGTTTTCTGCATAGAATAATAAATAAGAATGTTTATATACTGTGTAAATGTCGTATACGTAGTAGACTCGCATTGATTGCAACGTACCTCTCCTGAAATTTCATTTGCATTCTGATAAGGAGGCATGACGAAGTACTTTTCAGGTAATAATAAACTGACATCTGAAAAATCTACCTATAACATAAATAGATTCATAGGCAACAGAATTGCGTAATATAGATCATTGATTTCAACACTAGGAGATAGCTCTACAGTACAAATATCGCAAAGACTTACAATAACCAACAATTCTGATTGTTCCAACGTGATGCATTGAGTGCCACGTTTCCCTCGTGTATTTTCGGCGATTTTTCCAAAACTGAATAATTTTATAAATCGATCACATATTCTGATTTCAAATCTGATTAAAAACAGCCAAGATTAACGCTATACACGTATTAAGATATCTACCTCATTCCGGGGAGATACATAGAGCCGTTAATGTAAACAGATCCAGACAACAGTATGTACCAACAGTCGCAAACACTGTTTTCTCTTGTAAAGCAGAAATTAAAGTAGGTATTCAAAAATTTATACAGTAGCAAAATGTACCGCAAATCAAAGTATTTAGGTTCAAAGCTAGGCATAGGCCTCAAAGCCAACTTAAAGCATTAATCACTCGTACAACTACCCTACCTGTATAAAACGTAATTGGCTTGGTGAATTTCATATCTCATAGTTTCACACATCGATCTAGAGTGCGAATTCAAGAAATAAAAGAGAAATACGCGTAAGCACAACGACGAAAGCAGTACATAATGCACATAATGATACAGTACAGTATAGATAAAAGTTCAAATTAATAAAATGTCCTATACGCGTATCAATAAATATAATAGCTAAAATTTATACGTAAACCACAAAATTCAATAATCAGTAATAAGTGGCTTTAGGACCTCAAGGTAAGGCGGGGATAACGTTTTAGGACATCTAAACTTGAAAGACTGGAAGAAATGCGATCTATATCCTGAAACGATTGAATATTAAATAATACGGCACATCAATTCTCTTAGTACTGTATAGTGTAATTTCACATAATGTACTACTTAAAACGCAACAAATGAAAAATAATGACAGGATATTCAAAATTATTGAAATTAAACTAGTGACGGATAGATTAGTAGCAAACTCACGTCATCATTTCTAATCTCCGGTGGTCTGGTTATAGATATAAAAAATTCTCGATCCAATTTAAGAGAGGCCATAAGGAATGCTATCGGCTGGCTGTTGAGTATTGATACAGTAGTAACTTGATACACGTTATCGTTTTAACTACGCCTACAGTATCGATGATAAATTTATTAATTACTATATGCATATATTATTCCATGCTATTAAAGGTATGCAGTAGATGATATAAACTCATACGTTGCTTAAATAGCAAGTGAAAAAAATAGTAATTACGAAAAGAAAAAGAACATTTATTAAGATGTAATAAATGTGCTGTAACTACAAAGAACATAATTACGATCAATACAATTTTAAATGTGTTTTTATAACGTTCTGTTCGGAGTTCTACATACTGTACGTACTGTACTGTACTGTACAGTACTGTATTGTACAGTCAAGGACTACTGTTTTGTACTAAAGAAAAAGAGAGTGCGCAGTTTATGCACAGTACTTTTAATCTATTGTACTGTAATGTAGTAGCTTTTACATCTGATCCAGCTGATCAGTAGCAAAAGTTATGCAATCATTTTTGCATTACTGTACTGTATCATATCTGTCCTGTACTGTACAGTACTGTATGTACTATACTGACATTGTAACTGTACAGTACAGTACTCTACTGTACAGTATAGTACTACACGGTACTTTACATTGAAATACTGTAATGTACGGTACAGTACTGTATGGCTGATATACAGTACAGTTTATCGTACAAGCCGACTGTACTGTATAGTACCGTAGTGATACACCATACACGGTACCGTTTTACAAAGGGAACTGAGGTTTAAAAAGTGTAAAAAGTCTTTTTAAACCATAGCTGTTTCTTTCTTTCGATCATCTCTACTGTACGCTTAAAATGTTTTGAGTATTATACTTTATAGTATAGCCCGCTCCCTTGGAACCGAACGTCGATGATTCTATACTATTTCACTGAAACTAACGTCTTCTTACACTACCATTATACCTCTGTATATAGGCTGTATTTATTTGGCCTGTTCTGTTAAAACGTTCATCATATCAGTAGCTGTCTCCACAGTTAAGGCTCTAAGCCGGACTGGAGTCGACTCTTTGACGTCTACTGTAATCTACGGAGCAAAGTCTGTTCAAAACTTCACTGCCTTCACGATCCTTCAGTGTACACTATTAGTACTGTACTGTACTGTAGTACTGAACATTGTACTGTACTGTACTGTACTGTACAGTATGTACAGCAGAACTTGTTTCCCAGTGTACTGTACAGTACAGTACTGTACATACTGTACTGTAGTGTACTGACTGTACTGTACAGTGCTGTACTGATTGCTTCCATTCACAATTGAGTATCCCGTGGCCTTATTCACGCCATTACGCGATGGCGTGGAAGCGAAGTGTTGGCTATGCGTACATATAAAATTTTATGATTATATTTATCTTTTCAAGGTCTACAATATTTTATTTGTGCAAAGCAACTTAAATGGCATAATCGTCTTCAAATTATCACCTAAAGTGTTGCTCTGTAACGAAACTATTAAACACTGGCCTGGAGATGCTAAACATCAAAAAAACTGTCTCAAAAAACAAGCGACGTTACCGGGATGACGACTTCGACTTGGATCTAAGCTGTATCCTTCTTTAATCAAGTTAAAGATTATAGAATGTTACATGTCGCATCTAAAGTAATATCGCTAATGTGGTACTGAGTTTAATGGATTAGTGCTGAGAGACGGGTGTCGAACTTGTTCCTGGTCTAGCTGATGAGATGACATTTTTATATCTGTACTCTAGGCAACACAATATTATACTATACAGCACTACATACGCGTGCTGTACAGTACAGTAGTTCTGACGCCTTGATTGCCGAATCCTGGCCACGCTATCTGGATTCTAGCATTATAGTACATAAAATGTTATTGAAGCTCTCGTAATCTTCAATAAACCCAAAACTACCGAAAGCGCTAATGTTTTCCAGTTAACGCTGTGGCAGTAGTATGTATAATATACTCTACTTTAGTAATGTGACGGAATGGAGTACGATTAAGTTACAGTCTGTGTACTACAATTCTACCACTTTACTTATACCGTATATCGATAATTTCTCAGCCGGTAATCTTTACGGCTTTATGTAAAAAGTAGCTGCTACTGTATTTTGTAAATTGTGCATTTGAACTCTTAATAGAATGATGAATTTCATGACGATGCTTTAAATTCTAATGGTAATTTCACATTCATCCTATTACGATTTCATACCAGTTAACTTACTGTGGCATTCCAATACTACTCTGTACAGCAGTATGTATTACCCACCGTTCTCCTATACAAACCATTACAGCACAGTGCTGTACTGGCAGTAGAATTATATACTGTATTTTATCATAGTTGTTGCCAAAGAAAATAATAACCTTTAGTATGTTTTCATCTACTTTTCTTGCTTTTATGAGAACAAGAAAATCTGTACGGTGACATCTGACATAATCTGTTCAATACCAATTCTTCGAAATACTGCAGTTCACAATTAGTTGGTATTATTCTACTGTATTCCAGACGTCTGTTCCTTTTAAATATTAACCATACATTTCAGTTCATTAGATCGTAAGGCATAAGATAGCCGTAACATCCTAACAGCTAGATAGTTTCGGCAGCCGGATACAATAAATTCGTATACACCTACATTGAATTTCGACACTGTAATAGCAATGCACTGTACAGTATTTATATCTGTTAAAAATCTAAAATTGTTAAGACCACGCTTAGTGGAATATATCAATCCTTATCAATGACATTCGAAAAGTTACGCGAGTATCTACTAAATTATTCGGTCGTGACTTCTAGAAATAACGTTCAATTGACTTTCGTAAGCTACAATAGGAATTTTTTATGTATTCCCTGACACTATTATCAGATATCAAGCCGACAATCATTGCGATGGGATTTCCTTCAGATAAACTTGAAGGTGTTTACAGGAATCATATAGATGAAGTTATAAGGTAACTCAGAAGTAATCATACTTATGCGCGTATATTTCTGGAAACGCAATTTAAACTTGCTAATCTTTGTACGGTATATATGTAACAGAAGCTATAATAAATTCAATATGTTCCTTATTCATGGCTACTTATTTACATTTTTAGTTTTGCTGTCTTTATGTGATATTTTAACAAGCATAGATTTTAACGATATAGGTTTTTTGATACAAAACACAAACAACATTACAAAATTTATAACCTGTAAGTACCTTTAAACATTCACATTTCTGAAAATGCCTGAGTACTATAACACTATTAAGAAATACCTAGGTCGATTAGTTAAGGGATCATTCGAAACCAAATGATACTTTTTTTTCGCTACTTTCTTTGAATTAGTAATAACATATCGCGGTCTTAGGCCTGTTATAGAATGTATATTTTACAGTAATACGTTACTTTTATGTTCTTTAATGGAAGATGTAACGAAAGGACTTACGATCCGGATCGATTTTTTAACCGTGGTAAGTACCGTCCAGGTTTATCGTGCTTTTGGTATATAACTTAAGTTGGTACTTGATGTGAGACTCATCAAGTATTAATCAAATACTTTCCTTAACCTCATCTATGCAATCTTCTTTTTATCCAAACTTATCCATGATTGTAATGCATTACCGGTTTATATGCTTCCAGTCGCTACGTACGCTTTCGAGGACCATAATGCCCCACCTTTTGCCTTGATTCAACCTTTCTGTGATGATGTGGATGAATGGCTGAAAAAGGATGAAAAGAACATTGTTGCTGTTCATTGTAAAGCCGGAAAGGCATGTGTCAGATTAAATATGTATTAACAAACATGTTAATTTACATTTGCATGGTGATAATTTTATATTATCTGATAATTATTGTACGCTTACATCATTGATGAATATAGGTATTATTTGTCTAGCATGCGATTATTTATAACATGGCGTTTGCTCGCAAATTACTTATTAAACATTCATTAGAACGTAAACTTACAATTTCTTCTTATAGGGGCGTACGGGAGTTATGATCTCTTGTTACCTGTTGTATGCTAATTTTTTTGACGATACAAATGATGCTCTTAATTTTTACGGGCAAGCAAGAACACTCGATGCTAAGGTAATCTAAAATAGGGCATATGATAGATACCTTCATGATAGATCATTTCACTATCCGATATATATGCCTCCTTTTATATGAAGGGTGTAACGATACCTAGTCAAAGAAGATATGTAGAATATTACGGATACAGCCTCAGGTTGGTAACTGTCCCATATCGATTTCGACTGTACTAGTTAGCATTGTGTTACAACCAATGAAATTATCCTGCTTCTTTACTAAAATAACAATACTTTATAGTAACTACGTAAAAAGCTATCTATTTTACATTACATGTTACTGTAACCTTAAGAATAAAAAAGATACCTGATTTCATAAAGGACATGATGAATCTCTCTGATTGTAAGCATATAGTACTCGCCAACTAGTACGTGGTAGTGCCTTAATTAAACTCGCTGCCTAACTAAATGTGCGTTTGAACTGAAACTCTTGAATAGAAAATATTGCAATCATTTAGAAACCCTATCTTAGGAAAGTTAGTTGCTGTCAAATGGCGGAACTACATGTTATAAAGGACATATACTAGAGATTTTACCAGTCCATTAAAACTGTCACCTAGCTTCCTAATAAATCATCAGAAAATGAACGTGTGCAGCATGCCACCGTATTCAACGAACATTACATAATGACAGCTATAGTTAGCGGGGGCTCATTAGCATTAGCATTGAATTTAGTATCCGCGACCCAGTTTGCCTTAAATATAGTTTTTTGCTGGTCTGGCATGGTAGTCATTTAAATTATATCGTAATCACTTGCGCTTATTAATCCTTAATACCTCACGAAGTGCATCCTGATTGAAGCGAGCAGTGTCGTAATAAAATATTCTAATATACCGCTGTTGCGGTGCCTTAAGTTTTCAAGTATCATTCGTATTTTGGTGATAAATGCTCTACCTGTATTCTATTGTTATTTAATCTCTAGATACTAAACCAATTACGTATTGTATTAATCCAAATTTTAGGCATAAATTAATTTACAAACAGCGACCACTTTTAATGAACGGCATCATCATTGAAACTGTTCCTAATATCAGTAATGGGACTTGCTGTAAGTTAAGCAATCCTTAATGCTTTAAACATCCATCCAGAGTAATATTTGTTCGTTTACTTTTAGGCCCATTCTTTACCGTAAGACAACATAATGTTAAATTAATTACATCGAAAGTTATGGAGGTACGTAACTGAGAATAAGATACCCTTCCTATATTCCCCTATATTAGGCAATGTTCTAAGCTACTCTTTGCTAATTTGTAGTGTTTTAATATTATTTAATGAAATAAGGGAGTAAGAAAAGGGAATGAACGCATAACTTTTGTCCTAGACAAGCCCTTGCCAATTTGCGGTGACGTAAAGATTGAATTTTTTCATAAATCTGAATATTTCTCTAAGGTTTGTGCTAATATCTTTAATTATGCCATCTGATAAAATGTTGTCGTAAATTTGAACGAATGCCTTTTTGCTTTGTAGAAGTCAAGAATGTTTCATTTCTGGTTCAATACGTTCTTTGTTGTACAATTTGCAAAGAATAATAACGATCACACAGACAGAGAAAACGTTTGTGGCCAAGTCAAAATCGTTCAAGCTATTGGTGATACCTGCCACTCCCTGATATTCAAGAAAGAAGAGATCGATCAATCTCATAAAGATACAAAAAATAAAACATTCTCTCCTGAATTTAAGGTAGGAATATCGTATACCCTATTCACTGACTGCTTGTGACGCAAGTCCTGATGTAAAATATTTCAGGTCCACGTACTATTTTGTATGAATGATGAAGATACCGATTCAGCGGAGCAAGGTCACAATGAGATAGCCCCAGAAATACCGTGTAACGTAGAGTCAATTGATTCTGATGAAGATGAAAACAGTGTCTTAACAGAATCTAACACTGGAGATGAAGATGATTCGGCTGAGGACGGTAACGAGCCGAAACCGGCACTGTTAGTTGAAGAGATTAATAAAAGAATGAAAGCTAGCCTCGAAAATGCAGGAGGATCTTCCGAGCAATCGAAAAGTAAGATACAAACGCGACAAAAGTTTGTCTCACCTAGAAACAGTCGACGTAACTCTAAGGAAGACGTCAGTGAATCAGTAGGACCCTTTCAGAACAAAAAGAGTTTAGCAACTTCACCACGGCTTTTTAAGAGGGGATCTGATAGTCAGTTACAAAATTTCCATAATCTTAGAGATTCTGAATTAAATAAACTGGAAGATAAGACGACTCAACTAGAAGCTTCAGGTAGATCGTCACCTATTGGAGTGACCACACAAGAAACCACAAAGGAGCAGCCTGCGACATTAACTGCACCTCATAGAACAACCCAACCAGATCCGCAGATTAGAGTGGGAACAGTACGTCATGCAAATGGAATCGACAAAGACAGCGTTGTATAATTATGAGATCATTTCAATATTCGAAAACAAATTTGTGTTGGGCCATACCGATTAATTAGTTTCAACGCATTCTTAATAACGTTATATTGCGTACTAATGTCATTGTAAATTAATCACACCTTTATATAAAGTTTAAAGTCGGTGTGCTTTTGTTGCATTCCATGACAGTAGCCTTATAATAGCTATGCTGTGCTCAAATATGATCCTAGCTTAGATTAGCGTTATTTTAAGCATGTTTTAGTGTAGTTTTCTACTTCCAGTAATGGTTTGCGAGAGTTATGATAAGATGTAACCGATCATTAATAACGAGCTGCCTCATGTAAAATTGATAATCCATAGCCTTTCTGTTCGCAATTTACGTTACGGGATAGATTACTGTACTGTACATCGTACCCTTCAATCGTACGTTCTAGGAAATCGATTCGTGCACCGCCATAAGTTAGGCAGACCCTCTGTAACTGTATTTTACTGAAACTTCAAATTAATGTATACAGACATAACAATTTTATAGGGCATTAATTGTTTGCGGTATAGTAACTTCATTAGTTCTTTTAGGTGTGCAAAGTAGAGAATTTACTTTAGTGAAAATTCTAACGGCAGAAATTACTATCCGCTCATCAAGCGAACGTTGTACAGTTTACCTTGCGACTTACGTCTAAAATAAGAATAATGCGAGTATGATTCTGTATGCTTCGTGGCTTTTCTTTCGTGGTCAATGTACATACCTACCTATTCATGCAATACCTCTAACTTGAAACAGTACTACCGTAAATGCAGTATATAACGAGAACGATGATGCTGTTCTTGTAAGCGCATTGCAGAATTCTTTATGGCTATCGAAAGTGTAAAAATTTTATCAATTATAATCAATTATAGAACATGTTTGCCACTTATGAAAACATTGCCAAATAATTTAGCCTGAATATTATCTAGTGCAGTACGTAACTACGAATACGTCATACAACCATGTTTAATCATATTAGATATCCACTTGCGGATTGTAACTATATCAAAAAGATGTTATATCATTATTAGAATAAATTGTCATTCAAGATATTAATTGTTATCGATATATTATAATGACCCTTTAAATATCATAGTTCACAGATTTCTTTAAATAAAATATTACATCACATTTCGTATGCTCGTATCCAGAATAATACTGTACACTCGTATACTTAGTAAAACAGAATAGAATTCAATGAAAGATTTCTTAAATTCGAAAAATAAGTGAATTACAGAATCAAGCATCCGCTTAATGATCATTATATTATAACGAATAGAGTGAAGTGTGCAGTCCAGGTCTTTTTCTAGCAATCCATCGGACTTCATCCTCACGCCATCAGTCATACAGTAAGTTACTTATAACTTGAAGCTACTGTGCTGTTCTACGATGAAATACCGCATTAGTCCATTTTCTTGTACTGCACGGCGTACTGAAGATTATGTACTGCACAGTAGGTTACTATAGAAAATGGCTTTCATTTGGCCAAATGCGGTACAGTAATTATAATTTCACTTTTGACGTTCAAATCATAAGCCAATATTGCTAATTTTAAAGCATATGAAATGTGAGTTGTTAATTTAATCACTAATCGGATTGTAGAGATAAAACGCTAAAAGGCGTCTTGTATACTGTACTGTACTGTATAGTGTATATTCATTTTGAAAAGGAATGAATAAGGGTTAGCAGCGTCGAACCGTATTTTCGTTTACTTTAGTCATACGAAGTTGCCAAACTAAATCGTTAGCCCGCTGCTGGATTTAAAGCACATAGCTAGGCATCGTTAAAGGCTAAGGGTCATGATTACCGTGATATATACCGTGACCGTGCATATGGCAGGAGCATTCTAAGGAGTGTGTGGTTGAACTTGTTGTACCTGGGGATTACTACAGTACAGTACAGTACTGTACTGTACATTATTACAGAATAGTAAAAAGAAAGAGACGAGACAGGAAACGGCTACATTGCAAAATAATGTGGATGCTTAGTAATAACCGCTAATTTGGATGTCAATCACGGATAGTATACTGTAGTGTACCATTACAGACATGTGATACGATTGAAATGACCAAAATAACAATTAGCCTCCACATTACTACTACAGTATACAGTATATCTCATTCAAGATACAGTAAGCATTCGGATCTGATAGCCGTACTGTACTGTACATTATTGTATGTAATATTATTTTGTTATGTCAAGGAGATGTCAGTGTAGATTTACTAAATTATCACGAACAAAAGTTACAGGTGTTACTGCTAAGATAGAGATCTATCATCAGAGAGAGAGACAGTAGATCAAGTATGCTTTTAATAAGCAGATGCATACTGTATGATTATAAACGACAATATACAGTACAGTACAGTACAGTAGATAGCTACATACTGTAGATCAAGACAGGTACAGTAGGTACTGTACAGTACTGTATGGTATGCAATATACTGTACAGTACATAGAGGTCTGATGCTACGGTACTGTGCACTGTACAGTACTGTCGGTCCTGTCATTTCCCTAATAGTATTGTACAGTACCGTACTTTCTTTTTCAGGAGATCAAGTTACTGTACACTGTACAGTACTGTAGACGCTTTATAAATGGTAAACTAAAAATGTAAGAGTTATTAACTGTAAGTTCAAGCTTAAAGTTTAGTTTTAACTGACTGTGAACTCACGCTAAGACAAATCAATAAATGTAGCTGATTGTAACTTTTACAGTAAATAAAGGAGCAATATATATCATCACATGGACAAATACGAGGTAAGAATAGTAGTTTTTTATGTTGCACTGTAGGCGATTTAGAAGTTCATATTGTGACTTTGTTTGAGGATTTAACAGTAAATTGTGTTCAACTGCTGTTACTCAATCTAGTAGCAAGACTGTGGTATAAAGTGTGCTGGATAATACCGCGGACTTCTAAATCTCCGAGATCTAGAAGTCCGTGATAATACACGTAATTTATAAATTCCTTAGTTAATAGTTATCAATGTACAGTACAGTAGTTAGTTACAAAATTATGCACTGAACAACCAACCTTAATCTAGCGTATAGTGCTAAAATTCGCATCGGTTAATTTTAATACCCATCCTTACCATGCAGGTAACGGTACCGTATTTTACTGTAGTATATTGCAGTACATCTACAGGTATATAGTAAATAGTACTTTCCATAGTTTCACATCCGAGATTGCACACATGCACACGTGTAAGTTGCTGTATTTTAGATCACAAGAGCCCTGAGCATCATATGAGATGAACACTATTGATCTAACCACAATACCTTACCTTTCCATAATTAGTTACACTACATAATACGCTTACGTATAAAAATATGGTATTTCTTGAGAGAAATTACAAAATCAAAATTTTCAAACAGAATACCCTATCCGCTTATCCACTTTCCGTCACTGCATGCATATCAAAGAATTTATCGTAAATATCACGATAAGTACTGTACCTTAATAACAAACCAACAAACTTACATTAAAATTTGATTTATAATTGTATTAAATCACCTTTACGTTTTGTGAAACTTATACGGTTTTCCGATGTGAATGAATGACAATTACAAGCTAAATAGCCTCATTTTTATAGAAGGCAATCCTAGCAGAACGCATGGATATGTATGGCGTAGTATATTCGCTATGTTACTCTCCATGTGGAAAATTACTAGCTGCAGGCGACAACTTTGGTCGAATCTTTATATTTCAGTAAGTTGTTGATAAGTTACTCATCACTGAACTGTAAATTATTCTTAGTTGTTATCAATATTCATATATGATAAAAATATAAATTACAGCTTTCAATCACGATGAGTAAAAGGATCTTCAAACATTACAGTTTGCTTTTAATAAAGATTCCACTAATACCATCAACCGACTTCTTAGATTAGAGTCTGCCCTTAATTCGACAGTACTAGCTAAGGAAAAAGAAATTATCAAACGCATTATTCAAGGTTGTATTAAAATTGACTTACGGAATGAGAACATTTCATTTCTGGCTAAATTGTAAAGCCAGCGATATTCTTACTTCGTCAAGCTTACTATATAAACAAGGACACAGCAGGGGCTATACGGCTGGGTCAAAATAGATTTATATGTAGTACTGTATAAGTCAGCTGTACAGTATTATAAAATTTAATTTATTGGATAAATTTTTAACTTAGATATGTAGATGCTTTGGCTAATTACATATGCATATTTTTTTGTATCGGTGTAGTGCATTCTGGACCCATTTATGCTTTAACGTCAACTTCAACATATCTTGTTTGGTGAGACCTAATAAATTCAATAAATAATATACTGTAATTATAATCAGACAGGAATTGCCTACCTATTACATCGTAGCCCCTTACAGTACTATATAATAACTCTACACAAATTTCCTAGAAAGAATAAACACTGATTCTCTGTATCGTAATTAAACTTTTTTCATAATCATACACCAGTAACACATTAAAATTAGCAGACGAGTTCATTACCTCATTGTAATGCTGAATATTTTATTCTTCTTACTTATCTTTTTTTTGAAGTGGTATATTAGATAGAATTGTTGGCTATAAATGGAGCGAGATTCTTGATAAGGTAAGTCACAATTTTAAGATTTTATTAGATAGGAAATAATTTAGAAAGAGTGTTAAATTGTGATGTTGTGCGTGAGATCAAAAACTGCTAATAAATAGGATATTCATGAAGTATGGAAAATCTACATTCCGTCGAGGTAGAAACCGATTCATATCATTTATCTATAAACAAGTATCATGTATTGATAGAAATATCTCATATAAGTCTTGACTTTACGAGATTTTTAACTACAATAACGAATACGCTTATGACGATGATTAAACTACTTTACGACCTCAGTAAACAATATAAATCAGCGCAAGTCAATTCTCTGGTTTGGAATGAAGAGGTACCGAATTATCCTACTATTCATAATTTGCTTATAGCACCCGAATAAGCTTGTATGTGTTGTAGTTAATAATACGCTGCTGTAGCTAACTCTAGATCAGTTAGATAATAAATTTTCCATTAGGAGCTGTTCAATTATGTTATACAGTTGATAAATTTTTTTAACGAAGCACCCTTTGGTTATCATTATAATTACGTTCTGTAGGAAAATATCCTATATTGTGGTTGCGGAGATGGGAGAATTTATGGTTACGATTTGAAAAGTGGACACAATAAGGTTAACAGAATGCATTTCGCATAGATTGTAAAAGCTCATGAAGATGTATTAATTATGTTAACTTAAATTTCAGTGCAGCATGGTTGGTCATGAGGACAGCATACATAGCATAGTCTTAGATCCCCAATCGAAGGCGTGTATTAGCTCCTCTGAAGATGGATCAGTACGATTTTGGGGTAATAACCCATAATAGATACTTTTACATTATCACAATATTCATCGCTGCTTTACTTTCATACATCAAATCATTTCGCGGTGTAGATAATCGTAAGCCCTCTCAAATTGCTATAATTGAACCTTACAAACATCAGGTAAAAATTAATTCTACTTCTCATAAATCGCTGACCAGTACGTACAATATTTTATTACTATTTTACTTCAATATGTAGCGTAACCTTCAAGCATATGAGAGATACCGAGAATAATTAGATTATATGATGTTGACAATCTAAAAGTTTCTGATTTCATGCTTTAGCAACTAAGCCATCATGGAGGTGGCAAATGGATTTCTGCTATGGCAACCGATACTGATGGTAACTGGATGGTAAGTTGCATTAGTATCTCAGATGATAGTTCCGAGTTAAAGTAATTTTGATGCCAATAAAATAGTCGGATATATTTCTCACCTAGCAAGCGATTAGGATTATCAGCTAATGTATATAATATATAATGTATAAATATACATTCTCAAGCAATGATTTTTCAATTATAATTAAAATTATCTATAGTTTCAATAACTTTTCAACATAACGTCCAGTTGTTATCGAATTGATACCTTCGCTATTATCAAGTATTTTCATATATCGTCATTTCTAGGCATGTGGTGGAGCTACTGGTCTATCTATTTGGCACCTGCAGTCTAGAACTCTTACATCGAGCTGCAATGATATAACCGCTTGTGTTCGTGACGTAGTCTTTTACGATGGAAATGTACGTACCTCCGGTTAGATTTATGGAATTATTATACTGATAAAGTTTTAGCCTGTTAGGTAAACGTCAATGGTAATGTAACTTAAATGCAATGTGCTTTCTATCTAGTTCATTACAGTAGGGGATAACCACCACGTAACACATACTACTATTAATGGTGAAGTTACCGCAACTATTCCTACTTCGTCATCTCCAAATTTCGCAATCCAAATAAATGAGAATCTTAATAGTAAACCGGTGGGATAGAATCAACTAATTATGAAATAATTTATTATTCATCGAATCACTATTAACTACCTAACATCTTTTTCCTTCCTAGGTGCTATGTACAGCTGGAAATTCCATCATGATCGATATCTTCATCAATTTCTTTTATAAAACTACCTCTTTCCAGTGTACATGCTCGTACTAATGTTCCTTCAGTATACAGTATATGTTATATACTATATACTGTACAGTATAGTAAAGTACGGTTCGTATTATAGAAGTTCAAACAGCACTCTTAATAGTTATACAACTAACTTATCGGTACGTTCAAAACTAGAAAATCAATTAATAAAATGAAGAACATAGCAAACGACCATCCAATTAATAGTTCTAAACATGTTACAAAAGTATCGTTTATAAAACCTTTTATGTCATTCATGATAATAAAATGTTTGCCACTTATACCACTATGGTATTTATGACAATCACTGATACCATCAAGGCTCAACTAATTTTACACGTTACTAATTATTTCAAGTACATACAATATAAAATAAATAAAACGCGTCGCCACATCAGTAAGATAACAGCAAATTTTTCATTTCGATCATTAGCCAAGCTGACTTTGTAGCTTTTGAATGTAAAATTTTATCATAGTTTGTTTGGTACCTACTACTATTTGGCCGTAATAAGTTGATCCAATCACAACTTCAGGTCCAAATAAGCTATTAATTTTGGACATCACATCAAGTGATACCAATTTCTGTAGAAAAAAACGTATTAATTAAGCCAATAACGGCGAACGAATATATTAAAGCCATCATACATCGCGAGGCTCAATTAGTTGCGATACAAACCTGTTTGCACAAATCATATTTTGCCGTGGTGATCAAAGTAAGTAGAGCTTCCTGCTGTACACGATACGGAGTGCTACTTGTAATTAACTGTATCAGCCTGAAAGATAGTGCAAATTTTAATATAACCAAATGCAAGATCGGATCTGTGTTTGTCTATTTTAATGATTCATGTTACTCTACAGACAAAAATTAAACCTTTCTAATCCGTGTTCTTCTATAAAAATTACTGCGTACCGCCTTGAATAATTTATTAGATTGTTTAGCGCGGCTAAAGTCAAAAATAATGCATCTTAATACGAAGTTTCTTGTAGTGACGTTAAAATTATCAACAAAATAAATCATAACACTATAAATTAACCTGTAGCATTAATTACAATCTTAAATATGTTTTCATGTAACAGTTGGCACAACGGACTAATAGCTGGTTCTAGCATTTCTTGAAGGATTGAATTATGATGTGCAGCATTTCCAACGGCAAAACTAGCTGCCTATGGTGTTTTAAAATAGAAGTGCGACCAATGGCGCCAAAGTTTCAATTATAAGGCATTACTTTGTGTTATTAGAGTATACGCATGCATACCTTTTTCACTCTTATATTATCACTGGTTAAGCGAAGGCAAAGCTCTTTTAAAACAGTTTCACTAGTCGTAATTTAAAGTACAGAAAGAGTGTCACAGATACAGTAGTAAAAGTACATAGTAATAAAGTTGAAGGCTAGTGTTATCAATGAGTATGCTTCGGTGAAACCTTTCAAAATAAGCAGCGTATTTTGTGGAAAGCCTAAAAATAACTCCTAGTAATCGGCAAATATTTGCCTGCACCTCCATACAAGGGGAGTTCAGTAGATTGATCACGCATATGCAATCAGCTAAATTAGTAATTATAATCGATCAAGAATAGACGTAATTAATCCAAAATTTATGGCATGGGTATCCTGCAGATGAAATTGTTGAACTAATTTAGAGAACTACCAACAGAAAACCTACAGTTAGTAAGAATTTCAATGAAAATATCACAGCCTTCCGAGAATCGAATTAACTGTCCAACTATCGAAAGACCGTTAGCTTTAACTTCATTTGAACAATTTCCGGAAAAAAGCACTTCAAAAACGGTAATGAACTGTAAGTTAAGAGTGTATAAATATGTAACTTGAGTAAAAATTAAAATAAGAAACTAAAATCTTAATTTTACGGATTTATGTAAAGGTTATATCACAACCTTATTCTGGTTTATCAATATATTTTGCAATTCTTTGGTCATTATTTCATTGCGCAGTACAATATTTAACAACAGTTCTGAGAGGAAATTAAAATATCCCAAAGAGAAACAGTTTAATACCCACCAGAGAAGCCGATTGCAAATATCACGCCAAATAAGGCGAAAGAAGATATAAATCAAAGTATTCAATTGTATCGCTTACTTATAGAAATTTCAAGTTCCTCGGAATTTAATCTGCTTGCACTTTCAAGTAAACTGGACAATAAATCAACTGATACAAAAGAGCTACAAAACACAAAATCCAAGAAAACATGAGCAATAGCGTAGCTGTCTAAAACATCCCGGATAAACTCACCCGATGACACTTGCCAATCTATTATCATCGAAATGAATGGACAGTGGAATGCATAATACCTTCAAAACCTAATAAAGACACATTCTTGAACTTAAATGATTATTTTTACATATACAAAACATTTCGAAGTTGAAATTTTTCACGGAATATTACCAAGACTGCTATTCTTTCCAGTTGGGCACTAATGTCCCTGCAACATAAATTATATGATATACAAAATTCGTAATATTGACACTTGAAGTAATCAAAATTCCATAATATGACATACCCCATTCTTGTCTCCGCAATCATTCGCTTATTAAATTTATTAGACAACAAATGACTATACAACTGCAAGGACAAATTAGCCTGCACATTTTCAGTATTGGCTAGTGTATCAACAAGCAATGTCGAATCCTAATAATTTACGAAGAAAATTTTATTATAAGATAAAGCGTTTTCAACATTTTAAAAAAATAGACGTCCACGATAATTCGGTCCTTAACTACTAGTCACAATCAATGTCTTGAATATATCATTAGTTAAGAAGCTAATTTGTAATTAAGAACAACTCACATTACTATATATAGCGGATAGCACAAGAAGTTGATCTTCCAAAGCAGTTAACGATACCAGTTCCAGGTTTAAACCGCTATCGGATTTATTCGACTTCTGCTTAATTTGAAAATTTTCACTATCTGATTCATACGACAGAATCCCCACCGCTAAAGCTGAGGTCTGAATGAATGCTTTCGCAATAGCCGGATAAATAGCATAAACATTTTGAACGCCTTTATCCTATTTAAAAATTTTCAAGCGATAAAGATAAAGATGTGCAATACAAGTGAGCATATCTTATGGATTTATATAAGCCATAGTGAAATCAATAATAAGCAGTAAAACATTAAAAGGATTATTAAACAGACATTATTCTCAGCAGATAATTAATACTAGTATACTTGTCTAATCATTTTTAAAATTAATCCAATGACACCGTCATAATAGCCATACAGATACGGATAGATAGTAATCTAAAAGTTAATCAAAAAATCGCAGATACAGAATCAAAAAATTTTGACAATTAATTATTTAGAAACGATTTTCTAAATTGCAGTCGTATTCTCACTAAATAGACAAAAAATCTTATTGCAGAAGTTCGCAACTATGGTGGTTTTATAAAGAAGCTTAAATAGATTCAAGCATCGTGGTTTCTGAAACCATTATTGCGTGAAAAGTACTGTACGAGTATTGTACGCACGACTTTTGCCTTCTCATTTATCTACTCTCGCTGAAATAACATTACTTTAAATAAAGAGTTTTAAATTTCAATCTAGCCGTCTTTCGGTTCCACGTTTCGTTTCAGATCCGTCAACCTCGTATACTATATAATGCTATATTACAATACATGCAGTGCTTTGTTATCGGCTTGTTAATAATGTCATTCAATTATCCTCATACACCTTGCATGAAGTCGTCAAATATAAGCATAACGATTGGGATTGCAACAATTTTTTTTAATTTTGTTTCACAATATAAGAATTGGAAGGTAGAACAGTCACATTTACATGTAAATTTTATTAACAAAACCAATCATGGATGTTTAAAAGACGTATCTAACTGAATCTGTCAGTCTATTTTTGTAGTTCTACAGTATTTCAATCCGCATTCTAATTCACAGTATCTACGTAGACGCTAATATATCGAGAATCACTAACTGAGGCTGGCTTTCAACCTCCTCGCTAAGTGCCCTCTCGGTTGTTTTTAACAATCATCGACTGTAGATACTATGTTGCGCTACCACAACTGCATGTATCGCAGTATGTTCAAAAATATCTCAGTTCCTGGATAAAAAACCATCGATCTCAAAGCTTTCAGCATCTTACAATCAAGAGTATAACACAGAAAGACGGAGAAATCACGATCTTAACTTATTACCCATCATGCTGCGTACATGCAAATTCACTTTGAATTCAAGGTATCTGATAGTTTCAAAATTATATACTTGTAGCAAGACCCAAATCACATTTCGCCCGGATGATACGTAAAACTATCAAAATAGGCATCTATTGCGATATCTTTTAATCTTTACATGCTAAATATTGTTCGAATACAACGTGCCTATAACTATATCATTATGCTGCTGCTACAGTACCACTAAAGTGCGTAATGATACCGTAAAATTTACAAATCAAATCAAACTGTTTCCCATCAGACTAATAAATAGGACATCAGACACAGCAATAGAATTAAACCCAGTTTAAAAATGTTTAATAAAGCTATAATCTATATCAAATATTCTTAGTCACAGTAAGTCACCTGATACCGGCCGCTAAAAGTAATACCAACGACAGCCTCTAATTCAGACTCGTAACTTTCCAAGGCATATCCACAATTAATGCAATGATTAATTAAAGAAGCTAATACAGCCTACAAGTAAGAAAATGATGATATATAGTACTTAGTATGCACAAAACATAAATGATTATGATTTAAGTACAAACTAAACTTAAAAGCCACGAACTCTAAGAAAACATGCTAGTATCAATGGCTATTCAAGAGTAACTAGTTATTTTCGTAACCTTTGTTTCAGGCAAAGCTGCTTCACGAAATAAACCCAGGATTGTTTTAAATTCGCTAAAGAACCTGATCAGAATAAGTAAAAGAATTCAATTATATAATTGTTTACTAATCAGGTTAACCTGAAAACTATAACAACAGTGTTACTCCATTATGTAACTTCATTCTATTGAGTAATGACCTACCTTTCAGGAATTTGTTGCGATTGCACAATAACACAACAGAAGAGATGAAGAACCATTTGCAATACATCTGTTGCTTCGTTATACTACAAACGAGAACAAACATTTTCGTTAAAATTATCTTTCCCTAAACTTTCTCGAACTAAATTTATTACGGTTGTTATAGTAGTATGGATGTTGCCGCCACAAATTTCATATTCCGTACTTAACTAACCACAGATGTTTCTACTCGATTAGTATCAGCTACAGTTACCGAATAATACTAATAGAAGTAATAGAACATAATAGAATCTAATACGCTATAAGCACGCTTTTTACCGATAAAAGACTCAGCAGAGCATCCATTAATCCTGAACTTGATGCAATCGACAATGACAAAGTTGTAGATACTTGACATAAGGAAAAAAGAATCTACAGCGACATTAAAATGAAATTTTAAATGCATAAAACGTGAAGGTAAAAAGGCGATTATTATAAGTTCATCAACTTTCAGAAAGCAATACCAATTTATAGTTAGATAACCTGAATTGTAAACAAAATTTCTCCTTGAAAGTCATTTATAAGGTATAGGAAGTATTCTGTCATTTCCTTGTCATTTTTTTGGAGTTTGTTAGCTTCATAAAACATCGAGCAAAGCTATAATATCAAAAAGGCGGCTCAGAGATGACATCTGGAAGTATAATATTTAATAAGCCCACACATAACGAAATCTTAACTTCATTAATGATGAGTAAGTAAATAGGCTACTTGAACCTTATGTTTCAGTTGTAATTCACTTCTCTTACTGGCAAAAGCTAATCCTGCAATTGCTAATGATAGTATAAGTTATGGTATCATTGTCAAGCGAACTAATTTTTATGTCTAATATAACTAGGTACAAAAGCCTCATTTTACTAAATGTATATTTATACCTTCAAGACTCTCAGGCGCCGGATATTGCCCAATATAAAAAATCAAATCCGTCATTACATTTGCTAGTGCTTGCATCCCACAGATCAAATCTTTCTCAAGAGATGTTGGCCACAGACAAAGCCCAGAACAAAAATTCATAAGAGTCTGTAAAATACAAGTATGCATGTATTTGGATCACATTAACAAAATTATTATATTACGATTGCTATAATTTTCAATTTTTATAATATAAAGACTTAAAAAGGGTTTTAGTAGCTCTGCATTACCTGAAAATAGTCATTTAGCAATTTTCGATTAGAAATTCTATTTATTAACCTCAAAAGCTTGGAAACGCTAATAAAAGTCTCTAAAAAATCTAACCTGTTGCCATCCAAGCATACAGCAGCGAAATACAGATTAGGCAACAAAATGATATGTAATATATTTATTTAAATTGCGTGCGCATCTAATTCTGGCAGTTAGTCTACGATTAAATACCATACCTAACCATCACTTATTACTATATACCTATTACTTTCGGTAGATAAACCAGTGACCAATTGATCGCATACAATGGAACGACATATTGTGATTATCAATTCGAGTACTTTAATTACGGAGTTGTTCTATGGCGAAAGTCGATTTAAAACAGAGATCATGTATAAAAATTGAAGACAACTATGAATCATGTACATAAACAGTCTGCATTAAGATTAGTATATTACGTATAAAATAACCTTTTAATACATAACTTGCAAAAAATTTTACCTACCGAATGCTGAAGGGGTGCCAGTATGACACCTGCCATCAAATCGGTCATAAATTTGAATAAATGAACGTTTTCTATATGCACTCTTTTGTCCTCTTGAGAACTTCATAAGGAAATAGAAACGTTATTCATCTATTTCATTACATAATGAGCAACAATCATAAATGAATAATGAATTTAGGATAGAAAACCCTGGAGCACATCTCACTTACCAACAGCTATTAAGAATATTACTAAAAATTTTAAGGAGCGCCATTAAGTTTTCAAACCGTTCCTCACTTGACTGATTTCGAAAAAACTGAGAATAACACTCGCCTTGCTTTTTCAAATCTCGCCAGATGACGCTATCGTGAATCACACGTTGACATATTAATTCCTCTCGTGTACCAGAAACTAAATGTTGAAGTGACAAGGTCTCTCGTTTCTGAAGAAAAATTAATGGTAACCGATACTACTTATTAAATATCAAATGCCCAATATAAGTTAATAACACACCAAATAAGCAGTATGAACTCATAATGTACGTATGCTAACAAGTAATTAATAAAAACACAATAGAAGTTTCCAATAAAACACTTCACTAGTTCATCATTGAGTAGGTATTACAACACCTTGTGTCCCTGTGATCCCGTTGCGCCAGTCCTACTTAAGCTAGACCACTGCCTCTTTACTTCTTCGAAATCAAAGTCTAAGTAGAATAAAGCATGCAGTTATCGTACATATCTATAGTTAGCACTTATAACTGTAATAAAGGTTCCTATTACGTGCAACTAACACAGAAGACAGGAAATTGTACGCGTATACCTACTCAAAGTTTGCATAAAACTAATTACTAAGCTTTCCTCTCTTTATTGATTAAAAAAAAATGACGGCTTTTTATACGTATATCGTCCGTAAAGACAAAGTATAATAATTATAAGATTGTATAAACAGTAGACTAATTACAACGTAGAATTAAGGATTGTAATTATATAAGTGAATTCGTATCCGTAAACAGATCCTTACTTATGCAACATAACTTAGTGTAAGCACAGAACGTAGAGTGATGATACCACTGATAATCAATGACGATTATTTAGTTTAAATATGCTACAACCTGTGGCAATTTTAAGTTGATATACTGTACTATGCAACAAGTACAGTACCATATAAATACTGTACTCAGTATCTCATTAAATCGATAGAAATAGCAATTCAAAAGATGGAATATGATTCTGCTGCTAATTATTCGACTACCACCCTTTTAAAATTTAAACACTATACTTATAGCTTACAACAGATTTTAAGATCGACATATCTCTACAGATTTAAAATCACAATATTCCTATGTTGTGATTCTGAGACGTTCAGCTTTCGCGTAGTGGCTATATGTAATATTCAAGTTTAAGCAAGTAGTAGCTAATTTCTTTCATGTCATTATTTTACTACGGAACTGCTCCAACAATCAAATAATTTCGTTTTAAGACTTCACAGCATACATAAAAACTAACCATTTTCAAACTGCAAGAATGGATGACACAATAAATCTGGCCATTTAAGGCGAAGTCCGGCATCTTTCTGCAATAAACCTTGTAAAAAGTCCTATTTTATAGTTAATAAATAAAGTATTACCCAAAGAATAACAATTTATAACGATAAGATTTTTAAAACCAATCAATATCGCTGCCCTAAGATACAATAGACATCACTTACTTTTAATTCATGGCTTATCCTATCCGGAAATTGAATCTTATCCTTATAAGATCGGTAATAACAGTTAATGTATATAGAAGTATCTAACTAGCTGATCATTCTGACACATGGATTACATTTTAAAAGGAAAATAACAAGTAGTCGACTAAGACTGCAATCTGTTACACAGTAGTTATTCTGTGCATCGCATTTAAGTCTACCTTCACAATCTTACTAACTAACTGAAATATACTGTTAGTATAAAATGGCGGTTCACCCTTGTGTAATTCATATAAGATACACCCTAATGACCTAACAAGATAGAAATAATTATAAATTTATGTTTTAATCGAATAGTTTAGTGCTTCAATGTGATGTAAAAACTGTGCATGATTATTAGATCATTCTAGGCTTCATCATTCCTAGTTTTATCACATTTTTATTTACAACAATATTGCATCCTGATTACCATAAATCGGTCTTATAATCGTACGGTTTCTCTTCTACTAATTCGGGAGACATATACAATGGTGTACCCTTTATTGCGATGAATTGTTTATGATGATGATTAATTGTAGAAATGATCAATAAGTATACTCCTATATCGTATATTTTGTATTACCATATCAAACGTTCATTCTACAGTATCATCCTACTGAAAATTATTGTACCATTTCATACCTTTATGGACGTCAAAACGAATGTATTAATACTCATAGCACGAGCGAATCTGAAAATTTATTAGTGAGAATTAGTAAAAGTTACTATCAGTAATAACATAAAAATACTTGGATTATAAATACTCGTATAAACGAATATCTCTAACCCGAAGTCGCACAGCTTAATGATTCCATTCTTGCAAAGTAAAATATTTTGAGGTTTGATATCGCGATGCAATATACGATTGGAATGCAGATAATATAATGCAGATACCAACTGCTTAGCGATAGTACGAATCTGTTTCATTTTATTCGTTACATAATAGTCAGGTAGAACAGTGAATTGAATACATTAAGAGTATACATATAATTTGTAAATTTTTACTCATAACAGTAACACAGGAATCGACACTTTCAAATATTTAACCTGATCTTCCATTAGACGATTATCATCTTCTAGAATTTGAAAGAGCTCACCATCAGCATATTCTGTCACAACACATATCTGTAGACATTTAAGAACTTCAGCATGAAACTTAAAAAAGTACGCATACATCATAATTACAGCCCACTTCCAATGTAGTTTAAAATAAACATTAAAAGAATCCTGTACATTTTGTGAATTAATTAATTATAATTGTTGTAGTATTTTATTATCTACGAATGTCCATATCTTTAATATATCCACAGTAACATCAATTACCTCCTTATTCGTTTCAAAGGAATCTAGTAAGGCAATAATGTTGTTATGCGATAGATTTCGCATTATCTCTATTTCGCGTCGTAAATTCATCAGTTCCTTAGTACTGCGTCCAATCTTAGGAATAAATTTCATTGCGACCACCTTGTATATTAAATTATAATTACAATTAAACGATAGGAATTCCCTAATAATAACATTTACATTTACTACCGTAAATTTTTACCTGACCGGTGTATTTTTTACGTCCTTTAAAGACTTTACCGAACGAGCCCTCCCCTATGATACCAAGAACATGATAATCGTCCATCGCCTAAATCTAGAGTGGACTATTCATTGCAATAAAAAAAATTAAATTTAAAGCTATTGTTGTAGTTACAATATGCGGTGTGCGACTATGTACGTATAGTAATATACGATTTTAGGCGCATACCGATAAATAATAATTTTAATTTTAATTTATCTATCTATTTATTATAGTGCTATTTACGCGCATGTACCAGACCAGTGGTCTTTGGTATACTGTACAGCCAACAAAGTGCTACAATAAAACAAATCGGTAGTTTGACTTAGCTCGAACCTGAATATCTGGATAAATTTCCTCGAATAAACTGACTCGAACCAAATGAAATGCGAACCAACCAGATCTTGACTTTAAATGAGTACTGTATAGCAGAAGATACTGTACTGTACTTAATTAATTGAAGTTGAAATGATAGTGAAATAGTTATTCACCCGTACACCAACGATGCACAGTCCTTAGAGCTCCGCACTTTCAGCGATTGATACTGTACTGTACTGTACGTTTGATACAGTGTACAGTACTGTACAGTACTATACTGTACAGTACAGTACAGTACTGTACGTGCAGTACAGTACATTAGAAAGATGGGAAAATGATACAGTACTGTACAACATACTGTACTGTTTGTGTTTGTGTTTGTGTTAATAACAAACGAGACAAATTACCGATCCTCAAAATGTCTAGTCCATCTCATGCAAGTGATTTTCATCCAATTTATGATGAAGACCATGACTTATCGGTGGCCACACCGGACGATCCTGTTCGATTGATTGAGAGAAGAAACATATTAAGTTTGTCTAAACTAAGTATTAAATCACTTATTGATGCTTCCCTAAGGATAGGCAGACACCTGGAGAACCCTGATTTTCCACCGCTACTTGAGTTATTTGTAGCGTTGGAATTACTTTTGCGACACGGCTTGAAAGGTTTGCTAGAATTTCTAAACACTGCATAAAGAGTTTTTGTAATTTATTGTTATAAATAATACTCCATGCTATTTTACTCGAATTCATGCTGTATTAACATAAGGTAAACGAATGATTCTTGGTCGTCGTAAGGAACCTTGGGATATAATCGAGGCCTACTGTAAGATTGCTTGTGATGAAGAACTAAATCAAAGCATTCGTAGTTGTAGAAGCCTACCAAGTGTTAGGTATGCAACTAGGATTGTATCGTTTGCTTAATGTTAATTGTCAGCCCTATGTGCCCTTAACGCTAGCTTTCCATAACATTAGTTACTTTATTTTAACTTAGATAACCATTTGTTGATATCGGCCACTTACTAATTGTATTAAGGGTTAAATGATAATTTCGTCCTAAAATCGTGTATCAGATATGTAAAATAAACGCTATTACTATATTATCGTCGTGCAGTAAACACCGCTATTACATATGTTGATATCAGAAAGATTTATCGAGATTCGAAGATATAGCGCTATAAATAAATAGGGAATATAACTAAGTCCTTTATCTGCATGAAAAGCGATATTTTTATAGAGGCTACTGAAAGAGCTCAAAGGCAACTGTTTAATTCTTCGCAGCATTTTACTAATTAATCAACGTATAATTCACACAAATACTGCGATTTTGCTAATCATACGCGGTACAGTCTTATAGTATCAAGTTTATTGATGTTATCGACTGTGTGGACGTTTAATTATTTAAAAATCATCGAGACGAATCGGACAAAAGATGTTATAAATAGTTCCTCATCATTTTAAACTATCTATTTCACACACGTATGCCAAACATTTCCTATATTCAGATCGAATGTAGGTCGATGGCGAGCTTGGCTTAGAATTGCTTTAATGCAGAAAAAATTATCAACTTACTTCTTAAAAATTATCAATTGTAGAGATAATTTCTTAAGGTAAGCCATAAGCGCCTTCAAAATTTATATCATAGACAGATGTCTTTTGTCCTTGCTTCTTCTTCAATACTCTATAAAAATTACTTAGTGTTATATCGATTGCAAATTATTCAGCGAATTTTATGAAAGCTATGCGACCCTGATGCATGAAGAAAGTTCTGTCATTGCTGGCTTATTGATTGGCCTGAACGTAATTGATATTAATATCCCAATGAAAGGCATTAACTTAGACACACAGGTTAAACTTAGCTATCGATAGTTACGATTCCGTTAAGAAATGCCAGCAATAAATTGGCAAAACCCGTGATATAAGTTTTATTATTCTAGCCCTTAGTTATTAATTTATCCATGTATTTCAAAGATGAAAATGCTGTAGGATATGAAGGTAGTGAAGATAATAACAGGTAAAACTAGAATTCGAACACTACAATTGTAATGTAATTAATCGATCGCCAAAACTTTGTTAAACACATTAATGCTACCGGATACAATGACTAAAGAGCCTTATTTTGTCAAAAATCATTACACCTTACTTAGTTGATTGCTTCTCATAGGGAAAACACCGACTATGATGCAATTCTTGATCAAAAGTGTTACTTAGAAGAATTAAATGGGAATTTAAAGTTCGCTTAATATAGATTTTTTGCTATAAATTTGAAAATATTATTTGTTGCTTTTTCAACTACGTAAACTTACCGCTAAACTTGAAAGATTTCGTAAAGTATTACTATCGATGTGCAAATATTCCGAATGATTTGTTATGCATGCCAATTCTTTTCCTGTACTGTAGATCAACTATCACAACGCTTACGAAGAAACTAGATTCTTCAAATCAGTTAACAACGCAAATGAGCAACAATTTAACCATAGCTTTAGCAAAGGGCCAATGTGAGAAAGAACAAAATGAAAAATTGAAGAATATAATATCAAATCTCAACAAAGATTTCCAGCAGGCTTCTATGGTAATTTAACCGGTTAATGATGTCATTTCCATATCTACCACATGAATTTAATGTGTATTTCTGTAGTTCCGAGAACAGTCCTATTAATCGGAAATTAATCACCTTTATCTTCAGAAGCATGAATTGGACCTTGCTGCTGAGAGAAAATCCGCTAATGAAAGAAAGTATATGCAGATTCTTTAGTCTTATCCTTAAAATCTGTAACAGAATCTTAAATTGCCGAATCGTTCTATTTTTAGAACTAGTCTAGAAGAACTATACGCGAAACTGCAAAAGTCTGTAGAAAATGAAAAGGAATTACGAAATGTAATACAATACGCGATTAATTAAAATTCCATAAAAGTGCGATGATCAGTGTGTGCTTGACTTATTTTAAAACTCTTAAGTATATTTCTTTTGGCTTTAGCAAGCAGAAGAAAAAGTACGCGACCTGTTAAAAACTAAAGAAGAAACCAGTGTAATAAGACTGAGTACATGTTGCATTTTATATTGCTTTGCGTAGTATTTGTAGATAAGTAGCAATAGCGTATCGTTGGTTTAAGAATATAATAATGTAAATGATTTGTTATTGTTAATGAGGGGCTGCATGCTGGTCACTTTATCATGATTATCCTTTTCATCAGTCATATCTCCATACTCTATGCTTATTGTACAGTCTTCTCTAAAAGCAGCATGGCAAAGTATCCATGAAAAAGATGACACAATAAGCGCTTTGAGACAACAGCTCGGTGATGTTAAGCAACTGCTAATTGAATGGCAGAGCAAGGTATATATAGAACGAAGATTTATATCTTTGAAAGTACTGTCCCTCCAAAGTAGAGTTAAGATTGACAACCACGTTTAAATCCGCAACCATTTAGTTAATTATTGATCTTAAGATAGAACAAATTTTGTACCTACTACCAGGATACCAATTCCTCGAGCAAGTCCAATCTAGATCTGATTGACACACTGCAAAGGAGATGTGATGAAAAAGATGGTATAATACGGGACCTACGATTAACGTAAACAATTACATTCGTATCGTTTTAAGCTATTGTAATTAGCATTGTAGTATTATCTAAAACAGAAGTTCTTAATAGCAAAGAAGCGAATGGTATTGAATTAGAAAAACACACAAAAGCCTCGGAGCAACTAAAATTTCGTCTACAACTGATGGAAGAACAATGGTTCGGTTATACTACGCATAATTTACAAAATTGATTCAATTTTTAAACTATTTATATTCGAAGCAATTGACTTATTGCTTGCTACATCTGTTAGCTCAAGCTTGCAATCAGAACTAACTCAGCAGTTGCAGGAGAGAAATGATATTCAGGTATAGTGTACTACAGAATTATTCGTGGTACAAAAGTTTACAGCTTCACTGTCACTCCATATAAATCATCTATATTTTCTTGCTTTGAATTAGCTAAATTCATAAATTTTTCAAGTAGCTTTTTGCAAAAATAATTTATCTAAATGGATTTAATTTAAAAGGCAACCCTTGCCGATTTGCAGAAAGAAAACGAAATTCTGCGTGACAGTCAACGGAAACTAAACAAAGATAAATCTGTGCGTTTTAACGGTTCAAATACCATAGATATTTAATTAGTCACCACGATTATGTTCTTAATCAGATTTCCGACTTTCTTCAAAATTACGAACTCTTATTAGAAAATGAATGAACTAGAACAAAAATGTAAGGAATTACAAAAGAATTACGAAGAGCGTGAGCTCGTAAGTAAACTGGTAAAAATTATACCAGCAAAACGTATATGTAACCATGAGTATCTGTTGTAATTGCACGAACCGTAGGTATTCATTTCACTCTTTAGTAATTCTTTCTTTCTTATGTCATTCTCACACCCTCTAAGGAATGATCTTGATATAATCAGACAAGTACAGTTACAGCAACATCATCAATACGGATGTGCAAACATGTAAAATAGTGCTCTTAATTCAATTCTCTATATTCTCGGTTGTTTCTCAAAGTCTCAGCTAAACGTTTTAAAATATACTAAATATTGCCATCAGAATACTAGGCACTCATGTAGTTAGACGGTAGAGCCAGCAAATAAAATCATTCAGCTAAGCCGTAACCATGACTAATGCCGATAATACTATAGTATGTACAATCACTTGACCGTAAAAAATGTTTCATGAATTATGCAATAATTAACATATTATTTATAAGAAAAGCCTTTCAAAACAAATTAAGTTTATTTAAAATTAAGTGCTATACAATATGACTTGTACTATGATATTCTATAAGCATTTAAATACGTAATTATATACATTGTAGTATACCCCGTACTATATTGATAGGTCTTACGCGATTTCTTTAGTAATAAAACCAATCAAAGCAGAAATTATTATGATTACGTCATTCTTTAAATAATGCAGACGTACGTCTAGATTAATGTTTGAGTAGATTATCTGCTACTATATAATTTAAATCAATCCAATTCACTCTTCATAATTAAAACCAGGCCCTAATAGAAATGGGAGAACATTTAAGCAAGTAAGTATTTATGGCGGCGCATCTTATACTACTCGTATTTAAAATTTGTTTCGCTATCGCTTATTCGCATTTTCTTTTCAAATTCTTTTTAAGAGCACACTTAAAAGCCTCAGACTATAAAGAAGTATCAAAAGCATTTTCGGTAAGGAGCGCCTAAGAAGTACGCTTCTCAGATGAAATAGCGTAACTCTGTCACAAATACTGTGATTTATTATATTTTGTGCACGAGATTAAAATCTTATAATACTTATAAACGACACCGTCAAATTCTACAATTAGACTGAATATCATATTACAATATACGCACAAAGCACTGAGGTATTTCTCAACGAGATCTACAGTCCGTTTCACTGAGTGTTAGAGCTAAAATACGAGCTGTAACCTTCGCATTATCTTCAATAAATTAGAAACTATATATTGTAGGATAAAGCTACTACAGTCTACAGATAAGTTGGAAATCGTCCTTTATTTGCATCTAAATTTATTTTTATGCCTTAGAGTACAAATATGCCTGTTTGTCATTCAAACAGATAAATAGCGACTTTCAGGGAGATACTCCGCATTTGTAAATCATGGTGTAAATCATTACGAACGTCACTTTGTACTTAAAGAGTCAATACTCTGTAATGTTATAATCTTCAGTATTAAGGTTAACGGGAGGCATATTACTACCATATTTGCGGTCTAGGAAAGCGTCTGGATTGACGATAAAGCAATCTCTGATTGTCAGCAATGTAAAAAATCCTTTAGTGTTTCAAGGAGAAAGGTAAGCCTAAACGTTAGAAAAGCACAGGGCCGAAATCTATTTTCTAAATTAGATGTATCTTCAATCACAGCACCATTGCCGTCACTGTGGTGGAGTTTTTTGTGGAAATTGTTCTGATAATAATATGCCGCTACCATCGTCTGCGAAGCCAGTTCGCGTATGCGACGCCTGTTACACGTTTTTACTGACGCGATATAATGCCTCAGCAAAACGAGAATAAAATCAAATTGGCACATCAACCAGAAAGCCTGATTGCTCTTGCTAAGTTCCAAGACTCATGGAATTGGTAATTACTGTACCAGCAGCAATTTCACTATAAAAACATGACTCAATTCTGTATGGTACTTAAAATGTTTTGCAACAATATAAGAAAATGATTGGTCTGTTCTTTGACAAGTATTAATAATAAATGTACTTTAGCTAGAACAGCAGTAAGTTCCTTACAATCATACAGTATTATACCATATTAGACATACTCCATGCAATAAAACAGTAAATTTCCTTTTAAATTTCTGAAAATGTGCTTTATGATTAAACTTGTACTTGACAACCAGCTGATCACTAAATATCTCAAATGGTACAAATACTTGCCAAACAGCGATTTCTACGTTCAAAAGATCGTAAAATTTCATGATGTAACTATAGTATTTTATATATCAAAAATAACAAATAAATGTACTAATACTACGCTAAACCTGTACGATAAATATACCCAAATAATATTTGAAATACCTAATAGTAACACGAAATATACATATAGATATAATAAAATTAATCCCTGCGAAGCGGTAAAGGGGACTAGTTGTATCTAATCAAAGCCTTGTATCAAGTTTCTTTGCTGAATTTATACTAAAATTTCATCAAAAACATCCATATCCCAAATTACAGTAATTAGTACATGAGCATAGCAAGAACTCAGAATCAATTGCCAGTAGTTATCATTGAAATAGTTTCATCGTCTTTATTGCAAATAATACTGTGTTATTACTTTACAGAAATTACTACATTAGAGACGACGACCTCGCCGACCACCTTTCCTCCTCGTACTATCTGACGGAATAGGAGTTACATCCTCTATAAATCAATAAAATATTAAAATTAATAGGAATATTTACAAAAAATAAAGAATATGCCATAAATGGCAGTACCAATCCGTCCAATCTTCATTCCTGATCTAGCAAGAGCTCGCAAAGCAGATTGAGCTCCTGGTCCAGGAGTCTTTGACCTAGACCACAGATGGAACAATTTATACATATTTCTATTTGCTATTATAAATATCTATATGCTGCAGTCAGATTAACGGATTACTATGCTAACTTACTTATTGCCTCCAGGTGCTCTAAGTTTAATATGAAGGGCAGTCACACCTACTTCCTTACATTTGGCAGCAACATCCTGTGCAGCCAACATAGCTGCATAAGGCGATGCCTATTGAAAATAAAACTTTATTAATGCTTGTACTCATCCACTTTATAAATTCCTTCGAACAATTCAGTAATAATTAATCAATAAAAATGCTTGAGTACGAGTACCTATTTCGGCGTTCATTGTAACATACTTTACTGTATATTTACCTCATCTCGATCTGCCTTGACCTTCATACCTCCTGTTACCCGAGATATCGTTTCCCTGAAGTAAGTATACTTCAGTCAATGAAATGTAACAAACCAATACACCAATAGACGATATTAACACATAATCAAATTACCTTCCTGACAAGTCTGTAACATGGACGAAGGTGTCATTAAACGAGGCAAATATATGTGCAACTCCAAATACGTTTTCTCCTTCAGGAACCTAAAATTGTAATAATTATTTATAATTACTTCGGCTTGTAGTAAGTAATATTTTACAGATAGATCAGAAAAGAGAACAATGTCAGTAAGCACCGATCAGTAAAATTCGTAAAGTTAATCGCAACTCTTGTTGCCAATTGAAGTAAATTGTATAATATCACGTTAACATCGCTACTAATCAAATTTTTGATGATTGCAGCATCGTCCTATTTTTTGGCCACCAATAACTAGCACAATACCAGTGTAGCCATTTACTTCAGAATTATATTATTAAAATAGCCGTTAAATATGTTTTTTGTTCATGAACCACTACACAGAAACGCATATCATGTAAATCAGAGTTGCAAAATTTAAGCACGGAACTTGGCAAATAAAAGCAAATAGAGGTAAAAGTAGCACCTTTTCTCTATGTCTCTCAACTAACGCAGACTGAAAGCATAAACTATTTCTCTTCACTGAGAGGGATTGTAATTGAACAATGTATAATATTTATATATGAATACATACGCGTACATCAGTAAAATTTTAAAATTTCTGTTACAAAACGACGTTTACATAATAGCATACGAAGGCTGCGAAAGTACAGTACCTGAGGGCCAAGTTGGACATTCTCTTCCTTTTGAACTTTACCTTTACGAGAGGGGGCCATGTTTCTCTTTTCTACCTAGACATAAAATTTTCAAAAGGATACTTTACTATGCTGTCCTCAAATAAATTCTAATTTTTACTATCTAGGATTAGATAGCCCTCATCATCAAGCATTAAAAGACGAAATCGTAACGTAAATCGCAGAGATTGTGCAAGAGCACATAGACAATCCGCATATATTATCTTATAAGTACTAAACTTGCAGACATAAAGTTATAAAGTACAAACACATCATGTAAAAGAACTACACTATGCGAACTGTTTCAACACACTTGACAAATATCATAAAAATACGATAAAATATCCGGTAAAACATATCCTTTTCGCATACAATCAATCGAAATTCATATAAATTAGCAAAAACCAGTAATTCTCTCAAATAATCAGCCTTAAATAAGGACGGATGCAGTCAGATATCTAATCGATAGCGGGTAGCTGTACCTCACCTTGATAAAATTTTGTCAGAGACCTTGGAAACAAGCTTGCAAGGTAGAAAATACTCGCGCTCGAAGCTGTGCAGTTACTTGGAATACGTAGTACAGTACTGTACACTGTACAGTATGGACTGTAAAAACATATTCGTACAGTATGGATCACACGTGCACTTCCTGTCGAGTTCTACTGTACAGTACTGTATTGGTAGATACCGTACTTTACTGTACTTTACAGTACAGTACACTGTATTGTACACTGTATTGTACACTGTACAGTACAGTACTGTACAGTATGTACAGTACATACTGTACAAGGTACTGTACTGTACAGTACAGTACTGTACAACGATTAAGTTTGCAATGAAGTGGGTAATGGACCTGCTTGCGTTCAGAAATATTTCTACGATCTTGATGAACAAATTCGATTTCGACTTGAGCGACAGGGAGTCAGACCTTCGGAAGAAGCAATCGAAATAGACATTTATCTACGTTTAATGACTATGCTCGATAACGCTCCACAAATAGACTGTATACAGTACATAAAACACATTCATGAAATAAAAGCATCACTCAGCTTACAAATGGAGCGATATAAAACGTTACTCTGCGTATGAAACTACTCCGTGAATTATAAAAACATCACTCGGCTTATAAAATTCTAACTTCTATATAAAAATAGAAATGCGCATGGAGTGAGACTACTGCATACTGTAAATATAAAAAACATAATAAACATCACTCGAGAAATAAAAATGTTACTTTAGTACAAAAAGGCCGTTGGCTCTTAGACCACTATACTGTACTGTACGTACCGTACCGCACTTGTAATACTGTACTGTACAGTACACTGTGTAGTCAGTACTATGGACTTCTAGTGTGCGCCTATCTACAGTAGTAGTCCATGACAGAAATAACCACCTACAGTACTGTAGTGTTCTAAAGGAAACTTTCAAGGTTAAACTACTTGTACTCAATAATAAAATACAGTAAAATAAAATTAAAATTAATTAATCTTAAATCAAATTTGCGCTAATCAAAATGCCCAGGCCCGAACATGGTGGACCACCAGAATTGGTATAAAATTTTAGCGTTCTTTTAACCACGAATCGTGCGTGGTTGTAGACAGCCGCTTATTGCTTTTTGCTTTTTGCTTTGACTGATTAAGACTGATGTCTAGCAGCAAGTTTATGTCAGTATAATATCACTATTTCTGTAATAGCGGCAAATGTAGATTAACCTCTAACATTTTAGTATACTGTAATGTACGGTAGTGAAAAGCATATCTACATACTGAGATGATATTTAGAAAGTTCGACGATTTTAATGACTGTATTTTTTTCAATTCGTCATTGCTCATCATTAGCCTGTAATTCGCTATTTTACGATTATTATACGGTACAGTATATTATAAATTTTTTCACTTAGACTCTATAGTACTGTACATTACTTGGAGAGTTCTTAGGAGAAATTGTGATCTTCTTTTATTGTAGTACTATAACGAAAGAGAATCCACGAAGTATACTAACAAGTAAGAAGTGCTATTGGAATTAAACATGTCATGAACTTACTATAGTTTGAAATACGCGTATTTATTTCACGTACTTCAGTTCAAGAGTTATTGATGTCCAATTTCGAATGAGTGAGAGAGCAATGGAATTGTTGTCCTTACCATCGGGACAACCCTCATTGATTTTAGACGTCGGGTAAGAGCAAATGCCTAACGTAAACTGTATAAAATACTTTGTATAAGTCATAATGTAAAGTAACTAGTTACCTTTAAAATTATAAGTATCAAGTTTCGATAACCTATTGAACGTTGTTGTATTCATTTGGATAGATGCGGATCTGGCTTAAGCGGCGAAATTATCTCGGAAATGGGTCATTTCTGGATTGGGTTAGATATAAGTAAAGCTATGCTCGGTAAGCGGATGTTTCATGATAATGCTATCAAATTCCTGTAGAATCCTAAGTTCGAATTGGGTAAATCCTGTCTCATTAGTATATTCCTGTATGCCCTCAATATACTGTACGTACAGTGCTGTACAGTAAATGGAACGTTTGTGCCACTGCTAATAAGAGAATCCATTTTAGCATGAGCACTTCCGCTTAACATCCGCTGCTAGATATTATTAAGATATACTATCCAAGAATTGGCATTAATTGAAATTTTTAAGATACAGTATAGACGAACTATTCCTAAATTCAATAATAATCTTCGATAAATCAATAGTACTTCAAGTTAAAATAATACGAACTTTAGCTTAATGCTCCGATTTTCGTTACTAAACGTTAGATGTTGCTGCTTGGAGAGAAGTAAATGGCGATCTATTCTTACAAGACATGGGAGACGGAATTGGTTTTCGACCTGGCACGTTCGATGGTGTCATCAGGTACACCGGAGTAATCGTAATTTTGGGATAAGTTCAAACATCGTCAACGAGAATACATTATGATAATGTACTATACTTTTCAAACAAATTCAAATCTTAAGCATTTCCGCTATACAATGGCTTTGCAACGCAAATAAGAAACATCACAGACCAGCCCATCGTTTATATCGCTTTTTCTGCAGTCTTTATATCGCAATGGTATGAGGTGTACATATGCTTATGCACGTATATTTTGCAATATTTGATGTTAGTCATAGTACGGCATAAGAAAAAAATCTTTTGAATAGGCAACCTAGCCATGACTATCGTATTGAATATATATCATTCAATAGGCTAGGGGCGCCCGTGCTGTTTTTCAGCTATATCCAGAAAACTCTGAACAGGTTTTGAATTTTTTATTTAAGATAATACTACTAGTAACCTTACTCCAATATATGACTCATTCCTGCGACGATATTTTTGCTATCTTCAACTACGTATTACCAATAAATACGAGTATAGCTAGAACTGATCACTACAGCAGCAATGAAAGCTGGTTTTACGGGCGGTATAACTGTTGACTATCCAAACAGCACCAGAGCTAAAAAGTTAATTGATAATTGTGAATTACAGAAATTTAATGGATGTTAAGAAATTTTTAATTTATTTTAGGATGTTCCTGTGCTTATTCACTGGACAAACTGCAGCAGCTCAGTTACCTCAGGTCAAAGTTCTATATTTAACAATTAATACTCTTTACGATGGTGATAACTAATTAATAATAAACCTACTATAAAATTTGATAGATAACTTTTGAAGACATTTTTTGACTTAATTATATTATTTGACAGGCTTAAATGTAACACATCTTTATATATAATTATCAGGGCTTGGATACTACCTTTAGTCCGATCGCGAATGTAGTACAATTTACAAATGAAAGGTTTGAGTGTATTAATATTGTATTAGTAAATACCGTAAATTTGATACGAATAAATTGCGTAGATTTTCTGGTAGTAAAAACAAGCTAGCAGCACCAGCACATGCAAGAAAGAAAAGTAGAGATTGGATTCTTCATAAGAAGCAGAGACGGCGAAGGCAGGGCTTGTAAGTATTGTCTATGTTTTTGTAAAATTAAACTTCATCCTCCATTAACACTGAAGATCTGCAGCTACTTAGCAGACTTGACAAGATTGGTATCTTATGCTGAAAACTTATATGCGTAATCTCTTTTATATTTATAGCGAAATTCGCGCCGATTCTAAATACACCGGTCGTCGAAGAAAACATAAATTTTAAGACTCTTGATAATTAGTCAAGATATTTCCGTTATAGGAAGTAAAGCCGGTTCTTATATTTACGGAATGTGTATAAAATGATCAGTCCTTGCCAAAATGTTTATGAATGTCAACGATACAATGTACTTTGACGGCAAGCCCGAAACATAATTTTAAACTTTTATAATTCTGTTGACATTGCAAATCTTTAGCTTCGTCCAAGACCGCAGAAACGGTTATTGAAATATACAGTATACGCAATACCTTACTGCATACACAATAGAAAGATCTTAATTACGATATCGTAATATCTGAAATAATACTACCCAGTATTGTTTCATCTTACGCGTAATGCTACTAGAGAGTTTAAAATATACCCGACGTAACGTAGACGTAGACGTAAGGTGCTACAACTACTTTCTAGTACGTATGTAAGTTTAAGATCGTACAGTAGACCGTAATATCAATTCAACTGAATCTGAGCGTCGTGCCTATTATACTGTATGATCTATGTAGAAAATGGCCGATTACTGTGCTATGCTATGTCGATTACAAACCAGTCCCTGTTACGAACGTAGTCGCCGCGGCGTAAATCTAAACTTTACTTTCTGAGGAACGTAGTTTCACTTAATAAATAAATATTACAACTAGAGAAGTATTCATTTCATCCATCGAAGTAATTTTTTTATCGTTTCAATAGAAGACGACCGGTAACTGCTTCCAAAATGATTCCTAAAATTATTGCAAAAAAACTGTGATTGCCATAGAAAAATGGGTGATATTTAAGATTGTAAGAGTCAAACATAAGGTCAAAGAGATCTTACAGTGATTTAAAATGTACCAAGGAATTGTACTTACCAGTGATTTAGATAGTGAAACAAGGCATAAAGCTCCTGACGTTTATCAAATCCAGGTTTCTTAGGAATTAGTTTATGATAGGATGTGTAAAACGCACTTTTGAATCCCCCAAATAATTTGGCAATAGATAAATCAAATTCGGAATGACCATAAAAGCATGCTGGATCTAATATAACTGAAATAATAAGTTTGCCTTTTAATGCAGTTCTATCGTTCAAGATTATACTATTAAGTTATGCAAGAATTTAGATTCTAAAATTGCCTCAAGATATGTAATAGCTTTAAAATTGACATTGCGTATGGTACACTCGTAGATATCTATGATTAATTCGTAGTTATTATGATTCTTAAAGAAAATAGAATATTTGACTAATCCACTATATATTGTATATACGCAGTGCTATATACGTGTATATACCTGGCATATCTGGAGTTTCGGCCACATTCCCATTCCATAAATCCCCATGAAGCAGGGATGGTTTAATCTCAATCTCTTTAAAAAATTGGTTAATCTTATTTTCAAGACACGGCCATAAATGTCGAAGCTCCGGATCTTGATACTAATAGTAAATTAAGATAAAGCATGAACACAAACGATGATGTTACGGAGTAGCTTTAGCATAGTCGCTGCAACATAGTTTTGTAAGAAATATGGATTTGGCTATGAAGTTTTACATGTCTTTAATAGATAATCGCATATTTCTACGATATTATCTAAGTACTGATAAATTAATACTTACATGGATTTATTATAAATTGGCTGATTCTCTAATAAATTTTAGGTTCAGTTTTGTCTAAGATACTCATAGTGTTATTTTGTAGGCTTAATTTTCTTTGATATACGAGTATAATGTATAGGTAAGCAAGATTAATGCCTGAATGGGAATAACTAACGTACATAATCTCTTAAGAATGAATACAGCAATATAATAACCAGTCTTTAGTGTAAGTAACTAATACTAATAAAAAATTGCTATAATGAGCTTACCGTTCGATCTATTAAATTAACTTGATATTTTAGTCTTCGTTGCGTAAAAAATTCCTAAGGAAAAACATACAAATGCACAAGGAGTAAATACCAAAATTAATACTAACAATAACATTCCAGGAAATACTATGCTACATCAGGTTTTGAAAATTAATCAAGTTTACTTTTAATTAAATGAAAAGCAACGAGTGTAGGCCCACGGATCTTGTTCGTGGTTTAAGGCTCGTTGCACAGTACATTATGGCAAGCTTAATTAAGTAGCCTGTACAGTGTAATGTACCGGTATCTATACTGTACAGTATGTATATCCCTCAATATAAGCATAATAGCTAATCTATAATATTTTAATATACCGTACTTATTACCGTATTTATAACATAAAATTTTTTAAACTTTTAATGATATGGTATAGGTATGGACAATAAATTTAGTTATAATTAGATTGGTAACGACAAATACTTAAAAATACGTATATAAACTACTAGTAGTATATTTATTCTTATTCTACTATGTCCAATACCATGCACAGTTGCACATCGTGACAGGCAAATATTAATACCTTAAGATGAGTTGATATCGTAGATATTCACAGCAATGTACGTTACAATAAGGTGACTAAGTTGAATTAAATTTATATACGCAAATACGAGAAATACGAGTATTTCTCACATAAACTAATCTATACGCTCTATACAGTACATACACTACTACCATAAAGAAATCACCATTTCTAGAACCTATACCTAGTGATAAGTGCGTTCATTATACAAGTACATTACTCAATCGGCTATTGTAGCCCACAATAATAACAATCTACACATTATATTGTACGTATTTGGTTTAAGATATTACAGTATATAAACATGCAATATTGATTCTTAGTTATTTCTTACTATCCAGCTATTGCACCATGTATTATCAAGAGGGATATAACCACAGCAAGTTGTGGTATGAAATCCAAATTTTCGTATAGCCTTCTCTTGATCTATAGGGGTGCCTAACCGGTCTTCATTTTCAATCATTTGTAAATTTCGTAAGTGCATCCTTTTAAAAATGCATGTTAGATAGAGTAAGGCCTGCAATACTGAAATTCGAAAGATCTGTACCGTACAACGTAAGTTTCTTTTACAGTGTACATATACATACGATACATCAACATTTTACATAATATAAGATTAGCCGTAAGGTACTACCCTTACATGTACTGTAGTATGATCGATACAAACTGATGATTCATCACCTAACACTAAATACTGTACTGTACGAAGGAATTAGTAGAAATATCGGCGCAGCTAGTTACAACAGGCACTCCCTTCTGATGTTCCCAATAGACTATAGAAATTTTTCATCATGAAAACGTAGTTGGAACTAAAGTTATGCGTCTGTATCTTGTATTTACGCAATACTAGCTGTATGTTTCCAAATAAGTTCCTATATACGTATATACACGTATTCACACTATATACGCGTACCTCAGCATACATCTCTAACAGTATTTTCACTAAAACCCAAAAGTAACTTTTAAGTCTGGTAAATGCAAGCTACTTATGCTAAAGCCATCCCGTAGATATTTTCAAAATCCTAGAACACTTCCTACCAGAAACCTTACAGTTCGAATAAATCTGATGTCCTGATTATTTTATTAGTAAGTACTGTACTATAAATTCCGATCTACGTACTGTAGCTCGTCAGAATCTATGATATCTCACAACAATTTGCAAGTATGTACTCATAGAATGCAAATCAGTATCATTGGGTACTATTAATTTCACTAACCTTGCCAGCTGCTCGCCTAGTGAAGCTTGATACCTACTTAAGTTGACAATCTCTAAATACTCCATTACCAAAGCATTTACATTTTCAAATTGTATAACCTAACAATAAAATGATAATTATGCAAATATGTGCTAATGTACATTCAGTGTATCTAATAATAAATAGTTCGTTTGGATTGCTAAATCACTAGCTGACAGATACAGTATGTACACTTGGTAAACTGTATGCTGCACAATGATTACTCACACATGCTACTTTGTCAGATCAATCACTACCTTTGATTAGTTAGTCACAGAATTGGTCACTACTGAGTAGCAGCTAAAACTAGTTATCCAACTATCAATACAACTCAAAATTACTCGTTAGCAGTAAATTATAAATGCATACATCAGCATCCATAATATAATTAATTACTTATTCATTCATAAATTAGTAATTCATAACATTATAACTGTAATACTTTTTACTTTTTACACTGCAGTTGGGATCACATTGGGTAGTGTAAGTAACAAAATTATGATACGCCTTACTACTTGTATACAAATATATATATATATACATGAATTGTTGTCATTATGCTGTAAGTTACGAAGGATTTCTCAATGCAGGGAAGCTAAAGATTGAGTTATAATGAATCAGTTATGAATAAAAGTTGATTTCACTTTGGACCACGCCAACCAAATAAAGCAATTTTATTTATAATTATAATTATTTATGTACAGTACTGTATATACGGGTATACTGTAACACTAATTTAATTAATTAATTACTATCTTACTGTACGTAAAGTAAAGTATTGGCTAATATCTTAAATCACTCATACTTATTCCCCTCTTTGAATCAACATCATCTTCTACGTACAGTATTTTTGATTGCTGTAAAAAATCATAGGTATAATACCATAAGTATTAAGTAATCACAAGAAAAGTTGCCTTCTCCCAACCCAACAAGAAAGAAATAGGGACTTTTTGAAAGACAAGATTTTCTTGAGTAGTCTCTGTTTACGACTTACTATAGCTGTTCACAGTGCAGGTTTCCATCCTCGATTATAATAATACATAATATAACTAGTGATGTACTTCATGTAACCACATTCATACCAAAATACTTCAAAAATAGAGTAAAAGTGTCCGTTGAACTACTGTACAGTACATTTAGTAATTTCTGTATTACAGTAAGGCCCAGTAATTGTATACCATTTCATTCATTGTCACCTTGATCGGCTTAGGCACTCTAATAGTTTGAGTGTTTACGATCGCCAATAAACCTTCCATTTCGCCGTTGAACATTCTGGCAGCCTTCAAATAAGAACGTATTTTGCGAATATATCCGTAAGTCACTTTCAAATTTGGATCAGAATTCATTCGCCAGAATTGATCCTGTTCACTTAATCCAGATAAAATATCAAGTAATGTAATAAGAGAATGAAATAAATGAACGTACATGTTCTTTCTTGTTGAATTTGATAAAGACTCTTCCAGAGTCAGTTAGGTAACTTTTGCTACTACTTATACAGCCGCCACTAATATCGTCTACGACTTCTAAAGTATTCGTCTGCAGTTCCTTTTTAAGTTTATCCTCCATATTTCCGACTGTGAGAGGCGGAGATCTCTTTAACAAATTTATATCAGACAATAAAGTTTAAAGTTTATAGTATAAACTATGACATCTTTGTCGTGATAACCTAATACACCTCTAACCGGAGTCACACTGAATTTTTTCGCACCACAGTACAGTACAGTACTACAATGCTGCCAGTAATATCATACAGGCTGATACAGCTAAGCCAACAGGTGAGTCGGTCCGTCCGACTCGCGTACCGTAGTGTACGGTACTGCGTCTGTACAGAACAGTATAAAGTACAGTACAGTATACTGTACAGTACAGTACAGACACTAGTACTGTACAGTACTGTACCATACTGTACTGTACAGTACCATACGGTAAATGCCCATCATGTTCGGAGTAACATACTGAGAGTGTAGAGGTAACGCGAGATTTATGGCAGACTTGTAGTATTTAAGAGGAAACGACATGCAAAGTTTCATACTTAGTCAGCAATACAACAGAGTATCACAAATTTTACAAGGTAATTCAAAAATAATACACATTACGACTATGTTCAGTAATCTACTTCATGGTGGATCTTGGTATACAAACTATTACGCACAAAGCCAAATTCCTACAAAGGATATCGAAGAGAGTTTTGTGAAAGGCTCTGGGCCTGGTGGACAGAAAGTAAATAAATCGTCAAATTGTGTTATATTGAAACATAAGCCGACTGGCATTGTGATTAAGGTTAGCCGAAATCTTAGATAATTATGATAACCAGATGCTGCCTGTTTTTTTATTACCTTTATCTATCTGTTAGCTATTTAAATCTCATTTTACTGTACAGTACAATAACTGTGCATTCAGCATACATTATAATTATTATTATGGTTATAATACTGTATACCGTAATATTCCTACACTACTGTACTGTACACTGTACTGTACAGTAATATTGTAGCTCGAAATAGCTTGCATTTTATGACAACTGTGCACTTACTATAGATGTTATCTTATTACCAATTAGCTAAGTGAAATGTTATGCTATATCGTATCTAAAATACTACTAGACTATAATTGCATCGACATACCGCAACTCCGCAGGAGACTATTAAAGAGTACTAGTCCCTAATGCTACCCTCCTCTTGCTCTGCGTTACTATACGAGTACAGTATAATTAAATATTATTATTGCTGTAATCGCCTGCTAACTTTCATCATAACATTCTATATCATCTCCGCCTTCTCTCTGTAGTGCCATCAAAGTAGATCCCAATATCACAACAGGATAATAGCTCGTCAATTACTGAAAGACAAAATAGAAGCTTCGCAAAATTGTTCAAACAATTCACAAGAAAAAAAATTTCTTAAGCAGAAAAGAAAGAAAATGACCTCCAAAATACGAAGTAAAAGAAAATTAGAAATATTGAAAGACAATAAAGCCATCGATTAACAGTAATATAATTCCTTTTAATGAATGACTAAATAATATGGCATGTGACTGTATTCCAGTAATTCTAATGTAATATAAACACCATAAATGCTAACTCCAATCTTATATATGGAAAAGTTTGCTATGATGCGCGTAAACAAAATCGCAGAGTTAAACTATCACGGTCCTAGATAACAATTTCTCTTTTCGCTGATGCCACAATTTGGGCAGTATGCCACTTTCAATGATCTTAATGCAATATAAATAGTTTAATAATGCAATGTTTAATATTTTATTTGTACTACTACTGTATGTACCGTAAATAAAGAAGTAAAATTTTGCTATCTAACATTATCATTAAACCCTACGGTTATGCATTCGGCGTTGTGTTTCCACTCTTAGTCGTTAACGTTAACACGAGGAACTTTGATACACTCCTACTAGTAAGCTTACTGAAAAAGTCCTTTTATTTAGGATTTACTGCATTTAAATAGTATAGCTGTAATGGCGTATTATACCCTTATCTTAGTAATTCATTACCTTATCTTATGCTAACACGTTAGGTGCAGTACAACAAGTCACTGTATTCTTACATACATAACATTCGGTACTGATGAATACAGAAACTCAGTGCTGTCTACGCGTAGTCTGTTTCAAGCCCTATACTCAAGTATGAATTATAATTATTAATTATATCCATCGATTCTTAAATTCATTCAGATATTGCCTAATACTTGAATTTATCATCCTTTAAAATTAAATTTAGGAATCATCAGCTTTTGGTATTAGAATGATTATGTCAAATAAGTCTGCAATTAAAACTTGTGTACTGTTTATTAAAGAGTTTTAAGGTAGCATAACAGCTTACAAGAGTATAATAAATCGGGTCAATAAAGCACCTACGCATACGCTAAATGAAGAGTTCGCATGATGTTGATAGGCATGAGGTTCATTTCAGTTCATTGTATCAAAATTCGACATATTCCGCGTTTAATGCGGCAGATCTTTGAATAAGCGCTGTATGGTAGAAATAGAGTAAAATGACACCTACGTTTAACTTATCCCTACTTATTATTTTCAAAAGACGGTTTTACTCGTACGCAGGTACACTCAGCTTTCAAAGACCACTAATTCATCATCCTATTTACGAGCAAAAAGATCTGCTTCACACTACTATTTACAGTGCAATTACAACTCTGTAATCCATCTGCATCATATAACCCAGGACAGCAAGCATCATAACCTAACTAGGCCGATACATGTTAAACCGTTGAGAACTTTTAAGTAAAATATTACTGTTTCTATTACAGTATTCCGATAATAAATCTTGTGAACTTTCATTCAGCAATGATTTTGCTTGTACAAGTTTAAATTCAGTTGGTAACACTCTCGGGCTAACATTCTTGCAGAACCCAAACCTGTGGATGGTAAAGCAATTATACAGATAAATATTAAATAATGTCAAACCGTGCAAATCTAAATCTTATAGTTTTTAGCTATTATGAAATCATTAGAACTGCATTTATAGATCTTTATTGGTAATTTTTTGCACTACTAATTAATCAAGTATTAAAATCCTGATGAATAAGTCTATATGATCGTAAGGAGCTAATGAATATTTGGAAATCTAGGTTATCAATACCTTGAGTCGTTGTCAGTATGCTGATAATATATATATATTCGTATACATAAATTGACACATTGTAAGTTTTTAAGTATTTAGTTTTAGATAATGCTGATCTCCAGACAAATGATAAAAGTACGCATTTGTATGAAGAATTCTTTTAGTGCTCTACAGTAGTACAGGGACCTGTCAATCAACCATCAGGTCTTATCCAAGAAGTTAAAAGATGTGCGCGTAAGTACATAATGTATAATTATGCTAATACAGACTTAACTTAAGAGTTACAGCTACAGTTATTATTATAATGGATCAGGCGCATTGTAATAAAAGAAATTTTTAAGCGAATCGGATCAATGGTAATATCCGACTCCTAATCTAAAATAATTTTAAATTTAAGATGTATTACCCTTTTTCACCGTTTCAGCTGAGTTCTTGTTTCCGGCATACATGGGCTTAACTTCACGTTCGATGTCTTTTATTAACTCTACCAGCTTATGATACTGTGCCATAAACTCCATTTTGTCTTCAGTCACAGGTTTGATGCATGCTTCCGCAGAATATTCAACTAAATTTTTGTCAACAGACATGCTGTCCAACTACACGTTCAATGTACTGTACATTACCGCTTTTAAGGTGAGAAATGAAGTAATGTGCTTTACTTGATTTTTAATATACGTATAATGGAAAGATAGTAAACAATCGTTTAAACTTGACGAAAGAAGAAAAGCCGGAGTCCTCTTTAGCTATCAATGACTACGAATAACAGAGGAAATGCCTCTGACCCTCTGTAATAAGATTGGTACAGTACTGTACTGTGCTGTACTGTACAGTGTATAGGACATCTCAAACAACCGATCACTACTGTACAGTACTGTACAGTACTTTGCGCGTTCAGTAGAGATACTGTACATTGTACTGTACAGTACACTGTACGGTATACTGTACTGTACTGTGCAACTGTTTTATGCTGCACTTAAATTTAGGCGGTATAACTTTTTTTCAATCCTTCACAAGTTGATATCTGCTTCTTGGAGTTCTGTGTAGTGTATTGTCAAATGCTAATTTACGCATATGTGCAGTCCATTTTTCATACAATTTTTGAGTAATCCGTGTTTGCTGTATACAGTATAACTGTCAGTTCGTTTGTAAGCATTCTTTAAGAACTCAGACAGAATCGAATCACAGTACATACAGTACAGAGCATTATAACTAATAATAATACTGTAATTATAATTAATTAATTATAATAACTAATATAACCAATAAACGATAACGATTGCATCGTACAGTATTGATAAAGAGTAAATTTCGCTATCAGATCACTTGAATATTTTACTGTACTGTACGTTAATAAAGCAGAACTTAAAGTAGCTGATTACACTCTTATCCGGGTTTTTTAAGATTCAACTGTTTAACGACTAACAACTAGCTCACTGTAATTTCGCATTTACTCTTAATTAATCAAAATGCAGCAATCACAACAAGAGCTGTTAAATCAGCAACAGCTCGAAGTTCCATGCAAGAAGCACGCTGGAGAACAAGAAAACTATGAATCAACCAAAGATCCTACCGAGATTGATACCAATGTAAGAATGAATGCAGTGTCGTACAGTACGGTATATTCATTCACCCATACAGGGTCTGTAATAATGCACACCAAGCGCATATTATCTGAGAATACGCTTATGTTGCAAATACAATCATATATATTCGTACAAAACTAATGTAATGATGCATCTTGCATGGCAAATATACATGTTCTACTCTCGGCAACAAAATTTCCAGGTAGCATTTACTGCAGACTTTATTTTCCATCCAAATACGCGTATATATATCACGAAAACTTACAGAAATTAGTATGAAACTGGCCAGCCATTACCGGTTGAATCAAATACTTCATGTACGTATGTGATATAATACGATGTATGGCCTTCACAAGCTTAAACTAACTTAGGACTATATGTAACCCGACCTACTGTATCCTATTTGTAATCAACTAAGATTTTCGAAATGTGCAGAATTATAAATTTATAATATGCAAATTATACAACCTCCTGTAACGAGAATGTAACTTGTTGCATTCGGATTTCGTGAACGATATGTACAGTACATACTGTACTGTACATCTCGGCAGTACGAAATAAACCCTACAATCATACTGTAATAAGAGGTGAGATGCTCACTATCTATAAAGTAATTATTTCTACATTTGCGCGTATATCAATACATGGTTCGGCCAAGGATAATTCGTAATAACTAATTTGATACTTTTAGTTTTACTTTTGCTAGAGGCAAACGCAATGTACGCTTGTACGTACGTATAATCGTATTTGATATTGTACAGTACGCGTACAGCGTATGTTCAACTACTGTATGTACTGTACGAACTTGAGTAACTCAATAACATTCCTAATATGTTCTTTTAATCCTAAGGAAATACTGTCCAAAATTGTTGCTTGTGTCCATATAATTCGTAAATGGTAAACGTGTTAACAGTACAACCGCCAGCAAGGTGGCGCGAAATGAGCTAGTTAGATTAATAATACAGCTACTGTAAGCGCTACTATACAGTAAAGCTCGTAGGTACTATATTTGAAGAATCAATAATTTGGTGTAACTTGTAGAATTTATCGGCCTGCAAGTGTAGTCACATTAGCATAGAGGCTACTACAGTTTGCAGTTATGGATGGACATTATTCGAGCGAAAAGTTTAATAATTCCAATTCTGCTTAGCTTATGGATGACGAACGCCCTATAAGGCCCGGTATTGGACAAAAAGGTAAATTGTATTCTTAAATCAAAATTCCTAAATACATACGCGTACGTACGGTGTAAGAGCACAAGAACATGATACTTATGTTATCACGCAATATTCAAGCTGTGAAATCTTTTGAAGAGCTTGTAGCATCAGAGCTTCAAAAGCAGGTATAAGTTGTATAAATATCGTACTATATTTCGTTATCTTCGGTATTTACTAAAATTTCAACTATAGCCATGGTGTTATGCAAGTGTATTGATACTTATGGAATCATTTGGCCTTCTGTTTAATTGTCTCTGTAGGGGTACTCTGATGACCCTATTACACACTCTCCGCTCAAAAAACCTTTCTTAAGGAAAGGCGAAGGATCTGCTCGCTTTTATAACAAGGTAACGACTCAAGCTTTTATTATGCGCATATTACGAATTCACGCGTACAATACCAGTTATTGGCCCTGTTTACGATAGACATACGCATACTTTTAAGTAGATGTGCTAGCTATACTACACCTGTAAATGTAATACTAATGATACAGCACATTACTGTACATATAACGAAGTTCATGTACTTACGTACTAAACAGATTGATACCGATAATTTAGAAATATAGAAGACCCCTTAAAATCAAAAGCAATCACCTTGCAAATACTGAATCTAATAAAGATATCAAGAGAGTAGATGGTACAATTCAAGTGTCTCCCACCAAGAACTCTGAAATCTCAGATTCTACAGAAAGAAAAATTTTACTCCAAACCCAAGAAAGTATTGCAAAGTCGATCACTAATGAATATGTCGTTGACTGTGCCGATGATAATTATGACAAAGCTGGTCTGTCTTCAAGCATGTTAAATCATTTGTCCTTTACGCTCGAAAAAGCGTGGGAAGAGAAAAGAACGGTGTGGTATTATTACCCTACTGTAATAAATTTTACACCTTGTGGCCGAGAGAATTTGCTAAAATTAAGTCTCTTCTAGTCTCGAATTTACTCGTTACTTCTTCTCTGTAGATGGAAGAACAAGAATTAGAAGAATTTGTAAATTTAGAGGAAGCAATAGAAACCATGTCAGTCTCCTCTAATATTTCTCAAGCTCTGAGACAAGGTTTTGATTGCAATAGTCATGAAGAGAATAAAACTAAAACAGGTACTTTTGATTATAAATAAAATAAATATAAGATCATATAAATTTATTTAAAATCTCAGACAACCACCATAGTATATTCGATTTGAAAATTCCCTCATTTGTGTTACGTCAGCTACTAACACCATTATTAAATCATGTACTGTAAAGAACAAGTTCGGAATGAAAAATTGATAAGTAAAGGAGCAGATGAGAAAAAGGAATGTACTAATATGCAAATGTTGGAAGGGCCACTAGGATCTCTCCTACAACATTTGAAATCTGGAAAAGCAAATGATGACGATATCGTGGATAATTATAACGATACAGAAGAAAGAAACGACGAATGTGGTAATGTACTGGTGTCAATATTGTTAGTTCCTATAGATAAAACATTTACCTCAAACAGTAAACACAGCATACAGCTACTAAAATTTCAGATAACAAACGGTGTCAAATAATTCATTCTTACCTACAGGTAGCAAGTTTTCTACTGATGAAAGCTATGAATATAAGGAAATGGAAGATAATAATGCTAACACTTTCGTTGATTTAAAATCAAGCGTACAGTTTGGCGATGATAACAGCTGGAACGATAAAATTGATAACACTGAAAATAGTTTTTTACAATTTCAATCGAAAGCCATCAAAAATTCAAAGAATTCCAATACTAACAAATCAAGGAATGTATCCAATATGGATTCACTGCTAATATTTCCGGAACTGTCATCCGATGTAAAAGGCGAAACTACCGCAGAAGTTAACTTTAGTGCTACACATGAAAGTAGCGAATCACTTTCTTCTCGAAGTTACAATGTTTCTTTAATCCATGACAAAGTAAAACAGCTTAACCAATTAATCGGAAACCATCGCTTTAAATTACGACTATTGGATAATGAAAGAGAAGAAATTGCAAAGGTTTATTTTTACCATTATTCTTAAACCCTGAAATAAGTGTTTGAAATATACTTTGACTATATCTTAGTACTTGATCTCGACTCAGGTGAAAGAGACAATAAAGAAAGAGAGAGATGATTTCTTAATTTGGAAATCGCAGGAAATCAAGAAATTTAATGACATAAAAGAGGATGAAATCCGGAAACTACGTAAACAACGTCGAATATATGAACAGTACCGTAAAGATTCAAAAGCATCATTTAATAAATCTGAAAACGCTGATAAAGAATTGTTAGTGCAACAAGTAAGGAGTGCATAACATCATATTGAACCTAAGTAAATAACTCAGTAGTAATTCTTATTGATATAGCGCCAAGGAGGTATGGAAAGCATTGAACGTATCACCTTCAACTATTCACCACTGCTGTATAATTACTCAATTTAGATAATTAGTATAGGGATCCACACCTTATTTTATTATTAAACCGTATTGTCCGTCTGATTGTTGCTTTTATTAAAAACCACCTGTGCTATAAAACCTATTTCGACACAGGTTAAATTTCTTACACACAGCTTTCACTACCAAGCCTTGCATTGGTATTTCGGTTATCGTCTAGTATATTTTATAAAATCTGAACTAATAGATTAAACCTGTTAGAGCCCGTTCTAATGCCGAAACAAAATGAATTATATGCTTGACCAATCTATTCAGTCTGCGTCCTTGGTTCTGAAATCATCTCCGATATATACAGTATATATATCGGTCTGCTACTTCGATCGTTCGTTTGTCGTTTGCTTTGCCACATAATGTTTTTAATAATATAAATGGCGCTGCTCACGCTGCAGACGGAGCACTACTGACACACATTTATGCTTTATAATGTTTTTAATAATATAAATCGCGCTGTTCACGCTGCAGACGGAGCACTACTGACACACATTTATACTTTATTCGTAGAATTACAGTAACTTAGCTAAATTAAGCTCTCATTATAATAAAAACAATCTAGTCCTATGAATGGCTTTGATAAACGTTTGTCATTTAGACTTTTCGTGTCTAAACCCTCAACGTCGTTTAAAAACTCTAATTCAGCATATAAGTCAACTAATAAAAGTAACATACAATATCCTCTCACCAGGCGACCAAGCAAACAGTCCGATGGCGTAAATCGTTTACTGTATTAATCTGGCATACACAATAATGTTAGTTACATAGTAACTGTACAGCTCTATAATGCTTGTGATCGTAGTTATAACCATGATTGCAGCCCCCCTTTTATTTGCTGTAAGTGTAACTGGCTGGATCTTTGCAATGTACCGTTACCCTTCAAGTACGACTGTAAGCGTTACATTATTAGAATGAATTACTAACTACGGAAAATAGTAATAATAAATTTGTATTACGAAGGAAGCTTGTATAAGTTGCAATATGATCCACTTATTATAACTTTAAGAACGTGCTATTGTGTATCATACTTGTTAATTCATCGTTCCGATTTTATGTACTGTATACAGCTCTATCACTATTTTTGGGGGTTGCTATAACATTTATTATCTCATACATATCTTCTATATCTAGAATTAAATGTAATCAGCAGTGTTAAAAATTGAATTTTCATATCGTAATAGATAAACTGTTTTGCTTAAATTGTAACTATTCAGTGCAAGTCAGTCAATTAATGTGATTCCAAGATTGACCAATAAATGTACTATCTTCAGAAACAGATACTAGAGGACGAGTTAATCAATCGTGAAAAACGTTGGTCTGCAAGTGTAGCCCGTTTGCGCAATCGTATTGACGCTCTTGAGAAGCAAAACCAGGAATTACGTAAAGAAATTGTAATCCTAGAAAGATATCGACTAAAAAATTGTCAAAACCGAGAATTCTTGCATAATCAAAATAATCAGATCGTTATGAGAAAAACAAAGATTTATGATCATAATGGTAAGTACTCACCAAGTCTTGTAATCTAGAACCTATATGAAGCAGATATTTTTATTTTCTCTAATTAGAACCGACAAAAGTTACAACCGGTTCGAATTTCTCTACGGTTAGTACATACTTGTTTATAGTCGCAATTATTTAAAATGTTTCATTCATAATATGTGCTATTCTCTACCTCTGTTAATGAAGAAATGGCCTGAAGACGAAAAAATGTAACTTTCTTGAATTTTATGTACAGTATATAATACGCATTTAATCGATTTTAAAATGCCGATACTTATCTAAACAGAATTATATGATTCTCTAATCATTTAAATCTTTTGATAAGGTTATCGAACAATATTTGCGATTACAAGACCTTAATAGATAAACTTAAGAACACGCCAAAATGTGCAGTTCTTGAAAGTTATGAGCAAGAAGCCAGTGAGACAGTTGCTCACATCGTGAATTTAACAGACAATTACAAAGAAGTACAACACGGAAACGGAATTGTAGAAAGAACGTTTACCGATTGTAGTAGAGTAATATACTACTCTGATGGAAGCAGTAAAGAAATTAATGCTGACGGGACTTTATCTGTTAATTATTTATACAATGGAGATATCCTAAAGATAAGCCCGGACAAAGAGGTAATACAAGTCAAAGAGAGAATAACTATTTATTGGCCGCGATCTCAAGACTACGGTAACTAAAATTTATCTTTTTGCAGGTTTATTATTACGCAGCTACGAAAACACACCATACTACATTTACCGATGGCCGCCAAATACTCAGATTTGCGAAGTATGTAAGCAGTAGCTTTCTTTATATTTAGCATACTTACGTGGGTATGTAATTTCATTCAAGTTTATTCAAATAATATAGTCTGTTCGATTTACTATCACAGTAACCAAGCCGAGATCCACTACCCAAACGGAATGAAAATTGTCGTTTTTCCCGATAAAAGTATTAAATATATCAGTCCTGATGGAATGGAGGAGAATTATGAAAAGATTGAAAGCTTAGAATCGTCACATTCGGAAAAATCTAAATTACCCGATTCGACAAGGTAACGAGTATTGCCAACAGTCTTATTCTGCGATCCTTTATTACGTAATTACCAATGCCACCGGCTTCCATTTCCTATTGAACACAAGCTAGTAAACTGATAAGCAAGATAAATATTGTTTCCTAAATAAACCACTAAGAATCTGCATACGATAGACAATCGCGAAACTCATTGATTTTTGTAATATCGTATTACAATTTTCTTATAAGCATTGCTCTAAAACGGAATGTAAAGATCAGATCTTTCATATCGTTTAATCGTAAGGTTATTTAATTTACAAAAGTATTTTATATTATATCACGTATTAAAAGCACAATTATATCATTGTCATACACAGTTGCTCTTATAATGGACTAACTGTTGCTTATGAGAACTTGAGTATACCAAATTACCTCCCTGGACGAATGAAATATAAACAGCTGTAAAAACTATGCAATACTGTGTGAAATATCTAACCATCAAATATTGTCCGAGTGTTGACGAAATAAATATAACTTAACCTGTAAATCAAACATTAAGACTTAGCGAGACATTTTTTAGAATTCATTAAGCTCTATAATTTATGATATCCTGATCAACCTATGGCTCTCAAGCCTTAAAATATATGGTATGATTGATTCTTTAATAATATTTTATCCTGTATCAATCCTGTACAAAATTATGTTTACTGTACTTTTTTGTTACGGAACCGTAGTTGTATTATGCCTACAGTACTAAGACTATACTGTACACTGTACAGTACTGTACAGTAGCCGTAACCAAACTTATTATTTCTTAATATGAGTACTGTACTGTACAGTACTAGCTAGCACTTATAGATTTAATAAGCTTTCATGATAAAATGATATTTTTAACGATAAAGCAGTCAACAGTGTCTAAGTGAATTTTCGATTTCAAGCTGTAACGCTATTCTCAGGAAGTTCCTCTATATATTCGTCTAGAGAAGAAAATTAAGATACATAATTAAACTATAGAAAGTATGTATGATGCACAAGGTCCTGTAGCAGAAAAGACTCTGAGGAGTACTAGTCCAAAGACTGATAATAACAGTACACCAGCACTGACAACCCTGCTGTAGATAATAGTAGCAATTTTTGGTCAATATACATTTTTTAAGCCTAGATACTCCCACTTCAGTGCTGACATTTTTGTGTCTGCAGTATTTCTAGCGGTCCAAAATTTCAATACTGGCGATGTTTTTAGCGGTAAAGACTATATTATTTTATCACGTTACTGTATGTCAAAAATCCCCCCTCACTCGCTCATTCAAACGAGCAGCTGGGTGTTTATGCCCTTACTCGATGCCTTCGATTATAATTATGGGTGAAATTTACATAGCTCAGTATGAAATTCCTACAGTATTTTTGCCTATAGATTTGTTCCTGCGTTCGGGATTTCTCTAAGGTAGTGATTGCTGCAGTGTAGAATCCAGATAATTCGTACACTACGATATGCAACGGGCTCAGTTGTACGTAGATGCAATAGATGCGCTGATATGCGTTTTTTTGAGATATTTTTCTGATACTGATTTTGAGTATGCAGTCTGCACAACAGACTTATGCCAGAGGCTACTAAAGAAGGAACGTTCACTCTACCAATACTTGTAGATAAATGACGTTTTGAAAGTTCTAGGATTAGTGCGGTACCTATATTATGACTCAGAGTACTTATGTTAGAACCAAAGTGAAGAACCACAATGATTAGGACTTCGAAGTGTTAGGAAGGCTTACTGTAAATTATATGTTATGTAAACAACCTACGGTATAAAAGCCGGGAGTTTTTAAGGGAGAGCTGGAGATTACAGTGTCGGCAGTTGGAGCCAATATTGTGCAGTATGAACTATTGGACATTTATAATTCGTAAATTGTAATCTCACTAAATAATCTACTATGGTTATCAACTATGTCATAGTATTAATAGAGTGACTTCGTAAAGGTCAGTCTTAGATGCGCACGTATTCAAACCTCATATGCATGTACAGTAGAACCTTCTAGAATACTCATTCTATGTACTGTATATTATAATAACTACTAATAAGTTCTAAAATATTCTATGATAGATTATATATATGAGCGTTGCTGTCATATTTTATAAGTCTTAATAAAGTTCTATACTTTGCTAAATACGCTGTCTCAACATTTGCTCGAGAACTTTATTACAAAGTATATTACGTGTGATTTTTATTATTTTTTAAACTGATTTAAAAATATTTTACAAGATGGCGTCTAACGTTTATAAGCCAACATAAGCACCTCTGTGGGATATTCTACTTAATGGATATATAAGAAACAAGACTAACACGAAGAGTTCTGAGTAATTAACTAATGAATACGATAGAGCTGTTTACAGTTCGCAGTTGTACTAGGCCATGGACTACTAGTAGTCCTTGACTAGGTATACTGTATTAACTCGTAGCTAGTCGTTAGTGGCATGCTAAGAATACACTAGAGATAATTTTAAAATGCTAGTTCTGGAAATATTGACGCCTATGGTGTACATGAACATAACATTAGCATTGTATCATAAGGGTAACTGCTATACTAGTACAGTATTCTGTACAGTGCACAAGTGCAGCTTACGAAAATTAAGGACAATATAATTTCGTACCATATTGTAGCTGAAGAAACTAGAGACAAATCATGACCCAGCTTTATGCAAGTGTAGATTACTATATAAACAAAGCGTATTAAGTTATTACAGGAAATGACCAAATTAGATCAACAGTACTCTAGTATTGATTATGTATTCGCCTGATTCACAAACACATATTCTTTGAATAAATCTGACATATTAACATAAATAGTTATGTTTATTCCAGTCATAATCATACAATGAATCTATCCACCTTCGTGTACTTTAGAGTAAATATTCACTCATCAGTTATCCAATAGGCTACTTAAATCAACCTTAACTAAAACTTAAATTTACGTAAGAAAGCAAAGTTTTACTTCGCCAAGTATCACAAAGCGTATAGATACCCCACATCGGATACATGTCTGGCGGTTATGAAGTACAATACTACTGTATCTTAGTTTAGAAATAGAGGTAAGAATTGAAATACATCCTTTTAAATTTTCAAAGGAAGCTGAGCGTTCAACTAAGCTAGAGCTCCCATTGGATCCCAGGCAGGAAGAACTATCGGTTTCTGTTCTAAAATAGTCAAGATGTCTTTTGGAATATGTTTCTTATCAATGACTACTTCAAAAACAAACTCGGAAAACCAATCATCGGTCATAACCAGATATCCTTTCTCTCCCGAAGAGTCACCCCATGAATTCTCCACACGCCATTTAGATGGCTGCCATTCTGATCGCCTTTCTATCTCATTCAGGTTTGTTCCATCTTTCTACAACGACAATTAATTATCAATACATGCTTAACATTAAAAAATTAAGATTTACGTATCATACAGGTGTCATGTAGAAATGAAAATTTTTGTAATAGAATAAGATTAAAACCTATCGGGTCAGAATATAATTATTTCCCAGCCCCAATTCAAATCCTACCATTTCAAAGCTAACGCCAGTAAGCAACATAGCATGAGTCATTAAGGACTCTCCATACAAGAGTCTACTTTTCTTATCCAAATTTAAAGATGAAAAGCCGAAAACAAGGTCATGCTGATGGCTGTAATATAGATATAGGACAGTTTACAATACAATCATTAGTACGCAAACCCATGCAATCTATTTTTCACTTTTATACTGTCATGATAACATATTAACCTTCTACATATTATAAATTATGATTACTGTAATCTTAAGCATAAAAATTTCTATGAGTGTGCGCCATACCACTTTAAATCTAGCAGTCCCAACTTTCTAACAAAGTGCTTCCCAACGTCGCAACCGAACCAGACTGGCTACAGAATTTCGAAATGATCATTAAATTGTTTACAAAAATATAACTCGCCTTAAAAGATATAGTTTCCCACCTTGTAATAACACAATAAATCAGCGAAAGATTACAGTAATATGATATAAGATTAATTCACACAGCTTACTAAGTATTACGAAATCTATACTACAATCTGTAAATGAATAAAGTACCTACAATATACGTTTCAATACACACAAATTACTGCTATCGTCATCTTCCTGGAGTTATTAGCGTTGTACAAATATAATGCATTGACAGCAAAATTTCTTTACTAAGAGCTATGGAACTATGGTGATTTCTTCATGTATAAATTATAAATATCCTAATAAACCATCCAAAAAAGTTGATGTAGAAACTTCTATTACCTCTCCATCCCTTATCGCTGTGCTTGCAAGTTTCTTTATAACATCCATTGGTTGATTATTATACAGGGTTATTCGTCCATTCGACATATTATTTAAATACTCCACAGTATAAAGCTGTCCATACGGATTTCTGGGATCATTTACGAGGCAGATCTAAAATAATGTGTTAGCTCTTAATGATTTCATACATATCGTAAAAATAAAATTTTAAAATAATATCCACAAAAGTCCCTTATTATTTACTGTTAAGATATATATAGCATATACTAATAACATTACTTTGTCGTCCATATTAAAAACAGGCTTTACGTATTTCTGGTAGAATAACTGAGGAGAAACATCCGAAACCGTGTTGAACTGTTTCAGTTTATCGTAATATTCCCAAGTAAATGAGCTCGGAGGACTACCAAGACATATACAACAAACACCAAATATCTAGACCACGGATAAAATCTTATCTTAACTTCATAATCAATAAATAGCCAATTCTCGTTTTAAACGTATCCAATGACTAATCCAGTAGAATAATACAATTTATAATAAACATGGTAAATTTCGCCATTCTATAGTCATATATACTTTGCATTGTGTGCAGGTATAGCTCGGCACTACGTCAAATGTCTTTACTGTATGCACCGAACCGTATTCCGCAATCAAAAATACCGCACTGTACAGTTAGACCTATCTTGCACGATGATATAATCCAAAATATGGATTCATTTATATATTTCATCGTGACAAAAATATGAACCCTTAACGTATACAGTATACTGTATATGCTAGCAGAGTGCCCATTCACTTCGTTTATTCATACAGGGTACTAATAGTGTAATAGTGTGTGGATTAAACGCTATACTCAATATTTCCGCAAACATAACGCCTATAATGATTCCGTAATGTACAATTAAAAATTTCCAAAACGATAAGCAACAATCAGTGCAATTCTAATATTTTTATGGCATGTTTTATCTTAAGTGTACAGCTGGGCGGAAATCGGCTAAAAGACAAGAATATTTCTGTACATATACCGTAGATCGTAAAGTAATAATTACAATTCAATATTTTAGAAAAAGTTGTTATAACGAAGCGTATGAACATATCATAAAGGTATTAACTGTACAGAAAAACATACAGCTAATTTGTACCATACATTATATCCGACAGTAAACACCTATGATAAGAAATCTATCGAGGCAATCAAATACAATTACCGAACTGCAATGTTATCCTGAATATGCATGAAAGTCTTACATTTACATTTACATAAAATATGTACAATACTTGCAGAATAATAATTCTATTTATAGTACCTCCTTCATCATAGTATCTTTTTCTTTCTGCAATTCTTCTTTGTTAGCGTTTGTATCTAATACCAAAGTCCGGATACGGTAAGCACATTCTCTAAGCTAAAAGTAGAAGCAATGATATGACTCCTACAACCGAAAAGATACTTGTGTCGATGATTTTCCTCACTCATGGATCTGATAATCACAAAGTAGCCATTTTCATACTTGTACCACTAAGGTATTTTGTACATAGAATGCTACAGTAATGCAACACTTCATAATGATAACGAACAGTAAATATTACAGTTTTCTAGATTCTATACCGTGTACTTCAACACGGCTGCGGTATTGGTGCTGAACAGAACTATAAACAATAATCTCACCTGTAACTGAGACTACAGTAGTCAATTTCTTTCAAGTGCTCTCTACCTCAACATGAATTCATACGTATTTCACAAATCTACATTAACTTATATCTACGTGGATATGCATACTACTATGATCCGTTTAATTCTGACAGAAAACAGCTAAGCATTTTTCTGTCTCACAGTTCATAACTTACTCTCAATATTCTAATCTCTAATTTATATGCTGGTATACATAATATACAGTATATAACCTTATTAAGTACTGTACATATTAGATACATTTAATAGGGACTCTTACGGTACAGTATATACCTAAGCGATGAATAGTTAAGCTAGTTGATGAAAAGGAAATCATATATAAATCATACTGTAAAACTAAACACGTTAATAAGATGACTGAATTCGACTGTTAATTAAGGATTAGATTATATTACAAATACGTAGCGACATCGCAGACTTTCACTCTAAAGAGGCTATAAAATATGTATGTCTATATTGCAACGAAAAGTTTACTATAACATAAATGAAGTAAGATGTCGTATGCCAGATATGCATAGCAGTACCTTGTAATTCAATATTCTGTTGAAATCACGAGATGCTTCAGAGCAGCTACTTTCTTTCCAACACTTCTTAGGTATTAGCCCATACTTTTTAATCAAATTAACAAGCATATCCCACTGACCACCATCATTAACTGGATTTGATAGTAAAAACATCATGAGGCGTCCATCAACTGCTTCTTTCTTTCTCGCAACCTCCTCAAATACATCGAGGAAGTAATTACATCGCTCAACTTTATCCCAGAAAAACAAGTAAGATTGACTGAATTCAAATTCTTCCAATTTATGAAATCGAATAAACGGAATACGTATGGCATTTAAACATGCAAACAACCAACAGCGTCCACTACTAAGTTGATTACTGCCGATAAAAGTCATCATAAATGCAATATTAGTTAAATAGCCCACTTAATGTAATCATCTATCAATCTATTAGAGATTACCTTATACGCGTACTGCGCTGTGACTGATATTTCACCTAATATAATTAACTTACTGCTATAGTACTACTATTACATAGTTATAATATCTTACAATCAAGGATACGTTCGAAAATTATCGTAATATTGATCGCACCTCTAGTATGACTCTAAATATAATTTGATTCTATTTGTGCTACGCAGTATAATCTCATTACACTCTGCTTTTTAATTGATTACCCACACTTGCCTAAGTGCCTGAGTTACGATGTATACAGTACGGTTAACATACTGTATATGCGACTCATATATTGCATCAGATCTCACAAATTCACTTTACTCCGTTTTAAATTTCCCACAATGTTGCAACTTGCAAGTTATAGATAATATATCAATTTGATGCAGTTTTTTAGCTTACATACACCAGTATGTGCAGTACATTATAGTATATAATAGTATACATACAGATGTTGATAAGCTACTGGTAAGTCGTTGTAACAAACATCGTTTATAAGTCGACAGTATAAGCGCCGACGACACTAATTTTATATAAGTATTATATATTAGTAACAAATGTTAACTTGTGGCACAGATGATGATAAATATTTATCACGAAAATAATGAAAAGCCGACTCATACATGCATATACGAGCATATTAATCCGCAAGTACAATGCATATTGCAACGTTTTAGGAGTATATTAATCAAGTAAATTTAACTGGGTACACTAGAAGCACAAGCCAGGTTTCAACGAACCGAACTGCAATGTGCACAGTCATATAGTAGATCTGAAACTAAATGCAACAACGATCAGACAAGATGCCGAGATGATTCAGAATTAGAATAAGCTTTATTACAGCCGCACAACTGCAGGATGGATCTTGATCGTTGCATCGAACTTAGTAGTGTACGCGTAGTCTGCAACTACAGTGCTTCACATTATAATTATCATCAAATTATCCTCATTTATATTCTATGATTCTACTTTACATGCTCAGTGTTATACTGTATTGTCACTAGAACAATGCAATAGATATGTACACTGTAAGTACGTATACGCGTATAGTGCTGTAATATACTGTACACTCAGTGTACAGTAGTACTTCTATTATGTTGCACCACTAAATAGCAAAATCTAAATCAGCAGAGTGATAAACTCATGGGAAGGCCGAGCTAATTTATCCAATATCAAAAATTCTGAAATTCTGTCCTTAAGTATCTCATCTATTATTATAACTAATTAATTTTTAATAAAACCCCATGCAGTACTTTATTAGCTTAAAATAGAGCCTTAAAATCACACTATACAAGTACTGTTTTGCGTGGAATTTCCACGGGTTTCGCTAGTAGGCAATTAATTAATTATTACACCTGTATTAAAAAAATTAGTTCCGGTTAGTTTACAGTAATTAGTACAATTTTAGAAAGCACTAAGAATATGCTTTAGCGCCGAACCCTAACCCTAATGATTGATCCGACTTCTCAGTATACGCATCTTAACTGCATATTATTCTTAATTATTGGTAACCCACTGCTTGTGATAATTTGCATATTTGTTAACTATACAGCACTTTACTTGTGCACAGGTTCTTATCATATTATGCCCGTTGTGGTGTGATTTATACGTATATTATTATATACAAAATCTACAAATTACTGTGCCTGCATTGCTAAACTCTGTAAAGTGAACGAGGCAAAGCATATTTTCAACTGTAAAATTTTATTATAGTACAGTATAGATGATGTATGCGTATGCACTTGCATAAATGTATCGTGTGAGCAGAAACGGTCGAAAAGAGAAATACAACAAATTTTTTCATGAAGGTATCACGCATCGGTAAAACGTAACCTTTGTAGTTTAATAATGTACGAGATAGTACTTGGTCAAAAATTATATTTCCAATCCCTTATCGCTTAACGGCAGTTATAGTACAGTATGAATTACTAAACTGCTGGTTATTTAATAATAATTCGTATAATCTATGACAGCCCTGCAGCAGCAGGGATGACTTCCCATTTTGAACTCCAAGCTATAATAATGTAGACGGTTTATGGTCGAAATGCTTGCCCCCGTACTGTCGGGAAGTAAAAATATATTGTGGTTTCGGTTCAACTAAAGTGATTTCTTCGAATTATAATTAAAGTAATGAATTTCTATATTGTATGTTTGCACTAGTAACTATAATAAAATAATCGAAGGAACTAGAAGGACAGCTTGACTGAAAAAGAATCGTCAGGTACGTATTTTACTGGACAAAAGTATTTCTCAATGTAATGGCAATCATTCACGAAAGCGAGTAAATACTTAAGATAAATTAATTTGCTGCTGCAGCTAACGTATTTTGAATATTTTTGATTGACTGATTGATATTATTTCTAAAATTGAAATTAATAATTAAAATCTTATCTTCAGATCAATTTTATTTTATTTTATTTTATTTTATAATTGTAAAAATAAACCGTTCAACTCATGCTGTACTGTACACAATATACTGTACAATGTAGTGTACAGTACAGTACAGCATGTGGCTATGTGGATATACAGTACTATACTGCACAGTGTACACTACAGCCGTATACTCACGTTATTGGTTTGGCTTCTGAAACTTTGTATTGAAAGACATGGGAAGTCGCATTTACAATAGCCCGATCAAGATATGTCTCAGAAAGACCATGGCGCGTGATGACGTTTCTTGCAATTAAATTTTTAGCATCGCCTTCGAAATCTCTCTTAAATTCTTCGATTAATTTCTTATCTATACCTGGAACAATTTCGTCTTCGCCCATATCTGCTAATGTTCCCTCTATCTTTGTCTACTGATTACTGCAGTATAAACTACAGTATACAGTATAATCTAGCTGTTACACTGCTGTACACTGTACAGTACAGTACAGTACTGTACAGTACTATACTGTTGCTGAATTCGTATTTTCCCGCACCCTCCAGTATCAGAACATGAAGACCTCTAAATGTACAGTACAGTACTGTACAGTATACTGTACTGTACTGTATACTGTACTGTACAGTACCATTCAATCTGTAAAGTACAGTACTGTACTGTAAGTGTGATTTTGAGACCATGTCTACTGTACGTACTGTACAGTACTGTACAGTACATCGGCTACTCCGATGAGATTCATATACTGTACAGTATACTGTAGAATGCCCGAATCCTTACAAGGACCGTGACAACCTCTTAAGTTCTCTTTGTTAGAAGCAAATACTGTAGAAAGAGGAGTGTATCGTACTGTACAGTACAGTATAGTACACATTTGTAAAAATCACAGATTTAAGTTTATCGCGCTTAGAAAGTCTACAGTTGTTAAAGATTAGGAGAATATTGTCAGTAGCACGTTTCTTTTCCATCGTAACTAACGTTCTACAATGTTATAGAATTTATGTAACTTGTGATGGCTTTGATATCCATGCTAAATTCAACAACACCTCTCTTATAAATAAAAGGCCTAAAGTTTTATTAAATAATAACAATAAAATAGGCAATGTACCATTGTACAGTATAAGAATATGTAGAAGTTATTCACACCAAATAATTTTGGCAATCTGACGTAGTCATTTATATTCTACTGTAATGACCGACATTTTTAATCTCAAAGATCATATCTTTCTTCAATAGCAAACGCATTCCTATCCATATAAAACAACTCGACCATGGACTATCTGCAAATCATGCCGTTACATAAACCAACATTGAGAAGCAGCAGTTTGTGAAACATAAATACTGAAAAATCATAAGAATCAATCATTTGCAATTATACAAAGACATTCGCAAGCCAACTCCTCAAAAATTGGTATGTTCATGGCTTTTGCTAAAGCTTCATCAGGATTAACTGCTGTATTAATATCGTTTAACATTTGTCTAAGATGTTTGTTCTTTAATAATTCGACCATAAACTCACTGCTCCCTACAAAATATGAAAGATTAGCATTACATGTAAGAATTTACGAATATACTGGAAAAATTATATTGGACTTTCGACAATATACTGTATTGCCTCACACACCACGTCTACTTAGATTATCAATTATCTAGAAGCATAATATAAATTAAAAACCAGTTTCCTATTAGGCTCCGTTTTAATAAATTAATGTATACTAATACAATAAATGTACAGAAGTAAGGCACTCGCCATCTGATAAGTTACTGTAAACCTCATCTATTCACTCAGTAACAAGATCAGGCAGATACATATATTTTCATTTACTGAGATATTTTAGCACGTTACTATGATACACAGAACATAAATAAGGCACGATATTAATATAATTTCTTATCAACATACGTATAAACTGCACAAACATACAAAACACTAAAATGAAATATTTTAGGATTTTTAGAGAATGCAAAATCTAACACATATATCTTATTCCTGCGTTCAATAGTGTAGCAACTGTAACAAAGCAGATTCCTAGAGGACACCTTCTACTAACTACAATGACCAAAACTACAGTTGAACCAAAATACACTGAATACTGTATAGAGAATTAATTTATATAGCTTTTATCTGTTTTCTTTATATTTCTCTTAAGGTATCCTACATCGACGACGAAGAAGCATTCTTTATAGCTATCAATATCGAACTGAATGTTCCACTTTGAATAAGAACTAAATCAAGAATATTACTCATTGTCAACTCTAACGACAAAGCTACAGAGAAATAACTCAAGCAGAGATGCATTTTTCAAGGGCACAACAGTAAGAAAACCTATAGAGTCAATACAAATTGCTCTATATTTATTTAAATGTATTTCGGTTTTCATCGGTTGCAGCATGAGTGTGGTGGCAAAAAAGGATAGAAAGATAACGACCCTAAATTCGTCAATGAATAGGAATAGAACGAACCATACGAAGTTTACGAGTGCCACTACCACTACAACACTGTAGGCGAAATTACTACAATCAAATTTAATGTATACATACCTATACATTGCAACTGCTCTGCTGTAATGCAGGAGTGACAACTTAAATCATCTCCATTATCAGAAATTTCCCCTTCTTCCTTTCCGTAAGATAGTCCTCTCATTTCTTTATAACACAAATTAGCTTTCGGTATTCAATTAAGCCATTATAAATCATTCATTAACATAATATAACAAGATATCATGTAAAGAATATATACTAGATTTCATACAAAAAATCTGCAGCATTTATACCTGTTGAGTAATATTCATCCCAGTTATCACGTCTGCTATAAAGCTGACTAGTTTCCTTACTACATCTATCTATAGAAGCAACGAGATTTCGAAAATATTTTTAAGAAAAAAATAGTACATTTCGCTTAAAGATTTATTATGATCAATTAAATAATAACAAAATAACGTGACGACTGTGTCACAAACAATTGTTATAACTTTCGAATCTACACATACGAGCGTATAAGTACAACACTCAAGTGAGACTTTCAGCTTTAAACGAAAATTCTTATTAATGAGACACAGCCATCTTAATTAACAAGGACTTTTGTACACTTCGCTGAAACTACCCTATTGGCGTATCATATCATTATGGACAGGTGACAGGTCTATGAAACAATTAAAAATAATGTAATCTTCCAGCAGCGCAAACCCATTTTAAAATAGCATTATTTAAATTTTTTTATGAAACTCGCACACGGGAACATCACGCGTCAGTTGATCAGGATTGTTTCAACGAAGTGTACAAAAGATCATATATATAAGATGGTTACGTCTACTCATCTAACTCTATATTATGTACTTCAAATGCTGTAAACAGAAAATCATATTGTTGATAATACCAGTTAGTTCTGGTTCTGTTCACTTATGTGAAGTATCACGATGTAACTACATGTAATAATAATTATAACAGAGTAAAATTTCCAATTTCGCAAATTAGTACGTACGCATATGTACATTTGTACAGTATACTAACTGATTATAATTACTAGTACATAATTAACGAAACCGAAAGTTTCTCCGACACTACAAAATCCCAGTAACAGTACTACATAACGTACTTGCCATTGCAGCTGAAAACCATAATTAACTGACGAAAAATACATTAAATACTGTAGAAAAATGCTCTACATTGCTCACCCAAGAAGCTCTTTACGATCATTAGCCAACATATCAAACTACGATTAAGTTAGGCACTATAAGAGCACGTTCTCTATGCACTTTATGATGTGCGTTAACATTTGCTGTACACTGTCCACAGCGTTTTAAAAAGTAAAAAGTATTACAGTAATTACCAGACATACGGATCTCACCCTGCCATTATTTACCAAATCAGTCACATAGGCTTACCTTTATGCTCTTTGTAGCAATATAGAGAGCAGCTATGAAAACGTAAATAAATAAGTTATTTTTTCAGCATTTAGTTCGATTCAAAAATAAGTGGTCTTAGAGCTACATAAATAAATAATAAATACTATATAGATACGTGCTACGCATTTACAGTGAGATAAGCAAGTTTGGATTTCAGCAATTTTAATTGTGATGTCTGACCAATAATTGAATTTCATTATAATTATAAATTACTAGTTGAGCTCACTTGCTTGAAGCGAGCGCACTCGATCTGCAATCTTTCACTGAAACTAAGGCCTGCAATAACATACCCTTTGCACTGTCTGCTATATCTGTACGTACGCTGTACCTTATACTCTCCACTGCAAAGTGGCAGCCAAGACCAGGCGCACAAGCAGTATTTAGCTGAAATAGCCCTGCTAAGTCGCCTTTGTAATCTTTATGGTCTTAAACTCACTAATATGATATATATTATACAGTAGGGCCAATCACAAGTAAACAGAGTTGCAAATTGAATGTTGTATATGAATTTCATATACATCATCGAATTTGTAACTCTGTCAAAATATTTAATACGCATCAATGTCATAAGTAAATTAATTATTCAAGGCATTATCTGCATATTATTTTATGACCTATATCCAATACATCAATGAAAGTTGAAGACGTTCGTCATGGAGCTGGGATTACGAAGGAACTCTTGCGTAGTAGCCGTAATACAAATTTCTTTAAGCTAACTGACTGTTAGTGCACAGTACTGTAAGTTATAATGGACAATCACATACTTCTGTAACGCTACCTAACAGTAAGCAGATTCGTTACAAATTGGAATTTCAAAAAAGTTTGAGTTCACAGTTTAATATAGGAGAGACGTGTGTAATTTTCTGTAACTTGACGATGTAGACGTCGTAGAGGACAGTCCCGACAATAGGTTCATACAGCATATTACCTAAAAGTAATTTAATTTTCTCGCTACGTATTTCAATTTACAATAGCACTGTATAGTAAAATGACGATCTTTAACAGAAACTAATTAATTATATAGAAACATTATGTAGTTGTCGATAGCGCACAACAACAATCCCAGAAAACCATCAAAGGTCATTTGTTGAGATTCTGTAAAAGCAAGTTCATAGCCCCAGCACACGAGACTGGTAGCTAAAGACCTTAGGAATGCTGGTGTGCAGCGACTGAAATCTGCGGTTTTACGTAACGTACATTGTTTAAGTTTTACCATGCAGGTAAGGGGAAATCTTTCTCTGCCATTAGAGTTTTACAATTTACAGAATCAGTTTATTATACTCAACGAGCGTACACGGTACGATGTCAGCATCGTAATTCTGCAGCATACTAACAGTAAATTTGCTAATATTATAGAGCACAGTAATGAGCAATTCATTTAAGTTACAGTATGTGTAGTATAAGAAAAGCATAGTGTGCTATGTCTTCACCTTATGCATATCTTAAACCTAGTCTTCATGAACTCGAAGAAGATTGTGAACGTAGTATGTACAGAACGTGTATAGCAGTTCTCTAACAAATTTTGAAACTACATAACCACGCTGAACACATCATAGTAATCACGACTCGCTAAAAATCCGTAGTTACTTAGCTCTAGTATACTATTCAACTTACTATCTGGCATTGCACTTGGGGCATCTATATATACCTTCCTTCACTGTACAATAAGTGCATAGTTTGGAGGCCATAGTTTCCATTCAGAGGATAAACAACAACAATCATATACCTATAATTTTTAGTCGCTCTTACTTTATGACTTCTCGTATTTTAAAGTTTCTACCAAGGAAGAAGTCACACTAAAAATAATGGACTAACAGTACTGTACTGTACACTACAGTACAGTAGATTAATAACCACGGTGGGCCAGAAGACTCAGACGGTGACGGTAAAAATAGCACGTACGAAGGCAATGACACTGACGACAGTGACATAAAAACTAGTACAGTACGTCATTGCCCTAGGTCCTCGGGTGATCGGACATTTCGCCTCACATTGTCTTAAATCTGAAAACTGTTTTAAACACTTCACTATGCTTCAGTATCTGTACTGATACTTAATTTAATTTAAAATTAAAATTTAATTTAATTTATTTTTCCATAGTACCGTACAGTATTGGCATTTTTTGATCACCTTCGGTGTAATTTTACTAAAGATGTGCTAATGTACTGTACAGTACTCTACATTCAGTAACTGATTTCAAAGGCGAAACGAAACTTTGGTTTACTTAACGAACTAAAGTACAGTATATAGTACTGTAGTTCACAGTACAGCATACTGTAGTGTACAATATGTACTGTATCGCATTGTACTGTACACTGTACAGTACTGTACAGGGTACATTGTACAAACCCGCCACGCCCGAGAACCTGTAATTTGTACCGTACAGTACTGTATTGTACTGTACACTGAGTGTACAGTTCTTAGCACACAACCGTACTGTACAGTACAGTACAGTACAGTAGATACGATGGAACCGCAAGCTAACAAATAAAATTTTTTAATTTTATGCCTTTTTCAGTTAATACTACTGACCAAGCCAGCTGAGTCAAGTTTCAACTACTTTATTACTACAGTATTGCGAAACGTATATAATTGTAAGTGGAACACGCACAATCGCATGAATATTATATATTTGATATTACTGTACAGTACATTATTCTTTTTATTATTTTATTTTATTTTATGTTATTCGTTTAGACATACTACCTTCAAAGACAGCGATCGATCTTACATACGCAGCTTTTGCAATGTATAGCGGAAATACTGGTTCTGCCAATCATCACCCGCCTTCATATCCAGGCTATCCACCAGCTCAGTCAGACGTTCATGCTATGCCTATGCCCGTAATTCCACAAAGTCATTACTCGTCAACGCGTCTAAATAATCCCCCGATTGACGTTTCATCAGATATTTCCACATTTTTGGGAATATTACGCGGTAAAACTTCCGACGACCTTCAAACCCTTTTACACAATGAAAGTAAGATAATTTCTATGATTGGTGAATCAGATCAGGTAAGTTTGTTATTATAGTATGTTATATACAGTACATCGATTTTAAATCTAGGGGAATTTACAACATTGTTAATGCTTACATCTACCTTTAAAATTGTATATTTTTATAAAACCAAAATAACTTTTTTATACACGTACAATGAGCCTACGCTACAGTCTATGTTACATTAGCAAGGACTCTGACATTACTTTCAATTTCTTAATGCAACAACAAATGATGAACTTACGAACGAAAGTACTACTGTGCCATCAAATGAAATTATTATTAGTTTAGATTTGTATGAGACACTGTTAGGATTGCTGGAACAGTTTGAATTTACGAATATAGACGTGTACTATGCATAATACTGTATGTTTTTGGCGTTACATTCTTATGCTGCGTTAAACGTACGCGTACAGTAAGCGCATATTATATGCATCGACCTTATTGTATTATCCTATATTGCAATATATACTATGCGTGTATTATTGAAGGTTCGGAAAATGAAGTCGACTATTCAAACTTCAACAGCAAGAAATCAAAGCTTAGCCGACTACAACTTAAAAAGGAAACCCGACCTTGAGAGTCGTATCAATAGTTTGAAACAAGTTCTGGAAAAGTACAAAACACTACGCGATGAATACGCACAGAAAGTACAACTTCTCGGTATAATAATCCTAGCGATGCATAATAAATTAATTAATGATATTGTACTACTACAACGGTAATACTATTGCTTATAGGCAAAGCAGTTATACTGTAATACTCTCTATTAATTAATAATGGATATATATATATATATATAATAGATGATTGATATTACAATTTTGATTTTGATCCAAAATTTCTCTCATACTTGGTAACTAATATTGACATCTAGGGAATTACCGTATAGATTTAGACACAATCTCTGCTCTTATGAAAGCATCTGTTGCTCAAAATGAAGAAGAAGCAGAAGTAAGTTATGGCCAGCGTACAAATTAATTATAGATCCAGCAATTAATTTAAAGGGGAAGCTTTCAAAGCTAGTAATGAGTTGAAATCAAGCTTTAGCAGCATTCAGATTCGATTACGTCAGTACAAGAATTATATTGGCTTTATTTATCCATGACTTTTTACACTTTACTTACTTCACGGATTACATAATTAACTATTACATTAAATAGTATTTTATAACTCTGCGTAAATCTTGATAGACGCTAGCAGATGAATTTATGGATAGGAAGATATCTGTTGAAAATTTCGTCAATGAATTCTTAGAAAAGCGAAAAGAAGCCCACTTACGGATAGCAAAATCTGAGAATTTAATAAATATTATCTCCCAAAGTGGTTCTCAGGCTAATTGGTACGTAGATTACCGTTTCGTAATTTTGTGGCAGGATTACTTGTCGATGATTCCCTTTGAATATTAGAGTATAAATGACGGCTGATATACACTAATTTACTCTTCACAATAATAATAAATGTTTAGGTAAAGATCTGACCTCTGCAATTAAACGTCGTTTCATCACTTCTCAAGTATCGTATTTGTACCAAGCAGTAGTGTACCGGATTGCACCCTCATATTATAATACTTGATATCAAGTTAGTCATTTCACATTTCATTAACTGGTATAATGAGTAAATATTAAACAGTACCTCGATATAGTATTTTTTCCACTATTCAGTCACGCTGCTGCTAAAAATTTCGAATTAAGCTTCGATCATACAGTACATTATGAATTTTTGTAAAAAATTTTCTGGAATACACGTTTAGAGTTTTATTCGCAGTTTGATGTATTTATAATTTCAATTCAACTAATTTTGATAAGTGCTCAGCTTATTTTGCGGAAATATATGGCATACATGCTTTAAATCTCCGATAACAGCAAATTGCATTAAAATATATATCTAATTCATTATAATTATTATTCACAAATTATCCTCATATTAGGAAAATGATTATGGCATTTTCTATCAAATACACCTAGCATTAAAGAAGTATACGTATATTGTAGTGGTTACAATTTTATTGTAGAACTTGAAATTGATAACCATCAGAAAGAATGCTTGATTCTGCATGTAATTGCGTAGAAATCGAAAGAGAAATATTAGCATCAATTCCTCAGCTTTAACGTGTGAACTGCTTTGCGAACTGAATTGCTGAATAATGTAGTGTACTGCACGTAAATAAATACTTAATTAAATACTTTGCAAGTACTGTACTAGTAATCAATACCATACCGTAGCGTATACTATAATCGGATCAATCTGCAGTATATAGGTAGCTTACAAAACATAAAAGCTTTCATTTGGTACGTTAAATGTACATTTACAACACACTTCAAATGCTCAAGACAACTCCTTTAGTTTCATTCAATGCAAAGATATAAGTATTACTTCTTTGATATGTTCAGTTTTTACATTTTGAATATAAGCGTATTGTAAGCTTGCAGTAATGACGAACAACTACCTGCGCTATAAAAATGACGTATTTATACAGTTCGCATTGTGGAAAGTATAGGTCAGAAGATGAGATTAAATTTCCGATTCATTAATATCTTGCGTAACATGGATTCAACGAAGGTCAGTTTCTGTATTACTGTATGGCGTTAACGGTGTAACAATCACGACAATAATAATAATAGCAGCATCAGACTCTTTGTCTTGAAAATACGTGTGTATGCCAGGTCAAGTTTACTGAGCTAGTAACTTTACAAAGTACTGTAATGAACTACTTTATAAAGTCACCAAATCATTGCTAATTTTTAATCAAGTCAGATTTAACCTATACGGGTCAATATAGGAGTTAAGATTATAATTAGTAGCATAACCGTCCAAATTGATCTCCGATGTTCTCTAACAGCTATAACTTGATAAATTCGCTCCGTTGCTTCTTTGCCGCACTTGCTGATTGATGATTCCTTTTCAACGTATTAGCATTAGCATATGGTAGTCAGCTCCAGGAGATCGATAAAACCGTCTGCTTGAATATGTGTATGGTTGAGGATTGTTTTTTGAACCTGTAGAATGCACCAGATACCCATGTTCTACCACCATACTTCTGCCATACTTTCGATGCAATTCGACAGAAGCTAAAACTGAATGCGCCGTTATTTCGGTAAATTTATTATGATCTACCAGGCAATTACCGATTATGTCTAGTGATACTTTTTACAAAGGTGACAATAAGAAGCTTTGATCTAACCTTGAGTTGCGATAGGTGATATGCCAAGCACGTAATAGTAATTTGAGTGATTCACTTTAATTATCTCTGTTGAATGTAATCGTTGAAGAGAAATATGGCATATTGAAGCTACATTAGATTTATACGTACCACTTTCAGTTAAGGCTCCTCTTAAATCATTAACAATAACTGAACAGGTGCCAGTTTGATAACTATAAGTTATCCATTTCATTTCAAAAATAAAATTTTACAAGACCCGGTCTAATGCTATCAATACAACAATATACTGTAATTCTCTTGTGGATGAAATAATTTTTTATTATGTAACGAAGTAATTCCTCAGCAATAAGAGAAATCCTCCTTTAATGCTCCAATTAGCTGTCTATTATCGAATACGTATGCGCACATCTGGTCTTGACGTACCACACTGTAACATTCTGCAATATCATATGATTTCTCTGACTTAGTAATGGAGGAACAAGTCGTTTGACAGATCGATTATTTAAATTAAATTTTTTTATTCTGTGAAACAAGAAAATTAAGTGTATAGCTCACAAATCACAAATTCTGTAAGCAATAACTTATGCTATCCAGGTTAATAACTGAAACTAACTGGATGGCTTTTACCCTACTGTCAAACTCTTGTTATCATTCAGAATTAATTACGTTAGTAGGCTGCAGTAGTTCCCGTTTGTGCAACCGCTGTCTCACTCTCCGTAACATCTTCGATACTCATGCAGATCACGTAACAGAAATAAATATTCTACAGTTCAGTATGCAGTACTGTACTGTAGATATCTACGGTGACCTACTGTACTGTACACTGTACAGTACAGTAGAAGGGCCAATGATCCACAGTGCACGGCTCTAACTGTACAGTACGTATCTGTTCCTCTGCTCCTCCGCTATGTACAGTAATACTGTACAGTACAGTACTCTATTTCTTTCCAGTACCGTTATATTTTATATTTTACGGGCTTCATTTTACAGTTGCTGCTGTGGCCGTTCTGGGCCACCCGCCACCGTAAGAAAGGCGTGTACTGTAGTTTATACATGTATATCGTACTGTATAGTCGATGGAATAATAATTTTTTACTTTTATTACACTATACGTAGAGCTATTTTAGAAAAAGAGAAGTTTTATTGCTCTGAGTTAGTATAAACTTTAGATACGCAAAGAAAGGGTTCTGATCTAGACGTGCTAATGTACTGTATGCAGTACGGCTACCACGAGACGTGTGGGTCTAGGTTTTCTTTTAGTAGTCCATGATATACAGTACAGTAGGTCATTATTGTACTGTAGCGGTGTGTTTATTAATTTTTCAGATTACTGTAGTAGATTTTGTCCTTAAACCGATATTTTGTAATGGGTATTACTAATAGCGTAATTCTACCAACATCTATAAAAAAAATTTAGCTCTCTAGCTACATCTTGGTATAAAGTACATTTTTTTACATTAGTTTAAACTTTAAAGTTATATTTTCCCCCTTTTTCTGTCTGAAAACAAATAAACACGCTCTGTACTGTACAGTACACAGTACACAGTGCACTGTACAGTGTACTGTACAGTAGTCCAAGCTCTTGGACATTTTGAACTTACTGTATGCCGTTGCCTAGCAGCGAAACTAAGATACTGTATCGCGTTAGGGTTTTTAGGGTATTTAATAATGCTATTATAAATATTTCATGTACTGTACAGTACACTCAGTGTTACACCTGTCGATGGTTTATTCCGCGAATTTACTATTGCACACCATTTAAAATTAAATTAATTAGTTAAACTATTCAATATAATAACAAGTACATTTGCTAGTTTACTTGATACATTGTCAACTGTTCCCGAAGTTGGTGGTTAAGCCTTAATATTTATGTAGTAGTGTAGATCTGTAAGTGGTGGGCTAATTTCTTACTAACGATTAAGGTATGTATATTCCATGTAAACGAAGTGAAGGGGTCATCGGCCAGTAAATCACGAAGTAATTAATTGATATATTTATTATCTACTGTAAATTCAACAAATCGTTACCAATGAGAATATCATAAGTCTTCTGCCTCGCTAATTCGGTGAAGTACACCGTACATTACGTAATACATCGATATGAAACTAGATGATCCCGCATTTAAAACAATTATTAACTAATACTATTATATTTTCTATGGAAGCTAATGCATTATGCTATACAGTATACATTATTATTATTTAGTGTATTAATTAGACGATAAATCAATTAATAATGTGGTATATAATTAAACGACAAGTAATTTTAAATACCATGAAACAAATTCATCAAATTAAATAAATTAAGGATCATTCTGAAGTTCTTAATATGCACTTTCTTGTGGATGAGACCTGAATAAATTCGCTTTCAATTTTCGTCAGTATGGCAGGGATAGAAAATGAATACGGCATACCTTCCTGTATCAATTGGCAAGCGGAAGCAGTCGCAGACTTCATAGAAAATATCGGATTTAAGCAGTATAGGTATATAAAATGCTTAATCCCCTCAATATTACATGTTTAATTTTCCATACTTAAATCAAATAATTTATTGCTTAACTGCATAGAAATATACTGCTACTGTACCATATACTTCAATAAAGTGTAATAACCCTGATACTGTAATTGCAAAACGGTAACAAAATCGTGCTTATAGCAATATACATTGCGAAATTTAACTCGATTTTCCTTTACCATAACAAGAAAGGTATCGTAGCTTAAGGAACCAAATTTAGATGAGCAACAGCTACGTAATAAAGTTAAATCTTTCAATCTACTATTAGTATCGATTAACCAATAAAAATGTCAACGTTCTTTTGTTTGCTACTTGATCCTTAAGTTAACCTCTATCCATACGTAGAAAAACATTCTTGCAGAATGAAATAAAAGGGAGAAATTTAATAGCAGTAGATGCCTCAACCTTACCAAAAATGGGAATCACGGACTTTGATCATATCAAGGTATTGTATGTTATTCTTTAATGTTACTAATTCCAACATCTACTATGATTTAGATCGTTTTAGTAAATTGATTAATTTTTGAAAGCCGTAAACTTACGCTATGAGTGATTTAAATATTGCAGATAATCACGAAAAATATCCGAGAACTACTAAAGATAGAAAAGCCAAATTCGAAACGGAGCATAGCACTACCTCCAAGGGGGACCATTGCCACATTTCTTGAACGCAAAAGCCGAACCGGCAAAACTTACGACAATTTAAAGTTCATACCAGAAGACTACATCGAAGAAGATTGGTAATATCCCCTTCACATTTGATATGGGCTACCAATTACACTATACTGTAATTAGTGGTTTAATTATTTATTTACAGCATATTTGCAAATATATCAAAAGTTTCGCTCAACAATTGTATGCTACAGTATCTTATTGGCTATTTTATTTCTTAATATCGGTGTATGAGTTGAATATCACATTCATATATTACATTACACGACCATTTCCGGCATTTTTATCTCTAAATTAGAGTTGTAGATTACTACTAAGATAATCAAAGTTTTTATCATATCTTTTAATAGTAAAAAATTACAAGATCTTAAAATAAAATCAAGGTATTTTGAAAGATTTGGGATCAAAGAAAGAAATCTAATTAATAACCAGTAACAAATCATCTTACAATTGCATCGAACTGGCTCAGAGTCTTTAGTAAGTTAATGAGCCGGAAATACAATAAGTAACAATCCTAAAGTTACCTTTATGTGTAAAAAGGGTCGGTAAGGATACGATTATTTTAGCGACCCGTTAAATTATGGATGTTATGATGAACATATACCGTGCAGTATGCTCATAAATTTTCTAACAAAGTCAAATGGTACGTCTCTGACCTAGTTGAAAATCTACTGTCCATACGAAGATGCACGTGATCGACTCATGCGAAACGAAGAATTTCAAAATGAACATGTAAATTGTACTACCCTGTGACACCACTTTATTAATAAATTTCGTTTATCCAAGAAAATAGACCTAAAATATTCACCTATATCCTATAAACTGTTCGATATTACCAACTCCATATTTTCCTGAACCTAGTAATAATTCGTACGCAACGTAGTATACGTGTGGGCAATCTAACGTACTTATGATATTAAATCAAAGATGTAAACACCTACAAATAGGTATGCAATCATACGCGTATTATCTCTTGCAATTCTCATCTGTTCTATATACTTTAGCCGATGTATTAGAAATGATTCGAAGCATAGAGAAGTTGAATTATTGAGACCAAACGGAGATTCTTGCATAATCTCCCACTATAGTACGTAAAACGCAATTTTTCGTTCACCGATCACCTGATGGACATTGCTAAAGTTATCCAACAGAGTAATACAGCTGATAGTATCGTTACAAGTAGCCCAGAAAGCCACTTTGTCAGTAAAATACAAAGTAAAATATCACTCACGATTATACCAGGTGGTACTAAAAAATAGCCAACTAACCTCTTACAAATTTACATTTATATCAATGCAAGACGACGAATAATTTACCATACATTAAGTAACTGAAGAGAAAAGGTTAAATCTCTTGCTGAGTAATAGATAATGTGATACCAAAATAAGTATTTAAATGCACATCCGGAGGAGTCAGATTTGGCTAGACACTATATACTGAATCTTAACAAAGATACGAAACAAAATAAGAGCTGATCTTTACATGCAAATGGTACTGATCGAACTGTTACAGTGAGACACTAAAAGACCATTAATTATTATTCAATAACGAAGAATATTAGAAAGGAACAGAATCGCGGTTTCAAAGTATCAACACCAAATACTTTTAACAGTTCAACAAGCAGAATAAGCAATTAGATATGAATTTCACATACAATCTGAAATCAACTAATAAGAGCAATGGCAATTACGACGAATACAATAAAAAATGTTCAAGGAAATATTCAGACCACAAATTGGTACAAACTATAAGCGGAACCAAAGATGTTTATAAATAGTTTCGCTGATACTGCTTAGTGTTGTAAAATATAACCTGCAATCCTACAATCATATCGATAAGTTACTGTAATTTTTTCTCATTCATAAAGGATCTTTGATTTGAGTTACCCTCTAAAGTACAAAATCAAATTTTATAGCCTTCAAAAACTTCATCAGTAGCAAATCTTACAATGATTCTTAATTAGCATTACCTTGCATTCGAGATAGATATTTCAAAATTTCATCTAATATTATCACAGGAAATGAAAATTTTAGTACAGCAATCCATTCCGTAGTGTTTAGAGGAGTTACTTGAAATATAAGTGCTAGAATATCCACATATAAGATTATGAAGTGCAAAGCCAGCGATACTACAATAGCGCCAATAAGCCATATATTCTTGAAAGGTGACATTACCAATAAACTTTGATTTTCGCTAATACTGTTTAGCGAATTCAGTAATTCAATAATTACTAATACCGATAAGGCCATTGCATTAGCACTTGTTTCTTCAAACACTTCGCAATGTATTCCTTCGAAATTTTCTGTTTCACTTTTACATTGCATGTGATGTGTCTTAAAATAGTAGATAGAACAACGCTAAGCCGTTAAAACCTTTATCAATTACGTATCTTCTTATTCCTAAATTGCATCGGCCTTACCATTTGATACCAACTAACTTGAGGTCCGCCTTCATAGTACATAAACCACCAAGCCGCAGCTCCAACAGTTGCCACACCGACATACACTATTTGTCGAAAATAACAATGAATCCAATATGGGCGGAATACAGTGAAAGACATCCATAATCTTTAAAAATACAACTATAATCATTTTACCTCCGATAGTTAAATATCTAAAAAACAGCCAACCACTTATGAGAGGCGCCTTTGCATCTCGAGGTTTCTTTTCCATGATATCTTTGTCAGGCGGATTAAAGCCTAACGCCGTGGCTGGAAATCCATCCGTAACCAAATTTACCCATAATAATTGAACAGGAATTAAAGATTCCGGCATTCCCAACGCAGCAGTCAAGAATATACTATAAAATACATATTATTACTACTTGACAATAAATGATATCATTGTTTCATTCTAGATTTACTTAGTACAGTTATCATATTATTTGTACAATTAAAAATTCGTGAAAAATGTAAACAAGTACTTTAGTAAGTTGACCAACCTGACAACTTCTCCAATATTCGAAGATATCAAATACCGAATAAATTGCTTTGTATTATTATAAATTGCTCGCCCTTCTTCCACAGCTGCAACAATAGATGAAAAATTATCATCCGCCAATACCATCTGTAAGCGTAGTTAAGATTAACCCTAGCTCTCGTTTTTATATAGATCGCATGTAGCACTAACGCGAATACTGATCAGACGCCGAGTTTTCAACCCAGAAAAACAGTAGAACAGGATAACAAATACAGCTATTCTGTTCTTAGATCCGTAGTCAAATGAAACATCAATGCAAGAAAACGTTACTAGAAAACCTAATAATTCGCAATCTAAACATTGATATTCCATCGACAAATCAGGACCCAAGAACTGCGTAACTTCAGAGAATGGATAGACTGTTGACATCATTTCAGTGACAAAAGAATCTTAAATAGGTAATTTTAACAACATCATGTATAGAAACTTTAGTTAGTGGATATCAGAAGCGCTTTTAGCAACTTCAGTTCCAGATCCCATAGCAACACCAATCTCTGCTTTCTTGAGAGCAGGAGCGTCGTTGACTCCATCACCTGTCATCGCAGAGATATGACCTGTACTTTGTAAGTACTCTACAATTTTACTTTTATGTGTCGGTTCTACTCGAGAAAACAATCTTGCTCGAAGGGCAGCCTGTTTCTGTTCTTCTGGAGGCAATAGATCATATTCCCTTCCTGAATATGATAATCCTTCCAAAAAAGTGAACGTAATATAAAGAAATTCATTATTTGTAAATGGCAGATTATTCTTTTACTAACTGAACTACCTGTCGTATTTTCATCAGGTTCAAAGACACCAATCTTTCGACAAATTGCCTCAGCAGTGTCTTTGTTATCGCCAGTAATAACTATTACTTTTATACCGGCTCTATAACATTGCTGGATTGCATTATATACTTCCTTTCGAGGCGGATCTAACATTCCGACTACCCCAACGAAAGTCATATTGCTCTATGCAGACAATTAATTAGTAAATTAAAATATCAATCAATTACTCCATATTAGCAAGTTTTGTCGATTATCACATTATCAATGCTAAGCAGCCATCAATGAGCTACAATAAACTCATATACTTACCTCATATTTTGAAAAATTAGCAGGATCTTCTAAATTCATATCTTTCGGATCCACAGGATCATCAACAGTCGCCAACGCTAAACATCTGAGTGTGTCCGCACCTAAATGAAAAAATTTTTCATAAAAACAAGATAAGGTGTTCATAATTGATTAACGTACTGACCTGTTCCATACTCTATTGTCTGAGTCATAATTTGTTCTCTGATGCTATCTGTCATGGGTACTTTGCTTTGATCAGCGAGACGTACATAAGTACATCTGTCCAAAATACTTTCGGGAGCTCCCTGCAAATATTAATTGTTTATAGGGCGGTTTAAACAATTGTTTATAATTAGACGCATGCATGAAATTTAGCATCACCGACTACATAAAACTTTAAATAAACACGATTACTGTATACCTTAACAAACATCTTTTGACCGGTTGCGAATTTTGCTTTACTTTCTCCGTCGATGGAAGTGCAGTATGCACTCATAGATTTACGATCCCTTGAGAACTCCATAGTAAACTCCTTACCAATTAAAAATGATTATTAGCGCAATTCATATTATTCAGATTATAATAGAAGAGTCCAGACCTTCCTAAATTGAGATTTTATAACGTTGTTGCAAACACTAGCCAATTGTGCTTTAGAAAAACCATCCTTAGTGGTTTCATATACATTTAGCTTTTCTACAAGAACTAATAGCGCAGTTTCTGTGGCTTCACCAATTTTTTCGTAAGAACGCTTAAACTATGAAAAATGTAATAATGTTATATAAGTAGTCACGACTAAGAGGTATTAATGAGACTGAATAGAGGTAGAGTAACTGACTTCATTATAATCTAAACTGGAATCGTTGCATAAACTACATATCGTTGCAAGTTCCCTGAATTTCTCTCGGTCGCTGTCTTTTATTTCTGTTCCATTCATCGATTTTCTATAAGTGAATAACGCGGAAACTCAATATATTCATTATAATAACTGATATAATAATATATCTTACACGTCGCCAATCGGCTCATACGTCGAACCACCAACTGAGAATTTGATAAGGTTAGTCTTATCTCCTTTAATGCTTTCGACAGTGAAAAACTAAAAATTGAACGTATGTCCCATAAATATAGAAATTTTGATGTTCCTGCATGATTCTAATGAATTAAAGACCAGCTTACCTTACTAACTGACATCATGTTCGTAGTGAGAGTTCCTGTCTTATCAGAACAAATAACTGTAGTACAACCCAAAGTTTCCACTGAAAAAAGACTTCTCACGATGGCATTTTTCTTAGCCATACGGCGAGTACCTACGAATATTACAATAATTTGTATACCATCAATCCAATCACCTCACAAAGTTCTCATATCAAACGGTTACCTAGCGCTAAACAAGTTGTTATTACGGCTGGCAAACCCTCTGGAATAGCTGCGACAGCTAAAGCTACCGCGATTTTAAAGTAGTAAATAGCACCCTTCAACCAGGATCCACCATGAATAGGGTCAGAAAAATGACCAATGTTAATAGCCCACACAGCTATGCAAATAACAGAAATGACCTACAACAAATGAAATATCATAATCTTCATATTCTGCTTATCGTGTTAATTCACAGCAGTTTTTGTCAATAAACCAGATATTCCTTTTAAAATATAGTTAATGTTGTGTACGATAACGTTACATCTCAGAAACGAGGAAAATATGATATCAGCATCAAGACTCTGAATTATTTTTCGTCACAGATTATAACGAAACCAAAAATAAATAAAACGCAAAGCGAACCGCAATTTTTATTAAGTAACCTTCGATAGCTGTTGTCCAAACTCATCAATTTTCTGTTGTAATGGTGTCCTCTCCGTTTCAGTTTCTACCATCTCAGTACGAATTTTGCCTTGTACATAAATTATACGTATTTCAGATCTCACCGATACATAGGTCGTAATTTAATCAATTAAACAAGTACAGACTGCAAATAATCAACACAACGCTGTAATTTACCGATTTCTGTATCCAGACCAGTTCGTACTACAATACCGGTAGCTTTTCCAGCGGAAATATTGGTACCCTTTATACGTATAAATGTATATATATATATATATATATGAGTCAATTTGATAAAATTATTAACTCACAAATAACGAAGGACAAGTATTTTAACGAGAATTAATGCCGTACTATCGTAAAGAAAATACCGACGTACGGAAAATAACATGTTCTTTTTATCCTGATTAACAGCAGCCTCATCAGGTATAACGTCCGTATGCTTTAAGACGCTGACACTTTCACCTATGTAATTTTACATTATTCTTATGTAAGAGCTATTACTTTAAATGTAATTCTTATCGAATTTACTGTAAATTAAAGTTCGTAATAGCCAGCTATCTACCAGTCAATATTGCTTGATCTGCCCTTACGGTCGTCGACTTGATCTTAGTAATTCTTATGTCAGCTGGTACCTTATCACCAACTGATCAAATAATAGCGGAAACGATTATTATCAGTATCAATGATTAATCAAACAAAATGAGAACGCAATCATCTAGTAATGAACCATTAACCAAATTCTATAGATCAGTCCATAAAATTCATAATCACAGTACTTTCATTTGAAACACGGATTATGTAATAAATACATCATTTCATCGAAAAAAAATCGCTGACTAAAAACGAATCCGCACGGTCCATATATATCAATGAAAGCATCGCAAAGTGATGAACCGATCAGACTAACTCTGCTGTATGTTATGACAACTCCCGCTGTGTATTGTGATAAGGTAATATAACAACACCATTCATCGGTTAGCTTTTAAAGATAATGATACTAACTGCAGTACTTTAACTTATCTACTTAATTATCCAACTAACTAGCTGTGCTGTACTGTACTGAAATTAACAGCCTTATTCAGTGGGCGTCACTTATTAAGATAAATTTGGTGTATTTCCAAATTAACTCAAAAATTAATATCTCCACACATCTACTTCACTGACTGCGAAATAATCACTACAAATACAATAAACAACAGTAGCTTACGACTTCGACCTCCTTTTGTTCAATCAATATAACAATAGCCTATTACAGTACATATCAGTTACAATGAAGAGCGCAAGATCCTATATAATTGAATGTAGCATTCTTAATAATAGCAACTAGCAAGAACTGTGATAAATCCTACATAGGCCCTCAACGGATCAAATTATTTTGGGCTGCTAGTATCGAGATGATGAATCTCATAAGAATACTAAAATCTCATAAACCCAACCTGCAACCTCTACAATATCGCCAGGAACAAGAAATCGAGCTTTAATCTTTTGAACGCCTTCTCTGTCTTGACGAACAACTTTAGCTAATTCTGGCTCGTACTCCTTTAAAGCTTCTATAGCGCTCTCAGCGTTTCTTTCCTGATCACATATTAATTTATCTTAATCTTATTCATTGGATTGCGATCATAACGAATAAAATATATAAACTGCACGTAACAGTATACGTATATATATACACACAATCTAAACTTTATATCCTTTCTATAATATTAATACGACAATAATACTACCAAGTAATCTAACTAGTAAAATCATATTATCAAACAAAGCAACACTATCCGTATCGCGATGCTAAAATAACCATAGCATTTCTTGATATGGTAGTTGACAATAATACTGATTCTTACCTGCCAAATTCCAACAATAGCGTTTGCAATTAAAATGAGTAAAATAACAAATGGTTCAACAAAAGCAGTCGTTTGACCTTCACCTTCTTCAAACCACGCCAGTAGCTAAATTTAACGTAAGAATGGATTACAAGTATCATACAGAATTAAATGCCAGGCTTTCGGATTCGAATAAGGTATAACTAATAAATGCTTCTTCTAGTTGTATTGAACTGTCTGTAAAGACTTACAAATGATATAACAGCAGCTAGCAGGAGAATTTTGATTAGCAAATCATCGAATTGTTCTAGTATTAACTTCCATAATGATTTCCCTATGTACAGTAAGCACAATGATAATTCCAACTCAAAAAAGCTTTAAAAAACAGATCGCATAGAACAGCAGCATGGTAGTTATAATTGATACCTTAGACAGTATTAAACGTGAAAAAGTAAAGAAATCGAACACGTATTAGTGTAAATTTCTATCCCACTTCCGTACAAATTGCAATAGTATAGGAACACATAAAATTATTTTAAGGTAAAAAGACAAAAAGCCTTACCTTCCTCAGCCGGCAGTTCTGTTATTCGTAAGGAAACCGTTTAGAAAAAAATTAATTTTGTGTTAGTGAAAATATCATGAATACATAGTACTGTACTGTATATGTAGTATGTACTGTATAACATGTAATTCAGATGGTAGTGCATGTAAGTGATATAATCATCGTAACTCATATCACATAAAAAAGTCTGGATATCATCATTATTTAGTAATATAAATTAAAATCGGAAGGGAAAGAAAGGAATTACAAAACGAATACGTAAAGTTAGCTTTAATCTTTTCATATGCAAAAGAGATTTTTCTTTTCGTTACCGTTAAGTCCGTATTGTTCCCGCTGCTTCTCTACTTCTGCGTTATTTAATCCTTGCTCTTCTGATACTTTAAAATACTTAAATAATTCTTCAGCCGACTTCGCATGCGGAAAATCCATGTTCGAAAAATTTATACTAACAAGTAACAAGGGGATCTATTAGTTATTATTAGTAGAATCGCAATTAAACTACTACAATGAAAGAACAGAAATAGGCCGACGCGCTAGTGGTAAAGTCCAGTACATCAGTAGTTTTCCCGTTTTTATGACACTTAGTTTAACCGTAAAAACTGATTACCACCGTACATGTACAGTACAGTACAGTACAGTACAGTACACTGAAATTTTCAAAAAAGCCTGTTATTGCATTCCGCCTTCTTTCTCAGTACAGTACAGTATTCACTGTCAGTACAGTACTGTACTGTACTGTACACTGTACAGTGTGTACTGTAGATGCATACTGTACTGTACTGTACTGTAGAGGTTTTTTTCTCTGTTCTACAGTACACAGTGCTGTACTATAAGTAGATACACAGTTATTAGATCTGTGTATAGAACCCCCCCCCCCACTCGTTAATACTGTATACAGAGCACTGTAATATGACTACAGTGCACATGATGCACCTTTGTTTTAGCTCCACACTTAACACGCTTTTACGGAAAGAGCACCCGACGCTAGTACTTACTGTAGTACTGTACTGTAGTTAGTAGTAACACTACATACTGTACACTGTACTGTACAGTACTGTACTTGTCCCTTTTAAATCTGTAGATTATCACTGTCGCTTCCCATCGAGCATATGACTTGTCCTATTCTTGCATCAGTCAAAACACAGCATCACTTAACCCTTACTGTATACTGTATGTACTGTACAGTACAGTATTGTACAGTATATTTATTTAATAAGAGAAATTCTCTTATTGAACTTAACTACGGTATAGTAAAAATGGCTATAGCTGTGACATTTACGGCGGTACGGTCTCTAGGCGTACCGTATTTGTACTAATCTGCAAGATTTGTAGGCTTCAGCAAGCGCCAACTACTGTACTATAGTACAATAAATGAAAATTGGTTGTCTAAAGCTAACTAATTAAGTAGTCACTTTTCTATCTAGTTATAAACAAGATATCAAAACAGTAACAGCTGTATCACAAAGGCACATTGCCTACTGCTCTGTTCCAATCTTGAATGAAACTCAATAAAATTGCAGGAGTCGGATATTACTGTTGATCCCATTTACTTTCTATTATAATTTAATAGCTACGAAGCAGTAGGCAATAATTTACGCGTATTATGATTGGAAATCGCTTAGCGTCAATTTGCGCTCTAATTATGGTATGAACAGTTAATACTATAAAAGTCTATAAAAACTGTAGAAGTCGGATATTACAGCTAGGATATTACTGTTGAAACAATGCTAAGAACCATGAAAGTAAAATCAATCGAATCAAGGATAATTTTTTTACCTCTATTACTCTATACTGTATCTTAATATAAGAACTGATATGCAACGAGTACTGTACAGTAGTACTATATGATATTATACACACTATGTCTATGCGACAGTACAATATTACATTGTTAAAAAGTGTTCTTCATTTCGAATACTGCAGTGTAGTGCAGTCTGCAGTTACAGCTACAGCTAGTGCACAAAGCATGATGAGATTAGTATTATAATGTATCGTACTAGATATATATATATATATATATTATTATACATACACACACTACTAGTGTACTGTATACAGTACTCAGTACTACTGTACACTTGTAAATTTACTGTAATGCATCATGAATTCATGATCAAATCTTTCATTAATAAATTAAATAAAAATCCGTGGCAGATGCTGTGTATTGGCTTAAAATAAAATATTTCTCAGATGCAACTTACCTACGATAAATACAGTAGACGTAAAACGTATACTTGTCGGCTGTTGTACTTCTGAAATGAGCCAAAAAATGAGCTGAAATTCAAAGAGTCTAGATTAAGCGTGGCAACTGGCAAGCACTGTTTTACTGCGGTCGTTTTTTCCTTTCTTTTCTTTTTCTTTTACTGTCAACAGGGTATGATCAGGGTCCACTGGGCGTCCGGGGTCGTGACTGTCCACGTCATACTGTACAGTACTGTACTGTACAGTATATTATTGTACAGAACAGTACAGTACAGTACTGTACTGTACAGTAATCACCGGGAAAGACTTACTGTACTGTACAGTGTACACCTTGTACGGTTGAACACAACGTACTGTGCAGTGTACAGTACACTGTACAGTACAGTACAGAACAGCATACTGTACAGTACCATGGACTACTAATTAGATCTTGACGGTAAGATTTACTGTAGTAGTATCATGATTGATCATGACCACTAGATTTCCGTACGTCGAAGTAGTCCGCGATACAGTACTGTACCGAGTAAAGATCGGGTAATACTGTACGTATGGGCAAGTACACGTGTAGCACAGCACAGTTTAACGTCTCACTACGATGCAATTCACTATTGTCTAGACATTGCAAAGGTATAAAATTTTTTGCCTCTAGCGTTAAGGTCAGGCTAATAACACTTGCACAGCACATGAAGCAGTGGTACTTGATAGTTTATGCTTCATAGTTAATCAATTAATTAATTTAAAGCTATTAAAATTAAAATTAATATAATTTTTGGTGAGAACTCAATGGGCAAACAGAGCTGATTAATTAATTCATTCGAAATTATGCGTAACACGCGCTAAAGTCTCTGATAAGGTACAAGTTAGACAACAAAAAGAAAATTAGTGCTGTACAGCAAAAAAAGGAAGTAAATCTATCGTTCTCTATACAGTATTAGAAATTTTTAGAAAGAACGGCAGCTTTACTTCCCTCAATTTTTTAGTAATTCCTACCATCAGTAACTCAGTAGGTGCATGCCATCAAAAATTTTAGATTGGGATAAATTCTCCTTTAAGTTAACTGTATATCTGTATCTCTACAACACTGTATTATATCGTGACAGTAATTCCTAATTATTATCATTATTAATGATAATATTCTCAAGGATTAGCAAATTTAACTTCATTTAAAAGCAGATATGCGATTGGTCAAAACCGTGTAAAACGGATTTTTTTTATTACTTTCAATTACTGTTACTACTTAACCAATAACACTCAAAACTACTGTAAATTTCATTTTGCATGAGTATATAACGGTCGTCACATTAACTCAATAAAGGTATCTTTTCCAACGAATTAGACAAAAACTCGGCAAAGTTTTTAGATAAATGATGTTGACCTTAATCGTAGGATATAACATGTATATTTCAATACCAAAATCGATATACGCCAAAACTTCATCATACAATAACGAATCTGAAAGCTTCGATCTCTAGGATAACCTTGAGCTACGAAAATTTAGCTTTGTAAAGGGATTACAAGATGGTACTGTAGCTCTTCACATATTTCGCAGTAATTTGTTAGGTACATTAATTTAACGAAATCTCTATTACAAAATTATTTAGCTGCATTGTAATCTGGAATGCAATCTTAGAGTTACCCAATAATTCTAAATATCATCGTCGTCATCCGGAAGAGCAACCGACTGAGCTTGTACCAACTCCTTTTCATACTGACTGACCAATGCAGGATCCATACGCACCTCAGGAGGCGCCAATGCCGGCATGGCGACAAAATCTAGATTAGGGTCGCCCGTCAATTTTCGTGCAAGCCAAAGAAACGGCTTCTCAAAGTTGTAGTTACTTTTTGCGCTGATATCGTAATACTGAGGTAAAAAATTATTACTGATTTTAATATTATACCCTAACATTATTTAATTTACTAACGATATCATCCCAACAATACAGAATATATTCATAAGCTAAATTTTAATAATTCACGTAAGAAATCTACCACATTAAACCAAGACCACAAACACGAATTAGTGATACACCACTAACCTGTAAATTCTTCTTTCGATGAAAATTTATCAGTTTGGCCTTAATTTTACGATCTTTTTCGTCAACCTTGTTACCACATAAAACAATTGGGATTTCATTGCAAACACGAACAAGATCTCGATGCCAATTCGGGACATTCTTATAAGTCATTTTAGAGGTAACATCGAACATAATAATCGCGCATTGTCCCTGAATGTAATAACCGTCACGAAGTCCTCCAAATTTTTCTTGACCGGCCGTATCCCAAACATTAAATCTTATCGGTCCAAGATTAGTGTGAAATAACAGCGGATGCACTTCTACACCTAGTGTGGCTTTAAATGGAAGCTTAATTCAGCTTAAGTAATAACACACTACCTTAAATACAGAAAAAATTTTTAGCCTTTTGAGACAATCTAAATTTAGGGACGACCCGTTGTCACTGTATCCTTCGCTAAAATAGACGCTGAAACTACTTCCATAAATATTATATCCACTGCACAATGTATGGTTGACGCATCTGTATAGAACTAAATTAACTAATTTGCTTCATATCGTAATAATTCACCGTTATTTTACATATCGTCCCCTATCTTAATCCTCCCTATATTCTAAACCTTCAGTAATTAATCATTATTTGATGTAATACGTAACATGTTAGGCAGTGTATATTGCGCTTACGGTAAATGACAGTAACAAAATCTGGCATATAATGATTAACTACTTTACCCAACACTATCATTACAATATCTTACAATATGATAAAATTTCTACAACAAAACAATCTTAACAAATTGTATAATCTATAGGCTTACAATCAGAAAGATGATCATGATAAAATGCTATGAGGGTGAATTGTCATTTTTAAACAATCAAATAAGGCCTTTTTATACACGAGAGTAGGTCAATAATTTATCCACAGATAAATGATTTAAGCTACTAAACCAATATTGCAAATGAAGTGCTATAAAACTGCATCATCGGAAGATAATTGTATGAAAAATCCTGATACGAACCCACCATATTAATCATAATTACGTGCTCACATCTACTGAAGTACTTAAATTAACTTTATTTTCTAAAGATGATGGGATTGCTATCAATTCAAGTCTACAGTTCTAACTTTAACGAATCTAAAATACTTACGAATTTTCAAAATCATTATTTACAATATAGTATAAGCGTTTTATAATAAATAAATCAACGGCAATATATTTACAGATGAAAGACTATAGTTGTACTAATTTTTGATGAATTAAAAGTATTCAATTCATCTAAACAGACTTTCCCATCACAGCACCCATACGTTTTCACAAGCTGATATAGACGACAATTACATGTAATGATTCAATAGTCTACCAGAACTTTATGAATATACCAGTCGAGATACCCACCACCCAAGTAGCGATTTATGTAATTACACTTCATCAAAAGATGCACCGTGTATATGATCAGATTTCAGTGCGCTGTACAGTAAACTAGCAATTACACTACGTTATTACGCTATTGCCGTATATTCAACTAATTCAAGTATACATTGCACGTAGAGTGCAATGAAGGGTATAGTAAAGATTAAAATTTCTTTAACTTTAAAAGTTTCATACGGTAAAGTCAAGAAAATAGTACTTGTACAGTTGTGTACGATGCAAGGTACCTCAAAAAAAAAAGCAGTAACAAAAGTAGCAAAGGCATCTGATGTTAATACCAACCTACATATCTTTTCTCAAACTCTCCCGTTAAATGGCGCTTCACAAAAGTAGTTTTACCAACGCCTCCATCTCCAACCAGTACCAACTGCAAGTAAATAGTTTTTAGTTTCAAATACTTACGTTTACAGAATATAGTAAAGTAAATATACTGTAATGGATGCTACATGGTAAGCTTCATTTCACTATAAATATATCTTGCAAATGCGACAGTTAAGCTAAATAATCTAAAAGTTAGCACATGTCCATCAGTGAATTGCGCTGGAGTTTCGACTAATTGATACTTATAATTAGCCGTATTCTGATAGAGTGTGCGTGCACCTCAGGTTGAAATCGGCATGCAGTACTGTCACATTAGTATTGCAATACCTTACACAGCAACATCTTGAAACTCTTGAATACTAAACTTCATACGACTATACACTGATAAAATTGCACCATCAAAATACTACAGAAGTAAAACCGTAAGACAAATATAGTAATATTCCATTATATTACCGAATGAAACAACTATTAAATCGTTGTAAATACGAAGTAAACATATCGTAAGAACAATATCAGCGCCTATACAAAGTACATTACTATAACAACTATCAAAAAATAGCCTGATGCCGTACAAGCCCAATAGCACGTCATACTAAAAATTAAATTAATAGAATCTATCGCAATGACAGACTTTATAAAATCTAACAATAACATATCAATAAGCATTACTATTGGTTATTTACTATCGTCTTATCACTTTACAATATTGTCGAATAACCTTAAAAGTAGGGACTTGCGTATCCTGTTGCTGAGAAGATTGTTCCATTACTGTGTCGTCTGTTCAGTTTCAAAAAATCTGATAGAAATCAAAAAGTGAAAAGTTAACCAATATAAAATATGAGTTCAAAGTAACCCTTTATAAGAAAAACTATCTTTATTACGTTAATTATAGCTATAGCCCTATGGATAACATAAAAATAATTCAAAGATGATCGGTTAACATGACGATGAGTCTCAGATACCTATCGGATCCTAGAATTAATGTAAATTTCTTGCAGCAATAGACTGGCTGTTGTACGAGCGGTGATGTACAGTAATTTGAAGAAAAATCTTTACGCGCGCTCTCAGGCTCCGCTCCGACTTTGACTTTTGATCATACAGTACTACAGTATGTGTTTCAGTAATTTTACAGGTTCTGTACAAATATTGTACAGTACTTTTTTACATTTACAGTACAGTACTGTACTGTACAGTACTGTAAAAAAGTGCATTACCGCTGTTCACGTCAGGTCTACAGTACAGTACTGTAAAGTAGTTCACTGTTCAGTGTGCAGTACTGTACAGTACGTACAGTACAGTACAGGTGTTACAAAATTTTTCTCAGCGTTTGAAAATATACAGTACAGTATCAAAACCAGTACGTATTGTACTATACAGTACAGTACTGTACACTGAGTGTACAGTAGTTACCGGTAATTTAAAATAGGGAAAATTATCAACGTAAGAAAATAACTCTTACAGTAATTCGAAAACTGCACCATAGTAATTAATTAATTAAACATGGAAATTGTGGATAAATGATGCATTACAGTGCTCAAAGTACAGTACTGTACTGTACTGTACTATACTGTAAGCGAAGGCATCTACTGTACACTGTACAGTAGAGTACTAGTAATTAATTAATGAATAAAAGAAAAAAAGAAATTTTTCCCCTTTTTTTCTTTTATTTACAGTACAGTACTGTATTTCTTTCTTTGATTGTAACGTCAACAGTATCCACTATCTAGTCGCTATACTGTACTGTACACTACTGTACAGTACTGTATACTGTACACTACAGTACGTTCTGTAGTCTGCACTGTAATAAAAGGTGCCTGGGACTACAGTACAGTAGTACACTTTGTACTGTACTGTATAGTACTGTACTGTACAGTTGTACTGTACAATGTACTGTACAGTACAGTTCCGTTATTCCGCTGTGCATTGTACAGTACTGTACACTGTACAGTACATTTTGTAGTCTGTACTGTACTGTACTGTACTGTACAGTATACAGTACTGTACTGTAGAGTAGTACGTACTGTACAGTACACTGTACAGTACGCTGGTACAGTACTGCTGTACCAGAAAATAAATACAACAATACAAGTACTGTACTATTTTCGATTTACATTGTGCAATCTACTCCCTAGACATGTCAAGTAAAAGATTCTTTTATGTGATTAAATATATGGCTCTACGTAATCGCCACAAACGCGCAGTATAATTGTATATTTATTTCTGAGTCTATTGTGCTTTGTTGTGGAAATTATAAATACAGCATTGCGATCACTATCAAGTATTAATTTTTCAACCGAATAAATTTATAAAGACAGGTTAAAAACATAATATAAAATATAATTTTATCATTTACGAATGGTTAAGCTTTATAACTATATGCGTAGTTACTATTTGAAAGTAAATTTTTTCTCTTAAGAAGCAACAATTCCCGACAGGAATCATTTATTGTGAAAAGACAAAAATATCGCATGCACCTTTACAACTGAATAAGAAATTTCCTCATTCAGAATTTTCCAATTACGTACAAAGTCCAACATACATATGGTACTATTGGAATGGACTAAAAGCAAACTTTAAACCGTACACGGTTGTCAAATACTGTATGTCGTATTAAACAATCCATAAACTGTAATTATTCTTAGGTTGAACTGGAAATTTTTAACCATCTAGCCTTATCAAAAGAAACGAATTCACCTTAAAAAAAAATAGTACAGGCAAAGCGACGCTCCTGTTAAAGTGGACGTTTTCAGTTTAATAACTATTGGCTGTATCATAAATCATCTCGAAATCATCTACAGTAGCTATGAGGGATAGACTGGCAGATATAAGAGAGGTACAGTGCCATCGAGGCGACATAGACCCGTTCAATCTATTGTACATGCATCGACATCATTATACAAGCTCGTATATCCTCGTACAATATTACGTAGTAACGCCACATACTGTACCAATTTCCTCTGCATTTACTCTGAAATCAATTTCTTGTTGATAGATATATGCCATGAACTTAAGTTTATTTTATTTTACTTCACTATTTACGAATCTTTTATTATCTCATTTCTAGCTATGAAATACGCGTATAAATTTTTTAATTTTTTTATATTACGATAGATCAAGATTTATCAATAACAAAAAATATGTAATATAGCACTTATTATTAATCGTAGTCCAAGTACTTAATATAGCGTATACACATATGTACCGTCGTTTACTTTCGATAGCACTTAATTAACTTTCCTGGGTACAATCGATCATTACACTACTTCATTAAGTCCTTTAGCTCTACTTACACTACTATTTTAATCATTATAACATTGTAGTTATTTTTACTTTCGTTTGACTCATTCCAAACATGTCTTACTTACGTAGTGGAATCAATAAATGTAATATTTCACATATTTAACCCTTAGTATCACGAAGATAGTAATAGGTACTAGCTAGATCCAACATTTCAACATAGATTTTTTTGCATACTTCACTCCAGTAGTTTCAGCGAAGTGTACGAAAAATCAATTCTATGTCGAAGTGGTTGGGTCTATATTTTCACTTACATATATACTGCATGCATGGTACACTAATTCTACATAAACTGCATAGCGCACTCACGGTGTAACAGCCTATGGTTATTACAGTATATATATATATATATATGTGTATGTAAACTACAGTACAGTATAGCACTGAGTGCTGGATATGATCTACTGCATAGAATTCTAATACATAGTGCTTAACATAATAAATAAAATTCATTATCATAGGCTACACATCCGATTGCTAATTTATATATATAAATGTTAAACGATAAATCGTACGTTAATTTCCCAATAAATGAAACTATAGCTTAACTTATGTAGCGACATCAACTCATAATTTGTTACTCTTCGTATCAGACACAACTTGGAAATAATGACAATGACGGTGGAGTGGTCGTTGACGACGTATTGGTTGATGTTACACCTGGCGGTGGTGGTTTTATGGATGACTTCTTTAAAGAGGTAATGATTGTAAATACGTCCCTAAACACGAATCTTGCTACCATAAAATCTATTATACATCAGTATTATCTTACCTCTTTCTATCGTATTATTTAGCTAACATAATATAGTATAAGAGTCATCCATGCAACATTTTAGTCAATCTATTCGAAATATTTTTAGCTGTAGTTATAATTCTTACACATGATATATTATCACATTATTTATTTTTATTATCTCGATTGTAGAAAACTTATAATGTGTGCATGTCGATAATTATTATGGTTGCTTCTTACATAGTACGTAAACTTTAAGCATATTTTTCGAATTTATTTAACTGCAAAAATATCTTAAAAGCTTAACTACAAGATGAAATAGATTGTAAAAAGATTCATTTCCTACGTAAAACGAATCAAATATTATATTTGTCTATTCGCAACATTGCCTCTCATTCCTATAACACCCAAACTGAACGCTCATATCCGATTATCTGCTTCTAAATTAAAGACCAATTCTACACATGATAATACTACATTCGCATATATGTACAGTTTCGTCATGTATCAGTAACAGTAAAAGACAAAATAGGAAGCCTTTGAATAAATTAAGTACCGGTATACAACGGTTTAATTCCAATCTCTTCAATTCTCCGAAACCTAATGCTCATATAGACTTCAATACCAAACGAAGAGGTTTTTAATTTAAGTAATTCACATCATCTACTGTATACCATCTCCTTTTCATTGCAATCATTTCAACGGTATATCTTGCCCAATTTGATTTAACTTAATATCAGGCAGCTACCTCCATTATGCCGTGAGAATAAGAGCTCTGATAATATTAATTGATGCTATTACCCAGTACACAGTCATATCTTAACAGCTAGTAAAACATTTCACGGGAAGAACTCAATTAACAACTCCGTGCAAATAACCTCCAGTATTTTGCTACAGAAATCGAAGTTCTACAGATGTAATTATCAAAATATACGGTCTATGTTACGTAAGTGCCTTAGTAAGAGCTTTTCACTCATATCCTGCAGCTCATTAACCGAACTAACTCCTCAATTAGATTTCTTTCATAAAGGGAATATTCCCATTAATATATAAATTTCTAGAGTCTTCTTAAAATATTGAGCAAAGCGTTCTTTATTACCGGGATCAACAAGATAGCATTATTTTCTGCAGTATCATTTTCAACGGACGTCAAATCACGGTTGCATTTTACATTTAATAAAAATATCGAGGACAATTTTGTTCCGATATTTACAAATCCCCCATTGCGTAGAACTATCATTTTTTACTATAAAATTTCTTATCCATTGTACCTTATCTCATAGCGATGACACCATACGTATATATCTAAACCTGAATGACGCAATATCAGCACTATTGTAGATTTGATTTTTAAGTAGTCTATGTTGCACTTAATAAACTTCAATTAGATACTAATTACAGTCATCAACGATGCAAAATACAGATTGAAATAATAGAACAAGATCTTAGTGCAATTGAAAATGATGTTGCCCATGTGGAAAAAATGCATACTCATATTTTGACCGCTCCGAAAATGGCTGAAGGTTTGCTCATTTTGCCTCATGTCAAATATTAATGTAAATCAACTTTAACTCCTGATATTGCATTATAAATATTACAGAAGATAAAGAAAGATTGGAAAGTGCGATGAATTCCATTAAGCTAAAGGCTAATCGCGTAAGAGCCCGTCTTAAAGGTATATATTCGCACTATAAACAAATTACAACAGATAAGTGCAGATTGAATTACCCCGCGAAGCGTTATTTATTGGATTACATTACTAAAGCTATTCAATTAGCGTAGATTAAGCTCAGATTTAATTATGAATTCAAACAGATATCGAAATCAACATAGAAAGAACGGAAGAACAATCAGCAGAAGCCAGAATCAAAAGAACTCAGGTAGTCTTTTTTATCTTAACAAACTAACAAAGTATTAAGACGATGTATAGCGATTGTAATTATCATCAGGAACAGAAATGCCCGAATAATTTATCGCATGGAGATAATCGAATTTACTTTCTTTATATTACAGCATGCTGCACTTTCTCATCGCTTAGTTAATCTTATGCTGACATACAACAAAATTCAAAATGATTACAGAGAGAAGTGTAAAGACAGGATAAAGAGACAGCTAAAAATAAGTATGACAAATATCGCATTATACAATCCTACGCTGATAAGAACATATATTAATCGTATAACCTAATCTAAATATATTTTACAATTAACAAAATCTCTGCTATCTTCAGCTGGAAAACCTACGACAGACGAAGAAATTGAAGACATGCTAGAAAGTGGAAACCCGGAAATTTTTACACAAGCGGTACTTACATTATTACGGTATTTACTGTACTAGTACAAGAAGACATCTCAGTATTCACCGATAGTTCTTGGATGTTATCGGACAATGTTTTCTGTAGGTAATAACCGATACTAAAGATGCGAAGCAAGCACTAGAAGCAATTGAAGCAAGACATAATGATATTATGAACTTAGAGAAAAGTATTAAGGTTTGCTTACACAACATCTTCACTGAATTATTAGTACATTTCATTTGCATACTTTGAATTCTCAGAAAGAAATAAACGAATGTCACGATTTAACTTCTGCAACGAAGGAAACGTAAAGTCTATAAGTAACTATTGACTTAAACGCTCTTTTACTAAACGTTAAATGCACACAGCAAAGTACCCTAAAGATAGAACTTTTATTAGCGCAGACACATCTACAACTTTTCACAACTCAACTTAACTCAAAAAGTTCCTATTTATATAAGAACCATCTAACTTGTAAACAACAACAGTATTACTATTATACCTTACAAGGAGAGACATGTCGAACTTAGCTGTTCCTTACATAGCTTTTCTATCACTAAATATTTTTAACCTATTACTCATACTTAATCTAAGTATGTATGCTGTGTAGTTCAACTATCATTAGCTAGAAATTGAATCACCTTACGACTATTTATTCACATAATAACAGTCAATATCAAATATGTAATAAACTATCAGAAATATTAATCACGTTAAGGCATTACTTATCTCACCTTGCACTACAAATATTGTATTGATATTTTTCATATTAGCTACTACTATAGTACTATTAAGCTATCCTAAAGGTAAGGTAACACCGTAACAACGAATTTGCGTTTAATTACCAGGAACTTCATGAGATGTTTTTAGATATGGCAATGTTGGTAGAAAGTCAAGGCGAAATGATAGATAACATAGAACATAACACCGTTAATGCAGTAGATTTTATTTGTAGCGCTAAAGAAGATGTCAAAAAGGCCGTCAAATACCAATCTGCAGCTCGAAAAGTATACACGTACTCGTAAATATCTTTAGTTGCGTAATCGCGACTGATGAAGTTAATGTTTTTAATGCTTTATAGAAAAAGATTATATGCCTGGCCCTAGCCTTAGTCCTGATCATAATCATCATTATAATCCTAATAGTCCAACTTCGTGATAACAGCGGCGGTAGCAGTGGTGGAGGAGCTACTCCTAACGGTGGTAGTGGAAACAGTAAAACTACGAGCTCACCTAGGGCAACTATAAGCCCAATTAATACCGCTCGTTAGCTACTTTCTTCACCAAGTAAATTCTCTCATGGTTCGTTTTGAATTTAAACCACAGAGTGCGATACACATCAATAATCTTTGCCTGAAAATACTATAACAAAGCTTTACATAAGGTCTATGCACTTCCAAACACTTCGTCGTCTCAGTTAACAGAAAATAATATCAACAAACAAGTAACGTTAGACTTGAATTGATGATTTATTTAAATTTTCTGATCAAACCACTTTAGCAATTATAATTTATATATTACTGCTTCTTTATCTTGCGTAAATTTATCTATTTTTTAGTTTAGTTTTGTGAAATGAGAATTACAATGTTATACAAATAATCGAAATTTATTTCTCGGCTTTGAAGAGAAACTTTGACATAAAAAGCTGACTTAACTAAAATTGTCCCTTGATACAATAATTTCCTGGTTTATTAACAGTTTCCAGTACCGAAGCAGTTGTTATTTATAAACTTAATGTATTTGGTGTGTAATATTTGGTAAACTGGTATCTGATAACAAAATGTGATTGTGATTATTTAATGATTTAAGAATACGATTTCTTGTCTCAATCTTGGTCTTATCTTTGACAATATTCATGGATTTATTATAATAATGTAGCAACAGCAACCTTAAGATTTAATGAGCAGTATTCATTTCTTATTAATTTGTAAAAATTGAATCAATTCAATCTTCTAAAAATAGCTAATATCAGCAAATCTTTGGTTTCAAAGCTGTTTTTAAGAACAATATAGCTATATAATATTTCAACTTAAGTAACTATTGACTTCCCGATCATTAAATAACAGAAAAGTGCTTATTTATATATGTATCTAACGATCAAAATATTGAATCAAGTACCATTTGACTATGTAACGTAGTATTTTAATCGAGTGCAGTTTTGCAGGTAATACGCTACGCCGCACTTCTTAGCGGTTGTATAAACACATAGAAATAAATACCCTTACATCAATGATAATAAAATTAAGAATCAACTACATTAACCTATTAATTAATAAAAAAGATCTACGTACAAGTATGTTATGCTATCTACAAGCTCTCAATCAGTTAGACTCTGCGAAATCTTTAAAAATCTCCATAGCAATCATTAAATGTCAAGATTTTTCAATTACTAAGCATACGCTTACCAGAAGTTTTACGCGTGAAATAACTTAAAAAGTTTGTTTCGACAAATATAAAAAATTTATAAGCATCAATAATATATCACATAGTTGGTAATAAACTCATGTAAAGCTGTAAAGAATACCAGTTAATGATTGGTTTTCAACTTAGTTCCTTTGTGATTTGATTAAATCGTGGTTTTTTCTCACAGGATATTTACACTGTGCATCAACCTTTATGCAATCATTATTAATGACAAAGGTCTGCTATCAATTTACTTGATAGTTTACCCTTAACCGCTATACTTTATACAGAGAACATTCCGAAATTTGGTGATACCTTAGCCCTTCGTAATTAAATGTATACCCGGGTATGTCGGTGTATTTTATTACATACTAATTAGATTCAAAATATCGAATTAGTATTACTATAATGTGATTCCTCTAGTAAGGTTTCTAAACCAGAAAACTCGATATAGGGCCGAATCGCTCTAGACCAATATTATTTATGCAATAATACTTAACCATAGGCCAATATTACAATAATTTGATTCATTATTGAGTTATTTTATACGACTACTCTTGCAAAAACTGCAATCTCTATCATTTTAATTTAAATGTAATCGACCTAAATTCTTGATACCTGGTTGCAATTCTTTCAACCTAAAGTTCATCTTGAGTTCATAATATCAGATACAGAGAAAGTTACCGATAAAAATCTAACAACATTATCCATATAGAGAATAATTATCTATTAAATTTACAACCGTTACCAATAATTAATCAAATCAGAACTGTATTACAGTTTCATTAATTTAGATATAAGAAACGCCTCACCCCGTATGTACTGAAAAGTACACATACACACGGACGAAATTATTTTATTAGATTTGCAGCATACTGTACCACGCTTAAAGTATTTTTTATAAAATACTTTGAACCAGCAACCAATAAATACTTCTGGCCTGTCACATTTAAAATCTTATTTACTTCGTTAGGGATTAACTGTATTAAGGAGCACTTTACCAAGCGGCTGAAGATATCTGGCACTTAAAATGAAAACATTTATTAAATTATTGCTTAAATTATAAAAGCAATGTATTCCAGAATGAAGAATAGAAAAATCTCCATACAGGTAACCCAATTTGTTGCATGTTACAATAACAGCTAATGAAGGTCTCTTCTACGTGCATACGTTTGCGTAGACATACCCTTATTATAGTCAATGATTTGACTGAGTAATTACACCAAATTCTCTCAATAACATATTACTGTAGTAATACGTAACAATATGCAAAATCTATATATACAGTACCCTAAAAATACGCTATCACAAATCAATATATGAGTAATTTGAAAGCCACCCCGGATAGGAATGATCTAATTTAATCAAAATAGCTATAATTAATAAGCAATACATCCAAGCATACGGTAGCATATGTTTTCGCTCCAATTTGATTCTACTTATTATCAACAAGTAGGCTTAGCATGACATTTAGTGTTAAACCTAAATCCTTAACTGCTGATAATAAGTGGGTACAGTACCGTAATTAGCGCTCCATACAATCCTATTGTCGACTGTGCTATGTTGTCGCTGTATCGAAATCGTCTATTAGTATTACCTTCAGTTAAATCAATTTTGGATTATACCGTACTAAAGGACACGGTAATACAAATAGCGGTGAAACCCACGGTATCGTATCACCCAATGAAACTTATGATATAAAAATACGCAACAGATTTGAATCTAACAATATCAGTTAAGATCTGCAGATATTTAACTCTCCCTCACCTATTTCCAATATTTGCCACCCGTACTTACTAATAAGATTTACGAAAAACTTCGAACTCGAACTGAATTCTTTGATCACCAAGAGATTAGTAAAAATGAAGGATAAATTGGCAGCTTTAAAGCAAGTAAGAATCGGTATAAGACTAAAAATTTCTATTCTACGACAATGCCTATCGTATACCAATTAAGTAAAGAAATTGAAGTTAATTTAAACGCTGCTATCCAATGCGATCGTAAGCGAAAATCTAACCAGTTTTCTGAAAAGGGAATAAGTTAAAAAACCTATCTACTAATTCTTAAATTAAGTCTCAATACCGCTAACCATCATGATTGTCTGTAAATTCTAGTTTCGTCATGATCGTAATGAATATCTCAACGGTGACGAAGAAGAATACGGATATATGGATGAATTTTTCGAGCAGGTAATATTGTTTCTATTTGATATTAATTGTAATGAGCGAAAATAATTAAATATCATGCTTAAATAGTCTGTAATAAAGCAACGTATAAGAATATAAATATCTTAAGCCATTCAGTATTTCTACAATTTCAATTTAAAGGAAGCGATTTATTAGCACTATTTCTATCCATTTGGTACTACTGGCAAATTTCCATATTGATAAAGATGCGCGTTAAAGTAATCGAATAGACTTCCTATCCAATACAGTTTTGACGCATAGAACATAAAAATGACTCGAAAATTCGTAAAAACAAATGTATCGACCTCAATTCATCATCAAATAATTTACAATAAGTATATATTATAAAAAGATTTCGTTACTAGAAGATCCATATTTGTTCCAGTTGAGAATGTGTGACTGCAGTATACATACAGTAAAAACTCGTATAATGTAGCGCAATCTGACTTATTGAACTACAACGCGTTCATAACGCTTAAACAGCGAAAGTTAGTAAGGTGTATTACGGAAGTAACTACATTTTGTTCCGCAGATTTACAATTCTTGGGGATTCTCATTAATTATGTAAATAATTAAACCTATATACCTTTATCTAAAAATCTTTGCTAATTTTTATATAATAGGTAGAGGAAATTCGTCAAGGGATTGAAAAGATTACCTACAACGTAGAGCAGGCAAATAAGACTCAAATAATTATATTGACCGATCCTAGAATGGAAAAAGGTTATAAGAGACATTCTCTAATAACTTACATTTCGTATTTTACAATATATCAATTTAGAGATACAAAGCTCGCTAAAGTTTAGAAATATTTGAGCATTATCCAGAAAGTGTGTATCATAATCAACCTCTTTTAATACACTAATTCACTTTGACTGAATAAGAATTACCTTCAAAAACATAATAACCAAGTTATAGTCGAATAGATATCTATAGTTGATGTAACCGCCCTAATTTTGATACCTATCTAAAATAGTGACAAATACAATTTAATCCTTACGCAGTAGAATCTGCACCTTCAAAAAATTAGATAATTCTAAAACCTGTAATTTCGCCAAGCGAAATCACTACCTAACTTAAAATAACACTTATTAAAACACCGATGGCTCCAAATGTAATATCAACATTAAGTAATTTCGCCATTAAGATGTTGGGTTTTCTAGTATATTACTGAAATTTTAAATTTAAATTACTCATCTGTACACATTTTAAGAGCATATCCCTGTATATAAAGATAGATCTGCTTAGCTTAAAAGTTACAATTTTCTAATGCCATAGGAACAAATATATCCCCATATCCACGTAATTAGTTTGTTAGTATCTTTATTTAGGCAAAAGATCTATTAATTGAAGAAATGTTTATATGGATGACGAGAATTATTTTGAAGATTATCCAATATCTAAGGGAATAATATAGTTTTCTAGCCTTTAATTTATTTATTTATTTCAATTGGGTTTTAAATAATAATCTAACGTAAGACATGCATTGATTAGACCTAATAAACTACTTGACCAATGCTTCATTTTAGGACCTTTTATTTCTTTCATGTACTCTAGCTTAAAATGATGGCCCAGTGAAAACTACATCAATTAGACGTAGTAAAATTTTAGTCGTGGCCTTATTAACACTGCGAACCCGTTTCAATTTTATACTTTGATTTATATTTTTGGATACCTGACGTCGTTTTTGTGATAACTCTGCATCATTTTTCCCACTACAATTTCATACTCGCAAACCACTTTGAACAAGTATGAGTATATTTTTACAAATGCTGACCCATTAAGGTCTTTATGAGCTAAATACTTTAACATGGTAGACCGAAATATCAACCCGTAATAGATAACTGAGTCATTTAATATATATCATAGGCGAAGGTATGTAGACGAAACTAAAATTTCAAATTCGAAAAGTTTCCATCAGACTATGACATCAAATTTCGTTTCAATTTTAAAATAAGTATACAGTACACAGATACATAGTTATTAATTAATAATGAAATAGGTAATAACTGACTTTAAAGGTTAAGGAAATGCCATGCTGAAATTTACAATTTGTAAGAGTAATCTTTATAATAATCGATGCACTCCTACTTCATGTTTTACTACTTTACTGACCAGCCTACCGTTCGCGAATATGTTTTGGTATATTATACTGTATACGAGTATGTCCTCGACTCACTTATCGTCTATTGTTTCTCAACCTCCTACTGTAATATTCTCTATCCTCAACTAATGATACGACACACAAATGTAGCTTATAATTTTAGACTAGTTTATTAAGAGAGAAGAACAGCCAAGAGTGACTTATAGAATTGCTTCCAGATGAAGACTTAAGAGTATAGTTATTTTCTTATCCTAGGATACAGTGAACTAACTTTAACTTGTCTACCCGTATAGTATTTATACCGTGAATATCGTATTAGTACAGTAATTGTAATATATAAGCTGTGATATTACATGGCAACAATTCCTAGACATGTTATCTGTACGTCAGTAACATACTTGAGATAACATTCAGACTATTCGTAGATTACATCATACCTACCACATAATCCTAGTCGGCTTTATACCTTCAATCGATCGTCTAAGCGTTCCTTTATGTAATGTGAAAAGGTTAAGTGCTGCATATTAACGCGTTACATTATTTTTCTACCCTATCAAACTTTTTATATTTTTCAACAATACTATATGAATTTAACCCACTGATTTGAACCGGGAAATATACTAGTAAAATGTAATAAACCACAACGATTTTAGTCCAGTACGAGCTCATTTCAGGTAAGCTAAAGCAAATTTGTTTAATTGATATTATTATATCTTTCTCAAACGCACATAGAATAAGTTCAATTCTCTCCGCTTTACTTCGAAAACTAAAGATCACGTTTGAATGTAGTAATAACTTTCTTACCGTATCCCGCAGCAATCCACTGAAAATCATCAACTTTTATATTTGATCATGAGTTATCAAATAGGCTAGGGCAATAAACAATAGTGTACATATATTTTATATTGTAAATAACGGCTAGTATCTACTTCTGTCATAATTTCTAGCTTCATAAGGTGCATAGATTATGACCCACTTCTATTCACCGGGTATTCGGTTGTAGATCTAAATATTCAGTTTTATTAATATTTTAATAAAATGACAATTCCTAAAGCACTAATAGTGAAAATACTTTGCCGTAAACTCAAAATTAATGTATCTTAATATCGAAAGTAAGATACTGCAGCTATTAGTATTCTCTATCTGCGAGGGCTGGAAAAATTATGTTAGCATTCAATGAGCTATCATTTACTAATTGTTAATCTTCATATTTTGAATAAGTTCATCAACGGATAAACAATTAATCAATTCTTATTATAGCAATTTCTGTAAATAAACTCAAAGATTTACTCAAAATAACGTAAATCATATATCTACTTTAATTCATCAGAGGCAGAAGGTCGATTAATAGATCTAACGTCAGAAATAAAAAGGTTCGCGAACCGTATTAAAGCCAGACTCAAAGGTAAGCGCCATAGAAGACTAAAAATTTTATAACATAGAATTAGCTAAGACATAAAATGCTCTTTATCTCAATAAAGCTATTTAGGTACAATTTCACCCAAAAAATCTTGTTATACATTATATTACATTTGTAAATTTTCCTTCATTACAAAATTTGAAATAGTAATGGAGCAAGATATACAACAACAAGAAACTATGGATGGACTTTCAGCTGACGTTCGAATAAAAAAAAGTCAAGTAAATAAAGCTAATTAAGCACCTTTTTTTTCTAAATCTTAGCTAATACATCAGAATATTCTTGATTTGTACTCAGCTTTTAACAATTCAAGCTATTAGAGTACTGCATTTTAATTCATTATATTATATAAAGTTGCATGCTTGTATACTTTTCGTAGCATTCCCAGCTACAATCCGCATGGCAACCTTTTACCTTATATTACACATAGTTAAATTATTCTTAGAAAGACAATTCTACTGCGGACCATCATTAATCCAATATGGATACGATTACAGTACTTACGTAGACATTATTCACACCAGCCAAACTACAATGAATTAACCATATCCTAATATATGATTTACAGTTCTATTTTTACCTATAGCCTTATTAGTAACTTAATAATAATCACCTTACCACATATAGTCATCTATACTCTAGCATAGAGTCTATACCACTACAGTCTATAGTTATAGCTACCAAATATCTCTTAGACCTGTCAGAGGTTCAGTAACTTTATATCGTGTATCAGAAGTTCAGTAACTTTTTACCGTGTACTCTGTACTTCGAGTATTTAAGATTAATGTTTTCGATACGTGCCCTTTAGATAATAATCAGTTATTTTATGAAATGTTCTAGAGAAATATCTCTTTGGGTGTTGATATGTTAGTTAGTGCTGAAGATTTGAAAACAACTTAACTATTTCGATTACAAATTCATTATCAAATGAAAGTCGAATATGTGAAAGTAGTACTTGGATAAATAAGTGCCACGCTAGTATATCAATTAATCTTCTACAATCTTATAATTATAACAGCGCTTTAATGCAGTACATTAGCACGTGACTTTTTATATCACTTATCCTCTCGTTATTGTAGCATGAGTAAATTACATGTTTGCCAAGATTCCTTATTATCTGTAGTGTTATTAGATATCATGAATTGATTAACTGACTGACTGACAATAAGAGTCTATCTGTAAATAAAAATTCGCTTTAGTTTTACTTATGTACTTTATTAATCTAAAACCTGTACCAACAATACTAATACCACAAACTTAATGAAATAGTAGACCATATAATATCAGCATAAACTGTCTTGGCTAATTTTACATCCCTGGATTATATAGTGTACTGCGCTATCTAAAAACTACATCGACGTTATGAGCGAATATAATATGCAACAAATAGAATACAAGGAAAAATGTAAAGCGCGACTAGAAACTCAACTAAAGATAAGTACGTTACTGAATCCTTAAGATATGCAATACGTTATAATGTACATTAAAAGATTATAAGCCAGCCTGCGTACCTTAAGTAATCTTTATAATCTGTTGCAATCAACAATTGTAAATGCAATATTTGATCTAATAGCTCAGCAAAAAGTTAGTGAAGAAGACATCGACGAAATGTTGGAAAGTGGTGGTCCAGCACCCCGAATATTTACATCAGGCGTAAGTTCTTGACATGAAAACATTTCTATGATGTAACAATATAGGCTTCTGAACTTCCATTCCGCAATTATATCAATAGAAAAGCTTGTCATATGAATGAAACCATATACTATTAAACTTATGCATCTCATAAATTATTTAAAAGCTCATGATTGACTCCGCGGAAGCAAAGAGAACTTTATCATTAATTGAATCCCGCCACAAAGAGATAATGAAATTAGAGAAGAATCTATCGGTTAATTATTTTATTCACTTTAGCTTATAAAGGGTTTACTTGGAAATTAATCTAACTATTGTCAATTAAACTAGGATCTAGCAGAGTTATTTCAGGATATGGGACAACTAATTAGCGTCCAGGTAAAAGAGGCATTACTTATATTTTCAATGCATTGATTTCCATCCCTTCCTGCTTGTAAACCTTTATTTAATATCGAAGAACAAATTAACCGTTAGTAATTCAATCAAATATATTAACTTCTTCATAAGGGAGAAATGATAGATCGAATTGAATATAATGTTGCCCAAACAACAGATTATGTCGAGAGAGCTAAAGAAGATACCAAAAAAGCAACTAAGTATCAAAGTAAAGCTCGGCGGGTATGTTGATTTTGCTTAGGTGTTACCGAAGATTATAAGTATCATTTATCCAAATTCAACTGTAGCAATTAATCATAGCCGTAAAAATACTAATATAAATTCATTCTTATTTCTTTTTCATAATGCTTGACTTCCTAATGATCCAGAAAAAAGTTATCATTATAGTATGTATTATCATCTTAGCTTTGGTAATTGCGGGAGTTTTTGGCGGAATTTTTGGATCAAGGGGCGTTTAGCAATAAAATAAACTAAAATTAATATATTATAATTTTATCCACTTAAGAGTAGGTCAAATCATCGCTAACCAATTGTATGATAACTTGATAACCTACTGTATAAAATGTCTTTAATAAACCATTTCTTCCAAATTGTTATTCTGAAACATTAAGACATACTAGCGTTAGGACTTATCAGATATATCAGATATTCACTAATTAAAAAGATTTAAAATCAGTATCTGAAATTGTAAATTTGATCTAATTAAATACTAGAAGTTATTTGCAATTTAAAATGCTTTAACGGGTTATTTTAAAATATCATTCAAGGCAAGTATAACTAGTTGTGCCTGCAGACAGTTAAAATGTGCGATTTCAATCCTGATTTCTAGATGCTACTTAAATTAAAAGTTGTACTAGAGAATAGTTTGATGAATGATTTATATATAGATCCATTACGGATTACCATGGCTGTTGTATAGTATATCATGTGCTGACTCATACAGCTTCTTATCGATCGTATCCGATTCAAATATGCGATATTCTCTTCAATTAGTGATATACTAACTAAGCAGTTGTGATAAAATTACTGTGATTCTATAATTACTCAAATTTAAACTGTAGTAATTAAGTACTATAGCCTTAAACTGCTAAGGCTAAACTTTAATTAAGGATTCATATCATTACTGTTAAAATGTGGAGTTTTACAATAGAGATTTGTATATTCATCCTAGCCAGCACTTTATATCAACTATAAGCTAAAGATATAAATCTTACTTGGACGTGGAATTTACGAAATTGATACGGCACGTTCTACAAATTAATTATTGAACTTTATAAGCGTAGTACTGTACTTTCACTTCTCTAGATTTTCTGTTCTGTGTTATAAATATCTAAAAGTTTAGTTTTTAACGTACCAATTTTACTAAGAATTTAACGTCAGGTATAGATAATTAATAGTATTTTTGTTCGTAGATTCGATAATATCGAATAAGGATGACATAATATATGGATGCAATTTCGTTATATGATATACTGACATGCACAGTATCAGCTCAGGTTGTTATTGATGTCTTGATACATTGCGACCGTCGATAAGATTACTAAGCGGCGAAAGTAAATTGCTTCATGCAATTTTCCCCTAACAAGACCGAAGATACTGTAACAAAGTATTAGCTACGTCAAATTGGGAGTGTAACAGCAAAAAACGGTATAAAAGAAATTGTATTCTGCATATTTTAGGTAAATTGGCTAGATTAAAAGATTTTTACTGGGTGATTTGGAAAAAAAGACAGTTTGAGATAAACATATTCTTACTACTAATAAACTCTTGAAATAATCAATATATCTTCGATAAGCTTTGAACAGTTGAATAGAACGTTGGTACCCATGCATTGGAACTTATAAATAAAAACATTGGCGTGTTATATTTACAGTTATGACGTAAACTGATCACTTGAACAGTTTAGGTACTGTAATTTACATATCTATAATGAGTTTTTTCATTATATTTCATTATTCTATAGTGATTCTATGGTTACACTTCACGTGATGTAGACAATAGCACTTTTCTTAATTGTAATTGCATACTACAGGTTGCAGATCGAGGTAGGGAGTCACTTTTACATTGTAAGCATCATGCTTAGATGTTGTATCTATAAACAATAAAGTTTTACTTCGATATAGCGAAGTTACCGTGTCCGACAATTATCAAGTATAGCATGCGCATTACTTTGTAAGAATATAGTTACTCTACCATATCCAATAATTCTTTTAGTTGAGATAGCAATCTCAGTGCTACAGAACGATGTAGGACGCGGAAAAGTTTTCTTGGAATCTCGAAACTTTATTTAATTTCAAAGGTTTGCACTGTGTTAAGTGGTTTTCTGATGCTATCATTAAATTTCATATTATAATCGTAAGCAATTAAAGTGGTTACAGATCCTTAGTTAAAAATATGTTAATCGGAAGAATCTGAAATTATCATATTACAGATAAGTAGGAAAGGTTAATAACGAACACCGAGATATCCCGTGTCACAGAGCAAGATACAAATTTTGTTCGCTGTAAAAATCTTTAATCTTTGGTGCTTATTCTCGAGAAAATTTAAATTTTCACACGATATGGCGAGAGATAGATTAGCAGATATCAGAGAGGTATTAGATCAAGAATAACGCTAAGGATTTAAGTTATTAAATTATATATCATACAGGAGAATTAACATAAATAGATTACTTGCTATTAACAAGTATAATGTTTTTGATATAATGATAGTTAGGGATCTAATGCACTTAATTTTAAAGATATAAAACATTACGGTTCTAATTTTATTATGGTGTGTATGATACAGATAGAGAAATTAGTCGCTCATAGTTGATTACCGGCACTTCACTCTTATCAAGGTTGATCGAGACTAGTACGAAATTTACTGCTTGCGGTTGGTTAATGACCACTGTGTTCGTCTATAAAGAGCAGTAGCATCGCCTGTGTAGACTATAGAATTATTAATCCTATTCATAGTAAATAGCATTTTGGTCTAATTAATTGACTTTCGAAACAGTTATTAAGGATGTAAAGAATATAACGTAATAGTGATCTATTCATACTTTCGTTAAGAGTTCTAATTTTTAACACATTTGACCTAACATTGTAGGTGCAACTTGAGGAGAATACGGATGCAAATCATGCCATCGTTGGTTTTGAAATGGCTGAAGTTGCACTAGAGGAAGAGGAATTTATGGGAGAATTCTTTAAGCAGGTACCATATTAATCTACTTACCAATAATGCATAGCTTGATAGAAGATTACCCGGAAAGAATGAAAATACTATGCATACGTATAATAGATGATAATATGTTATTTACTGAAGCATAATACTGCGCTGAAGTTACGGTTAAGCTCCGAATAGAAAGCAGGATAGCACCAGAAGTAAATTTCATTCATTTCGGTCAAATACGTAAAGTTTTATACTACCGCGACAGTAGCCTGTCAAATAAGTCGCTAAACCCATAACTGGTGATAGTCTAATAGCATTTTATTGTAAACATGATAAAATTATCAAGGTTTTGACTAGAATGGGCCCAAAGAGCTCTTGGAATTTCTGTTATTCATCATTACTTTAAGAGTTATAAAATTCTAAGAGAGAAGCACAAATTGGAATTTAAAACTGTGCTAAACACTCAGATAACTGATCATAAATTAGTCCGTGCTACTGTCATGCCGTAATTAACTTTTACTAAATTTAATTCACTATTGCGCCGATGATATCGTATAAATATATGTATCTAGCTATAACACTAAGTAATGCAACGCTATGAATGATGCTTTTGAAACTGCTTTCAATTAAGTCGGCATGTTACTATTTTTTATCTATTCGTGCTTTAAAAAGTGAGTTGCTACTTAAATGAATCAAATCCTGCTAAAATACTGGAGGGTGTATGTATTACATATGTTGCAAATAGTTCTCAAAATTTATAAGTTTTACGAAGTACATCCACATTACCTTAAAATAATTTAGGAGAAATATAGAAATTAGTTTATTGATAGTCGAGTTATACGTAAATTGCTGTAGCATGAAAATAGCCAGCAACTATATACCGCATTATTAATCATACCACAGCAGGTACATTGTTACCGGCATCTTATCTTGATAAATGGATTTATTGTATGAGTAGTGGTTGTTAAGTATTAACAGAATTTTATTATATTATTTAAGCATCAAAGTACTATCTAGCTTATTGTATCCAACTCCTAGCTGTATAAAGAACACACATCTTGTATATACTATCTCTAAATACATATTAATCTACGTAATACCATATTAGGCAATAGCGATATATCCAAATATAATGGTAGCACTACATATTAATTATATATATAAATATATACCTATACATGGATACGTATCCAGTTGGTTATCCCAAGATTACACAACTACACATAATTACATACATGTAGATTCTAATAACGTTTTCACTACAATGATCATTTATCAGAAGCGCGATTATATTTCTACCTAGTATGTTCGTAAAGAATATACATTTTAAATAACGGTAAAGGATCCTATTTATTCAGATCGAAATAATTGAGCAAGATCTCAGTGGAATAGAAAATGACATTGATTATGTGGACGATCTACAAAATGATATTCTAACGGCGTCGAAGGTAGATTACGGTTAGTTGTACGAAATACTTTTGTAAAACGTACTTTATGTGTAGATATACCTGTAAATACCGCAAGTATATAGGTGCGCACGGAAATAAAATGTTGCGAATTATACGTATTGTATTCGTATTATACTCCTATATTTTTGGCATAAGTAAATAATATATATAACAGATGATAAAGCTAGATTGGAAAATGCTATGACTTCTATAAAACTGAAGACAAATCGTTCTAGAGCTCGATTAAAGGGTAAGCAAAATTAATGTAGTAGGTTTGTTGTAGCGCGAACACTTTAGATACTGATCTATTGTAAATATGGTATGATTTAATATCGTGGAGGTAAAGAGTAAACAGATGCAAGTGTGGTATCTTAATCTAACACATCGTGTAATCTATTACTATATTCTATCGTAAACTTTAATAGATATAGAAGCATCAATTAGAGAAGCGAGCGATACTTCCGCGGAAATTCGAATCAAGAGAACTCAAGTACGATTTTATGATGTATACTATTATGACAGGAATTTAATGCAGGCACAATTCTATTGAAACATTAGAATAATTCTGTACGATTTAATGACTATATTTTAATGCACTGTCATGTATCATTTACATTTTTTTTGAATCTTGTAACTGGTGATCAGCATGCCGCGCTATCGCATCGCTTAGTCAACGCTATGTTGAAGTTTAATCTAATTCAAAATGAATATCGAGATAGATGCAAGGAGAAGCTGAAGAGGCAACTGAGCATAGGTTCAGAAATTTCTATTATCTATGCCTAATTAGCTAAATACCACAATCATTTATGTGATGAAAAAGCTGATAACTATCTCACCTAAATAATATAATATTTTAGCTGGAAAGCCTGCAACCGACGAGGAGGTCGAAGATATGCTGGAAAATTGGGATTTGGAAATATTTACTCAATCGGTACCAAGCCAGGCGAATTTAGAGATGATCCTTCAGTTTGCTTTAGCACAAACCAGTCATAATTTGGTTTAAGTAGTATTTTTTGATTATTAATCATGATTTTTGAAATTTATTGTCTACTTATGGTATAGGTCGATCCAGGGACTAAAGATGCGAGATTGGCCCTAGAGGGTATTAAGACAAGGCATGACGATATTTTATTACTGGAAAAGAGCGTTAAGGTAATTATTTATACAGACTGTGTATTTACGAGTATGTCATTTGTTATGTATTGTAATCGTACGTGAGGTATTACTACCTGTAGAAATTGCTACGAATAAAGAATTTTATCGAAATAATAAATCTAATATCGTGTTTCTTAATTGGTAGGATTTACAAGATATGTTTTTAGATGTAGCAATGTTGGTTGAAAATCAAGCGGAAATGCTCGATAGCATTGAACATCAAGCTGGAAATGCCGTTGATTATGTTGACAGGGCTACAGCAGATGTCAAGAAAGCCCTTGAATATCAATCAGCAGCCCGTAAGGTATGCAATCATTATCTTTATCAGGCATACAGTATGCAGGCAAAATAAAAGTATCACCGAGGATTATACATATGAGAGCACTACGGTATTTTATTAACTCTAGCGAGCTTGTAGATAGTAAGTGATGATAAATACGTATAAGTTGTATAATTTTAATCGCTTACACTCTATAAAACTAGGTGTGCGAATAAGGGTAGTAGGAATAAGTACTGTAGTTTTAAGGGAGTTTAGAAATTGAAAGGGCTTATAGTAAATGAAGTAACCTTAAGATCAACGTAATGCTTAATCTAAACGAAGTACGTGAGCCTAATACTGCAAGTTATTCAATAAAGAAAATATTATAGCGTTTCTTACATGTAACGTTATGATATGATCCTTATTACTGTGAGTATAGCAATATTAATTACTCTAATGAAACGTAATCAATTATATAATATATCTTATAAACAATATTCTCTTGCAATGGATTTACGGGTATAAGTAAACTATAACTACTTTAATTCTTACTTGGGCGAGTAATTTATGTTTGCTTCTATTCGGTACTTTTTCACGCGTACAATAGATATAACATCATAGAATTAAACTGATCCTCAACTATGTATACTTGTATTGATATTTTAGAAAAAAATAATCTGCATCGTTTTGGTGCTAATCTTGCTGGCTATCATCGGTATTATCATACTTTCTCAGCTTAATCTTGGAGGTACAAGTACTGCTACTAATAATGTCGTTACTACTGCCGCAACTCTATAATGACTTCTAAATACGAAATTTTTCAAATCTAAATTTATTTTAAGAAAATAATCAATTCATCGGTCACAATTCTTTCTATACGAGTGTTTATATCATTTACATTAAAACTATACTGCAGTAACCTTCTGTTGCTACTACTGTAAATATTTGTTACGTCTTCGCTGTATTCAAACGTTTTAAAACCTCTCTTTTACAAATCTAGGTTAATTTCGCGTATTACCCTATGATATTTATATAAGTGTTTTGCATAATTAAGTTAAAAACAAAGTAATTCTTTGATAATTGTAATTTTAATTTCATTGATTACCCAAATATTTAACTAAAGCTTAAAGGAAGATAAAATCTTACTTTGAAAGTAAGCTTTTAATATCTTACTATCTATCATTATGCGGCTACGATTGGTGTATTTATTTTGGGGTTCGGCTACCAATATTCAGTTTTGATTTCCGGAAGGTCGTCAGTATAAAAATACTTCGAGCTAATATAGGAGTGTTGGTCTTATTAAATCGTCTCGTAATTACAACTTAACATTTTAAATTTGTAAAATGGAAATTCCTATAAGGACAATAAGGTCCTTAAAGGTATATTTTCCTCATTCGCATCAAATTATTAGGTATTATCAAATATCATTTACTTGTACAAGTATTCGTAACTGAATGAAATCCAATTTATATCATTTGAATCGCCATCTGATGTTACTTTCGTATGTGTATGATGATAGGAAAATCTTAGACTTCGATAAATGCTCACACTGTCCATAACAGATATGTATTTATTCATTATTGATTTAAATTTATTGCTGGACATAAAGTAATTCAAAGCTTTCATGTTATGCTAAATTTTGTTTAATAACTATTAGAATTTTATATTATTAGTGGGTAGCTGACCTTGAAAGTAACAGGTTTTTATAGGGCTTAGTAAGGTAAATACGTACACGTATATCCAAACTTTCTGGGCAGTGGCTATTATTTGTCTTATGAGTTAAACTTACTCTAACCGAATAAAGATAAGGCTTATCTTACTGTAAGTGATACTAGTCTCACATACACAATACTTCAAATATGGTGGTTCATGCAACATTTAGGCTAAATAATGAAGTATTTATTTCTTGCTATCTTGCAACATCAGATACTTTAGCCGATTATATCCATATGTTTTTAGCTCTTCATCTTCTCGTCAATTCACTAGGTACGAAATTTTAGAAAGTTGATAAATTTGATAAATCAATAGTGTAAGTATAAATGCAGTTAACGCTGGTAGAGCCACACGCATTAAACGGGTATAACAATTGCTGATCCGTTTCATTTAAAAAGATTGTCTCTGTCAAACAAGTTGCACAAACCTCAGCCTTGTAATTGATCATAATACAGTGTTATATTCTAGATATTACGCGATGCACATAAATAAGAAAATAGTAAATTACCTATAAGGTTGTCATTTTAAAGCAAATTAGGGTATGTATAAACTGAAATATTTCAGTTAACTTAGTAACCGTTATAAGAAAATGTAAAAATCAGAATGGCTGTGTAGAAAACTCTATAAAGATTCTATGTTTAATCAATTTTCATCAGAATATTACATGAAATCAAAATTTAAAGGCCCAGTGGCCACCCTTAGCGATATAACGAATACTATTTTAATAATCAGTACTCTGCAGAAATTACTACCTTAGAGCTATTCGTTTTACATGAAGAAATCTTTAGGTAAAAAGTACTGTAAGAATCTTATACTGACCTATTGAACTGAACCCATAATCAAAGTCATTTAACAGTAGTATAAATACCTCCGAGCTGCTCATTTCAAGGGTGGGATGTATGCGTTTAATTTAATAAGACAAAAACAAATAGATTAGTGATAGATTGTGATGCTGTTGCAGGATTAAGTAATTCTTTACAAGTCATAATTTCAGAGGGTGTATTGTAAGTAACTACTGTATATCTTGAAGGAATAGTCTATCTTTTCGCATTGTACATTTTCGGATGTCTTCTCACAGAGTACTGTACGTAATAGTTTATACCGTATTTAATCCGATACCGGACAGAAATTTGGAAGGCTTGATCCCGTTTTTCTCGATATCCAATCCAGGAATGGGCCTCAGGTCCGTGATATGCTGTAACAGTGGGACAAATAGCTACTTTTAAACAAGACAGCTTCATTTGTATGAAAAAATCTTCGTGTTCAAAAGCTTTTTAAGGCGGGGTTCCAACCACTTGCTTTTCGCACTCTATCCGTTTTGGCAAGGAAAAAATTTTGGACAATGTCGCACATTTTGCAGTCAAGATACCGCGGTATGGAGATATTGTAAAATTTAGATGTATGTATGACTAGTTGTGTTTTACCCAAGGGTTTTGTACTGATAATTAGTAAGCCGGAAAAATCCTCACTATGTTTAAGTTTTCCCCAACTATTTATCAATATCAGTATCTTCTAGTACCGATAAAAGCTGCAAATTATTATAAATTAGTATAGGTGAGGTATAAGAAATTGTAAGAATTTGAGGCATCATTAAATCCAATAGGCAACAAATATCTTTTACGCAAAATATACGGTGCTTATAAACCGTATCGAATTATACGCTTGTGGGTACTATAAGTTACATATTCCAAATTTGTATCTTCGTGGAAATAGAAGTCATCATCAACGAGTAGAATGTAAGGAGGATTAACGAAGGATGATCCAGGATTGAGTCCTGCACTAGCACCAGAGTTGTACTTCATCCCCAGATATAAAACGCTACTGGCATTCTTTATAGAGTCATATTTGATTTTCTTGATAGAGTTCATATTATAAACAAATAAAGCATCATCTACAATTATCACAGAGGCGGATAAATAGGTGTTACGTACGGACTTAATTAGACGAATGACCAGGTGGGTACGACCAAATGTTTTAACCACTATTGTAATACAGTTTTCTATGTTACCACATGATTTTCTGACCTAGTCACATTTTACACTATTGCCGTTACAACTGTTAGTAATTTTTGGTGTATTTAATTGTTTGTTAAATAGTGAGATCTATCTTGTATTGTGGCAGATCCGAAGTGTAGACGGGATGCGAAAACATTTGCTTAGCTTTTGACAGTAATATCTCTCATACTCAGGATCTTTGAAAAACAGTATCAAAATTTTAAAGAATCGTAAGTATTAGTAAGGTTATATGAACAGAAGCAGCTTTTTAGTTTATCTTTGGTGCCAACATGCATACAGTACATATAACGTGAGTGCACACGCGTACAGTATTTAAAAAGTACTAAAGTCGATGTGATGATTCCATAAAGCACACGCAGAGTAGTCGTATAGTCTAATGTGAGTAATGCGTTAATATGTACTGTATACTAAAAGATTTGTTATAACATAGATTACGGTAATACACTGGAATGAGGCTATATCATGATTGCACTGTATGGAATGGGTACAGCTTTAAAAGGGAAACGCAACGTACCAGCGGTTTGTCTCTTCGCCAATTCGTCGTTTAAAACTAACTGTAAAGGTATCTTCACGGTATATCAACTGCACGAAGATGAAAATTGTAGTAGCAGATATTAAGGTTGAAATAAACCATCGATACAAGTTACGGTATTTCCGTTAAACGTTATTATATTTTCCAAACTGCTTTGATAATCATTTTTGGATAATTATAATATAATGCTATATACTGTAAATATAGTGACATGAACTAATGCATAATGCCTACAAGATAATGCACCGTACAGTCATCTGTAGAAAATTTTTTAACGCGTATTTATGGTTATTCGAACGCCATTTTCTTACTCCAAATCTACAGTACACCAAGCTGATTTCCGACTAGGAATATTATATCGACTGATCATCATGGGTTAACATAAACGTTAACGTCATTCGTACTTTACTAATTCATCCAGCCCTAGAATTTTAGTGGTTTAAGTTAATATAATACCTACTACGACTGTACCTTACGTTAACCCACACATCATACCATGCGAATGAAATTTCTTATTCTTGTAATAATTATAGTTGATATTGTACTCAATCATATACTGAGAGACTAAGGCAATTTAAAATAATAATAAAAATTAATAATTTCGCCCTCTTAGGGCACGATATTAAGTTTGGCAATTGGATCTTAGTGGACTATAAAATAAAATTTAACTGTATTCGTTTTACAACGGATACTACGAAGCTAGTTTGCTATTAATTCATTTACTTTTACTTCTGCTTTCTCTCTGCAGTCAGATACGCGCTCAAAGGTAGTCAAAACTACCCGGAGTGCAGTAATCTCGAAGTCACTCAGAAGTCACTGATCACAATTTCAATTCAGTCAAGTTAACTATTAATTTCTCATACGACTACAGCATGACTGCACTATCTAGTGTGTCTAGCTAGTAGTGTATTCGGATGGTTGTCTACTCAAACATCTAAAAGTATTTTAGCAAAAAATTTTCTCAGTAGGTTAACAATGCATTACATTTTAAGTTTTAACACTACTGTATCTGGTCAAGTCTTTACTGCGAATATTGTTGTGATATGTAAAAGTGGATGTCACGCGAAAAAGTTTATTTTTTAGAGCTGAGATCAAGCATATCAAAGATGAAATGTTTTTGGTAATTACTATTTGTCCATTTCTCCGTTTTAAAATACCGTTAGAGAAGCGAAATAATAAAGTTTAAATACATTACTTCAATGCTATACTTTCGTAGCCTCCTTTCAGATGTAGAGCATAATCAGGGACTTTTAAGTAGTCCGTATGGTACAATACTTGCAGAAAATTAATTAAACATTACCTGATTTTATGTTTACAATCATCCGTTACAGAATGCTCAGCTCATTACCCTTACATTGTCAATATTAGTTTATTAATGACTTCAAGACCGTAAAATATTAATACTCTATCACCGCGACGGCGACAGAAGCATCGCTATCTGTAACTTAAAAATGCTTGAGATATAGTCATAGTTAAGTTACGAATTAAAAAAAAAATTCGCTAACAAAACCGTTTCCGCTTGATTTCTTCTTTTCTAGTAATTTTTGATCTGCAAACATTTCTTCGCTAATCGTTCCACAATTCATTCGATGCCATTCAAAATGATCCTCACAGCAGACAGCGTTCGGCATATTTCTTATTCCTGTTTGAGACCAAAGGGCATTTATCATACTGTAATGTCTAGAGGAGAATTTATCTAAGCAAATCGAGCATTTTCGGAGTTTGTAAATATCAATAATATCGCATGTTGGTTTACAACACTTTATTAAGCGACGAAGCTTAAAGGAGAATAACTTATTATGATCTGGATGTTCCAAGAGATGATCAACTAAATGACCATTTCCATCGCAGAACATGGTATCGCAATCAAGGCAAAGTGCAACATTTGTATCTGTACCGCATCGTATACATGATGGATCTTTAAGCTTTCTAATTTTTCGACATTTACGGTAAAGGTGGATTAATTTAGATGAAGCGTGTCGCTTATTAAATGTATTAATTCCTCGTTGATAACTATTATTATTAGAGGCTAAAGGTAAAGATCTATCGATATTAGGAGTTACTGTACAATCATTAGCTAAGTGACCGATACGTTTACATTTCCAACATTTAAAACTAGATAAATTACTGTGACTTTTTCTCCAGTTATTATTAGTGAAGTCATATTCTTCTGTTTCACTGGAAGTTTCTGTTTTACCCGAGGTTCTTATCTCGGACTTTGGACGGCACACGCTCGCAATTCGATCATTACTGAAATTGTTGCAGCTTTCACAAGCATCAGATGCTTCATTGCTACTGGAACTGTACGAGACTAAACCAAAGTAACTTGATCTTATTTCAGTATCATCGTTAGGAGTAACTTTCGCAAAATTTTCAGACTCCATTTCAATTGCAGTCGTACCGCTTCGAAATATATCTGGTAATTTAAGGTGCTCCTTGTGATTCTTAACATGGCTTTCAGTAGACCCTACAGGCTTCATGCCAGTGTTATCGGAATTCGTAACAGTCTTAGTACCACTATTTTTTTTTCGCCTTTTTCTTCTGCGTTGTTTTCTCTTCACTGTTGGTGTCGATTCTTTGGTATCCATTAGAGGATGCCTTTGCATTGTTATCAGTGATCCGTAAACCTTTCCTTTGTCCAATCTGTGAATATTTACGTTGCTTTCTATATCACGTTGATCAAATTGTCTAGTTACTAGATTGTAAGCCTGTAAATTGTCTCGAATTGAGCGTAGATTAAATTCCTTCGCATACATATATGCCTTCTGTTTATGTAATGCCATTGCAATATACAATACTGTACAGTACAGTACAATAGTATCATGAGCCGTTAAAATATACAGGTAATGGGAAGGAAGGCTTCGTACAAGAATCTTCCGTCTAGCAAATGAAGTATCAGTTCAGTTCAGTTTATACCAGGTTCATATCACTTAGTTACGAAATCCTTTATACCATAAAAGAGAAGAAAGTTTGGTTTTACTCGTAGTGTGAAGGTCGTCCTAAATTCTCTAGAAAATTAATTGGTAAGGTACGATTATTTACAGTTCAGTACAGTACAGTACAGATCTATAAATTACATTCCTTAAATGACTGTACAGTACAGTACAGTAATACAGTATACTAATTTACTGTACAGTACTGTACAGTACGAGAATGGCAAAAGTTGTTTGAATCATTGCTTACCCGCTCTCAGCTATGGTCTACTGTACTGTACTGTACAGTAGTACTGTGGACCTTAGCCAGTTTTAATGAACGAACGTACGAACGTCCAATTTGAACGTCGGACGTTCATTGAACGTACCAACGTACAGTACACAGTGTACAGTGTTAACACTACAGTACAGTATATACATAGTGTACACTGTACAGTACGGTATAAGACTACTGTACTGTATACTATACACTGTACTGTACATACAGTAGTACTGTACGTAACAGCGTACAGTATACTGCAGTCATGACTAGTACTGTGGACGTTAGCCAGTTTTAATGAACGAACGTACAGTACGAACGTCCAATTTGAACGTCGGACGTTCATTGAACGTACAGTACAGTATGTACTGTATAGTATTGGGGTGGGATTATACAAACTGACTGTACAGTATACAGTACAGTATACTGTACAGTACTGTACAGTACAGTTCGTCGACGTCCGATCTGACAACGAACGTACATACCGAACGTCCAAAATCGAACGTCCGTTGGACGTCCAATCGCTCGACGTCTACAGCACTACTGTACAGTACAGTATTGAAGAAGAAAACGGATCACAATAGTACAATACAATATGCTGTACAGTACAGTACAGTACTGTACACTGGACTGCAAGTTTATTCTATTTTCTATTCTATTTCCTTTTGCAGTTGATAATAATGAAGAGAGGGATAGATAGTGTTTACGGTGATTCTTTTTTTTATTCTCCCCTTCAACTGAAAACGCACTTATCAGAAAGGACAAATCAAGCTGATCTTGCCAAAGTTTACGGTGAGGGTGTAGTTGTAACTTGTATGTGCATTTCATTTGATTTGCACTTCTGTATCGACTGCAAAGTACAGTACGTATATTATACAGTACAGAATATTGTAATGATGGCTACGGCTACTACGCCGTATATTATTGTAATTACAGTACGCTAACGTTTGATTAATTATTAATTTTGTGTTTCGTACGTATTAGCAACGCATAGACAGCCATTTATAATGTTTTATTACACTATTGCTATCAGAAAGAACAAGAAATATACTATATCGATCTGCCAACGTAGAAAATTCAGGTAGCCTAAATGGTGACCAGGGAAAGGCTAATAAATTGAGAGAGTGTCCCTCGTGTGGTAAGGTAGTACTAACGGACAAGCAGTTGTACAAAAAATGCAAGTTCTGCGATCGTTCGATCTGTGATCGGTGTTACAGGCGATGCGTTGTGTGTAGCAGTTATAGCTGTTTCTTATGCTCAATCTTAGAGTAAGTACAGCACGATTGTCCTTTGTCCTACAGTACAGTACTGCAGTATAAATCACTGGATTAATAACTATTTGTACAATACTATGCATAGTACTAGTCCTAAAGTGTGCGTGCTATTTTTTTATCATCTACGTATAGCTACGGTTTAAAAGAAGAAAGAGCCTTCTGTTTTGATTGTATTAAAGGATAATATTGGAAAGGCATACCGCATTTCTTTCGAAATGTAATAAGATCATGATCCGCTAGTATTTATTAATTATTCAGAGTTTCTATATGTTTGTACTTAATTAGCAATCTATGTCCGGAAATACTCTTGTAAACTAGTTGAGATAATTACTATTTAAGAGATTGGCTTAGAATTGCATTAACTATATTATATTTAATTGACTTAACGACTGTCAAAATGATGCAATAGATTGATTGTTGCGAAAGTTCTTATATCAAGTCCGAGTTTTTATCGTGTGATCTATTAGACAATACATGGTATAGTTAGAATTATTAAATTTGAATTCTATAGAGGAAATCATGAATGTCAAACAATGTAATCGATAAGTAATAAGCGATATCTATGATTATTGAAGAGATTATTCGGAGATCGGATAAAGTTGAGAAGCTATTAGGATGACTAGTTGTCAACTGTAATTGTAAGTAGTTTATATGGCTACTGCTTATTAGAATATGTGATGACTCCGGAATAATATACTATTTTGGCAATGGTAGATGACGTAAAGTTTTACTTTCTGTTGTATCTGTGCATGCTCATAATTCAGAGATATAGTAGATATAGATTTTATGTGATATGATAAGTTTAGTATATTGAGATTTACGTATCGTACTTTTGAGATAAGTCCAGATCACTTAAACTTTTCTAAATCTGGGCTTCAATGTTGGTTATCACAAACGAAGACAAAATATAGATAGAGAACTGAAGAAATGCGCAGTCATCGCTGTAAAGAATTTAGTATAGATATAGTAGAATTTTTATAGCCTAGTGTATCCTATGTTAACAAACTGAATGAGTGTAATTATGCTGTTCTTGTATCGAAAACATATATGTGTACAGTATATCCAGTTTCAATAAAATATTGCTATAATTGTAATTGTAACTAGCAGATCCCTCATTCGTAATACTCGCTTACTATACTTGTACTTTTTAGTATATTCTGAAACGTGCATGTCACATATGCACATTAAAAATAATAATATTGTCACTGAATACGGATATTGTCTTAATTAATTAATAATAGTTGAGCCAGCTCACTACATTCACAATTCGACTTCAGACAGTTAAAATATTTATGGAAATATTTATTAATTAAGAATGAGTAAGTCAGCTATTTCTGAAATATTTCTGGAAATACGATCTTTGTATACTTGTGGCTCAATGCAACAATTTCGTTAGGTCGAGTATTTATTCTAGAGAGAGCGACATACAGTCGACCATGTGAAAAAAGATCAGTCGGTAGATATAGGCCATTTTCTAGGGTTTGACTTTAAAACTTATTAATAGCCATCGCGAATGCAAGACGCACCGGTAAGTGCTACCTGGTTAGTTTTCGAAACGTAAGAGTGCGAGCAGCGGTTTTATCACTTTTAACCATAGATTTTAAAGTTAGAGTAGCATTAGGCAGAGAGCTATGGTGAGTCACATTGGTGACCGGATGATATAACATCATAAATGTTTATTTTGATCTGAGAGTAGAATTGTATTATAATATATTATAATTAATTCGATAGTTAAATAAAACGAAAGCATGTTTTAAAATGTCATATGGTTATAAAGGTATAAAAATAAGGTGTTAACGAATTCTTCCTTGATCATGTATGTAAAAGTCGTTGTGTATTTTCGTTGAGGAACCGGTCCGAACTCAAAGAAATACACGTGCTTCTTTTGCTAAGCTACAAGCTAACTTTATTCTGCATTACTTCTGTAGTTACCGCAAAAATCCCGCAGTCTTCATTCTAATAGAGCTATACTGTACAGTATATCATACGCATACTGTACGATACACAATTTCCGCATAGCTATTTCACGCTTGCGCATAACACCAATACCTAATCATATGATAAACCATTAGATATCGTTATCATTCCATACATATCATCGTTTAACAATATCTACAGTACAGTACTGTACAGTTACTATCTTACTATACTAACATTAACCAAGTTTAAGATTCAGATATATGACAAAAGTAATACCTTTAATAGCGCGTGCCAGGCTCTGGTATGAAGCTTCTACAAATTTACCCGTTTTTAAAACTCTTTCATACAGTAATTATAGAAATTACGTGCTAGTTCAGTATAATTAATTATCATTGTGTCCTTTCTGCACTGAGTCTGAACCTGGTAGAGGCTGTACTGTACAGTATATGAGCTAGCCTAAGTGATAACGTAAAATGTGTATGTGTAATATTTAGTTCTCACATGCAGATACCACCACTGTACAAAATCGCGTTAACAGGTAGCATAGCACCTGGGGGAGCTAGTGCTTCTAAAAGTTGTAATTTATTAGTTGTTGGTGACTAGTCTTCGGCATGCCTAAACTAAAATGAGTATGTAAGCACTATTCTATGTCACGTATTTTCGTATTTACGTAGTATCCGTACACACTAGAAAATGATAATTTTATTATTACTAGTGCAAACTCCCGTCGCTTTGCTGACGGTTTACGATAATGTGCTCATTTAACAGATAGTACAGTATTACCATTTGATAGACCTGTCAGAGGTTCAGTAATTAAAAAAGTTCATCGTGTGAACGCACCTTTAACTTTATACCAAGTACTGTATGCTGTACAAATGTACGGTACAGCACTACAATACTGTACAGTACAGTACTTTTACTACAATTTATCATCTGTTGCTTCGTGACTTTTTCATCGTAGGTTGTAGATTTCTTATTGGAATTGTTTCAGTTGAGTATACCAGTAATTCTTTGGAATAAGCCGTAGGATAGATGGTCTGATATCTCATTAATTATATTAATTTTAAAATCACAAGTGACGATAAACCTTTTGTAGTAGAAGAATGAAAGACATACGATGTCCAAATTACATACATCGGTAATTGTTACTTAGCTGGCATTGATCATTACATATTAATGATAGTTGGGGAATATGATGATTGTTAAGGGTTATTCGTACTAACAGTAAAACAATATTTTACTCGTGAAGCTTTCGTTTTCATATTTAATCTATTCAGAAATTTTGACTTGCTCCATCGAGGATTCACAATGTCTATAGAATAACTTCTTTTGGATAGAGATTACCGAGACATACAGTATGAATTTCCGTTAAAATAATTTGTAATTAGAGAATATTTATGATCAACTTAAAAAAGCTATCAAAAATCTCTGGGTAGGATCTGAAATGTCGTAGGGTGTATTTTCGATATTAATGTTAAAAATATATTACATAAAGGCAAGTAAAGCCTAGATAGATTTTCCGAAATTCATGAAAGAATGAGAAACGGCGGCAGAGGTGAGATATTGGTAGCATTATTCAATTTTACAGTATTCCTTAGGAGAATACTATATTCAGACCAATCTCAAACGATCGCCGCAACATACATATATAACTTTTGTATTTACATATTTAAATGTTATTTAAGAATGCTTCCAATAGGTTAAAATGATAGTCTATTGAACGAGGTTTATCCATGAAGTAGTTATAGGTCTTTATGTTACCACCAGATTTATTTAATAGCTGTACAAAGCGCTCATATTCTAAATATACCCAAGGCCTAGTTCCATCCATCATCTGATAAGGTGTCACATGGCAACATACTAACGGGACGTTTGATACTAAATCATTTATAACCCCTTCATTAGTCAGCCAAGTCCCGTTCTCTCCGCTGTGTCCTCCATCTAGCCAATGAATCCCTGCTATGCGTTTAAACAAATTTATATTCGTATCGCAAGCATTTTCAGATATACATTTTTTTCGATTGGATAATTCAAGGATTAATTGATTCAGAACTACACATCCTTTACTAAAGCCAATTAAGACAGTCGGCAAGTCATACTTTACATAATCGTTTCTGCGGAGGTCTTTATTTACTTCCTGATACAAAGAGTGTAAAAAGGATTGTTAATATGAACTCAGAGTTCAAGAGGGATATTTGTAAATTTGTTAATGTCAGCATTACAACTACCTTTATCGTATTTAATATTATTGTCTCTAGATGGTCAATCGCATAATCACTAGGTTTGTTATAATCAGGATTGCCATAAGCATCACAGTGGAGGAAATGATCGTAGCAACTATACATTTGTCCGTGCATTCTTGAAGGTTTGATAATCAGTATATGGCTGTCAGCAAATTTTTTTTGAATAATTTCTAATACATGATGATAATGCCAATGAGAATATTTCTTGTTAATTTGATTCTTTATCATATTTTCGTAAAAATCCTAGCAAAAATTAATTACACTTATTAGTGCCCTAGTACGTATAATATTTTTACATCTACCGTATTACTGCAGTAAACGTGTACTGTCCGCTTATGTGGAATAAATAACGAATTCAAAATAATCATAGAGTATTTATATGAAAGAAATCGTAATTTGAAATCTTATTGCACTGTAGTTGAAAACTAAATGCACTGCCGATAATTCGAATAGAATAAATGTCAAAAGGTACGACAGGCAATGCTGTTGTAATATTGTGTTAGTAGTAGAGTGTATAGTACGAGAATAGTGGTAAATATTAGTGCTCATTATCACATTATTGTATCTAGCCAATCGTATCAGAAATGTATGGTCTGTATGTGTTAGATCTGTTTACGAACTATGCTTGGACCAGTTCGGGCTTAATTTGAAGTAATTATATTATGGCTAAAATAAGATATAGAAAATCATCTCTATATCGCGTATGTCTACAACCATGGACTTGCTACAATGTTCCGTTACGCGTACTTATACAAATATACCATGGCCTAACTTTGGTTTTCATCAATATTATGGAGTACTAGTAGACACATAACTTTATCTGTTATAATTATTATCTGCATGTATGCGGATTTTGGTCAGTGCAGTATAACTTGTAACTTCATAAATAAATTAAAAATAAATTTTTTAATTTTGTTTTCATCATATCGAATCGACCCGCTTAATTTTAGGCTTGGCCATTTCAAGGATTACTAAATTTACCAAATATAATAGATAAATATTTAGTAATCCACGGCTATTTTCTTATTACTTTATAAAGTATGTACAGTACGTATAATAAAATCAGAATTTCTAACAGGATCAATTCGATTAGACAGGTGGAATTGATCCAATAAAAGTCCCTGATAAGATAATAAGTAATTTTAGAAATGAATCCGGAATGACTAGAGGTGGTATGTAAGTAAGTTGCATTTCACAATTAGGGTTATTCAATCACTTTTATCAACTTTAATGTGCGATTTTACTGTTCATACGCATTTTACAGCATCGGTAATATCAAATTGCGGCGTGCAACAATTTTAATTTTGATTACCTGAATATCACCCGGAAAGAAAACGACCAGATTTTTACCGTTGTAAGCAAAATATCCGAGGATTTCGTTACATCTTTGTTTCGATCCAACAACTTGTGATAGTCGTAATATCATTATCGTATAACAAGCCGATTCAAAATCTGTATACACTTCAAATTTTAACTAAAAATATAAATGCATCGAGCTGAAGGAACACTGCAAGGAAGTTCCTACAGGAATAGTACCGGTGGGTCGTTTCCGGATCGACTTTTGCGCTGCGCACAAACATGCATACTGTATACTGTACAGTACAGTGGTACAGTTTTACAGTTTTTAACTGCTAATCAAGGTGTACAGTACTGCACTAGTATTACTTTTAGTAAACAGACTATGCACCGCTATGTCTTTCTATTTCACTATTTCTTGTCTATGGTTCATGCTCATCGCTCATGTACAGTACAGTACTTCACACGCCGTCTCATCTTCCATCTCATTTAAGTCTAGCTCCTAGCTCCAGTCCGCAATATGACTGCACGGTACTGTACACTGTACAGTACGATAGACTATAAAATTGAAATACTGTACTGTAGGTAATTTATCAATGTAGCTCATACTGTACTGTATTGTACAGTATACAGAGTCCAAGAAAATTTTTTTAATCTGTACAGTACTGTACTGTCTATTACGCTTCTCGGCTACAGTAAAGTGTGATCCACTTCATTCTTGCCGTTTTAATATAAAATCCGGTAATTTTCTCAAATAAATATGGATGAAATATGTCCCCAAAAATAGCCAAAGAACTTAATATTAACATTGGTATTTTACCGTACTGTACTGTACTGTACTGTACTGTATGATAGAAAAGAAAAACCTTTTTAATGTACAGTACAGTACTGTACTGTACTGTACAATACAGCACTGTACTGTACTGTACAGTACTGTACAGTACATACTGTTTTGGGTTCGTACTGTACAGTACCAGTGTACAGTACAGTACTCCTGTTTATCAAGGTAAAAAGTCTTATCTAGACTTTCAGACTAGCAAACATTCTCTCTTTTACGGCACAGCAATCCCAATATTCTAAATCAAGTAGTCTTTTTATTAGATAACATCAGCATTTATTCTTAGAAGCAGCGTGAATTAAAAGATTTCCATCCGGTACGAACTTGAGAGCATGTATAGTAGTCTTCTCTTACAGACGGTTTACTACAAAAGATCTAACTATAAAATTATGCGTATTCGAACATTTAATTCTATGATGATTCTTAGGTTTTAACTACGTACTGCAGACTACTGTAGAAGTGAAATTTGATGTAAATTGTAGTGTCGTCACCATGAGTACGCAATTAGCATTTAAATGTTAGCTCTAAAATTTAGTTACAGTACTCTCCAGTGGAGTACTTGACTTGCATGCGTACTCCATTAGTCCTTAAAGGCACGATCTAGAATTAGATATACAGTATATTGATATACGATGTATATGTAAAATAACATAATCAGCTTAGATTTATAGTTCATAGGAGTATTGTAATTATTATTAATTATGATTATTTATTATAAAGTTTCTAAACGGCCTTCGTGTAATCTTTTGTAGCGATTTTTACTGTAATTAATCACTGATGCTAGTGATATACTTACTTGATCGTTATAATGTTAATGTAAAAACACTATGGGGACTGTCTTAAAATCTTTTCTGTCTATGATGACGTAGGCTCTGTAGAATATACGCGTACTTGTATATCTACCTTTTAAGTCTTGACAGCTTTCTAAATTTTGCAAGTTTTCAGTTTGCGACTTTGCGCTTGCATACGTAATAATAATATTTATTTTTCTGGTCAAAGTCTTTACACTGATAGTGCCGGCGTGTTAGTTGTACTGTACATCAACAATGAATGGTTCGAACAATTATAGACAATCTCAGGAAGATTGGCATTCTTCCGAATTTCGACAACATGTTATCAACCAGATGTAAGTAATCTATGACCTTGTAGCACTTTTTACGTTAATTTATTACATGCGTAATTAGTAATTGGCATAGTGGCATACGATTTTTGTTGCCTGCACATCTGTTGGTAGATGATTTTAAATAATAATACTTGTATGGTATACTGTGTGCCACATCACAATTATATATGCACGGTACTATGCGGAATGTTTTTACATATAACTGCTTTATATCCTTATTTCATGTCTTTGTAATGTACATATAGTATGGAAGCAATGAGAAATTCTTGTAATCCAACAACCAAGTCAGCTCGCGAGATGGAAGCGCATATTTTTGGTAATGCTGACTGTAAGGTTAGTAACTGTTCGTACCGGATTTCTGCGCTTTATCAGATACAGTACAGTATTGCAGATCTCTGCAAATAGCACCGAGCTAAACCGGACTGTATATGTTACGGTCAACCTTGGTCATTCCCATGGAATGACCAATATATACTGTTCAATGTACAGTACAGTATATCAAGAATAGGCATACGGCTTATCTATATTACATATACTGTGAATATAACGCGATGAATGTATCTTGACATTGAAAGTTTGAATGTTTCTACTGTTTACAGCATGTTCAATACCTCATTAACTTACACTGTATTGTCCTTGATTTCGTAAATTTATTAGGAACGCTATCTGAACTTAGTAGCAAGGCTTATTTTACACATGAAAGACAACCGCAAATCAGGTAAGGGGCTAATTATTTTAAGTACTGGTGAACGAAAGTTTACAATGGTTGTCGATTATTGATAAACTTTTGTATCTTCTTAAACTAATTTCGATCTAACACGGTTTATACTTTTAGAATTAAAATTTGTGAATTTTGTTTTAAATAAAATAGATGCGCGTATACTGATTGCATTTTATAATAATAGTAAGCCATTACTCACATGATCGTGATTAGTTTAAAACCAAATAATTTTGTTTTCCATATTATATAAGGTGTAAAGTATATTGTAAAATTCTGGTTGCTAGTATTAGAATAATGATTGATTGGCTAAGATACATAACTTGACACATTATTAAATGCTGATTAATGAAAATAGTCTTGATATCTGTTACTGTCATTAAAACTAATGAGTTTTATTACTAAATCATTCGGATTTACACCTGACAATTCTCCTATCGGATTTAGATGACCACATTCTATGTACTATATAATATGAAGATTATGAAATGTTGGTTATAACTTATTGTTATTATCGAAGAACGTATTTTTTGGAGTTGTAGTTCTATAAATTTAGTGTAAATAACTGTAACAAACTTAGGATTTTTACGAAGGATTTTACAATTATACTCTATACCCTAATCAATCAATATCAAATTATTTATATGAGTTGATACTATTACAAAAATCCAATGTACGAATATGTCGACTGGTGGTGCCTTAAATATGATATTTTGCTGCAGCCACTGTAGTTTCTGAGTGAAAAGGCCACTGAGCACTCTAAAATTAAAAAATTTAATATTTTAGATGGACCAGGCACTAGGCGCACATCGCAAACTGCTCCAATGCTATCCCAGGCTTTTGCCCAGAATCAATGTAATCCGACCGGTAATCAAACTGTGCCTCCAGTATCAAGACCGAATATTCAAGCTAGTGTTGGTAAGCTAAAGAAGTCTTTTATGGTATCGTTTTATTCTAGTCGCATTAAATTTTTACATTAGCGCCTTTAGCTGTCTTTATTCGGGCTAACTTCAAATCTAGTGAATGACTGCACGGTTACGATCATATCTTTTAGGTGGTGGTGCAAATGTAAATAACCCACCCGCTTTATTAACTTCGGCTTTACTATCAAGTAGCAGTAATGGCCCTCAGCCGCCTACTAGTATTTCTTCTCAAGGTCAAGGACTAGGATATAGTCAAGTTAGTATTGCTTCAGCAAACGCGTACTGCCAACAAGGACAAGGCACGAACCAATCACAGTACCCCCATCAGGTGCAACCAAACCCATCACCTTGTTCGCAGACTGTTGCATTTCCGAATCCATCTCCTTATTCGCAACAACCGATTATGAAATCTCCTCATAGTAGTCAACCATCACAGTCTCCTTATGCATTACAGCAACCGATTAAATCTCCTCATAGTAATCAATCAGCTCAGTTTGCTTATGTGCAGCAACCAATTAAATCTCCACATACTCAGCCACAGGTTGGCCCATCGGCTTATGTCCAACAACAAGCTATACGGTCTCCACATCCTTCTCCTCAGGTTAATTCTGGTAAAGGGCATCATTCTCAAGCTCATCAACAAATAATTAAATCTCCGCTTACTACCGGTCATCCTGCAAATTCTTACCAACAGCAACAACCGAGTTTAAAATCTCCTGCTCACCCTCAATCAGTAATTAATAATAGGTCTCCTTATCCAGCGCAAAATATCAAATCTCCGGTTCAGCAACCGCCAATGTTAAATAATAGGTCTCCGTATCCACAGCCTTCTATTAAATCTCCGTACCCCCAGTCGCAACCTCAACAGCAACAATCATCAAAATCCCCTTTCTATCCGCAGATAGTACAAGCACCAACTAAATCTCCGCTATTAGCGCCATCTCCCGTAACGAATGTTACTACGCCTAACTCTGTTACAGTTTCTCAGTCACCCGCTACTAATGCTAATCCTGGATCAGTTGGATCTGTTGGAGGTTCGGTACCAGCTTCGAGTCCTTTACAATCGGTAAATCCCAGTGATGATGCAGCGTACATGGAAAAGGTATTTTGCTTTTTTTCTTTACAAAATCTAAACTAGGTAATAATGAGCGTGTCGTTCAAGCTTACTAATTACCTGCATAAATTAGCTCAGAGATCTCACAAAATATATCGCACCGCTACGAAGATTAATTGACCGAACCACGAAAGAGGGTAGGTTTCCTATAATTTTACGCCAGGTTTTACGAGTGAATATCTGGTTACAGATTACTATTGTTTTAGGGCGAAAAAAGGAGATACATAAGATGAAAAGTCTCTTAGAAATCTTGGCTAATCCCCAGAAGAGGTATTTGTTCTTGGTAGATTTGGTTATAGGATTGATAAAATGCTGTTTTATATATTATAATTATTAACGCTGGTGTTATTATTATTTCTAGGGTGCCTCTAGCAACTCTTACAAAATGCGAAAGTGTCTTAGAAAAACTTCAAGCTTCTTTTTCTCCCCAGTCTCAACCGCCGTCAGTAGTAAGGAAATAATTATAATATGAAAGATAAATGAATCTTAAGGAACCATAAAATAATGCAGCTCAAAAATTAGCGCACTTTAGCTAACGAATATTCACTTATCTCCTAATAAGGCTATAGGAACTACTACTAATGGTATAGCAGCCACAAATACTAACGGAGTGACGTCTATTGCAACTACAACATCAAATTCTTCATCTAATACAATTGTTAGCACTACTTCCGTGGGGTCTGCACCTGTAACTACCTCATCTGGACTTGCTCCATCACAGGATGTATGTAAACCTCTGATTGATATCATTGCTGCAAATCTAAATTCTCCAGCGCTAGCATATGCACTTCAACAAACTTGTGGACCTGCATTCACAACTATGAGAGGCCCGATGACACCGTACGTTAGGATACATATTACGTGCATGAAATACTCGTATGTTTGTGTGATGATTCATTGTATGAAAAGATAACGACTATATCAAACTATAGTACACATATTTCATACCATTGCAGACTCACTGAACAGACAGTCAAACGGAAGAGAATTAAATATTCTGATAGTAAAATGCGAAGTGAACAAGAGAACGTAATAGAGACTGAAATGACTGAATTGGATGATTTATTTGTCATCGAAAAGAATGTCCATCCATTAATGGACAGCGAATCTTTTCTATTAAAATGCTCTATAGGTAAGTTTTGTGCTTTATAACTGTGAAAGCTCTCAAGTTATTCATAAATCTCGAGGCTATGAGATAGTTTCGAGTAACTTCGTGCGAAGGTGCTTATGCTATGAGATTAATTTACAATACCTTGTAGATGATGCCAGCTTACCGCCAGTACCATCAATTTATGTGATTATTCCGGAAGACTATCCATATAGCTCCGCTCAGTGTCAAACCACAACAGTAGAATATAGTTAGTACTGGGATCGTATTCATCACATTATTCTCATATAGTAAATTGAATCGTAACTGAAATGAATCCTAATAAATTCGGACTTATTCCTTACAGGAGCAAATCCTTTCTTTGTAACAATCATAGAAGATCTCAGTTCAAGATTATTGAAGATGCCAAGAGTAACATTGACTGGAATATTAAATGCATGGGTAATAGTATGTTGGTTAAGCAATAATAGAATATGACTTATGTGAAGTAATTTTATTTTCTTCATAAATAATAGAAATTAAGTATTCTCAAAGCTTACTCGAAAGACGAGCATGAATTTGAAAACCTACATCAGCAAAATTCCTTTATACCCGAAAGTATCTCCTCAGGCCTTGCGTAATTTTTAGTATATGCGAAAGGAAGCCTCTTGAGAGACTAAAATGTGTTAATTTGAATTTGCATCCATAAACATTACTTAATGACCGTAATTTTTTGTACATTCGTATATTTCATTTTATGGCTATTGTCTGAGAGAAATATTCATTAACGGCTATTTTCTCAGCCCAAACATGCAGCTTGTGTAAATATTTAAGTTTATTTATAGTGTTAATTATCCTGTACGTAAGAAAGTGATCATTTGAATCTAGTTCGATTAATTTAACTTAAAATGTACTTTGGCGTCGATTTCTGTAATTGCATAATGTACAGTGCCTAGGTACTCTCTGAATATCACCGTATGTAAAACCTGAAATAAAGAAATTTCTTCTAATCGTTCTTAACCTGTACTGTCGATTACCGATAACATCTAATAGATCGGTTAAATACTCATTCAATTTCCCCTATAATTAATTAAGATGTTATTAAACTATTTTATCGTCAAGCAGTCATATCTGTCTGGCGTTTAATGTTATGTAAGCGTAGTATAGTAAAGAATACATTATGCTTACAAGCGATTTTATAGACATCTTATTTAGCTTTGGCGCTACGGTTTGAGGGTTGTGAAGAAGTATAAATACATTACGACTCGATTAAGCTAAATTTGCAAATAATTAGAAAATAGTACATTATTCGAGAATTACGTATCATGAGTGAGGGGTAGCACTAGATGTACTCGTATCAAAGCTCTTTTCTTAATTCGATTAATACACGTTCTCTTTAGAATTAGTATGACTGATAAATTATGTTATAATTATTGAATAGTTACAAGTCAATATGAGACATCTCAGCAATCGAATATTTTCGGAGTCCCGTGTATCATGATCATTATCCAAATTACTCGTTAAAGCATAAAATATGTATACGTTTCTAATAAGATATTATGATTTAAGTTGCCTAATCATTGCCTTCTCCCATGTTCTCTCTTCTTTTAATTCTTGTGTTCTAATCTTCATATTTATAAATTTGTTGCAGGGTTTGTCTAGTATGTTTGTGTCAAATGCTTTAAAATGAGTCACTTTAACAGTTGGCCTTTTGCTTGCACCAATTCCTTTCCTATCGTTCTTTAGAGCAGTCTTAATCGGATACTTTCTACCATTTCCATGCTTTCCTAATCCTTTATTCGTTTTCCATCCGCTCTTTAGCATAAGTTTATAGCCAATGCTACTACTCGGAATAGCGTAACTAGTTTGAAGTTTAATTTTATCTTGAACATTAAATAAATGCGTTGTTGAATAGGCGTGATCATCTTGTATCTTACTTGCATAAGACAACGATAATTCTTTGTTACAGACATTGCACCATTTCTTTTGATTGATTGACGAAGGAATAGTCAGTGAGTGATTGGAACTGCTACCATAATTATAATCCCTTGACAATGAGTTGTTTTTCGCGATAGCAGAGTTTCTAATCAGTTCAGCAATCTTATGGTTGCTTGAGAGTAAAGCTAAATCATATGCCGTTTGTCCCCGACGATTTCTTGCTTCGACATCGATCTTCATGCTTAAAAGGAATAAAGTAACTTCTTCTTGACCATTGTAAGAACTACTCATGAGTAAGGTCCAAGAAAAGTTATCTCTTACATTAACATTGAACATTCCAGATTGTAAAGCTGTTTTTAGCCTACTTAGCTTTCCTTTTTCTGCGTACTTAAATATTGTATGAATGCTAATCCGTTCAGCATATTGAGTTGATTTTAAATGGTTTGTAGGGGTATTTGGTACGTTTGTTTCTTGGATTGAAGTTTGAGGATCGAAATTGTTAAAGTTTGTTACTGATGTGGGTTTGGGTACTTGAGAGAAGGAATTAAGAGAGTTTTGATCTTCACATTCTGGGTTTGTCGCAACGGTTTCTAAGTAAAAATTTCGTATTTTATTACCTAACAATTCTTTCGTAACTGGAGCGTCGTTGGATAATGAATCAGCAAAGCGATTCCTTGGCTTACATTCGGGAACAAAATTCTTGTAAGTGATGCCAGCTTTTTTGATTAAATCGGAATTTGTACTCATTTTTTCAGAAAGATTTCACCGAGACGGATTATTTCATTTTTAATTGTACAGTACTGCTACTGCTGCATTTTGCATGGAGCAAAAGAAAAGAGGGTACAGTACAGCAACAAGAAAGGTTCATTACTTTTTCGTTAGTACAGTACTGTAATTCCGCTGTTACTGTACAGTAGGCCCAGCCATAATAACTCCGATTACTCAGATACTCAGCGTAAATAGCTTAAACAATGATACATTATTCTAGGAGTCTTGTACAGTTCTTACAGTACAGAAGTTGATGATACTGTACTGTACAGTACAGTACTGTACAGTAATCCTGCAAACGTCGGCAAAGACTGATACTGTACAGTGTACAGTACTACAGTATACTGTACTGTACAGTATTGTACTGTACAGTACGGTACAGAAATCAGTACTGTAATTTGATAGAGTGTGTTTTCGTCGAGTCGTCATACTGTACTGTACAGTACACTGCTGCCCAGTACTGTACGGTACTGTACTGTACAGTACACTGCTGCCCAGTACTGTACGGTACTGTACTGTACTGTACTGTAGGTATTTGGCGAACTGCGCACATTATTTCTGTTAGAAAATCAACTACAGTACCGGGAGAATGAGTTCCTTGAAAAGGATAGCAAGTGGTAAAGCATTTTCTGCCAGGTTATCTTTGCTGTAACTTATGGATAATTATAATTGTATAATAAACGCGATAAATAAGTGAATAAGTATGCGTGATCCGCGTAAATTTGATTTTTGATTTTTAAGAAGAGCAGAAACCTTCATTTAGCAAATTATATCTACTACGCGTATACCGTACAGTACTGTAACTTTCCACAGACGATCAGAGTTTCTTTGTCTTATAATAATTATAATTGAGGAGTACAGTACAACAAGTAGAATGATACGCTTGTTTTTACGAAGTACAGTTTAACTTAAAAATTGAATTTTTTTAAGTTGTACTTTACGCTATGATAGCATACGGTACAATAACTACAGCATATTCGTTTCACGAGCGGAATTCGACCTCACAAATTACCACAGTAGTATACGGTTTAATTGTAGAGATAACGTAATCACAAGTGGATTACAAAGATAATTGATTGATTTGTTCACTAGAATCCTGTACCGATTATTGGTAATTCAGAAATTCAAAATAAAATTTGATTTACAAACCTCTTAAAATTTTACCGTAGAGATCCATACCGTGAGGTCATTGAAGTTGCTGCAACCTATAACGTCACATTATCTCGTAATCGACAATCTCGACTTCCTTACTTTGATACTCATACTGCAACTGAACAAAGGCCTTGCTACTTATGGATGACATCAAAGCAAAGGCACAAAGGAATCGAATCCGGCCAAATTTACAGTTATACGGCTGTGCGATATAGACGTAAGAAACTTGAGGACAACGAAACAATCGAACAACAACAGTTAGATGCTTCAGGTAATTCAGTCTTGGATCTATCGTGCTATACTTTGCGCTATCGTTCAAGTGAACTTGAAACCGGAATTAAGGCATTTTCTTGTGAGCCTTTTTAATATTAATATTCATGCAATACCTCAACACATAGCACGCATCGTTATATGCATAAAATATGGCAATGCGTGAATAATAAACTTTCCTCTAATTTCAGGTTGCATGCTGCATAGACTACTCAAAGTAGGAAAACAGTCCTTATATCTTATTCAGCGACAATCCCACAACACTAAATACAGTACAAATACACATGTAAAATAGTAAATTAAATCCATTTATGATCTAAAACAGCTTATATAGGAAACAATTTCGGATTTTGAAGTGAATAAGATGAGAAGGTGTTAAACACTGCTGTGTGTTACTCAATATTACTCTAGTACGTACGTATGCAATACGATAATCATTGCGTATTACGTAGTGTTATACTGTAGAAATGCGCGTATTGCCTGTAGCTCCTCTTGAGTAAAGTATATTATGTATATTAGAATTCTTGCTCTATTTGATGACAGTCGCAGTTTATATGACGTGATTTTTATAAAAGTTAGAGTATTTTGACATTACCAGCTGTAAAAATGCTCGATCTATCGAATCATATAAAGTAACTGTTTACTAATCGCTCTTTTTTGATGTAATGTATTGTGATTTGATAGTTCCTCCGAAACATCTATTAAAATAGTATAATTACGCGTGGCTACAGCTAATCTTGACTCCTAAATTAATAGTCGCTCACTGTCATCTATTACCTTATGACTGTGACTAAAATTTGCATCTACAATACAAAAGTAATGTAACAGAGCTCGGAAGAGTTTTGATAATCAAGGATACTGTGGGTTTTCTTAATGTTGATTCTATTATAGCACTTATACTTTGATTATTACAGTATATGATACTATGTATTCCTTACCTTGGTGTCGATCTCACTCTTTCGGTGTTGAATATGGCATACCAAGTTACTTAGCATTTCTGAATTGTATTAAACTATGAATTAATAGCTTGTAAAAGAGGATTATATCGCTCAGCGTATATTCAGAGAAAAGAAGGTGCATCAGAAATTAATAAATTATTGTTTTAGTTCCTGCAGATAGTAATACCGGAAGTAAGATCACTGGTATTGAAAAAGTGAAGAGTGAAAATAACAGGTATATAAATATAATACTGTAGCCTAGCAACATTTTAAGTCTGATACAGAGATGATCCAAAGTTTTTTTTGATCTATAATTATAATCAGTGGGATGAGTATTTGGTAATCCTCATGAAATTTTGCGTAAATTGCTACTGAAATTGCTTAAAGCGACCTCGATAGGGTTAGTGACGGCCTGGAACTGGGACGTCATGCATATAATGAGTATCTTGTCTAAAATTTTTTGTATTCCCCATTTATTTAGTGACGTTGACGATGAAACCGATGAATTCGATAGTTCTGATCTTATTAATGTAGCAGAAAAGGTTACAGTTAATGACACCTTAGAAGATGATTCTACTATAGTGCCTACAAGAGAACGAAATAATTTGAAAAAGGTAACCTGCAGCAGCTCAATGAGTCCTTTGATTACTGTAGCTTATAAAATATGGAATAAACATGTCGTAACAAAAATTAAAATATTATTGCCCAGCTATCAGGTCCAACACTGTATAGTGATAGATACGATATTATATTTTGATTTTAATTCTTTATCTAACTATGTAATATACTTACGGTAAATATAGTTTCTGAAACAATAGCTTCTACGGTATCGTTTCCGACAAATATATAACCTGCAAGTACTTCCGATGTTTTAGGGAAAAGCTTTGAATCATAAACTTAACGACCAAATTTATCAAATGGACGCAAATATCGACGAAAAACCATACGCCTGTGACTGTAATAATTATATAAGGCACTTTTTCTATTAGATGATAATTTTTAAGCTTTTCGAATATTGGTTTTGTTAATCTACGTGTAGGTGCATTTTTTTGTGGTTGCTACTAATGAAAGTATTCACTGTTTTATTGCGCCTATATAATGATTTGTTAGTGTGTGGACGTAGATACAAGAATCCACCTGGATTAAAATATCATTATATTCATGCGCATAATATTCAGAATCTGTCCAAAATCAAGATTACTCGCGAATCCGGACGGCCGCCAAAGATAGCAAAGATCATGTCATCTGTCTCTACTAGTGTAGAATCAAATCGCTACTGTGACTTTTGTCTTGGTGACGTTAACCTAAATAAAAAGACTGGACAATCAGAACGTTTGATTTCTTGTGCCGATTGTGGCAGATCAGGTTTCAATCATTCTTTATGTGAAAACGGACGTTGAGGGTTATTATATTGTATCTCATAACATTTATAAAATTCTATAATAGGTCATCCATCTTGTTTAAAATTTACTCCTTCTCTAACTGATACCGTTTTGATGTACGCGTGGCAGTGCATTGAGTGTAAATCATGCAGTATCTGTGGTACTTCTGATAATGATGTAAGTGATAATTTTATGGCAGGGGTTGTGAAAGAGCCGTCATATTTAAAATATTTCGCGGTAACTGTTTCTAAATTTTACAGGATAAGCTTCTATTCTGTGATGACTGTGATAGAGGTTATCATATGTATTGTCTTAGTCCACCTATTGATCATCCACCTGAAGGTATTGACTATTAAGAAATTTATACGATAGACAACATCATTATCAAAAATTATCTAGTTTTATCTTTTAATGTTATTGCAAAAGAAATAATTCTATTGTATATAATGTCTTATTAGGTCGTTGGGCGTGCAGTGTTTGCCTAAAAAATAACGGATAGACCACATGAGAAATCATAATTCAGATTTAACAATTACAGGAACTAGAATCACTTTAAAATGTAAAAATGTCCATAATTCTTCAAACTAACTAATTTTATGACAGTATCGTCAACTCTATTCTTATTTATTAACTCATATTTCCCACTTTGAATCTTCTATCAAAAAAGTGGCACTTCATAAAAATATTGCAACGTTATGGTAATTGTTTTACTTAGAATCTTATCAATACTTTTGTCGTCATTCTTAACACGAATTCAAAATTAAAGTCAGAAAGTATTTTTTACTCATTTTGATATAAATGGTATAGAAAGTTCTCTGTAAACAGTTCTTTACGCATCTACAAATAATGAAGGACGATTTACTATTTACTAGATAAAGTGTAATGAAAATATAGAATTCTAGTCATGGGTATTTTATGAGAGTGTTGTAAAATGCAGTCTGATGACCATTAATTTATGTTGCAAAATTTATAAACGGTGCGATGTTTGTAATCAGGTCCTCCAGGTCGGATCACACACGAAGGAAAGTTGTCCTAAAAAAGATAACAAGCCTGTTTACCTCTAACTTAGTTTTGTAAGCTATGAGGCACTTTAGCGGATTATGGTCAAATAAGAAAATTCCCTTGTTTTACATTACCTGATTGATTGCATTCGGATAGTTTTGTGTTTCCAAACAAAATCCAGAATGCTTATTATATACTGCACCACCCTTACCCTCAATACCATTTAGGTAGTTAGCAGTATAGAATTGCACTCCTGGTTGATTTGTAAAAACTTCTAATATGCGCCCACTGTTTGGTTCAGTTACCCTACGTTAAAGTGAACGTATTTATTTTTTGTAAAATTTACAAATGATCTTCGGGTTTAGTTGAAATTGTAGATTAAGCAAAGCAGCATAAGTAATTATGCTAGTCTAAAACATTGATTGTATCAATTTAATTACGTACTAAACTGTATTCAATATATTGATGGAAAGTCATACCTTAATAGATCTTGAAGTATTCAGAAGCAATTTTACTGTACTGATTTAAGAAAGTTCAGCTTTATACAATGCACTATTTTACCTAATACAAGGTCCTGTACACTCTGCCAAGCAAAAGTTATGATCGTATCCACCTTCGGGCATATTTTTACCAATTGGCTTAGGTGACATGAAATCAAAAGGAGTTCCCTTAACCGAAGTAATTTCACCTTTATATTAAAAAATTCAAATACTTTCACTTATATGTTATTATACACATAATCAAAAATTCATCCGCATATATAACTACTGTACTGTACTGTAATTACCAGTAGGAATTTGCACATCATCCAAAGGAGTATAATACTCGCTATTAATTTGTATGATGTGATTTCTTATATCTCCGGAATCCTAAGATAAGTATCATATATGACATGTCTCTGTTTAAATTAAATATCCGCAAATTCTTTAACGATCGACGGAAAGCTTACGTGGCCACCAAGATTAAAGTAGGTATGATTGGTCAAATTAATTGGGGTCGGTTCTAATGACGTAGCTGCATAATCCAAGATAATTTCACTTCCTCTTAGTGTACATGTAACTGTTACTGACACCTGACCAGGATAACTCTCTTCACCATCGACACTCACATACTTAAATGTTACGCTATCGTTTGTTGATTGCTCTGCACTCCAGATCGCCTAGTAAAATATTTATTTTATTTTATGACGATTATTTAGCTGTGTCTCAGAAAGAAATATCTAGAACGTACGTAATCTTTGCATTAGTTATAGACATTTTAAGTTAATTCTTAATGATCAAGCTCTATATGATTGACGCAGAGATTTTATACCGAAGCGAGAAGTTAATTATATCTTTCCATTGATAAAGTTGTAAGTTAATGCGAAAGTATCTTTTACAGAGTCTTACAGATCTTAAAAACAACTTTTTTCTTCTAAATGCCTATCGCTTCTTCGATATTTTCGTAAGAGCGTTTACCATGATCAGTGCAAGCATTGTTGCTGCAGATTTGATCTTATTTTTGGGTTATTTACGGTACTATACAGATAGTATTACCACAATGCAATTTTTTTCGAAATACAGTACAATGGAAAGATATCTAGAATGTACAAAATGTCTGGAACGGTTTTGTCTTACAGCCCTACAAGTATACAGACCTTACTAAATCCATTAGGCCCTCCGTGGAGATGATTCGGTCCATTATTAACAGCAAGTTGATATTGTTTATTATCTAAGGTAAACTGGCCCTTAGCAATTCGGTTAGCTACGCGACCGACCACGCAACCCAAATATACGTTGTCCTTACAGTAACCTAAAAACCCAAAATTAAAAGTATATAGGTGCATTTCCGACTTATTGTATTGCGGACAAAATTACTATGCAATATAAAGATATTAAGGTATTATTATTAATATCAGTCTACTGTCTAGTGTTATAACTCTACTATAGATAGCAGTGAATTACATCAGAGTGCACATACGCGTACTTACTATACTTTTGTATGTTAACTAACCCGAAATTGTACATCATGGCCTATCTACTATTTTGATTTACTACTGTACAATAGCAATATGCTTTAAGGTTGTAATAGTAATATAAAGCAAAATATCAGTGTTTCGCAACTTCCTTCTTATTCCCTCCGAAATCCGAAAACAAAAGCACTATGCGACATAAACAGTCGATTGTGCTTAATAAAGTAATTTTAGATGGCGGCTAGTATATAGTACATTAAGCTAAAAACCCAGTCATTACAACAACAGACCTTCAATTCCGTCATAACCTAAAGCAACATCGATTGAATTTCCTTCTCTGTAAAAAAAAGAGTTTTGTTTACTGTTTATGAAAACGGCATGTGCAGTATGGTATTGTGAAGTCTTCATAAGAATATACTGTAATCTAATCTATAATATTACAATTTATAATAACCTCCTCATAGTTAGGCTTACACCTTTTACTCACACTTAAAATAACTATTGGTAACAGTCTCGTTTGCTCTAGTACTGTACACTGTACAGTAATTAGTTTTCGATAATAAAATTAATTTAATCTTAAATCTTTACCTGTCAGTCACTATAATTTTCTCGATTATAATGCCGTAAGAGTTAAGGTGCAGTTCTAGAGATTTATTCTTTAATATGAATCTCTCTAACTGCTTGCCGTTATAAGAAATTGGTTCTTTCCTAATTGAGGTCATGACGAATTCGCACACTGTCAGTCTTTAAGGAGGTTAAATTTAATTTATCACTTCGCCGTAGTACTGTACTGTACTGTAGTACCGTGCATGTGGTATTTATAAAGTACTGTACAGTACTGTACTGTACTGTACACAGTAACCGGGCAACACAGATGATAGCGATTTTTTGCTCGAACAGTACAGTACTTTTTGCACACTTTCAGTCTTAAGATTGCTGTACCCGGGTAACACAGATGATAGCGATTTTTTTGTTCGTACAGTACTGTACAGTACAGTACTTTTCATAGTACTGTACAGTACACTCTACAATTCTGTACTGTACTGTACTGTACACTTGTACAGTACACTGTGCACAAAGGAAAAGAGGGGCCTTTTATCTTTAACCAGGGACTAGTTAACAGCTACCATACAAGTACAGTACTGTACTGTAGCATTGTACAGTATTCTTACCAGTGTTGCTTAATTCATGTACTGTACTGTACTGTACAGTACAGTACGGTACATGTAGTAAGTACAGTATTTCATTTCATTGAAACGAAGAGAAGCGCACTAGCAGTACTGTAGAGTAAACTAACTAAAACGACATAACTGTAAAGATTAGAGATTGCAAAAATAGAAAATTTTGCCCTATGTCATGGAAAGCGGCTTTGGAGAACATGAAAAAGATAACAGTACTGAAAGATCTAAGCCTGACCGTAACCGAAACGAATTTTCCAACTTTTATTTATTAAGTGATAATCCAGGTATCCATGCGCTCGTTTGCAGGTTATATTAACGCACATTTTTAAAGATAGCAATTACACTGGGTAGTGTGGATTAGTTAATAAAGAATTTCTTGCGAGTGAAACTGCAAGCAACGAATATGAAATACTTTTTTACGCAATTATATCTGTATATTCAATTTTAACTGGTGATTGATTTATCACTATTACAGTGGTTCCAGCTAAGATGAGTGGAGCATCAAATTTAATCGTTGAATGTGACTTGATCGATATATATAATCAATATCACGGAAGGAAACTGAAAGAAAATCTTAGTACATTTTTACCTGAATTGCCAGGTGAGTAGCAAATAATGTAATTTATTAAAATCGTATACAAACACTATCGTAGTCACCGAAATTTGTCGATTCTTAAATCTTTCCATAGTGACGCGATTAAATTACAGTACTTAGTCGTCAACTTTTTAAAAATTGTTACTATATATTACAGTACTGTAGCTTTTTAGCTAGTGGAAACGACTCAAACGAGGCCTATCTGCGTATTTACTGTTAATTTAAAGCAAAATGCAAATACTGTACTTGTGTACGAAAAACCGACACGTCTGTATTACTAGTTTAATAACCATATATTATAGTAAATGAACTTTGTCGCACATGCACCACGCATCATTATATATGATTAATCAGTTGTTATACGATTATAACACTACATAAATTCTGCATTTGTCGTCATGATCATGAATGATAGCAAGACGCTGTATACCGTACTGTACAGTACATTGTATGCGGAGTTACTGATCAATCAACATAAATCAATTGTACAGTAGATTAATATGGTACGAGTTATTATTGAGTAACTTAAATTATATCATACACATAAATAATTTTCTTTGCTGAACTTGACTTATGATGTGTAATACAAGCATACACGTGTAGTTCTGATGTAATCGTAGAATAATAAAATATTCCAATATTTAAAAATTCTCTGGATAAGAATTGATTTGCCGTAATTTGCAATCATGACTAATCACTTAGTGTATTGTAGTACTGTACTCGAATGTCTTGAGAGATCAGGCTGCTATTAATCTACAATCAGACGTAAATGTTAGTAGTGAATAAATGATATTGGTATATAATTACAACGTATTTTAATAGCCGTAAACATCGTATTCGCACTTGTGGTTACCTTTGACCTTATATTCTCTGGACCTCTTTAGAATATAAAACTTTTAAACTTTTATTACAATACTGTATAAGCTTCCAGTAATATTTAATACATGTAATGATAATATATAATTATACGTTTACCCTAATGTGCACAGTGCTACTGATTTAGCGGTGTACATATTTTATAGTTAAGCTACAGAGATAGATTTTCACATTGCCGGAACGTCTCTAAGTAATCCAAGCAAAGTACATACTGTATAACGTTACCGGATTACCACCTTTACTCCGTACCTTCTGTATTTTCTTCTAGCAGGACGTTCATTCTAAGATACTATTTTAAGCATAGTATATCAAAAAATTAAATAAATTATCTAGCCATCAGCGTATGACTGCAAATATCTTCTCTGCTAATTACGAAATTCGAGAATTGTTTTAGTTCGTAGTTTAAGTTAAAATTACATTTGTAATTCATGTGTAGTAAATTCTGTACACAACTATTAGATCTTCTGACAGTGTACTATTTGTACAAAGTTACATAATCGTTCATAACTATTTTATGCTGATGTCAAATTACACCTTTGCTGACTCATAATAAAGTGTATTAGGTTAGTAAATACTTTTTCATGCCTCGTATTCTTTATGCGTATTTCGTTAAGATACAATTATATCTAATATTTCTACCTGTTTACCCTAAATACACGGTTGCTACTAGGAATCATACGAATAAAAATAAATTTGTTTCATCTTACTTAGGTAGAGTAGACGTGCCGGTTACGAAAGCTGATCCCGGGTACGTATTGCAATTTTTTATAGTAAACGCTAACTTACGGTAGATAGTTACTGTTTTGTATAAAAAATGCTCTTATAAAACAGTTGGAAACTGTGTATCTGCACCAGATTCATTATTTGCAATAATTACTCCTACCATGATAATTCAAATGGTATAGTATAATTGTTTTAAGGTTGATTAATTTCAAGCTATATTATTCTATAGTCTGAGTGGCCTAATTGATAAGCCTCCGATTGGCGGGAGAGAATTATTGCCGTTATCCAACCATTCTTTAAGCGCATTTCATTTAATGCCCGGCAAGGCATGTACTTAAACATGAAAGAATTACGACAAGTTACGTTGCTACCAATCGTACAGCTACTGATAAAATCTCGATTTTGCGATGCTATAGATTCCTGACCAGTACTTGATGCAATATCAACAGTCAAATAGAAAAAAACACCGGCATAAAAAACACAAACACCGGGAAATAAATAGTGAATTAAAGGTTGATGGTCATAACAATACTGGAGCTGATGGTAAGAATCTTCTATTATACATTGACATCTTTTTATGTTTAATGAAATTTTTAATGTACTGCGGTAATTGATCTGAAGAACAACGAGATATAAGTTATTACCCAATGTATAATACTGTAGTTGCTACTGAATGTCGACTGTATCATTTATAATATTATAACAAATCATAACGTCCTATGCAAATCCTTTCAGATGAAATTAAAAGGCACAAAAAACTGGTTAGTTGATGTTATAGATTAATCTCAGCAATTTTTAACTGACCAACAGATTTGTCAATTAATTAATATTTTAATGATCTCTGAAAATTATATCAAATTATTTTTCAGAGACGTCAAGAAGAAGGTGAAAAGAAAAAGAAAAAGAAAGAAAAAAAGAAGAAAAAACTGTTATGAACCTTTTCATCTTACTAAATGCTTTGCTAAATATTGTATAAAAACACATTGTGACCATAGAATAAGTAAAAACTTCACAGAGTCTTTCACTATATGCCTGACAAACATATCTCAGCTAGCAATAGCGTATACAGTATACAGTTTACTTTTGCAGTTGAATATTTGTATTGTACTGTATATTATCAAGTAGAATCGCATTTTTATCTATAACCTTACCTTTACCAGATATTCTGTATAAATTTGTTGCATAAGTTTTTGATAGTGCATAATTCAATAATAAATTAGAGGTTTATGAATATTGTTAACTGAATAATAACTATCATCTGGGCAGGCGAGACATAAATATGATGGTGAGCTTGATTGCTAAAGTGGAACTTGCGGATTTAAAAATCGCAGTGCATTGTAAACAAAGGCTGTCATTTCCCGTAATTTCAGTATACTGTACTGTTTAATTTACTAAACTGGGCTATCACGCTCGTTCAACTAAATACGTTAATCTATCGCTGCTAGGTTTTTTAGTTTTGACATTGTTATAATTGAACAGCACATTACTGTAATTGGGATGGAATTTTGAGATATCTCACCAGAATATTTAATATTTAGTAATACTAACTAAGAAAAGTACTCAACTCGGTAATTTAATTCTGTTTGACGTTATTAAAATGCTATTGTTTCACTTTTACCTTATTCAGTATTCAATAAGATACATTAAAAATTAAGTGTTAATTAAACCCGCATTATGAGAGTATACGAAATGAAATCTGATATTTCGAATAGATTAACAGACTTCTTATGTCATGAACGCGTATTCTTATAGAATCACGAGCTATTGCACAGATTTAGCAATTGACACCCCTATTGCCTGTATTAATACAGCATTAGCCGTCTAATTTGTTGTTCCCCTTCGTTTTCAAATTTCTTTACCGGTATTATCATACCTTATAACTATACTAGTAAAAGTTTGTTACAATAGATGCATGATTATAGATTATAATTCATAACTTTGCTAGAATTCTAAGTTAAGATTTAATTGAATCATTAATCCAGAAGCGCCGTAATCATGTTTTATGAATGCTGATTTGATAATTTTTATTGTACTGGTAATTTACTCGTATAAAGATTTGTCAAAAATATTGCAATCCACACATCATATCTGTTGTTTCACACATAATTTAATTAAATAATACTATCGTTCCACACATGCTGTGACAAACTTATATTTAACAATATTGGTATTACATATATAAGTATCCATTTACTATATATACATCATATATGTACAAGATCATTTGAGCGACTAGGAAAGGCGAGGGGGGTGCAGATTAGTAAATAAATTTTAAGTAGTATTATGCGAACCTAACAAAGGCATATAATTAAATTATATATAATCGTAAGAAGTTCTTCGATTTTTGAAAGCACTTTTAAAAAATTTCTAAAAAAACACATTACTTCGCTTGTCAACAATAGCTTAAGTAAAGCGTGATGTGTCTGTCGTCTGCTGTCTAAAGCGAGGTGAGGAGACGAAACGAAAATTATAAAGCTTTCATAATTGTCCCACTAGCCGTTAAGGATATCGACATAACTGCATTTCTGGCCTATCGTTTCATGGTACAATCATCATGTGATATAAGCATTATTGTTAACAAATCTATACCAATCGCACATTAAATGAGCAGATGAACATATAAAAGCGCAGAAATATATGAAAATCACATATTCAACTTTAAAAAATGATATACACCTGCAGTATATGTACAGTACATGTATATTTGCAGTAAATGCACTTTAAATCCTATTGTTGATATAAAGGCTATACTACATTTACACGATCTATAACATTGTATAAATTATTCACAAACATCTTGGCATCTTGTATAAATTTACAAGTATACTAACTATATCACAATTCTAATTCAGGATTAGTCGAATACAAAACAAGTTATGAAAAAATTTAAGACGTGAGAGAGTAACAGAACGTTACACTATACAGTGCGTATGCATAATATTTGTATTCATATGCTTAGTATCATATCAAAAAAATTTAGCACGCGTGCATTATGTTGTACAGCTGTTGTATCGTATTGCAGAAATGGTTACCATGCATTTTAAAATTACTACCACTATCATTGCAGTACAGGCAAAAAAATCTAAAATCTATGATATATTGTGTGTTTTCTGGGGAATATTCGAATTACGGCGTTTCATGTGAGCAAGTTGAACAGGTGTCTCACTCTTGCTATCTGGGTCTTTCTTGTCAGTTGGAAACTTAGGTATTTTACTTACAGGTGTAGAATAATGAATTGTTTTGTGACTACTAGAATCAACAGGTGTAAAATTCCTCAGTAAGTTATGAGACAGCTGCATATCCGCATTTACTTCAGAAAAAGTCAAACTCGATGAGCGTAGTCTATGGCGATCGAATTTTGGACTTGAACGCGCTGATAAATTATTTTTAATATCGTCAGAACTGCTACGAGTTGAGCTACTGTCTTTTATTGGAATATGAGGTGATTTTTGTCGACTGGTAAGGCTGCTAATGGAGCTTACGCTGTGAGATGGTGTAAGTGCTAGAATGAAGAATGAATAAGATAAGTAGCACGCAATTACATTCTAAGACAGGGTCTGTAGTATGCATCAGGAAACTATGCTAGAGCATACACATGAGATATTAAACTTATAGGACTGGACATATTAGGTTGATTTAACGTACGGAATATTCATATCAACTAAATTATCATAGAATACCGGGTGATTTTTTATCTTTCGCTTTTTTATCATTGTTCTCTCCAATAGCTGTAAGAGCAAAAACGTAAATGCCATAAACAGAAAGAAACTTATTCTTCGATCATCTGTAATAGTTAGCATACCGGTATACAAACATGGATCATGTTTATCAACGTAATTTCGTAGTGTATCCCAACCACCTCCAACGCGAACCATTATATGATGTCTCAATACCTACAATTAAAAATTATATAAAAAAGTGTCTGGTGAGACGCTATAACACGTTCATGTATTCAAGTTTTAAAATGGTTGAATAAGTCAATTTCTTAGCAGCATAAAGATAAGCCGCTTTAATCGTCATGCTAGAATCCATAGAAATAAATGTAAAATAATCTATATATAGTATACCATGTTAGGCATATAAGTAATCGTACGGTATAAGTGCCTATCGTTCCTGTTATCATAGCGCGCAGCCATATTATATATTTTATTTTATTATACATTCCAAACCCCCCTCCCTTAAAAACTCTCGGCTTTAATACCCTCGACGGCAGATTATACCGCAGGGTGTCTGCAGAATCTAAAGTAAGCCTTCCTAACACTTGGAAGTCCTGACCATTTTGGTTCTTCACTATGCCATTCTATGTCATACTGTAGCAGTGGTACAGTGTTCCTTCTTTAGTAGCCTCTGGTATAAGTCTGTACAGACTGCATGGACTAAAAATAATACTCAAGCTCAGTACCATCATCCCATTTATATAAACTGTGACATTATTAATTTAAGGATAGTAATACGCGTATACTGTATACGTAGAAGCACAATAAAGCAATTTAAATACAAAATATTATTAATTATCACTGGACTGGATTTTTATGATTTAATCATTGTTCGATGAAGCTATAAAAAAGTTTCAAACCGTTAGATATACAGAACTGACCCTTATGAAAATAACAGGTCCATCTTCTCCTACACGGTATTTTCCTTCCGATAATTTTCTTAACATAAATTTTCTCTTACAGGTACATTTTGCAAGTAAGTTTTGGATCTGTAGCAAAACCATAGAAATACGAGTATTGTACACGAAAATTTAGAAATCACGATATGTTTTGCTATGTACAATAGAATGATGATTTATGAATCAATTATGGTATATCAGAGACATAAGCTGCTGTCGCACTGCAGTCCAGAATAGTTTGAAATACTTGATTTTAGTTCGACTAAGTGAATTATTAGAACTAAAATCTGGTATTTTAATGCAAACCGAATACAGTAAACTGGTTACCCGATTACAGTATTATTGATTGGGTTATGCTAGGGATTACTCAGTTAAAAATTGAGAAAGATTTTAATTTTAGAGGAGCCTCTGATCACACACACTATACTATGTATTACGTTCCACTAATGCACATCAAATAACTAAGTGTAGTTCGAATCAGCATTTTCTTAACTTTCTTCAGTCAACAGTATATTCTGTTATTATACTGATTGCCTAGTGTAAAACAATAGTAACATGTAATTATAATGATGCGGTATCACACGCAAGCAGACGTAAAGCTATAGTATTTATAACGAATTTATACAGTACAGTACTACAAATCTCCGTTTACATGAAACTATTATGCTGTACACCAACAAAAATTTGCGGTTAGAACAGCTTTCTACTGTACTGCGGATAAAGCATTGCGTATCATACCTTAAGAAGGTTCGATCTTGGTAGGGTCTAAAACTGAAATTGGTGTTTCGTCAGTTGATTATAATTACTTACCTTACAGTCGATATCAATCGCATTCTCAGATTTTTCAACTGTATCTTCATTTTGCTTCTTTATGCCTTTTACGGGAATCATAGATTTCTGTTTAGTTCCTCTACTGGGAGAATTTGAATTACCTCTTCTTTTGACCATTGGCTTATCGTCTGGAAAAAGATCGGTCTGGGATCCGACTGTTGCAATAGATACCACTGATGAGGTTTCGCAACTGTCGTCGCTGCAATCGCTTCGCCCTTGGTCTTTGTCCATCTCGTTCTCAAGGGCTATAATAGCCGTTGGTGCAACACCGTACTTCACGGCTATTCTAGATATTTCTAAAAGGCAGAGTAAAACACTTTTAATGTTTTTTTGGGACACTAAATCTTCAGTTTCGAACATGATCACTTCGGGAACACCTAGCTGTTTGCACCAGGTAATAAAATTCGAAATATTATCCCGCGCAAAGAACGGGTTAGATGATGCATTCTGCCGATACTTTGGACATTTAGAAGGAAGTTTCTTGACTTTCCGAGACAATCCAGTATGCGAATCAAAATAACTATCACCAACTTGATGAACGTACTGTGCTAATTGATTCAATACTATTCCATCTTCTAAAGCCGTCAATAAATTATCGGGCATTAAATCAAGGACTAATAATTCATTAATCCATTCCGTAATATCTTCCTTTAGTGCGGTAAGATACTCCTTTTCTATTTCATCACGAATAATATCAGGATACTCATCAGCTAGTTGAGATTCAACCAGTGTTGGGCTTTGAAGGTCGACCATATTGACAGTTAAAAACCCAACAACATAACATGACCGCGAATTATCGTTTATTAAATAGTATATAAAATTAATTTAATTTTTATACAGTACAACGATGATTTGCACCCAAAGAGAACTAGAAATACTGTACAGTACTTTACTGTACTGTAATGTACCATACACTATACTGTACTGTACAGTACAGTACAGTACTGTATACTGTACAGTATTACTGTATAGATTATACAGTACTGTACACTGTGTACAGTATACTGTAGTATTGTCAAGTACAGTACTGTACTAATAAATAGGCTCAGACAAAGTGTACTGTACTGTACTGTACAGTACAGTACAGTACAGTACAAAATGCGAAGTACTGTACGCTACCGTGGATTTTACAGTACTGTACAGTCGCGTACTGTAATTATGGAATACCTATCTCAGGGCTATCTGGAGGGACTACTCAAATAAAGAATTTTACCATTTTTCCACCTTCTACTCCTCTCCTTCCCTTCCGTCTTCTATGTACTGAGAAGGTAGACGGTGGAAAAGGTGTAACATTGTTACTTGAGTGGTCCTTGCTATCTGCTATGATTCTTCTTTGACTACAGGACTGTACAGTGTACAGCGCAATTACTGTACTGTATGTCCACAAGAATACAAATTACTGTACAGTACTGTACTGTACTGTCTCTGTAATCGTTAGGCGGCGTATACTGTACTGATTTACCATGGACTGTCTGTAAAGCTGTTTCACCAGTGCGTACCATTGCTTAAGAAAATCATATAATGAACTGAAGATTTACCATGTGTCTTGTCAAGACTACAAGAGAGCAATATTAAATTTATTCATTTACTATTATATTTATAAAGCTAGCAATCTAAAAGAAAACGCAAATAGCATATTATTTTTTTAAGTCGTTGACTTGTGTTATCATGTGCCACCTACCATTCCGTAGAATAGTGAGCATCCCATTCTAGTGCTCGTTAATTCATTTATTAGCAGTCCGTAATAAGATACAGCTTCAAAGAATTACTTTCACTTTCGGTTCTTTCACTGCAGCTGCATTGCAGGAATTTAGGCCTATCCTAGGTTAAAAAAACACCTACTGTATCTTGAATTGATTACAATTAGTAATATAATGACTGTGTTTTCATGCTTACTGGATAGTTTATTAAATGTGCGTCACATACTTGACATCAAACATTTGTAATCAGTCGATTAATTTATTATAATTTAGCGTAATATAAGTTATCCCTAGCAATGTGATGCACACATTCTAAGGTGGCTTCATAAAACAGCATAATCACCGTGTAATAATAGAAATCTATATTGGGCTTGAATCCGGGGTATCTAATAAATGTTTGGGATAAATGTTCTGATTTATATGTGTAGTTTAAGTGCTGCTGAGCCATTCTTTGACTGCTATAACAATCTCTATCTGACTAAGGGTTGTCCCAGTTTACAAGTTTATAGATAGTCCAAGCACGTAGAATAAGTAACATAAAAATTATATAAAATTTTAGAATAATCTCCAAGAAAACAGTGGGCTCTGAGTATGGAATGAAAATTTTAAGTAACTTCTTAGTTGGTATTATTTTTAGTAGTTAATGCTCTTATTTCTTCGGTTAAAACTTTGGTAATATGTAAGGCCTTCTCAGCTTCTTCACCTCCTATGCGTTTTAGTGCACATTGAGCTGCTTCACGAACATGAGAAATTGTATCATTACGCCTGGAAATATACAATGTAATGATACAACTTAAAGTTGGAATATTTTTAAAAAAGAAGTGCAAGGTTCTAGATAGGAATAATTTTAAGAACATGAATCTGTGGTGTGATAATAATATAATATTAAGTACTGCACTTTTAGGTCTCGACCTAAGTGAACAGTCTAAATAAATTTCTCTCGCTTACTAAGATAGCGATATTTTGAAATAATCAACTCTGCTTGTATAGATGTATATGGTCCTTTATAGTCATTACTGTAGTTATGAAATCACATATAAGCTGGTTGAACGTATAGCTTATAAGATTGATATATCAACAATTGGTCGTATATCAACTTACTGCAAGATAAAGAAGTACTAATACCCTAAGTCTCTTACCAAAGTTTAACGAGCTTTCGAACAGCGGGTTGAGCTTTCATATGTCCCAAAGCTAGACAGCCAGCCTCTCGAACAAGCCTATCACTGTCATTAAGTAAATTGATCAATCTTCTTGTAATTCTAAGATTGTTTTGCACTCCAAGTCGACCAAGTGATATGGCAGCGACTGATCGGATATTAGGATCTTTATCCGTTAGCAGATCAGATAATGCCTCCATGACTGCAGGGCTTTTAATCTTTGCTAAAATGACAAGCTAACTGATCAATTTGGAAAAACAATCTATAGCTACATTGTAATACAAACTTTTGATATGAGTTTATACTACTGATCGTATGAACTACTGAATTGTTTGTGTTTTGTTTATTGCAACTTACATAAATTCATAATCGCTGGAATTCTAACAGAGGAATCCATATTAAATACTTCTCTCATTGCATAGCTTTGTATCGCTTGTTCTTCTACGTTTTCCCAAAATATATCTATATTATTATCTGTAAATGCTAGCAACTGTTGTTTAGTAACATTTTCATTTGCTTCAAGCACCTCTAGTTCACGATATAAAACTCCTAGCAACCAACCCTCATTGTCAAAACTACACAATTTTTCTAATTCTGGTCCATTTATTTCATAAAATTTTTGTTCAAAAAGTGTCCAAGGTATTGTATCCTCCATACGATAATAATCTTTTAAAAATTCAATAAATTTTTCACCAGCTCTGATAAAGTCTTTTTCTTCATGGTCATGAAATAACTTCTTGTGTTTTGAAATCTGTCTATTCACTAAACGATCTTGGCTTTTTACCGAGTTATTGTTATGTTCACTCACATCAGTATCGCAGATGAATGTGTTAACAGCTGCTATAATTTTGCTTAATTGCTGATCAAATTGCATATCATCAGCTAAAGATATCCATTCCATAGAAGCTAAAGTTAGTTTCCTGTGAGAAATGACAATCCAGTAAGATTAAACCATTTAACGAACTCAAATGTATCGTAATCATTTAGTATGTAACAAAGAATAATTACATGAATCTATTGCAAAAAATTTACATCATTTCAAATTTGCAGAAAAATACAGTTACATTGTGCAGTTACAAAAAAATATTTACTAGCACATATATTAAAATATATAACTTACATGCCAAATTCAAGAACAGATAAAATCTCACTTTTCTTTTCGAGAGCTACGGGAATAATTGGCTTGTTAGAAATATAGGCTAATGCCAATTCATCCCTACAATACTTCGATGTAGCTGAATTCTTACTTAAGATAATCAGAAAGGCCTAAAGGGAAAGCAGCTTACGTTAGCGAAGATATATAAAATTAGGTCACTGCCAGATTAGGGCTAGTATAGATCAAAAGCCAGCTACGGATTAGAAGATAGCTCCTTCTATAATACGTAGGTGATGATTGGGTAAAATTATAATATACTTTTTTGATCAAGTAAGGGTATGAGTAAAGGGTAGATATTTTAGAAAGTATGAAATCTATAAACGGAAGAGTCAGGACTTTACGGGTAATTTAGAGACGTAAGTTTATTTCTAGCTCACATATTGCCAAGATGCAGCTATAAACTGCTAGTAAAATGTTTTCATTTGATTTTACATCGACTTGCCTTAGCGTCAACAATTGCTTGCCCTATTATGTTCAGAAATTCTGATCCTGCCTCAAGGCCAATCTCATCTACCCATACCTTTAAGCCATTCTCAATCAAAAAGTCTGTAAGCAAAAATAAGTTTAATTCAAATATTAATAAATCGGAAAAAACAATAATTTCTTAATTACTTCTAGCATTGGTGCTACGACATACCTTCAATTGAAGTGATAATAGATTAGCAAGCTAAATTGTTCACAAAGACTCATGAAATATTTTTATATATAAAAATATATGCGTATGCGTATATAGCGTAAACTTGGTCCTGGATAATTAAGTAATAGTTCATTGCTAAAAGAAAAAATTTATCAATAAATGTACGTTTTATTTTCATAATGACTAGATTATCTGTTTAAGCTGGAGCATTCGTAGTTGTAATTTATGGAACTTCCGAGTTTCATGAAATTAATTTTCAACCGAAACAATTTTACTGATACGATTCGTGGCCATTTATAAAAAGCGTTGAGATCAGTTGATAAAAATAAATATAATTTTGCTGTGTAGTCCATTAGCAAGAAGAAAACATACTAGTACATTAACATGTTTACATATTATAATTACATATGATTATAATCAATCCTAATTAACCATTACTTAATAATAGCACAACGTACATTTCTTGATAGTTGCCTGTTACTAGTCATTAAAAATGATTAACTATAACAGATATGTTAAGACGTATGTACAGTATTTATGAAATGAAACTGTGCCAAGCTATTGGATTCTTGCTTCTAAGGTATTATTGTATTTTACAGTCAATTAAAATATACAGTACTTGTACGGTATTAAGAAAATATTGTTTAGGGAGCTCATAATTTACTGTAACAATTAAGGTTTCAGTAATATGAAATAGATAGATACATATTAGCAAACTAAAGTTTACAATATTATATTTTGTTATGTGTAAGTCATTTTCTGTATCATTTTAGTCAAGAATTACTTGTTTATTCACCTTTCAATTTTCTCATAACGTTTTGGTTAACCCTGCTATAGCTAATCATTACGTCCAGATGTTTGTGCTCTGGCACGTTACTTGCCATTTTGTTTTATAATCTTTAGATAGCTAACAATAACTAATAGATAGATTGATTGCACTGTACAGTGTTGCACGGCTTTAGATACTTTATTAGATAGCAAAGAAATAACGAGTGATAAATCAATTAATTTACGAAATACTTTATGTAAAATCTACGGTGGCCGAGGTGTTAAAAGAAGGCAGCTGACAGTTAAAGAAGGTGACAGTACTATGAATACAATACTATAGATTGTGCAAGAGAGCATTTGGCCCACCTCGGCCACCGTAATCACCTCAGTCAGGACTTCTACAGAACGTTCAGTACTGTATACTGTACTGTAATACTTTTGTATGAGATCCAGCAAACGTTTCCTGTTTTCTCCTTCTTTTATCTTTTTTGCCGATACAGTTACAGTACCATGGTAACGGTCAGGACTACGTACACTTTAACTAATTACAGTAGTTTAATACTGGTCAAATACTCTTGTAAAAATTAGTCGTTGCCGCTATCCGTGCATTGCATACTAATACTGTATTGTTAACGAATTTAAGGTAGTTACTTCTTACGTTATTAACGAACGACAGCCCTACTTTCAAATGTTGTATACAGTAATATTGTGTTGATCCTTTAGTTCTTTTCTTTTAATCAAATACTGCATCTCTTGTGAGCAATTACGATACAGATACAGTATTGTTGTCGAGGACATGGGATCAATTGCTTCTTGTGGCTCTAGCCGTAAAAATGTAAATAATGGTATATCACCTGTAATAGGTCGGTTACGATATCTGTTATTAGCAACGTAGTGTATATATATATATATATATATATGTAATATAAGTTTACAGTAAATTTTAATCTCATACAGATTACTATTACTAATGTCGGGACATTCATTGTATGCCCACTTGTGGTATACTGTAAACAGATACGGAATTTCCAGAAGTAAAGAATCAAGCGATAACCTCTAAAGACCCACGCGAAGAGGTCTGTAGACTCTGTACTAGTATAGCCGCTAAAGAAAAGTATCCAATTTTAAAATTTCGTCATAAAAATTTGAAGGACGGAGATAACCAACTGCAAGCGACTGATATAAATACTAGTATAACTTTGGATTCATTTGAAGACACAAGCACAGCTTATAAACAATCAAATGAAGTAGATTATGATATCTACATTAGTTACAGCCCTGATGATACAGAAATTGTAACTCCAATTACTGGTAAGTGACGATTTCTTTTTACTATAACATCTGATTCTAATTTTCTTTTGAATAGAACTGATTATGTTTATTTTATTTTATTACTTTATAGCTTATTTGCGGAATCATGGCCTTAAATTTTGGCATCTTAGGTATGGTAGCGAAAAGTTAAAAGATAATATCGATAAAGGCAAAGCAATTGTAAACGCAAAGGTAACAATGTTAGACACTCACATATAGTGATAGGTATACTGCATTTTGAAAACGATATTTTTCTAATAATTACAGTAGTATATCATAGCACGAGTTTTTAAAATGTTGCAAATAAATTATACAAGATCTAAAAGCTTTAATTAGTATATTGAAATTGGTCACGATCGTAAATAAAATAAATTTGCGTATATCCTTACATCGCTGCACTGATGCATATCATTGTTTTGATAATGAATTCAGGTGATAATAGTAGTACTCAGTATATCATACATTAAGAATAAAGCAAAAGTGGATGAAGTCTCTCTTGCCTATATCTCGAACAAACCTATAGTACCGTTATCTTTACGGTATTTCAGAGAAATCAATCAAGAAATGGGTTTTGCCCTGTACGTATGTAAAAGATTTACTGTAACATGACTTAAAATGCGGGAAAATTAATAAATTAATGACTTATGTCATGATTCTTGTCCACTTTCTATTCAGAAAGTTAACTTTGTCCAAACTGAACTGGGTATTCTTTTGCAAAAAAGAGCGCTATGATAAGGAATATGCAACAGTTTTAGAGGGCGTAAAACGAGAAATTAGGAAAATAAGCTCACATGATGAAATTTTGGAGAATCGAAGAGCATCATTTATCGAAGATGACCAATTTAATTTTCAAGAAGAAACTGCATCTACAGTACAACATTCATCCATGAGTAGTGGTAGGCTTCCAGCAAAATAAGAAATCGATGTTTTCATGTTAATTATTAACAAAATTACGATAGTGAACTAATTTCCACACCTTTATTAATTGTTACTATATTACTCTTAAATTAATAATATTTCTTATATGGAAAAGAAATAAATAATATAATACATTTGATGTAAAATTTAGCTAAGTCGAGTCTTGTCACGGCAGTAAATTTTTGGGATCGCCATTTTCAAGCGCAAGAGACAACATGGGTTGAATTTAGAAAGGCGTTTGTGAGCGATTACCATGACGTTTTAAAGCGCGATTATCCGGATGATCGTCAAGAATGGTTGCTTCAAGGAGTGATTTGGAAAGATATTTTTACTAAAAAAGATGTCATTCGTAAAGAAGAGTTTACCGCCTTTTGTGGTAAAAATTGGTCAAAGCCACATAAATTTTTGAGCTGTGTAAGCAATCAAGTTGCTAGTCGCTTAGCAATACATGAAGTATTCAATATGGAGTCGACAGTTCGCATGGCAGCTGTTGAAAATTTAGGTATGGGTATTAAACATTTTTCAGGAATCAGCAGGATGACTCTTAGTAAAATTTTAATTTCTACCTAATTCCAGTTTAAAAGATTAGCAAAAAATTTAAGATTCATTTTACGCTAAACAACGCAATTTCCGAAAATCTTAGGAAAATATCAAACACCAATAGTAATTTCCGCGCTAGCAGATCTTCTCGATGATACAGATCCGAATATTCGTGCTATTGCCTCCATAGCACTAGCAAGAACAGGTGTTAAAAGTAAGAAACATATCGATAAACTAATATTGTTACTTCAAGATGAAGATCGGCTGGTTCGTGAAAGCGCCTGCTTATCTTTGGGACATATGAAGGCAGAAAGTTCAATCATAAACATATTAAATCGATGGTACGTGTGCAATTTAATATTGTAAAAGTTTTCAATATTAAATACCTTCATTAACATTAAGCAACTCTGAATTGGGATATCTACGAATTATTACAAAGCCAAATCTTATTATGATTCTGTACCTTTGTATGTTTTAAGGCGTAATGACCCTATATCTCATGTAAGAGAAGCTGCCTTAATCGCTCTAGAGGAAATTGGTGGTGAAGAAGCCAATGAGGCTATCAGAGTTACGAAACTATTAGGGAATGAAATGAATGAACTAAATTCTTATTTATTATCTGAAAATGTTCTGTAAAATATTGATCATTATCAAGAAAGCATACTCTAGTATTACTCTTCTAATATCATTACTGTTAGAACTTACGAATTTATATATCTTCTTTACAATATCGAACTTGATGATTGAAAATATTAAACCTATCGTTCTATTAATCTAATAGCATTCTCGTACTTATTAGTCAAGTTACTGTATTACAGATGAGTTAAAATTTAAATTTTTGGCGAAATTGTACCGCATGTTATGAACTGATTTTATATACAACTAGTGCAAACTCCCGTCGCTTTACTGACGGTTTACGATAATGTGCTCATTTAACATCTTTTACGAGGTTCAGTAACTTTATACCGTACTCGATTTAGTTACAATCACTATATTTGCGCTATATTTGCGTCTTTAGCCTATGTTTATATCACATGATGATTATTTTCCTATATACTCATATGTAATTTACAGTACTTAACCCCATATACGATAAGTTTACGGTATATAGAACACTATGCTAAACATGGATAATAGTCTACTGTGCATACAATCCAATCCTTATCTACGCAAATCGATTAAAATATTAACCAATTACTTAGTTTTACCATCTATTTTCTTTATGAAATTCATCAACTCTAATCTCGCACATATATACCACATTAGCATTTACAGATTGAAAATTCCAAGTTTCGTACTTTAGCTATAGGGTAATTTTTTGGATGCCATCTAGTTTCCAAAATGACATTGCTATTCTGGATCCTTATACATTAGATACAAAAGCATCTAGTTTATAGCGTAAGATTACTACAAATTCAAGTCATGAATATAACTGTAAATTAGTCAAGCTGTGTATATATCTCCATAGCTATCGTACATTGTTCAATCAAGGATTCATGAGATAAAAATTTCACAATTTAACTGGTACTATTTTCGGATATATATTTAGGGATTATAAGTTGCATTATTCTTTACAAAAATTCTTAGAATAATATTATACTCGTATGACCCTTATCAGCACAAGCGTATTTACACAATAGCAAAAAATCAGAAAAATTTCAGTATAAATGCAAAGTGCCTATATAATTCGAAACATGAGATACATTAATGAATTGAACATCCTATTTCCTTAAAAATTTAACATTTTCCGATTTTAAGAATAAGATTAAAAGACAACACTACAAACTTATTCAACAACCACCAATATCTTTATTATTTTTCTTTCTATGCCATCTTGTTTCCACTGGATCAAATCCGTGAGCTGGGTGCCCGATAACAGCCCAGTCAGGTGTCAATGCCATATAATCACTTGCGTCGAAATTCTTACCTCCATTGGAGGCAAATTCAGCAATCTAAATTATTGGAGAATTAGTAACAATTCTAACTATAATAAGAATTAGCATGACTAAACAAGACTATTGAAATAATATAGACAATATATACTTTATATAATCAGACTAATTATTACTAATCACAGAATCTTTAATAAAAATACAGTAGTATGTTTGACTACTTGTTATTAAGAACTATTATTATCTCAAACCAGTTTATGAAACTTCGCGTAATCAATCCAAGTGTGCCATCTGCCATGAACCTTAAACTGTTAAATAAAAGTCAAATATGTGATTATGAATATATCTCGATGAGTGGGACAATTCTTAAACGCTAAAATTATTGGATATATGCAACTAAACGATGGTTGTGTACATAAACACCGTATTATCATCTATCAAATTTTTAGAATTATGTGCTATGTCTCACGATACAACATTCCATAGCACAAAATGTTCGCTTTGCTATATAGAAAACTCTATTAATTAAACAGTACAAGGTAGTCTACCTTCTTATGTGCAACCAGAACGCAATTTGAATGCTCGTGCTCGCAAGCAATTTCATATTCCGGAAGATTATCAACTAATTTGTCTGTAAATGATAAAACCTAAAAAACCAGGAGGTTTTGGATTTGTACAGCATTCCAAAATAGTGAGGAAGCATAATAAGATGTTAAAGAATCAAGCTATCTTACTTCTTGATGCCAAGGAATATTTTCCATTGTTAGCTTAGAAGCTTTTGATTCGCCGCAATATGTTACTCCCTATTAGTAAATAAGAAATATTTTTTATGAAAAATATTGTTTAATATAGTTATATCTAGTTACTACAGTGACATATGCAAGGTCTAAACTAACCGAACGTAGATCTATAATCCTATAAAATTGTCACAAGATATAAGAGAACAGCTGTCGTCTCCCCTCTTACCTTAACCTCGATAAAATCTGGATTCCCGTACCCGACAAGATTTGCATATGCCTCAATTTCTTCAGCATTCCACGCTTTCACGAGAGTTAATCGATAAACTGTCCGTTGACCCTAAATTCATAAAATTTGCGAATGTAAATGATCATATCGAAACAATTCCTTCGCATTGTAGAACCTTCTCTGATAAGGCGGAAAGGCTTTTAAGAAATCGAGGCCAAAAGTCTTTAAATAGCGGCCGATCAATCTTTTTCAAACTTTCTTTAGTACTGGCATCTACGCTCACATACAATTGCGTTACGGGCGTAAGATCTCTATTAATATTTATATATTCAGAAATATTTATAATTCGTTAATCATGATACCGTGTAGTATTACTTTGACGATCAAATAAGACTACATTACATCTAGTAAAATATAGTAATGATTTTAACCTAATAGCATTTGGAAATTGTGCGTTAGTCACAAGAAAACTGGAAATTTCCTTTCCATGTAGAAGTTCAATAAATTTATTTATTTCTGGATACATTATTGGCTCTCCTACCGTGTTTCAGAAAGAAAGCCCAACATTAATTTACAATGTAAGCAACTGCAAATTTACTTCTATACTAACCGACTAAAGATAAAGCACAATGTTTAACTTCCATGGCCTCTTTGAATCTTTCTGTTTGTACCCCTGGAACGCCTAAGAAATCCGTGAGATTTTTTCCGTTATGCTTACAAAATAAAATTATAGTGCGAATTCTTAAATGTCCTAACTTGCCTTTGAATTGCTTTATCAAGCCATAATGATTTTTAAGTGCTTCATTAAAGATTTTTTCTGGGTCATCCATTTTCCATCGCCATTCAGTACCAACTGGGTTCGTGTGATGACGCCAACAAAAAACACATTTATTTGCGCAAGCAAGACTGGGCGTTGTTTCCATGCATCTGTGACTCTCAATTCCATAAAACGTATGCTTATAGCAACCACCCCGTCCTCGTAACATTGACTGCAGAAAACAATTGAAGTCTTCAAGTTAAACTAATTAATTACGAAAGAGCCGATATACTGTATAATAATTTTGAAGACTAAAATATCTAAAGATTTTCTAATAAGTTTTTCAGTTGTTAACACCTTCGTCCAGCGGCAAAGCTTAACGCCGGAATGAGATCCGATAATTTTATATCCTGAAACATACGTGAAAAGTGTCTCTAATACCGACATCTATAGTACTTAATTGCGCACCGTAACGCAAATTATCAGCTTTATTAATCATGATACAATATGTCATCCGTATACGGTTAAAAACGATTTTAAATATAAACTGAAGAAGTTGATTCTTTGATGTTAAATGCACCGTACGATTCATATGACATTTAAGGTTTACCTTGCTTGCTTAGTGCCTCTTTTAGGGATGGGGTTACCATATCTCTTAACTCAGCTTTCTTTAAGGAGGATATTGATGTTTTTGGCCCAGCTTGGACACGCTGTAGTGTGCTTACTTCAAGTTCTCTATCTGCCTAAAAAATTTTAAATTCCCTTCTAAAAACTGTAAATACATTCAGATATATCATAGCTTAAGCTAGGTTAATTGATTATCATAACCTAATTTGATACTGAAGTATATTAAACTTTAGCTGAATATGCGAATTACCTTTGCCTTCCCTAAATTATTCAGCATCACCCCTAAGTCTTCGACATCAACGACATCATTTTTTATCGGGATAGTAGAGTTTTTTTTCATTGCAATTGTCTCTTCATCTTCGCTGTTATCGCTAGATTCACTTGTACTCTCATATAAGATCTAAAACGTAGGTAATAAAATAATGTCAGAGTCGACATCTTTCCTTCGTGTATTACATTCTCTTTTACCTTTATTTTTGAAGGGGCAACGTTGACTTCATTATCGACAGGTTTATGACTAGGAGTAATTTCTAAGTTGAGAACTCTTAAAATCCTTCCTTTCCAAGCCACGAAATCTTCTTCAAGGCCTAATGATCAGTCATATAGTGAGGGTATTTATAACATGAAGTTACTAAAATACACGTAATTATTGCAGTTCATGTTAATGTATGTCGTATCCGTAGAAATACTTTAAAGGCGTGTAGCCAGTTATACCATAGTGTTATCTGTTCTAGACAAATAAAAAAAATATATGAAATATTAAACACACCTCCATTTTCACTTTGCACTACGTTATTATCACCGATGCCAAGGGGTAAAATTCGATTTCCATGTAATTTATGAAGCCAACTATCAGTATCCTTAGCAACCTTTATAGATTAAAACCCCATAATAGAATCACACTCTATCTCGTAATTATCACTTACAATTTATGCTACTTGATGATTATGCAGCATTAGTAAGTAATAATAAATGAGCATTAAAAAGAAATTAAAAATTGTACCGAATTAAAATGTTCTTGGTAGACTGAGTTACCAAGACCAAATACAGCGTAATTTAATTTACTCAATAGAGTTTTCTGAACCCTAAAATCAGATACGGTATCCTGTAACCAAGTATAGAACCATCTTGCACTTTCAGCAGGCTCTCCACCAGTGTAGGTAGACAGTAGGAAGATACAAATCTGTCTAGATTTTGGCTATAAGAGTTAACGTCGATAACTTATTTTATATGATTAATGATGTCCATACTATACTGTACACCGTATAGCTCATATGTAGAAATTTATAATTACAGTACTACAGCATAAGTGCATCTCACTTGTATAGCTCAAATCAGAATCCAATATACCTTTATAGCTATTACATCTTCGGGTTCCTGCTGGTTTAAGCTATAAATGTTCATCGTTACTCTATGTGCATCTTGTTCATCACTGAATAAGGCCTTCAGATCACTGTACAACCTCTCTGCAAATCGCTGTAACAAATGCAGCGATAAATGTAATAAAACGAACTGATTTCGAATGTGGTTTAGGATACGCATCATGCAATATTCATTTGGTTACTAAGCTTCGTAATAGTACCTTAGCTGTTCCCGTCTGGCTACCATAGTACACCCTAATGCTAGTTTCTTTACCTTGGTTAGTATTAGATATTTGTTCATTTATCTAAAGATATCATTAGACACACGTACGTGTTATAAGCAAAATCACGGTGAATGGATCTTTGTAGTTAACTCCGCTTAAATACATAGTAGCTAATAATATCTTATTAAATACCAATCCCTTCTTATAAAATATTAAAGCAACACTCCCAAGCAATATAGCTGCGAGCCACGTTGACAATTTCCAGCTGCAGGAAGTAGTACCTAAAATTTCAATTGCGAATGTTAGATATAACATTGCACCAGTAGTTTGTCGTTACTGATATACGGTATATATATACAGTACAGTATATATACACGCTAAACATAAAACCTTCTCGAAAAGTTGCGTGTCAATCTATATGTACCGTACCTTGATGCTGCAACGTACGCGTATAAAGTACTATTCTGTACCCGTATGCACTAATTTTGATATAAAATTATGATCTAACTATATCGGCATAACATCACACCAACGTTACATGAATCTAAAGATCTGATATTAGATCACTGCAAACAAAAATCAATATGTTGCATAAAATGCTGGTTATTTCAAATTTCTGTTACGTGTTTAGTGTTCACTGTTCACTGGTTAATAATACCTACTTTGTACCCTTTAGCTGGCTGCTAAGGAAATTGGGTAAAGTTTCTCTCAAAATAATTACTGTAGTTTATTTTATATAGTTTATGAAAAGATATTGAGATCTTAATAATAGTAGATGCTGCGCGTATACGCGTATGAAAGAGATGACAGTGATTCTAGCAAAAAATACGTAATATCTATGCCAGTTGAATCAATCAATAACTGCTGCACAATAATTGCACTTTGAAGTCAGAACCTTTAGTAAGGACAGATCCCGATGTTTCTGTATCGGACTCATCATCATTCGCTAGAACCGAAAAGCCTGATACGTAGATTACCAAAATAATGGTGATCAACGGTAAATAACTTCGATCAAATTTGCTAGTCCTCAATACCACCATCTCGATTAATGTTAACACGTAACTTGTTTCTGCACTGCATAACACGGGTTCGTGGTTGAATAAGTATTGAGTGAGTATTGACTACTACTGTACATACACTGTATGTGTCACATGCGTAGTCCAATACTGTTCTGTACAGTGTAGCATACACGTGCCCTTGCAGTGTACTGTACTATGCAGCAGAGGTCTGCAACATCTGGTGAACGACGGTGCAGTATGTCCTATCCTGTTTCATCTCATCGCTTCACTTCACTTCCACGTCCCATTTTGTCCTGTACTGTACACTGTACAGTAGTAGTCCATGACTGTTTATACAGTACAGTGCACTGAGTGCAGTACAGTACATCTGTAGATAACAACTGCAAAGTATGTCGCATACAGTACAGCCTCAGCGTACTGTATGATAAGAGAGCTCAGTGTATACGAAACCTTATCAACTTATTTATTCTCAAGTAAGACATAGCTGACAAGATATACAGTATACTGTACTGTATTATCCTGTGTACTGTACTGTACTGTACAGTACAAAAATCGTGTGATGCTTTAAATTAATTAAATTAAATGACTTTTAATGGTATCGAAGAACGTTTTCGAAACAGTGGATCGCACATTTAGACTTAATACGCGTGCAGGTACACGTGTAGTACAGTACAAGTACTGTATAGTGTACAGTACACTGAACAGTAGAGACTTCATGTACAGAGAATACCGTATACAGTCTAAATGAATCATGACGTGCATTATATCATGATCGCTATTCACTAAATACTAAACCACTATGAAATTCGAATTTTATTTTAAAACGTGCCCACAACTCGGGCCATAGTCAGAATTTATTGATGCTGACTCAATAACTGATTCATCAAAAAGATAAGAACAAAACAATATCATAGGATTGACATTTCGAGTTACATTGATCTTCAATGTTTACGATCTATTTCCCTCTCCTATTTTCGCAGATATGATTATAATTTCTATAGCAAAATATTGTAATGAAGATAAACAGTTAAATTTGGCCAATAAGATTTAAAATTTAATTTAAAATTTAAAGATGACCCCTTTATATAAGTGTTATAGATGGTGATACATCTATCTCGTTACCTTGCGTGTGCCAAGCTGTTTTTTTGCGTACGACACTCTTTCCCATACCAACAGTTAGGGCGGCGAGTTACTTCAGCTATACGCATACAGTAATCAAAATTGCAATAACATATTCTTAAACTGAATAAGTCCAATAAAATTTAATTCATAAAGTAAAAAAATCTTTCAAATATCTAATCACTACCAGGTAATTCAGTATTCGGGATATCATTTCGATAGCAATAAGCCAAAGGGCGCAAAGCGGAAATAGAACAACGATGGCATAATGCTTGCTCGATAGAAAAATTCGCTGATACAAGGGCTAAAAATTATAGTAACTTTATTAATCAATTACTACAAACCATGAAAGATATTGAACACGTGGCTTACTCTCTATAATTTAATTGAAGTAGCTTAAATTATCTCTTACTTGTTGAATACTCATTCGAAGCTAGTCTACTACAGATCGTTTTTGTCATATCCGAAATAGTCAAATGGTTGTCATTTAGGTAATTCTAGATAAAAGCAATTCCGATATTTAAAGATATAAGGATAACCGATAGAAGTATTGTAATAAAGCTCTTTCATTTAATATCATCTAAATCGAATTTTTTACCATCAAGATGTCAGTTTCATATACGTTGCCACTGATTAATTCTCTCAGCCATTCTTCCTTAAATTCCTTGTCTGTAATCAGGGGAGTAGCAATGTCATTAGTCAGCTTATAATTATATTACCAATTACCATCTTATTTTGCGCTACTACGTCGACAAAACAGATAACAAGAATATCCTCGCATTGTACATACCCTTAAATCGAGATAGGCATCCAACACAAGAAGCTCCATTGCACCTCCAGTACATATTGCAATAAACTCCGGAACAGTGTTCGCCTGAATAGTTTGAAGCGATGCAAATTATTAATTCTTTCCAAGTGAGAGACAATACGCTCCATAGCTATAGTAAACGTATTGCTTACATTGAACAGGTGGCCTTCGATCTGATATCGGTTCTGATCTTCGATCAGGCAGAAGCTCAAAGCAACATTGGCATGAAATATGAATTGTATTAAGGTTACAAGTAAAACCTGATGTGTTGCTGGAAATGGTAACGCTGTTGCAGCCATCATCAGCTGCTACACTGGTGTACGACATTCTCCCTGGACATTGCCTACATCTTTCGCTATAATATGAGATATCGAAGGGAAACGGCGAAATAATAATTAATTTTTAAATAAATGTAGGGGCTAGAAAACGTATATTTCGAATAAAGTTCGCTTACTCCTCATCTGAGCTATCACCATCGTAAGATTCAACATTCGACCCTTCGCTATCGTAATATGTGAAGCCAAATTGATTTCGTGCTCTTTTAATAAATTTTTGCGGATCAAGCATTTCTCTCGTGATTTTATTTTTTGCATTCAAATCTTCAATATCTTCATCGCTTCGTTTTTTTTCAGGGTATTGTTTTACGTAAGCATCTACTAAGTTATTTATGATATGATTTCGACTAATTTGAACTACAGTAATTCGGCACTGAAAAATAATGCGAATTGTAAGTGCTGGAATATTAGAAAGGTAAAGCCTTAAAGATGAATGTTTACTTACGGCGGGACAGTTATTAGATTGATTCATCCACGGAGAATAACATCCAGAACAAAAGCAATGTAAACACGGTTGCAAACTTGGCCAGAGAAAATTACAAAATTTAAATATACTTTTATTTTAAAAATTTAATCGATTGCTTGGATTGGTAAACCTCACTGAATAAATAACCTGACTATATATGTATTTATTGATAGAAAATATTTAGTGGTCGCTTACCTAATGCAATCATGCAGTAGATCCTAAATTAGATTGAATTCAAACTTAATGAAAATACCCATCAGGTTTTTCCGTACAATTTCATTTAAACAAGAGTAATTTGTTCACTAGATTTACCTGACAGATCCCACAAGTCAAGTTTTCTAACATGTCCTGTCCAACATTTGAAAGAGTAGAGTTTGGAGCGATTTTTGTAGTGTCCTCAGTCACTTCTGGTTGGGGAACTAATGTCTCAGGTTGTAATTTTCTACTGTTATCTACGTCAAGCATCTTTTCCGGTAAAGCTACATCGCTCTAAAAATGTTATAATATATGAAAATATTGCAGTTAATGCGAAAGAGAATAGTTGCAGACTGCGTAGAGATACATTTATAAAACATGACATCATAACTGACATAAGAAGTAAACTAAGAAGAAAAGGATTACTGCAACAAAGCAATAGCTCGTATTTCCTGTTTTCAAACAACTTCTGCTATCAAGGCATTCTAAACTTCTTTTACCTCCTGTTTGATTTTTTTATTTAAGTTGCTTTCTAAATCCTGCAATGAACGATAACAATGGAAGATACATAAAATTAGTAATCTAGTTCAGCTTAGATCGACACATACAGAATTTAAACTCCATAGATAACATTAAAGTATAAAAGGTTAGAAACCTGATCTGCTAGCCTTTTCTTTGGATTAAATTCGAGGCCTTCATCTATAACAATATTAAACAGTACACGAATTAAATGCAATCTTACGTAGAAGCTGAAACTTTAAGTTGATGAATTTAAAAATGAACTAAAATAATTTTCAAATGTCGCTTTAACAAACGACGCTGACAACACTTGAAATAATTTCTTATTAGTAATTATGCGATGGCCGAAGTAACGAGTTGAATAGCAAACCTTCAAGATAATCATTGTATTCCAGAGTTTCAGAAAAAGACTTTACCTCTTCATATAAGTAAGAAACGTCTAGGGAATATTAATGACATGCGATATAAGGATTACCGATACGATAGTCCATTGAACCAAGAAAGAAATTTGCAACATCCACGGACTATACTAGTACACTAATTCTATAGGATATTCACTAGCATAATGTAGTACAGTATATCAGCAATTTGTACAAAGTAATGTTAACGATGATTGATTGCTGATCGAATTCAATTACTGTACACGTAAACCTATTCAGCATATGATAACTGTAACCCAAGTAATATCATGAGTAGTATTATGGCTATGAAGTTTCATATAACAATTAATTCGAAATCATATTATGAAACAGTCTGTTAGATCTTACATCACTAAGGCGTATTAACTTAAATGTTCTACCGTACAGAAGGAACAAGTCATAGCATAATATAGGTTTATAAATTCATTTAAGGATCACCAGTTACAGACTTACTATAGTTTTGTTTATCGGATCTTAAGACAATTTTAATTTCATCGCCACTTGTTAATTTTGCACGCTAAGAACAATAATTACAATATACTAGTATTATAAACGTAAACGTAGTGGAGTATTACCAGTATCAAGTATACAGTAAATAGAACCGTTATCGTAAACATAAAAATTTGAATTTATAGTTTAATATCTCTAATTTAACAGTCCATATACTTTAGAACCGTACCTGTCCCTTTCGCAATTTTTTACTGTTAACTACTGTTCCGTTCTTACTAAAATTTATATACCAAAATGTTGTAAAAAGAGAATTGTCAATTACATGCTTCAGTAGGTTCTAATAAGAAATTATATACATAGTATACGGCAACCCTAAAAAATTCGAAAATTTCAAACAAGCCTCATTTGTAGAACTTCATTGTGATAAACAACCCGAAACGACCGAGAGTTAATCTACTTTCGGACATAGTCAACTTAAAAAGTAATAATTGTGTATTAACACAACTTTTTTGAATTATTTAAGCATCAAAGTACTACCTAACTCATTCATTGCATCCAACTCCCAGCTATACTGTAAAGAACACACTTTTGATATATGCTATCTCTAAATATATATTAATTTATACAAAATCATGTTAGGATACAGTGCTGTATCTAAATGTGATGGTAGCACTACGTATTAATTATATATAAGTATACACGTATATATGGATATACATCCAATTAGTTATTTTAGGACTACTCAACTACTGTACATATTAATCACATATATGTAGATTCCCGTAACGTTTTCACTACAGAAATATGCGCACAAGTAAAAAGACTAAATTCACGTTTAGTCGTTAATATAAAAAGTTAATATTTTGGAAATCTTATTACAAAAAATAGCAGAGTCAGGATAAGAGAAAGCGTAGGAAAGTAAATATCCGATCTTCACCTTAAATCTACAAGCCAGATTTCTCCAATATCTGGATCTTTAACCAACTTACAATGTTGGCTAGAGACGAACGGATTGTTCAAGATTTTCACATCGCACTCTAGCAAGACAATTCTACTTTAATTCAAATTTGTACACAAGATAAAATCGAATAATCAATTGGCCTACTTAGCAGGAATCAGATAATTAGTTACAGTAAGGTGACGTAATTATTAAGTTGTCATATGCGTTCCACTGGTCAGTATAACTCTAAAAGGAGATCAATTAATGCAGTATTATGCATACTCGTATACTAAACTTTAGTCGACCTACAGTTTAATAATATCGTTATTTACATACAATTTCATTGAGCAATTATGGGAATCGTAACGCTTTCAGCAATGGACTTGTTTATTTAAACTGGATTTCCAAATCCAATGATCGAGTCAATCTACGGTATGTTACAGCAGTTACTGTAATACTCCATTAGTCTGGTGAACGCGTAATGAAGTATATGCAGTCAAGTCGTCGAACGCCTAGTGTATCGTTATATATAAACGCCCAGCTCGTGATACTTTCCGCGCTTCCGATTTATATAGTATTTTACTACAATACACTAACATTTCATACGATAGTCGATAGATACTGCTCGTACAAATATTGAAATGAAGTCTAATAGTAATACCTTGTAATCTGCCGATGGTAATTTCTTCTTTATTAATTTCAATAATATCAGAGCTACAACCCGTCATCGGGATTAGCTTGGCATTCACGATCGTCGATGTCATGTTGATTGAAATTGTATAACAATGGATCACTAGATATACATATTATGGTTCGAATTTTATAGCTAAATCGTCATTTGTTTTTGTTTACTTGTTCGGACTCGCATCGTTGCGGTACAGGACGGTTAGTGTTCCTGATACATTCGCGGGGCACGGGTGTTATAACTTTTACTTTTACTGACAGTGAAGTACAGTACAGTATATTACTCAGTTCCATGCAACTACTGTACACTCAGTTACAGTACAGTGTGGGTCACTGTACACGACAGCATTGTACTTAATAAGGTAAAGTCATGTGAGCACATACGCACATTACATTGAGTACTGTACTGTACTGTACTTTCGTTGTACTGTATTTAGGCCATACTTGGTTCCTCTATGCAAATTAAGTAAAGGTCACGATATCCGTCCAGCTTCACAACGTTACTGTAATTTCAATTGTTGTGAAGCTGGGGGTGGTGAGGAGTCCCTGGTGTTACCTACTGAATATACAGCATGGACAGAAATCCATAATTTAATTTTTGCACTAAGTGACATTTAATGTCATATTGCTTGAGTGAATTATTAGTATTACAGTAGTCCAATGATAATGTTATTATTACTTATTACCAACAGCTGAACACTGATATTAATAATGATAATAACAATAATTATTAATAATTATTTAATATCGAGGATTAATATTTCACAATTACTATCAATCCCTGATCGTAACTTATAACGTCAGTTTATATTATAGTTATTTAAAAGCGTAAACGAACTATATAATATCTATGTCAGCAAAGTGACAGGATATTAAGCTAGTTAATTTGAAATTTCCAGTTCTGTTAGTCTTTTGGCGGATCAATGTTGATCCCTTTTGACTTCTGGTTACATTTTCAGACTAAGTACTTGTGCTTTTTTAGTTTACAATTTAAGGCATACGATATCAAGACATAGCTACTTGACGCTCAATTGAACTGATAGTTTCTAAAGCACTGTAGTATTAAGTAATTTTAGCAAAGTTCTGAATATCTTGCAGACGGAGTTTAATATGTCAAGTACTTGGATATAACTTACCTACTTATCAATACTGTACAGTAAGTAGTTTATTGCTATCTGAGCATATTTTAGATGCAGATGATGGGGCGACTCGTAATAAGTTTGTAAATTTATCTTATTATATAAGCTCGTACAGTAATATTTTCTGTACTATTATAATTTAGTTGCCTGTAATTGTAAGGATCAAGAGATCTGATTTAAATTCTTAATTTTATAGTTAGATGTACAGTTTTTACCTTTGAAAGTAAAAGTAAACATCAGTGAATGTACAGTGAGGTAAGAGCTGACGCAAACATATTTATTTTTTGATACATTCACATTATAATGAACTACCCATTTCTGTATAATTAATACGCGTAATGCAGCACGCTATAAACTCTCCTCCGAATTAATTTACGAGCATATGATGTTAGAGTATAGAAAATGTAGGCAACAAAGTATAATAATTATATTACTATACTGTATACTCATTTAAACAATTTACGTATATACGGTACGCACAGTAGGTATACCTTCAAAAGCGCATAGAACACTATATATTGCATATTTGAGTCACATGGGGCATTAAAATAACTACGAATTGCAACCTACAGATATTAGATAATTAGATTACGGTATAATTTTAAGGTCTCTTGGCACTAACGTATAATCTACGTATACGCCACTTTGTTCTGTTTAACAAAATATTTATACAATCTTACAAAAGTGTGAATACATATATGCACTTAGAAATAACTCTCTCGTAGTTGTGAGGTTTTGCATGATAGTAAGTTATAATTAAGATAAAGTAAAAACTATATCAACTTTCCATCTCCTTCCTCAATGTCTTTTAGATTTAAAACCTCAACTGAGCCCTTTCCTTTCGTCAGTGATCTTACCGTTTCGTCAAATGAACGCAGGTGACCCGGATCGATCAAGCAAACCTGCAGTAGGTATATAAATTGTTACGGTTAGAAATTTACTAAACATTTTTAGCTGTCGAACCAAGACATAGAAGAGTATACACAATAGTTGTGCAATTTGCATGTTAAAGTCTCGTTAATTTACAATTTCTAGTGATCCATTATCCCACTCATCTTTCTCCACATGGGCCATTTTCGGATACAAGATCTCTTTAGCTTTCCTACCTTCGCGACCTGTCAAAGTTAATCGTAACCTCATTTGTGCACGCTCAATCTGCATATTTTCTTTAAGTTGTCTGATTACGTCCAAGGCCTAGTAAATACGAATTATAGCGGTTAAACTTTAGCAGTAGGGAATAACTAATATTTTAAGTTAAACTGGACCTCAACAACTAGTATTGCGTTTGATAACTTTAAGAAAAATATTGATTACTTTCGAGTAGTAGGTATCTTGACTGAGCAATATATACGAATTTTTAACGAAGTTTTTTTCAGTAAGATAAAGAACTTAACATACTTGTTGTTTAGTATTCTTATTCGTCTTGACAGAGTAATGGATGTCTTTCATTCCCTTTTCAATCAAACTTACAGTATAGGGTCTTTTCGTTTCTGGATTTACGCATTTATCAGCCACTATAGTGGCAATCTCTCGAAACATAGTCTCAATTTGGGATGCACGTTCTTTCTCTGATACTTGTAAATCTCCTTTCATTAAAATCTATGGTAGATAAAATAGAATTGTACCTACAAAGTTAACAAAAGTGATATATTGTAGCAGTGTATCATATAGTACGTATGTAATAATTAAAGCAAGTTATGTAGGAATGTTCTTCATTATAAAAGATATAACTCTGTAAATACTTCTGCTTATCAATTAAAAAGCAATGCTCAGCTCGTACGTGCATTAAGTAATATGAACCTCTTTGCATATTTCGGTATCGTCATATGTACCAAAAGCTTTGAAAAGATCTTCTTTTTTAGCGACCTGACCTTTGGAAACATTGATAAAAATGGAGTGAGTCTGGAGTACTTCTTCTATATCTTTTTCCCTACAAAGAGAACGTGCAAGAGTCAGAAATAGCATACACAGTAGCTTGTAGTTGCAAATGTTCCTAAAGATCAACATCATTACAAAAATAATGTCTGTACTGAGTGAGCTAATGGCTTACAGCTTGCAGGTAGGACACAAAAGAATATACTTTTATTGTATTTTATACTGAGTGCCTACTACATAGCAAGTACAGTTCTACATAATATGATAGATTAGTGCTAAAATACTATCGTAATAAATTTCTTAGTAATCAACGCAAAAATGTTGAACTTGATAAACTGTGATTATAATTAATAATATATAATTGTGTACAGTACAGTATAGTGATTTCAAGATCTTGATTGATTAATTACTGCCTATGATGTACTGTACCGTATAGTACTAAAAATGGTACTCACGCTTTATTACGCCAGGAAATGACTTTATTTTTATAGCAAGCTATTTCAAATCGCTTTCCATTACGCTTTAGGCGAACCACCGCGACGTTCGTTAATTTTAACTGATTAATAGGCGTGAAAATTGACATTTTAACTGCAAGGAATTCTGTGTTAGCATGTACTGTACTGTACTGTTGTACTTAGACCTGATTTGTACTGTACACTACGAGATGCGATAAATTAAATTTAAATGAAATATTCTTTGCTTTTTCCTTCTTATTCACTCCGAATGCTATATAAGATTAATACAGTACTGTAATAATAAAAAAAATAAATAAGCTACTGGCTCGGTTATTGAGTAGCCACTACAGTACTGTATAACCTAGTACCACCTGCTGTACTGTACTGTATTATACTGTACAGTACACTGTACTGTACTGTATTATACTGTACACTGTACTGTACTGTATTATACTGTACACTGTACTGTACAGTACTATACGGTAGGGTGTTTGACTCAGCTACTCGCCGGCTCGCGTACTGTACAGTGTACAGTACAGTACACTAGAGTACTGTACAGTACTGGCTCATGCAGTGTTTACACTAACTCGCTGTGCTAATCATACCCGGTTTACGTACTGACAATACGGTACTGTAAAGTGCACTGCACAGTGCACACTACATGAAGTCTATAAGGCGTACAATGGCGGGAAATTACAAACTTTATACTACTCTTTAAGTCATGAACCTTTACTAAAGCTTTTATCTTAAAAAGTCTACACCAAGACACAAGTATTCAAGTGCACACAGTGTACAGTATACAGTATCTCGATTAACCATAGTTATATGTATTTTTCGAAACACGACTTTGATGGCATCACACAGTATCTGATGCACTCGGTGCTGAAAAAAAGGAAGTAATAAAGTAATATTAAACATGTGTTTATAAACGATCTCAAGACAGCCGAAACAACCCCACGAAAATGAAATTTACCGCAGAACAAACAGACCGATGATATACTGTAATTGAATTATTCAACATTGAAGTTTTTAGTAAGATCCCAAACTACTGTACTCAAGTTCAAAAGTTCCAGGAATAGTAGAATTCCCAATTGTCTTCTTGAAAAGGTAAAAAACTAAGACGGACATGATTAATTGCACTTGTGCTGAAGGCTGTGCAATGTACAGTGTGCACTGCAGAATTAGTAAGTACGTAAATGCTTTAATGCATATCGAAATTTAAGAAACTCATAGCGTATATTAAGTGTAACAACCAGTACATCACCCTTTCGAATGAAGGGGTATGAGTTAGTCGTAAATGCAGTCATAAGTTTGGAATTTCCTGGAATCTATGCGTATGTTTCATTGTAAGAAATTGTTATTTCACGGAGTACTAGTTTACAATTAAAGTTCATTCATTTTATTAATCGGCGCTGTTGTATTCTTTTCATGAAATGGATGCATCACTATGAGCGTAGCTATTATTAATGTAGTATACAATCCAGAAAATGCATGTTGCACTAAAAATTTAAAGTTTTTATAGGACGTACAAGTAAAATGGATTTTTCATACCGCAGCGGTAGATGTCAACAGATGCAAATAGTACCTAGTAATAAGATTGAATTTGATGACAGTGAAGATATGCCTATCGAATCTTATCTATTCACATTTGGCCGACAATTAACAGAAGGTACAGTATCGCTGACCAACTAGAGCATGTACAACAATGATAAACTACAGTCTTATATCCTGTTTATAGTTTAGTAAGCCCACCAATACACTAACTTTATTCATGTAATCATATGTCGTATCTATATAGAATTTTACATGCTGACCGCATTGTAAATAGATACATAAAAGTAATTTATTTACTTGACAGTGTAAAGGAATTCATGTATAATTTAACTTGAGTGGTAGTAAGGTTACAACGAGCGCAGTAATTCAACCATGGTTTACTATTACTTTATGGTATGGCTAAATTTTATTATCCATTGTCCCAATACCGTAAAAATCATTTACAGTTAAGTTCTAAATAGCAGCGTTTTGCTTTCCTTGACTGAATTGGCGACGTTTCAGTTGTGATCGCGTTATAGTTGTTGGGAAAGTAAAATTCCGTTGTTTGGTTTGAAAGAAAGAATATACTGTATGTGTGAAAATTAGTTGCTTTTATTAGAAAATCCAGTCATAGTGAGTATAGATTTTCCGTTTGTCATCTATGATGATTTGTGAAAGTATGCTTAGATTTGTTTTATCCAAAACTTACATGATTTCAAATAAATGACTACCATACTTTGCTAGTATTTGAGTACTATTTAGCTATATCCCCTTTCCATTGAAATCTTTCTCTAAGAATAATTTTTATTTGTATTCGATTTTAAATATCTAAAATCCAAGGAAATTGTAAAGACACTTCATGCAAAGAAAATAAAACAAGCTGTTATAACCATCACAATGACGAAACACCAAAAAATTCTCAATTCATTGCAGATGATAAAACACCATCTTCTTTAATGTCATATACGAAATCCCCCAATTTATTCTCTCCAACACAAAAAATTACATACACACACACAGCTGGTAGTAGTCGCAGGTACGCACGCTCTAAACTGTACACTGGTATTATTAGAACTTAATCGCAATTTACTCCACAGCTTTAGTTTTTCTAACATGTCAAACCGATCCTTGTGTCTGCCTTTCTTTAGATTGATCCATTCTAGCTATAACAGACCCGATGATAGTTTTAATGATATCCTGGTCTCTTTGACTGATAGCCCTATACCAATCTGGAATGCAAATAACTCCGGAGAATCACCATTAACTGCACGCCAAATGTCTTCTGGTCTTCATTTATCGTCTTCTACGCCAGTTGCTCTTACTAATAGCGGTTCACCAATACTCAGTACTGTTCCTCTTCATGTGCGAACTTCCTCACTCAGCGATAGCAGTGAGGATGAAATTTACAATGCTCGAAGGTGAGAGTGATATTTTACTATGATCTCTGGTCATACGAATTGTGCGTATTCTGCGGATAGACATTTAGAAGAGTATTTGCTCGATAGCGTTAGGATATGATCAATTATATTATTACCGTGTAATTTAAAGTCATACCATAACTTATGTAAATCTTAAAAGAAATCGTTTATGCCAATCTTCTGCTCTACAATACCGGTCAGCTGCTGTTCTTATGTAATCTTTATTATACATAATTAAATAGAACTTAAGCTCAGCTACAGTAGTTTCTGTGATAATAGTTGTAGAATTTTTTGTCTGTAAAATTATAGATGTCAGCCCCAGTCGCGCTTAGCAACCTTTATACAAACTGTAAACGACAAGCCTAAATCAGGTAAGTAGCTTCCGAATGCTTTCTTTAAATTATAACCTTGGCAGATTTCGTCTTCAAGCTTTAATTACATAAAGTTAACGTTACTATTTGTTCTCGGCAGATTTATCCAATTGTTCGATTGCAACCCCGAAGGTAGTATTTATAACTTTATGAATTATTTAATAGATGTGCATAAGCGCGCTAAGATTTACTTTATGAACTGCTTTAAGTACTATATTGTCGTTTTGCTTAGATTCAAAATACAATACAAACACATCCAATTATTAGTATAGAAGATGATAATTACTACATTTGGACGGATTCCTTAGCTACTCCACCTCCATCTAGTAGCAAAGGATTATCTAAAAATCATAGATCTTTTCAGAATGCGGAAGGACAAAGTTAGTACCTGAAGAGATTGATGTAACCGGCGATATCTGCGTTCTAAAGAGTGCTATTATTCAAGGATTTATTAACATTTATACCTAAATTTTTAGCTGCATTTACAGGATCAAATTGCAAGGATATAACAATGAATAGTAGTAACAATGCATCAAGAATAAACAGCCAATCAAAGGTCTTCTTAATATCTAAGTCTACGATGTTAAGTATTATTTTCATGCTATGCTCAGTATTTAAATGGAGACATTTTATCTCTCTAGGTTGTAGCAAGAGTACTTTTTGATACAGCGTTCCAAACAAATCTCGGAAACACTAATGTAATTAACAGTCACACTGATAATAACGGGGCGGAAGATTTAGCCAAATTATTACCCAACGCAACTGAAAGTAGTGGATTTGGTTCCATGTACAATCCTGTACTGGAAAAAAAAAGTAAAATATCAGTATCTTCTTGATAAGGCACTTATAGTATTGTTTTTTGGACTGAATATGGTACGTCTATTATTATAGGAAAGAAACAAAGTACGCCGGAAACCATGGTGCAGTCAAAATATCAAATTTTGACTGAAAACTCGAAAATTTATTATGATAAAAGAAATTGCTTAAGTGAAGCTACTAAGAATCTGGTTGTCATCAATACAGATATTACTTCCACACCTGAAGATATTTCTTACAGCCTATTAAATACGGAATTTGAAAACGCAGAAAAGAATGGATATAGAATAGACTTACAGAATAACGATAACAATAAAAGTGCCAGTGCTGATGTTGTATGCACCCAAACATGTCCAAGCCCTGACGATTTAAGCCGGTTTAAGAAGAATCTGGACGTAGTACACCATCCTAAGAATCATCTTGATGCCCAATTCATTTGTACCGAAAGGAATGAAGTTTCCGATGAAGTACTTCTCGAGGCTGAATCAAAAGAAATGGAAGCAGCTGAGACGGTTGCTAATGGCAGTCAGCATTTAAACTGTTTAAATACACCTATTGAGAACATTTGCAGTTTTCGGACTGCAACTGGAAAAAAAGTTCGAATATCTGACAAGCATCTTAATGAAGCTAAGGCTATGATGATGGAAATTGAGCTCGAAGCTAACAACTTTATTGAAGGATTGCGAAAAGAAAGTGATCTAGAGCTAGACACTACCGAAGAGAAAGTTTCGCCTCTAAAAAGAGGTTCTCCATCCTTGATCGATTCTGATTTGACTTCAATCACGAAAGGCCAGGGCTTAATGTTAGCTAACCAAAATAAATCTAATACATTATTAATAAGGGAGGATTTTTCATCTTCAGAGCAGAAATCTTTCCATCGTACCAATAGCTATACATCGAACTTGAAGCCTGGTAATAAGTCTCAAAGGTTAAGACCTGATTCTCATTCTAGCTGTCATAATACTGCCGCATCATTTACAAAGGATTCCA